GCACTTCAAAGCCACTACAGTTCCTGAAAAATTTGATTTTTTCCCTAATTATTTTTTTCAACTTTTTAGAAGTCCCTATTTCTCAAATTTTCCTCATTTCCCTCTATATTCCCCCCTCATTCTCCCCCTCATTTCCCCCTCATTTCCCCCCTCATTTCCCCCTCATTTCCCCCTCATTCTCCCCCATTTCCCCCTCCTCCATATTCTGCAAGCCTGAAAGTGATTAAGTTGCCAGATTAATCATATATCAGGTCACAAATTTTGATTGTGTATTGGTGAGTCTCAGTGTCCTTGATATATGTATAGTATAGTGTTTGATCTAAACGTTAAGCAGTGTCTTGTTGTGTTAGTCTTGTGGTAGGAGGTATTCATGGGGAATCTTCTCCCTTTTTTCCCTTTCATTTTCAAATGCTGTCAGAAGATGGGTGGGATTAGAGTCGGGGTCAGAGGTTGTGGCAGAGGTCTGTTGGAGCGCGCACACACAGATGTGCAGGCAGAAATATGCAGCATGTCCAGAAGCAGTGTTCAGAGTTAGTAGAGTGGGATTGTGGCCTCAGCAACTCAAGTGGAGTGCTGTGCCCTGAGCTTGACATCTGGGGGAGATCCCTTATTTATGGACTGACACTTACAGTGAACTTCAAACAAGACTTATGGGTGGAGCAGGCCTGTAGGAGGAGTGCGGACTCCGCGAGCACGGACTCAGAAGGGGGGAAGCCCCTTTGCAGAAGGAGGGACTCAGACCAGACAGGGGGGGGGTACTCTAGTTGATTTCAGACTGAGGTCCCCGAAAGTATTTACAAGATATAAATAGGAAAGAGGAAATATAGAAGGGCCGGTGCAGTCCAGTGCAGTCCAGCATGGAAATGAGTGGGGATTGTCAAACTAAATAATGGACAAGAGCCCAGGAACTGGAAGTGAGGAATGAACAACAACAATGAGTGGTGAGGGTTATTGATGGGAAGAACAATAGGACCAATAACCTAGTGTCAATAAAAGCAGATCAAATGCTGATATTGGCGAGTTAAGTGAATGAGTGGATAAACATAATAGGCACTCAGCAAGGAATGAATGTATGCTGCTGAGTGGCAAAAGGCTGAAGGAAAAGTGGGGTCGGCGCACAGCACTGACACAAGTCTGCAAAATGGGACACAGGAATCAGCGTGGTGCTGATAAGTTGTAAGGGGTTGGTGTAGGTTCCAACCCCAGTTCTCCTCAATCCTCAGGTCGTCAATAAAGTTGAGCTGTATGGAGCTTTAATTATCAACGATGGGGAGGAAAAGGAGTTCTGTTCCTTTTCCCAAATTCCCACATTATTGTATATACATTGTTTATACATGTTTAAATTGAGACAAATATACAATAAGATAATGAATGAAGGGTGGGGTTACCACTCCTTACATAAGTCCACAGACAGAGGGTGGTCCATCAGTGCTGTCACAAACGAGAACAGCATGATGGCCAGCAAAGGTATGGAGGGGAGTGTTGACCTGACCACAGGGTGTGGAGGGCAACCAGGAGTGGCCAAGGTGCAGAGGGTGCAGAGGTCCAGATGTGGGCAGAGGTCCGAATGCGGAAGATGTGGAGAATATGGAAGAGGCAAAATATGCAGGGGATGCAGAGGGGGCAGGGATGTGAGACTGAGTGGTGCTATAAGACTAGGAGGAACCAGAGGGACCAGATGCTGGGAGCACCAAAGGCTTGGGAACTGGAGGTGAAGTTGGAATGCTGGCAGGGTCCAGGGTCTGATTGTTGGTCAAGTCTCACTTGATAGGGCAGGGGGCCAGACATCAGATTGAGGGCTGGGTTTCAGGTCAGCAGATTCACCTATCAGCATTGATTCGCCACTGACAGAGCCCTGGGATTTGTTGGTTGTGACAAATGCTCCAGGAGCTCCCAGAAGCTTCTCACCCCTATGTCATATCCATCCACAGCCATCACCCTCCACCACCTCTGGCCCTTCCAGATTGCCTCCACTCCTTCGTCACTAACCTCAGAGCCTCTGGTTTCAGCAATCCCCTCCAGCTACCCTGATGGTCACCACCCCCTCATTTCAATATATTACCTATGCCTCCCTAAGTACAGAACCCCAAAGGTCTCTGGACAGCTCCGACATCCACAAGCACACCCCCACTTCCGCTAGGCAACTTAGTTGCCTTCCCTGCAAGTCTACCTTCAGGCTGATCCCTCCTTTCTACTCCTGGGTTATAGCCATCACCCCATTAAACCCCATAACCCAACTCATCAGTAATATTCAGTCAGCTAACCTGTAACTCCGTTAGCTCCACTCCATCAGCCCCTGCTGTTACAGGCCCGACTTCTAGACTCCCTCTGTAACTATATATACCTAACCTGTAGATACGTTACAACTCAGTGATAAAATCAACTAGAGTTTCCCCCCTCTTCTAGTGTTCCCTCTCAGTCAGTAAATTAGGGCATGGACATGTTACTAGGCACAGTGCTCCTGGTATAAGTCACTGAGGCCAAAGCCCTCTGCTACAGGACATCGTCTTTCATCCCAGATCTGGTCTCTGACACCCTATACACTTTGAAGCATTTAAATTGTATTTACTGGATATGTTTGTGCACAAAGCAATGCTCCATGCCCTCCTGGGAGTGCCCTGGAGTACCTGGCCAACTCCAGAGGAAATGAGCTGTTCCTGGACCAGCCAATCTCCTCCTGATTCTCCCAGTGCTCTCCATACTCCAGAGCACTCAGGAGCATAACAATATTTTGCTGATGCCCCACTAGATACCCCAGTGACTGGAAGGATTCCCCTAGGGCCATCCTGGAGTGAAGGCTGGGCCCTGACACTTAGAGACTTTTCCCTTGCTAGATCCAAAATTAAGGACCAACAGGACAACCAGCAATGTGTCAGGGCACACCCGCCTGACCCAGGTCCACCCAGTCCACCTGGCCACACCTCACCTGCTACCCCACTGCCCATCCTTCTCCTTCCTCCTTCCCCCTCTTTCTCTCTCCCTTTCTTTCTCTCTTTCTTCCCCTTCTCTCTTTCTTCTCTTCTCTTTATTTCACTCTTCCCACCATTCTCTTCCTGTTTATTCCTTCTATTTACATGGACCACTTTCCCTTGCATCAATGTACTATTGACCCATCTGGCTGTCAGAGTCTGCGCGTCAATTCGCGCGTAAGAATCTCCCTGGGAAACTAGTCGTTGTAAAAGCTGGGGGGCCAACCCAGCTGGCGATAAGGCCTTATATACATGAGTTCTGCAACTCATAAGAGCGCGGCTACATTGGGAACACATGGTAGCCGATAGAGAAGTGACATGAAATAGGAGAATAGATCATGCGGATAAGGGGGCGATAACGGGTGAGGGATGACGCGATAGCGGAAATAGCGCATTGAATACAGCCTGCGTTCTAACTACGGCAAATCACACGCAGATATCGGCTTACGGGTACTCAACCTATCCGGATAGGGGTCCGGGCCGGCCGGATAACCGTCCGTGCCCTGACACTGGCCCAGACACCCCAGATGGCTCCCCGCTGTGCCCAGCATGCACACCTGCACCGGATGCCCTCGGGATCCCCCGCAGGGACACCCGGATGGCTGCAGCTGTCTCCAAGGATGACGTGGCACCCATCATGTGACTCAAGCCACATGTACATAAATGTACCTGAAGTGGGAACTGAAGAAGTAACCTTCTTCTCACCTTTTCCACTTCAGGTAAGTTAGTATAGTTTTCCCTTTCAATAATAATTCACCTTTTCCACTTCAGTATAAGTGGCCAGGGACTGCTGTCCCACATCGGGCCTGCCAGCATGCACGCTCGCTTCGCACCCTGAGAGGGTCCCTCTGCCAGGCACTACATCCGGGCCCCCTCCACCCCAGACGTGTCCCTGACACAATGGCACAGCACTCCACTTGAGTCACTGAGGCCAAGGTCCCTCCTTGATGAGTCTCCAATTCCATTCTGGAATCATCTGAACCCACAGCATCTAACACAAACCATGCTTGGAAACATACTTTTCTCCACCAATGCTCATTGGTCACTCCATTTCACTCTTGGGCCTTGTCACATCATACAGCAACACTCTTGAACAGCTGCACAGTCTGGGACAGGATGTCAGGGCATACACCCTGACCTAGCCCACACCTGCATTCACACCCACACTCACACCTGCACCCGTGCCCACACCCAGCTGTTGCACTTCCCGTGCACACCCTGTGCCAGACACTCCATGCAGCTGGATGGCCTGGACCTTGGGTCTCGGGCCTCATGTGACTTCTGGATATCTCCAGAAGTTTTCGATCTATTGTGGCCACTGTGGGAAGATGAGAAGTTAACTTCCTTCTCATCTCTGACCCACAGTAGGATTGTGCCCTGGATAGGGCTGGTTAGACTTGAGGCTGTGGGCCATAGGGGAGGGTCATGGGGACCCGGGAGTCGTCCCCTGACACAGGACAAGAACTGGAATGCAACAAGGTGCCAAGAGAGTCCCAAGGCCTCATGGTTTTGTGACTTCTGGCTCATGATCTCACGACTCTTGCTTCACTCCACTCCATTCCCACGCTCATTAGGTTCGTGACAACTACTACCCCATTTCCAGATAACTCATCATCAATGTACAAGGGGTCAACTGTGCCAAATCAAAGGCTATAAGAACAGGACAGAAAGCATCCCTGGGAACCCATTTCTGTAACAGTACAAGTCTAGTACACAGAATAATTTTGCTCTAATCGCAGTGACTGGTTGTTATTCATATTTAAGTACAAGTGGTAACACAGGTAAGCATTCATGATGCCCCTGAACATCCAAGAGGAAAATTATTGTGGCAGAGAATACTGTACCCGCACGACCAATTACCGGCTGAGGTTCCGAGTGTGACACAAAATAGTCAACCGGCTTCTCCTTGTGACATGTGACAAGCAACCGGAAGAGGTGGCAAGGTTGGTGTGACACCAGCCACAGTGGCGCTGGAAATGTCCAACTGGCAAATTTTCGTGTTGATACATTTTACACCAAAAAAACTACTTCCTTGCAGACGGCTTTTGTTTTCATTGAATTTAATCCGATTTCACACAGCCACTTGGGCACCAAAAAAAATTGGTGTGACAAGGATCATTCAACCGGAACGTCAGTGTGATGCGTGACCGGTAATTGGTCGTGCGGGTACAGTAATGCACATTGAGTGGTGACTCGTTCCGGACTCATGACCCACCCACAAGACAGCCATTGCCAGTCAGAGTTGGGAACAGTGATACAATATTGTGTGCAACATGGAATGTGTCACCCAGTATCAGCGTATCACAGACATCTGCACGCCATGCTTGAAGGTTGCTATCAATCCACCAAGTTGCAGCTTCTCGTTGCTTCCAGCAGAGATTGAGCATCTAAGGCAAACATCAAATCGCCTCGCATCGGGAAACAATCCACCACTTACTCAGTCACAGCTAACTTATCTAGTAAATAGACTCTTGCGGGGGCCGGCAAGTCAAGCCCTTGGATGTACTCAAAGGAACCTGATATCAAATCTTGCAGGGCCAAACCCCGTTCGATTTTCATCTTCGAAAGGGCTGTTGAGGAATGTGATTACCTCACCGCTCGTTCATCTCGAAATCATCCAACGTACCCATGTAACAGGTTAAGAAATCGTCCGTCAACATGGAATTCACCATAGCAGCAATATCGGAAGGATGTGGTGTCCCAGTGCAGCTGTACACGGCGGCCTCGTCTGTCATTGGATAAGCAGCGTGACACGCCTGAATTCATGAGTGAACTAGTGCCTCAGGGGAAAAGCCACGTGTTATGAGTACCTGCAGCACATTGAGAGCACGCCTCATGTCACCCTTAGAAATCCTCAGCAGCGCTCTCCTGCCGTCCTCCGTAATATTAACCCTGGGGATTCTCAATGGATATTGAAGGCGACCATTTGAGAAGCTCGCACCTTTCGTTTTCAATGACAGAGGACAATCTTAGTTGGACTGCTTCAACGGGGAGTGGGCTGAAACGAAACCGGGTGCAACGTGACTGTATAGCCGGGATAATCTTGTTCACATAATTGCAGATTATGCAAAATCGGACGTTACGTGTGTATTGTTCGATCACTAGATGAGGCGGGTCATCCCCGGGAGCGAATGAGCACTTAGTCGGAATACTTACCTCTTCTCAAGGCTGCTTGAGCTGCCTGTGTCATCATGTCGGCTTCATCAAGTATAATCAATTTTATATCATTTTTGAGCCTCAACAGATGGGTTTCCTGCTCAGTCGGGGATCAATAAGTGGTTTTCAATGATTGCATACCCAGTATATAATCTCCCAGAGTCCGCAAAATCCTTTATCTGGTCACGAACTACGTCAATGCCTCTGTCATCAGAAGCATTTAACTGAAGAGTAATGAATGCAGGGGAGAAATGTGATGAAATCAGGCCCGATACCTCAAGAATCTGTCTTCTAAATTCATCGCCATATAGTTGTCGGGCCATTGCCAGTACCATGGATGTTTTCCCAGTCCCAGGAGGTCCATAAAGCAGTAGATGGGGCAGTCGGTTTCCCTTGATGAACTGCTGTACTTGATGGGACTAGAATCAAGACAGCCAATGAGGAAGATTAATGACTGACTGGTATTGGTTATATCCCCATGGGACACCACATCCTGAAGCGTGTGAGGTCGGTATTTCTCGACCCTGTAGATCGCAACATCAACGCTAAGTAGTGATACGATAGCCAACAGGATCCATCATGCACCATGGGAGACTGTCATTTCCAATCGCTGGCTGTTTTGGAATCGATTCGAACGCTGATGCCCTCGAGTCCATTGTGGCGGCCCAAACTCAATGGATTGCGGATGCAAATGGTGCTTAACGGATAAACCCGAAAGAACTATCTCACATCTTTTCTTACTTGCTCCGTCGACGATTCCACCTCCCCAGTTGGATAGACAGTGAGTTGTAGGAAGGTATGCGCGACAAGATCTTGTGCTTGAGTAACATACTTACATTCCCTACCACAGTGAATATGCAGATTTTCGTGAAAACGTCAGCTGAGTCTCGATGCAGTTGATGTGATGCGCATTAAACATGAATTACAGCCTCACGGGCAAGACGATCACCTTGGAGGTGGAGACATCGGACACCATCGACAATGTTAAGAGTAAAATTCAAGACAAGGAGGGGTGGGCTGTTTTTCCTCCGGCGCCTTTGCGTTGCTCATACCAGTCTTAGAATCCCTCCTGATCAACAGAGGTTGATTTTTGCCGGGAAGCAGTTGGAGGATGGCCGTACTCTCAGTGACTACAACATCCAGAAGGAGTCAACTCTTCATCTTGTCCTCCGTCTTCGTGGAGGTGCTAAGAAGCGCAAGAAGAAGACATACACTGTACGCCGCGCCCGAAAAGACTTTTCCTTAATGAGAACTCATCTAGTTTGTTTGTAGACGCCTAAGAAAATCAAACACAAGCGCAAGAAGGTGAAGTTGGCTATGTGAGTCTAATACTTCTATTATTCAATCCTCAATGCTGACACGTTCAATGTTCAGTCTTAAATACTACAAGATTGACAGCGAAGGCAAAATCAAGCGCCTTCGTAGAGAGTGCCCAAATGCTGAATGTGGAGCAGGCATTTTCGTAAGTGTTTCGGGTTAGTCGCCTTGTGTACGAGCGCGGGAACTTAACCCTTTTGCCAGATGGCTTTCCACCAAGACAGGCAGTCTTGTGGAAAGTGTGGTCTTACGTACATGTTTGCTCCTGGCACCAAACCTCCTGTTGTCTAAGCTCGCCGCGCTGGCGTCGGGAATGGACGTCATTTCCCCCCTTTCGTACATGTGGGAATTAACGTTTCTATAACCGCCATGTTATCATGTTTCGCTATCCGTGCCAGTATATGTGTTGTGATGAGATGCCTAGATGACAGGAATTATCAGCAAGTGAGCAATGGAGGGTGTGTGAACGTGAACACCAGCTACCGATATAATTATCACTTGCATCACTTCGGTCCAGTGTCCCAGGGACAAGGTGGATTTCCCCATACATCTCGTGAATTGTTAAAAATAATAACCCGGATTCTGTTCTCCGGAGTCAGATTACATAAGGCCCTAAGCCACCAGACAAGAATCGTGTTTGCTCTACCACATCGAGGTCTCAAGTTCAGGGAACCTCTGAGTCTTGTTACCGCGCCTCAGCTAGGAAAATGGATTCATGCGTTGCCCGCTCGCCATCGCCTGCTACTAGAATGCGCGCTCTGAGTCTTGCCAGCACCACATCCTCAGCCAGTATTTCTACCAGGGTTTCCGGTTAGCATCTAACACATGGGACATTCCAAGCGTATGATACAAGATGAACTCTTGCTTTAGAAGATGCTACAATCACTGGGTCGTGCATCCTAGACAAAGGAAAACAGCGCAGTCAAGAGTAAGGTCCATGTCGTCATTCCTTTACACACGGGGATGAACAGTCACACGTCCTGCAGAGATCTCCAATTTCTGGTCATTTCGTCGCAGTTAACGGAATTATCGTACCGTATATCTGATCTCCAGACGCGTATATTTGGTGTGTGCTACTGCTTGTTGTTCCAATTAGATCCTCATCCGCTGGCTCAGAGATACAGGAGTTGAGGCATCAAGATTACGGCTCTAACGCAGTCAATGGGGCATCCTCTTCTTCGTCCCTTTCATCTGTTATTGATCAGGCTTTATTGAGACTGGATGAGCGCCTGGAAGTCATCGCACGAGGCATACACTCCGTTAATTCACTCGTGGAGACTCGCAAACTGGGAGACAGTTTCGATGAAGGTCCTTCCAGCGGCGAAGCGGAAACTGTGGATGCTGTGTTACGGCAAAAACAAGCCACTGTCAGTGCCGAGTGGGTTTCAATTCAAGCCGATGTAAGCAATTTGCGTGATGAACTGAAGGAAGACAAGTGGCTTGCTGTATTCCGTAACGCAAGCGATCAAGCTGATGGAATGATGAGCTCTCTTGAAAAAGTCGTAAATCAATGCGATGTGAGTCCCATCTCGTGGCAAATCCATCTTGATTCACTTCGCAAATCTTGACATAGAACTTTGTTCTGATGGTAAATAAACACCGTCAAAATGAAGACAACCATTCCCAGACGTCCTCAGGGCTTTCCACTCTCTCCGACCGATATTCAGCCTTTCTCAATCTGCATAGCGAACTAGACAAAGCTCTCCATGCTAAAAAAAAGTGGGTACATCATTTGATTCGTTGTACTTCACTTGCATGACTATTCAGTGTTAAACGTGGCAACCAGATACTATGTTCCCTCAGTCTCAAAAGTCCTCTCTGTCTTGGATAAAGGTGTTCGCGACCGTGTCACGAAGAATGGGGAATGCCTTCGGCGACACGCTGATATGAGAGAAAAGTGGCGAAGTTTGCGTGATCGAATATCAACCACCGGAGCAGATATGGAGTCCGTAAGGACATACCTCACAGACCAAGATTTCGATCCAAGTGAGGGATCCCTGATGTCGAGTCCATCTCTGGTGCCGAAAGGAACGCCGCTTACACAAAGTAGAGCAGCTTCCTCATCGTCAATCATGAGCAGATCCGTTTCTCCTTTCCGAAAGCTGGCGGCGAGGATCGCACGTTCGGCCCAAAGAGGGCTAGTAACGCCCAGTCGCAACGCCACTGGGCCACCTCTTCCCTCGAGTGAGCCCACTCTACGACATCGGAGCTCCCTTTTCACACTGAAGAAAACTTCGGCCCTGGATTCAAAGCATAAGTACAGTAGCAGCGCACAATTGTCAACCCCCTCTCCGGATTATCGCAATGAAACCATAAAGCAGACGAAACCAAGATGGAATTTCTCTACTCAGCCCAATCGTGGCTCCTCGTCGCTTGATCCCAAACTATCCGATAAATCGAGAATAGCGCTAACTCCCCCGCACCCCACCCGATCAATACACGCTACTCCCAGGAGTCTTTCCAGGCTATCCCAATATACGTCGAGCAAGCCCCCAGTCCCTCCCCGATCGGCCTTCCGGGAAGTCTCACAGACGGTAACGTCACTCCGTCCCCTTTCACGCCAAGCTCAGCCCCGAGCCGAATCTAGGTGTGGTCACCCGCGCCCTATTACCCCAAGCCACATACCTGCACCAAGAGCTGCAACTCATGCCGACCCTTCCACGGGGATATCATCTCCTGTCTCAAGTCTCACCCCATCACCAAATACAACTCCGCAGGAGAAAGATAGAAAGTCACGACGCCCATCTTTACTGCCTGTTCCACGTGGCGGATTACGAGCTTCTTCTCCGGGTTTAGACTGCTCCATTAGCCCAAGCCCTTCCGCTATTAACTCAGTGTCGTATTTTGCCTCCACATCAGAACATCCCGACGGACAATCCAATAGTCTTCAGGCTCCATTGCTTACTTTTGGGAGCAACAGGGCCGTTTCACGTAACAGCCTTCGCTATGGGCCACCATCCAGTTATCGCGATTTGCCGTACTCGATGTCATCTCGACCTTCATCACGTTCAAGCAACGTGAATCGCGTGTTCACACCAGGAGCCGAACCAACTGGACTAGAGAAATATCTCATTGGGAATCCCCGCGATCCTCTGGATGTTGAAGTCGCTCGCGTTGTCAACTCCTTTCCTCACGATTTCTTTGTCGAGCGTGTTGACCCCCATAACCGCACGGTCCCTTCACCCGGAGAAGAGATAAAAGCCCAATATGCTTTTTCGAACTCACTGGGAAGAAAGGTTCTTGCATGCCGCCTGCTGATAATCAATCGCTCAAATCCCAAATCTATTGTGAGCCACGTCGAGACGAGAAAAGTAATGTGCAGAGTAGGAGGAGGTCAGTAAAAAAACTCGACTAAATATCACTGTATATTAAGGACATCCTTGTACAGGATGGCAGGATCTGGATGTTTACCTCCGCACTCATCGATAGGTCATTGTTCTTTCAACGCGAAGCCAATTGCTCGAGATAGACTCAGCATGAAGTGAGAAGATACTATTTACTCGGCTTGCGCATTGGATGCTGGCGAATTTTCCTGCGGCTGCTGACGTAGCATATCACCAGTATCACGATGTTGAGAGTTTCAAACATGTTCCACGAATGCCATCTCCACTCCATCTTGCCGCCTCCACAAGTAATTCGTGCTTCTTAATGGATGCTGTGGAGGATCTCAATTCATATAAGGTTGCTAAAGGGTCATCAGGAACATGGCTGCCAGCTACAACAGCATGCACACCTAGGTTGAATATGAGTGGCTCTGCGACGAGAAATGCGGAGGGAGACGTTTTCAATGCCTGCTCGAGCGTCCGAGTGGCCTGCTTAACATTGAGGTACCTTTAAGAGCTGGATGTATGGTGTCTGCTTACTTCTTCTACCTGACCACTTCCCAGTAATGCCACGGCGAGATTATTGTAGGCCTAGAGGTAATTGCAATGAGCAACCCTGTCAGCATGTCATTGACGTGGAACATCTTGCCATGAGATTTCCGGTATCTTGAGCAATCAGTGCTTGCAGCGTAGTAACGGCATCACCCCATCTGCCTTCGGCGATGGCTCGTAAAGCTGAGCCTAATCCGTTCATGGAAAGGCCACCATTGAGCGATTGTTGTACTGATTCCATATGACCAGATTGGAAATTTGTACGTTCCGCCGCTAAAATGAGAGTTTCGGAGAGCGGAGTGGAGCTCAACAATCCGTTGAGGATTTTTCGAGCACCTTGAAAATCCTACAAGCGCTTGAGATCGAAAGATGAACGACCGACAACTCGACACACCTCCAAATCAAGGAGTTGGCCTGCAATCAATAGATGGATCCGGCAAGCATGATCCTTCCATAGGATTGGATCCCCGAAGACAGTCGGATTTTTGGCCCGCCTTTTGCAGATTCTAATAAGTGACGCAAGCTCGTCAAGATAACCATAGGCATCGTTCATCCATAGTTTCGCTCTCGCACGCAGTAACCAAAGCTCAAAGGGGACAGTCGCATTGATTGGATCGTGACTGTGGTCAGTTATATGAAAGCTGTCCAACATAGCCCAGAGGTTTGTACATTCGGCAGCAGCTTGGTTGAACAGGCGCATTCTTGCAAGTGAGCTCAATCGAAGGCACCAGAGCTATTTTAATTATTCCAGGGAACGAGTTTGTCGCACGGAATGACTCACGTTGAAGATTTCACCTGGAGCAAGCTGTGGAGTTCTAAGCAGTTTTTCGTGTGCTATGGTAGCAAGCGCCCGCCATGAGTTTCCCATCTATGCGAGAACTCATCGTGAGCCAGATCCACAACTTATAAGGCAGGAATTACAATGAGCTCGCTCGGATCATCGGTGTCTAGGGAAACTCGTTGAGGTCTCTGATCTGCGGGGACGTGTCGAACCAATAGAGTGGACAAAGGGTCGGTCTACACAGTTGGCGTAGCTCAACGACTTGCCCTTGCTCCCCGTTGTATAAGAGTTCCAGGACGCACGGAAGGTATCGTAAGGAACAAGGACGCTGACCGCAGGGCAGAAAAAGTGGCTGTCTGATTGTCTTGGGTGTACTGTGGCGAAGCCATGGCGGCGTGTTATGTATAGGGCTGTTCCGGGATAAGTGTACATGTGCAATGCAAACTTCGGGTTGCTCCTGAGAGCGCCAAGCTAGGACAGGGGCCTTCTGAATAAATACACAAAAATTAGTCCGATCTGAGTGTACCCATCCTCCTCTGTCCAAGCTATAGAACCCAAAATCATGGAAGTACGTTGGCTGGAGTCTTTGAATTTAAACCAACCAAGCCGCAAAAGCTGCAGTAGGTAGTTGTTTATTCTGGATATTTATCCTGCAAACTGTGGGCTGCGCCAAGGGCAGGGAAGCTGCAGTAGGTTCACCAAAAATGCGTATTATTATTCCATCGCGGCCTGCGGACCGCATATGCCTAAAGGAGACAATTGAAACGTAGAGTAAGGATGGCACTTGTGTGATAACTGATCGTACAACTCCTCCAACGAAAACACAGTGATCCTGGGGTTGAGTGTATGTAGGCACCCGAACTTTGCCGCGTTCTGGTGGCTAATGAACGCAACGCATCGACTGGATCTCCCCTTAAAATCTGCAGCATCGTGTGAGTCTAATACACAGAATAATGCACTGAGGGTAGACACGCGTTTCGATTTCGGGACAAGGCAACGGAACAAAGACCACCAATGAGGTCTTGAATTGCTACCCTTGTCTATGAAGACGAAAGCCTGATCGATTGCTTTGCAAAACTCATTCCACCCAAGCAACGAGGCGGAAGACCGTACGAAAATTTTCGGCTTGATGCTGACAAATGATCCAGCAACAGACTGGCCTTGTTCCCCAGGTACTGACTTCATCGACGTGGAGCTGGATGAGCTAGGCGCTGTTTGGGAGGTTTGAAGTTGTTCGGCACAGAGAAGATCCTGCGGAGTGGATGCGGCTACCTCGCTTGACTGCTGTTTACCGGATGATAAGATTCCCATCCACTTGTCCATGATTGCCTGCTCCTTACGGGAGTCTGGGACGGTCGGAGCATCACCCCAGTGTTTGTCAACCAACCCAGCTAACGTCGTCTTGGTAGAATCCCTGCCAATGGTTTGCAGCGCGAGGTTGTGAAGTTCAGAAGCGGTGATACCTGAGAAGTGCGACTCAGGGCTGTTCACTGTGAACCTAAATACTTGACATACTTTCCATCCATGGCCTCTCACTCTCCCTCCATACTTTAGATATTCTTGGGAAGCGAATTTCATAGTACTTAAACGCACGATTTAATGACACTGTCGGGGAGGAGGTTTCACAACTCACGCTCTGACCGCGTGCTTTCGTAAACCCAGCGCCGTACACTTCACACAGCACTGGGTGCTCAAATAACACGCTGGGCCTAGTGGCGCTAGTGCCAAGATTCTCAACGGAATACGACGTGATCGCGGAACACTCCAGATGCGTCAGTCTAGCGCCCTCGTTAATCGGAGCGACCTGCACGTACGAAGCCATTATAATCCCTTGCAACAAATTCTGACCGAATCAGGAAATTGAGCTCCTCCAACTCGGCGCGAGATCTGGCCCACGAAACGCTGAAGACTCCGCAGATGTGAGCACGTGCTGCGAGCTAAGTACAGGGACCATGGTGAGCCGCACCTATGGGGAACAAAGGTTTCTATTACATACAGGATGATTGTTTAATTCCCCATCGTCCGCCAGAGTGCCAACCAAGAAGTCCGTGTAGGTGTCGGTGCCGACTTACGGTGGAGCAAAGTGAGCGAGGGAAATCGAGAAATCGAGAAGCGATACCATTCAAATCTCTTGCTCTGTCCTTACTCCATCCCGCACCAAAACACACCAGGTCGACAGAGTCTCCGCAGCCGGGAATGTAGTCCGCTTTGAGCTGCGGCAGTTGAAACTTCGAACAACGGCCTTCAAGTGAAACAACTTACCTTAACCCATGGCCAACGTTCGTCATTGTACTTCGATAACTCCAACTTCAGCACAACACCCTCTGCAACACATCAGTCCTGGCATTGCTGTATCATTTCCCATTACCTTCAAACTTGGACCGGGACTGCGCAAAAGCGGAACAAAGTGTTCGCAACGTCTGGGCTGATGAAACGTCTGGGTCGCCGACCTCTCGCCGTTGTGCGATCATGGCCTTTCCAAATTGACTATGAATAGTCTTCTCCAGAAGGCCGCGGCGGTCACGGTAGATATGATGAAGCAAATCAATACCATTGAAATGCAGGATGTCAAAGAAGATCAGCATCAAGTGACGGATCCCAGAGTTCGAGATATCCGAAACGATAGAGCATTGACTGTCCTGGCTGAGAGCGCGGAATCGAGAATCAGACGTGTCGAAGCCTTGCTCCAAGTCAACCTACGTGGCAGTCGGAGTTGATTTATTTCGCAGGCGCCATCGGTGACCCCGCGAGGACTCCTCGATCAAACTTCGTATTCTCCAAAACTCTACTTTACACTCAGCGTCTGCTTCAGTCGAGAAATGCGATACCTTACCATCGATTGTTTGCGTTTCCTCTGAAAAGGCAACCATTTCCGCATCTAGTATAACGGAGGTTTGAGGGTCTCGACCACATTCATCTGTCAGCCGTATATTAAGGGCCTCCCGAATGATACTAGACCCTTGGCTTCAGATGATCATCAATCTGTGAGAGAGGCACCTAACGCACGAATGGCAAGCGATTCTGTCGAGCGTCGAGTCCCTGCCGCTCTTCGAGAAAATGCGGATTTGGCGACGAAACTCAAGGGATGTATCGACATGGATTTGGACCCTATACCGGAAAGATGGTCGATCAATGCCGGGAATTCAACAAAACCCCTTTTCAAGCTGACCGTTCCCCGTCGTATTTAGTTTCTGCCCAGATGAGACCCCCGTTCCGCAGGAGACCGATTGCCCCTTCACAGGAAGTCCCCTTTACACACTTTGGAACTTTCATGGGTGCGAGTCCGACAGGAACGCGAAAATCACGTTCGGTACATGATGGTTCGAGATCCTCAATCATTGTTGCTGCTAGCACGATAGAAGATGTTCGGCCATAGATCGCAAACATTAAAGGATGCCATACACGCATAGCCGCTTGCAGTGTTAGTCGACTATAGGCCTTGGAGTTATAAGACAAGAGTGCTGATGTGAAGTTTTCTGAGGGCAACGGATAAAGCAGCGGTCGAATATCACGCAAAATTATCTGTGCCAGGCAGGCGGACTCCCATGGTGAGAGAAACATGAACAAGTCTCCCAGGATATGTTTTGTGCCTCTTCTTGTAGGCGGATCAGAAGGTGCAGAAAAGGCCGAAGTTGATGCCAGTTCGTCGAGAAGAGTGTCAATACGCAATAAAGTGGGCGAATTATGATCCATTGTCGGCTGACTCTTGAAGTGAAAGAACATCATCCATAATGCAACGAAGTAAAGCAAAAGTGAACGCACTCGTAACAAAAGGACACGCTGCAATTCCAGCCCTAAACATCCCGCAGCCATATGGCCATAGCTGTTTTCTGACCATTTCAGCAGGCATGCTCCCTCGTTGTGACTGAGATTCATGACTGAGATAAGCATTTGCGCGAGCTTTCTTTCCTGCATATCATATCGTCGACTATGGTCTTCCTCCGGGAAAAGCATCCGAAATATTGCTCGACTTTCACCCCTGCGCAGCGGCACGCACAAACATGCCTTGAATTGACGAAAGACAGAAATGGCATGTGTGCCGCGAAAAGTAGTGTGGCCTCTCCCTGATTGCTGATGTGGCTTAACGGACCCCATCTTCTCGACAAGACTGACAAAGCTGTAGAACAAAGGCTGAGAACAATGTATGCATGAAGATAACTTGGAAGGCGCACTGAGAGAACAGTATGCCTTTGGGCTCCGTCATAATTTATGGTTGGATTATGGGAAATTTAGACGAACAGGACGGGTCTCGCCGAGCGCCCGCCCATATTGAATCCAGCGTTCAGTCACGTTTAGGTTGACGGAGTTGGCCGCAGCCACCAGATCCCCAAGTCTCTGTCAACGGTAATGTCTGCACCTGCCTCACCTCGCCAGCTAGAATCATACACGGCCCCGAAGGAAATACTAGATGAATTTAATCAGAGTACGCCCTCCTCGTCTCTTTTCTTCATTCGGCTCATGACACGCCTCTTAGTCATCGAGGAAGAGGGCTTCGACCCCTTCGCTGAAACCGCCAATAAGCGACAGATTGCCTCACGGCAGAGCGAATATCACAAGAGGCGCTTTGCCATTGATAGAGAAGTTGGCGTGAGCAAGGACGCCTTCGCTCAGGATGCTGATGCCACTGCAGGACACAGTTACGCAGAAGCGATGCGGGTGGCCCGAGTGGAAAAGGAAGAGCAAAGAGTCCGTCGAGCCATTGAAGAGAAGGTTCGCCAGGAGAGGGAGGAAGGGAAAGAGAAAATGGATCTTGACAAAACACCCCCCCGTGAGGATCTCGAAGCAGCTGCTTCACTCGTGAATACTTCCTCCGGCAACGGAAGTCGCAGAAAACGTCGCTGGGATGTTGTGGAGTCCGGATCGATTTCCGTTGCTGAAACGAAGGAGTGGTCCAATGAGGTGTTGGAAGAATCCCTCCCGAAAAAAAGATCACGATGGGATGCTACGCCTGCCCATGTCTTGTCCGCAACGACAGAGGAAACGCCTAAACGTTCGCGCTGGGACCAGACACCTGTTGTCTCTAATCAAGTTTCTAGCATCCTTGCGACTCCCCTTGGCTTAGGTGGAATACCCTCCTTACCCATGGGCGGTGCTTTCCCATCTGCAGATGACAAGCATAATCGCTACCTGACCGACGAAGAATTGGACGCGCTACTCCCATCATCCGGCTATACCATAGTAACCCCACCTGAAGGCTACGCTCTTCAGCATCCATCACGGAAATTGGCGACTGGAACACTTCCTGTGTCAGGGTTCCAAATTCAAGATGACTCCGATGCAGCGGCAACCATTGCCGCTTCTGGCCTGGCTCCGGAGGTACCAACCGAAATCCCCGGCGTTGGTGCCCTGGCTTTTTTCAAGCCAGAAGACAAGCAGTATTTTGAGAAAATCTTGAAGGAAGAGGATGAGTCGGAGCTTTCTGTGGATGAGTTGAAAGAACGCAAGATTATGCGTTTACTGCTGAAGATTAAGAATGGAACGCCTCCGGTGCGTAAAACTGCACTCCGGCAGATCACAGACAAGGCCCGAGAATTTGGAGCAGGTCCACTTTTCGATAAAATTTTGCCGTTACTCATGGAACGGACTTTGGAAGACCAAGAACGCCACCTTCTTGTCAAGGTGATTGATCGTGTGCTTTACAAGCTGGACGATCTAGTTCGACCGTATGTCCATAAAATCCTCGTCGTAATTGAGCCGTTGCTCATTGACGAAGATTATTACGCGCGCGTCGAAGGCCGTGAGATCATTTCCAACCTATCGAAAGCAGCCGGTCTTGCGCATATGATCTCGACCATGCGCCCAGATATCGATCATGTTGACGAGTATGTTCGCAATACCACTGCCAGAGCCTTCTCAGTCGTTGCCTCCGCTCTCGGCATCCCTTCTCTCCTCCCTTTCCTGAAGGCTGTTTGTCGCAGCAAAAAATCATGGCAGGCCCGTCACACTGGCATCCGTATTGTGCAGCAAATCGCTATCATGATGGGATGCGCTGTTCTACCACACCTTAGAAACCTTGTCGATGCGATTGCTCATGGCCTTACCGATGAACAACAGAAGGTTCGCACCATGACAGCCTTGGGCTTAGCAGCTCTGGCTGAAGCCGCTGCCCCTTATGGAATAGAGTCCTTTGATTCCGTTCTACGTCCCCTGTGGATCGGAATTAGGCAGCATCGCGGTAAAGGTCTTGCTGCCTTCCTCAAAGCAATCGGATTCATCATACCGCTTATGGACCCCGAATATGCGAGCTATTATACCAAAGAAGTGACAGTCATTCTGATTCGGGAGTTTCAGAGTTCGGATGAGGAGATGAAGAAGATAGTGCTCAAGGTGGTAAAGCAGTGTGCTGCAACTGAAGGAGTCACTCCTGTATACATTAAAGAGGATATTTTGCCTGAATTCTTTAAGGCTTTTTGGGTCTGTAGCTATTTCTTCTTGGACAATACCTTGTGTAGTGACATCGCATTTGTTACCCTTAGGTTCGACGAATGGCTTTGGATAGGAGGAACTATCGTCAAGTTGTAGAAACCACTGTTGAACTGGCACAAAAAGCCGGAGTTGCCGAGATTGTGGGTCGAATAGTCAATGACCTCAAGGTGGGTAAGAATGCAATTTTTGGGGAGTCCCCACTTATTGTGTCCAACAGGATGAAGCAGAGCCGTACCGAAAGATGGTCATGGAGACGATTACAAAAGTGGTAATGTCTTTGGGCGCATCCGACATAGACGAACGACTGGAGATCCGGCTAGTCGACGGTATCATCTACGCTTTCCAGGAACAAACAACTGAAGACCAGGTGATGCTCGATGGGTTCGGGACGGTTGTAAATGCTCTGGGTATGCGTAAGATTTTACCGAGTTTCCCGTTACCAGTTCTGACCTTTCTTAGGGATACGTGTAAAGCCGTATCTGACTCAAATTGTCACTACGATTCTGTGGCGGCTAAACAACAAAAGTGCGAAAGTGCGACAGCAGGCTGCTGACCTAACTACTCGGCTTGCGGTCGTTATAAAGCAATGCGGAGAGGACCAGCTTCTCAGTCGGGTAGGCCTATTCTGATGATTCACTGTTTCGATAGTAGTTGATATCCAAATAGTTGGGTGTTGTGCTCTTCGAGCAGCTGGGAGAGGAGTATCCCGACACCCTGGGAAGGTATGCACTACATCTAGTTACTATTCTATGAAACTCTAGCCGAAGCTTTGGTCTAGTATTATAGCGGCAGAAGGCGCCATTGCCAATGTCGTGGGCATGACACAAATGCAGCCTCCCGTTAAAGATCTTTGTATGATTCATCCTATGCCTCACCCATTCGTTACACTCACCTCGTCCACGTAGTGCCTCGCATGACACCCATCCTACGGAATCGTCACGAGAAGGTGCAGGAAGCTTCCATCAACCTGATAGGACGCATAGGTTTGTGTCATGACACGTTAGGCTTTACCCCCGCTAACATGACCCCGACAGCTGATCGTGGCGCCGAATACGTACCTGCCAGGGAGTGGATGCGTATTTGTTTCGAGCTCCTTGATCTTCTGAAGGCCCACAAGAAGGGTATACGCCGAGCAGCGGTGAACACATTCGGTTATATTGCAAAAACACTCGGCCCGCAAGATGTCCTTTCGGTCCTACTTACGAATCTTCGTGTACAAGAACGTCAGAGTCGCGTCTGCAGCACAGTAGCTATTGGTGCGTACTCTCCATAGTCCACTGATAAGTACCCGTTATCCATACTGGGGCGATAATTTCACACAGCGATTGTTGCGGAAACATGTGGTCCCTTCACGTGTATCCCTGCAATTCTTAACGAGTACCGAACGGCGGAACTCAACGTTCGTACTGGTTGCTTGAAAGCACTGTCCTTCGTTTTCGAATATGTTGGACCCCAATCCGCTTTCTACTGTGATTCAGTCGTCACGATGCTCGAAGATGCCCTCACCGACCGTGATCTTGTCCATCGGCAGACAGCGAGCACCATTGTAAAGCATCTAGCACTAGGGGTTGCAGGTCTGGGCTGTGAGGACTCGATGACTCATTTGCTTAACTTGGTGTGGCCAAATTGCTTCGAGACATCCCCCCACGTAATTGGAGCAGTCATGGAAGCTATTGAAGCAATGAGGGTCGCACTTGGTCCTGGGGTGTTACTGAGCTATGTCCTCCAAGGTTTATTTCACCCTGCTCGCAAGGTTCGGGAGGTACGTGCTATTCCTTGTTTCACACACGCAATTTGATGGATTCCACCTTAATAGGTTTATTGGAGAGTCTACAATGCTCTGTACCTTGGGGCGGCAGATGCGTTGGTTCCTTTCTATCCTGATTTGGGCGAGTTGAGTGATGACAAGAATGTGTACGATCGATATCCTCTTCAAATGTGGGTTTAGTGGTGTGAAGGGATGAGGGATATTCTTGATGTACGCAAACATGCTGATAAATAAATTCGGCCAACTCCGCTACATTATTAATATTGCCACACGGCCTCGTTATCACGTGGCGGCGCGGCCATCCCGGCTCATGAAGGGGTCATCATTAACATGGTTGGTGTCGGAGGGAACGTGATGAAGACACCGAGGAACGTGATCGCGAGAATCTCACGATAGATTCCCGAGAATGTGTAAGCTACATGAGCAAAGTCCGAATCATGCGCTCGATACGGAGGATGACATAGATGACCTGGACGGTGTGTAGCTCTGCCAATACTCGGCGCTTACCATTCGAACCTTGTTTTTGTTGCGGTTGCTCCAGACGTTTTGGACCGGTTTAATGCCCCCCAAAGGGCGACAAGGGAACCACCCAATCGGCCAGGGACAGCCTCTGTGAGCCATAGAAGTGCCATCGCCGACCCGCATCATGCTGTCAACTCGACTCAATCCATGCCCGCAAGCGACTCTGTCCTAGACGGTCCAGAAGAGGGACTTCCCCCAGACTTCGCAGCAGAGCTGGCGGCAGGGATGGAAGCACTCATGAAGGATTTGGGGAGAACGCCCAATGATGATGGCAGGCTTAGGCATGAAGCTTGGGAGAAGCTTCTGATCGCAGAATTGGAGAGCTATGAAAACGGAAATTCCCTTGAACTAACCGAGGCAGTTTCTGGTACTCCCCCACCAGGCGGATCGAGCCCCGAGCCAGTTTCCAGATCGCCGGATGCGGGTGGTCTGGCTTCCAGAGGACGATTCGCGAAGCCATGGACAAACTCAAGTCAAGCGAAGATAATCTCAAGGTCGATTCGCTCTTCACTGAGGGTTCTTTCTGGCATCTCATTCCCCCCAACTCATGTCATTACTCCAGGCAGACTTGTCGGCACCGTTTGATCCCGCGAAGTTGCTGCAGGAATTCAAGTTTGACGATCTCCTGGGCGAAAGTGGAGACAGTGGACAGGATGTCCAAGATATCCTTGAAGGCATGATGCGGCAACTCATGTCAAAGGATATTTTGTATGAGCCTCTCAAAGATCTGGATGAAAAGGTTGGTCATTACTCTGGTGGTGCATGAGGGCGTCGCTTATTCTTACTCTACTCAGTATCCCATCTATCTCAGAGAAAACAAAGCGAAGATCTCCGCGGAGGAAAATAATCGGTATCTTCTCCAACACACAAAGGTACATGAGCTGGTGGCTGTCTTTGAGCAGCCAGGGTACAAGGATGGGGATTCAGCTTATTCCGCAGAACTGATGAAATTAATGAACGAAGTAGACCTGTTTACAACAAATTGACGGATGGATAAGCTCATACATATCATAGATGCAATCTTACGGTTCTCCCCCAACTGAGTTGATGGGTAACTTACCTCCAGGATTTGTAAGTTGTTATTCTCATGCGTTGTTCTGCTGCCAGGTCTGGCGCTGGTTGACTCATTATACTTACAGAACCTGGGAGAAGATGGAATGCCTCAATTGGACGAAGGCTGTGTGGTGGTATGAAATGTTAAATACACATCTAGGCAAGCTTGTGTCAACTTTACCGTAATTGATATCCCATTCATACACGCGTTATAATAACTGGCGGATCTATTGCCTTCTGGGATTTGACGCTGTTGTACAATTACATTGGATAGTGCCCCAAGTGTGATCATGACTCTCGACGTAAAAAATATGACGTACTATCATTGAAACATGCTTCAATCGGCGTATGCCGAGATATTGGACAGACCAGTCAAGCAAAGACGGCCACCCCCAGCTACCCAGACGAATGCATGCTCTGATTCATGGGCGTAGTTGAAGATTCCGACGAGGATGCTTTTATTACATATGTACGGGCCTCGAAGGGAGATTACGAAACAGGCACGAGAAGGGAAGTGCGCATGCACCAAGCCCAATATTCTTCTCTGAGTCACATAGGTTAGAAGCCGCTGTTATCAGTGCATGCTATCTTTAAAGCATTCCCTAGATTGCTCCAGTACATCTGCAGATAACGCCGCATCACAACTGTCCAAGGATCGGGTATGGACCTCGCCCTTACACGCCCAGCGGTCCATCCCCAGTCCCAAACCATTGAATCCGTCGTCTATTAGTGACAGGTCGTTTTCGTCGGACGAATCCACTTCAGGTCATGTCGACATGACACCAGAGGTCGCCCTCGGCGCAGCTGCAGATGCTCCGAGCCATGGAAGAAGCCTACGCAAGCGGAATATAAAGCAAATCCATCCATATCGGTATGAAAACAGAGTATATGTACAGCAAATGCAAAGGGGAGGGCAAGCAGATGCTATCGTCAAGCTCCGAGATATAAACCCAGATTTATCATGGCTAGAGGATGGAAATTCCCAAGAGAAGCCGTCTCGACTGTTTTTTCTGCGAGATGGTAATTCCAAAGACTGGGAAGGGCACAGGCAATATTCTCCCCCCTCTGATGGTCGCGATTCCAATTCAGCACGACCGCCACCGGGCCCGGCGCCAGAAGGTACTAACAGTAATAATGGTTCGCAGTTGATAAGGGGGAGTATGCCGCCAAAATCAACCAGCTTCCTCGAAGCCGCGGTCTCTAAAAATAAACTATTCTCCCCCGTCTCAGACGCTTCTCCCTCTCCAACCCTTTCCTCGCCCTCTCATCGGGATCTCTCTTCTTCGCACCCGCACTCCGACTCTCAACGAGATATAGACGAGGAATCAGTGTCGCATTCAGAATGTGCTGAGTCTGACTCGGAGATGTTTCTCGATGGGCTTACCAGCGGTCAGCGCAGAGCCCTGAATCGCATGATCCCAAAGTCATTCCAAAGAATGCTCAGATATACCCGCAGAACCTCTCAGTCCCGCCACCGTCGACAAACCGTTTCGGCTTCGCCAACTCAATTCACCGATCACGAAATGCAAGTTGTGGGTCACAATGCGAATCGTGGGGTTGCTGTAATTCGACGACGGATGTTCAATCCGCAAGATAAGCCTGTGTTATTGGCGGATGCCAGTCAGTCCTCTGAAGATTTGAGGAGTGAAAACCTTCGCCTGTCTCAATCCGACAACAGCGTCATTGGACGTCCACCTAGCAAGCATCGACGGGAAACATCCTCATCGTCGCTCTTGCGATTCCCCGAGCCCAAAATTGATTACATGCTTAGCCGAAGTCGGAGAGACTCCCGCATGTCTCTGCGTCGCCCCCGGGTCCGTCGAGAGCGTCCTTCGCATAAAAAGGTGCCTCCTTTTGTCAACACTTCGGGTGCGACTCCATCAGACCGAAAACATCCCGGAGTCTTTCCCGGAGGGCAGGTCCATGAAAGTAAGGGACGCTACGTGTCAAGTTGGAAACATGAACACGCTCCCGATCATATGGAGATTGATCGCAATTTTCAGTTCATTTCACATGCAAGTTCGCCTAGCAAATCAGACAATCGATCTTTAATGAATACGACTCTTTCCCCAGTCACCTCCATCAACGACGCACAAGTTTTGCCTCAACTATCATCGAACCCAGATGCGGCGCAGGCGCAGCAGAATTCAGCAGCGAGATATCATATGGTAGCTAAGAGACATCATCCAAACAAGAGGCGAACGGTGCAACCAATCACTGTTTTGGAAGGTGAGGGTCCGATCGAAGATTCTGGCCGCTTTACCCGATCAATGGCTGGGAAAGGCCTGCATCGTGCTCCTGGGAACCGGCGAGAGTCTGTTGCAGTTACATCTGATGACGAAAGCGTGATACACGGTCCGGCGATGGCCCAGGGCGACATGTCGGATTCTGATGATTTGACTTCTGGATATCAGTCCCTGGATAGCGCGAGAGCTTTTACTTCTTCACCCGAGGGCCAACTATCAAACCTTACGCCTCCCACAGTAGCATGGCATGTACCAAAGCTTCGTCTTGATACTCACAAATCCGAACTCCCGTACCTTCTTGACACTCGACTCGTCCAATTAATTCGCTTTGCTGGCAATCCCCCTTCATCCGCGCCCGATTTCCCTTTGGTTTATAATGTGTTTGGCCAATGGTATAGTCATGGTGGATCCTGCAAAGAATTTGAGGGCCTGGTGCCGAAACTGGTTGATGGCCTTCGAAATTGGTGTGAAGGAAGGACCCCCTGTGACGATGGCTATCGGGTTGCAATAGACCTAATCCTAGGATGTTCACAGGCGGCATCCCATCACTTTTTCATGCTTAAAGGCGACCCGGGAAACCAAGCTCAACTGATCCAAATGCTGGATGACCTTCTCGTCGAAAACTGGGCCCGCACCTGCGCGTGGCGGCAAGAGAACCGAACTCGTGATGAGGCATTGGCCTTCCGTTCCCTTTGGTCATGCTGGTTAGCAGTTGAGATGACCATAAGAATGGCCTGTTGTCAGACTGGTGCAGGCAGATTCGAGTTTATGCGAGTACACAGGCATTTGCGAAATCTGGTCTCTGCTCTCATTGACGTAGGACTCAGCTCGGTCATCGAAATGCTTAGTTCAACGGCCCAGAAACCAATCACCATCAAGAGTACTGTTGTAGAGTTGTGGGTTTGTGTGATTCATATCTCACACGTTGTCAAATGGACGGCGTCTCCCTCAGCCCTGTGGGACCAGGTTGTTTTGATTTTGAAGGACAAATTTCCCCAGGAGTCGATATCGCGAGGAGAAGAAATTTGGAAGGCAGTATTCCTGCTGAGCGCTCTTTCCCAGATGGGAGCCACCGGAAATATCAATAATGAACCGCTCATGAAAGATTCATGGGAGGTTGTTGCGGAAGCTTGTGGCTGGTTAGATACGGAACGCCGGCCCGACGTCGGAGATGATAAACTCGTTGATAAAAAGTCGCGATATCTTTTCAGGCGATGTGTGGTGCTTGCATCACAATGGGGTTGGGACCTCCGCTTATCGTCACCCACCCTGGGCATGTTGCGCAAAATATTCCTCCTCCGAAATTATGCGAACCTTCATAACGAAGAGCCCAATTTTCCGCTGTTCATTACCGATTGGGTGTTCTTGCCGCAGGAAATTAGTTATGACAGGGACGACAAATCTTTTGACATCTATTTGCGCCTAATTATTTGGACGGCTCTCGCCATACATCGAGCTCTGCCGCAAGAAATTGCAAACAAACAGATTCGAAAGTTGATTAGCAGCTTTCCAAGGGGTACGGTTCAGTTCATCAACCCCAGTGCACCCACAAACTACGAACTATCCCAATTATACAACCGCCTCACATCCACTATTGTCGCGTTCCTCCTTGAACCCACACCTTATACACTCAAGTCCCGCATCCGGCAAGCACGCCAATTCACCGATTTCCAGGCGGGTGACATCCAGTCCCGACACGCACTCATTCGTGCTATGATGTATTTCACCGTGGCATCGGTGAAGCAAGGCATGGGATGTTCCGAAGGACTGGAATGGTTTTCCTCGATCACTTGTTGCTTAATAACTGAATTTAGAGCATTGCGAGATCGATGCCAGATTGAGACTATGGATATAGCCCTGCAGAAGGCTCAGTTACAGAACAGCAATCTTCTTCGCATGGCATTCCGCGCGATGGTAACTGTTCTTGAGCATTCACAATCAACTAACAATCATGAGGCTGCAATCCCTTATCCAGATCCAGAATTTTTAAGGATCAGTATGTCAATTGATAGTTCTACCATGTCGGAGACTCGCTCATCTTGCTTTGTCAGAGTGTCTCGTCGACGCTTTGCGATGTGTGTGGGAGAGTCATGATGCTACGACCGAATTTGGTCCAGATGTGGGGCACTATATCTGGTCTTTCCTCCAGGCCCGCGCAGGCGCGATTCCGTCACTTCCACGTCTGGTTTCCGCATCTCCAGATGGAAGTCAGGATGAGTTATTTGACTCCTTGGACACTGAGCTTTTAGAAAACGAGGAGTTCAATGCAGCAATCAACGGTGATGAATCAATCCCGACTCCTTATACCAATCTGGAATCCCAAGTTGCGAAGGTACTCCCCCTCCCACGAGTCTCTAATATCGCACTGATTTTTGATGGCGGGAAGATCATACAGGAAGATCTAGCTCAGAACATACATCTTATTCTCAAGCACGCAACAGCTGAAATAAATGTCATTGGGCTCTTCGATATATGGGCAGATTGTTGGGTTGGATTTGCTGCTATATTGATAAAGAATGGGCTACGGGTGAGCCATTTTCGTGCTAATGTCAGCTCTTCCAGCGAGATTCGTTGATATCATCATCGCAGAAATGGCATGACTATATTCCTCAGTATGCGCCGGACTCATGGCGACGATTTTCCGACCCCGTTGTCAGTCGTTATGCTGGGATGCGGTTTCTTATCGAAACCTTGGAGTTGAGCCCAAAAATATACGAGGTATAGGCTTCCTTTGGATGTGAAATTGCTGCCTAATTCTTCCCAGTCTTTCAAAGAGGAATTCCTTGAAGTTTGGTTTGAATGCTTGCCCTGTTGCCGCATCACAATACAACCTCGCTTCACTGCCAGCCTGTTCAGCATTGCTGGACATCGACATTTCTTATTAGAGGGCGTCAACAATCAGCATGAGAACATTGCTAAGATGCCTGCATCGGATTTTGCAGCACGACGATCTCACTGGATATTCAGTAAGCCCTCGAGATCTGCCTTAGCCAGTCCCACTGACGGACATGAATAACAAGCCATCATACAAAGCTTGCGGAGAAGACAGGAAACAGAAGACACTCCCGCAATCATTGTTTGCAATGAAACAGCTCGAGCTCACCTGCGGTGTATGGTCGGAGTGATGCGCGAAGAGTATAAGGTGCGCACGTTCAAATATAGCACACACTTTCCTGATATGAACTTCATCAGAACAATATACTGGATACATCGACGGAGGCAGTTTTATATGGACGTTTTTGCCTTACTGTGGCACAGCACTTAAAGGACTCAAAAGTTCTAAAACATGATACGGAAAAGGATCTGTTATGGATATCGGACATCAAGAAATGTGCTGATTAGTGACGGCGACCTTGCAGTATCGACCCTTAGGACGCACCAAAGAGTGACAAAGGAATGTCACCCCTCCACTCTGCAATCGTGCGATGGCAAATTCAGTATCTCCCATATTGCGCCGGCATCGTGGAGTCCGGCGCTTGGCCGCGCACACGCTCTCCTCCTACATGACCTGCATTACCAACGAATCGAGGGCACCAGGCCTGGCATTCGTGGCGGAGACGGAGGATGGATGGAAGCTGACTGGTTGCAGCGGCATGCAATAGCCAATGTCAAGCTCTTCAAGCAAAGCCTTCATTCGGCGCATGAACTTCGTTCGGCGATCCCAACGAGCCCCCCAGTTTTGCCAGTTGGCGCGATCTAACAGAAAAATATCAGACACATGCCGTCTGAATCGGAAATATGAGCTGGGGACAGTGAACTTGCGTTCTATAGCTATGATTAGTGTGATCTCATTTTGGAACTCCATCTGTATATTTAAGAAACTGAGTGACCAGAGTACAAGACTTCAAGATAACCCACTTTGTCAATGTAAACTTCGCACCCACCCCACTCCCGTGAATTTTCCGCCATGTATGTGCGCAAGCCTAGCTTAAATGTCTCGAGTTGTTGAAGTGGTGTGTCATACGCAACCATCAAGTTGGTTGTCTCCCACATCGACCCTGAACGGCGCACATTATGGAGAATTTTGCTGCTGGCAAGCAGGGAATTGGGAGCGATTATCTCTTGCCCGTCCACCCGAGTGAAGACGGTCGAAAAAAGTCCAAATTCTTTTACGAACAATACCTGAGGGTGGTTAAATCGATAAAAGAATTGGACGCCTGTGAGTGCAGACATACTTGATCATCGATGATGACGAGGTCGCCAACATCGAAGGGATGAGTACTGAAGATGAATATGAGCTATACCTGAACATCAGATATGTAATCAGGTCCTTTTGCACTGCCCGAACTCGCCGATTCAAAGAGCGTTTGGGCAGAGTGACCAAATACGAAACTGTAATGAGAAGAAAAAATAGGTGCACTGCAGCAATGTCATGAAACAACGCGGGAGACCAACCTGAACCCAAGCACCAGCGTCGCGAGAGGTACGAGCGACTGCACAGTATCGTTAGGGTTGAGAATAAGCAGGCAAATGAAAAACAAGATCAGAAGGGTAACAACAACAAGCACGCCATCAAGTTTCGCAACAGCGCTAGCCGGTTGGTGTTCATCAGGAAAGAAGTGGATACGATGATTGTTCCAGCATACCTGCTTATGTCTTTTAGGCTGGCGGTAAGCGCTTTCCTTTCACGATAAATACTCTGGACAGCTTCTCTCATTTCTTTCTTTGAGACTAGGCGGAGTGTTAGCCCGTAGATGAGGGAAGAAATGCGGTCTTACTATCTCCGTTGTCGTCTTTGTCGAAGAGATGAAATGCACTTGTTGCTTCTTCCTTGCTTTTGAAGTACGGATAAAAATCTTGCAGCGAAACGACGTCAGCCACGACGAGGAAATGCATTATTTCAAAGACCGGATTTAACCATACCTTCTACAACAAGATACGATCGCGGCGACGTTGAAGAAAGGTTAGCGAAAAGCTGCTTTGCGAGTTGCCGTGCTGAATATAAGGAGCCTGTAATGGGTGACACCAATGTAGCAGAGCAGTCTCACTGAGTGTTTCCATCGAGCACAATAAACTAACCGATTTCGCCAGCGCGGTTGAACTTTGAATTTTTCAGTGCAACCTGCCCTATAGCCACTCCTAATTGTTCCATCACTGCAGCGGTTATCTTTTTCTTTTTCCTCTTCGATCGACCCCCCCGATCATTTTTCCTCCCCTTGCTCCCTATCTTCTCGGTAATCACAGGTTCGTCATACGAATTCCTGCGCGATCTTTCGATCGGTGAATTCGCCTTAGAATGTTCAACAGTTGATTCACCCGATGTATTATGGTATGGATTCTGAGTCTGGCCTGGACCTATAGTATTAAGAATATCCATTGAACTGCCACGCGAATCAAGGTGTTTGTGGGGTTTGACCGACTGCTGTTCCCGTCGTTTGCGAGGTTTGGAGGCGGCGGGCGCCACGGAGAGTTTATCCAGTGCACGAAGAGCGAGGTGGTTCTACAACAAACAAGAGCCTGGGAATGTTGAATGTGCCGCCAAGTAGCAATCAAATTACCTCAGCGAGGCGATCCTTAAGAATCATTGAGTAAAATATATATATTATTAGTGGCGCAGGCATGCTTACAGCAAGAGCTTTCTGGTGGAAACGAATAGCGATGAATTGTAACAGTACTTTCTCGGCCAGAAGGAGGATGCCTGCAGCAAAAAGAGCCTGCCCCAGGAATATGGTGACCACGACGTTGAAATCTCGGAAGCATATTGTAGAAAAACATAGCGCACGCTACAAGTTCTGTTCACCCACAACCAATAATGTCCCGGAGGCTGGACTTGTGAGCGAATCAGGCCCAATGCGATCCAAAGCCAGCTTATGTCGAGGGCAAGTTTAAGCCAGAATGAAACCGCCATAAAGAGCTCGAGATAGGTCTTGATGTGCTCGGGCGGCTTTCCCCATATTGTCAGTATCAGCCCTAGGATGAGGCGTGGTGACGCATTGACGACGAGAGAAGTGAGAGCACCAGCAGCCCATGTGACGGAAAACCAAATGCTCCAAGTTGTGACTTGCTTATACACGACCGAATGAGGGAAGCGAAGAAGAAAAACAAGATAAGGAGTAATGAAAATGGCTGAGCCTAATATTCCGACTGATACGCGTCGATTTGTGAGCCAAGATTTGGATCATTGACAGAGAACTCGTCAGTCTGTAACAACCATTGTCAGGACGGGTGCTGCAACTCACAGAGGGTGATACGGAGGCCCGAAGAGAGCTTGAGAAAGAGCAACCAAAGTCGGCGCAGACGGGTGGCCTTCTTGGTGAGGTCTACAACGCGCTCTTCGATATCCGCCTCCCAGTCGAACTCATCGGACGAATGAGTCTCGGACGAGTCAGACTCTTAAAAGGACGGCGAGGTAAGTGCAGGGAAATGAGAAAGTGGACGCCAGTTTACCAATGTGGTGGAGGTGAGCTGGATCTGTCGTGGCAGACTTGTGCTGCATTAATGGAAGGTTGTGAGTGATTCAAAACAAAGGCAACAATTCAAACTTCTGAATACAATATGTATCAATCACACGCTCACGCTGCACTTTGCTGAGCATGACACGGTACCTCTTTGATGGAATTATCACAACTTTTTGGCACAATCTTTTCACCAGCGATAAAAACAGAGAACATGCACATATCGTACTTCAAGTCCATTCAGCTACAAACAAACCAAACCTTCTACATCGCGAGATCGTATTATACATAGAAAACTAAGCAATAGCTAAATGGATGACCGTAGGTGATATTAAGCACAAAGCGTTCAGGACATTGGATTACTCAGGGCGCTCCGACAGATTCATCAGAAGCGTCGCCAAACAGCGTTTCGTGACCATATCACCCTTTTCACAACATATCAGCATCACTTCAGCATTACCAAGTTAATGCTATCAAACCTTCAGCAGCGTTGAGAAAGTGGAGTCTCTAAGAGGTTCAGGAAGACAAGCACGAAGTGCCTCGCGGGCCCTATGTAAATGAGTGTCGATGCGCCAATCACGGACGGCAAATCCATACCTTAGATTGTCGCTCAGCCTCAAATAGCAACGAACGACATGTTTCAACAGTCTAACGGCGGGTTGTTCAACCAGTTGACTGACCATATTGCTAAGGACGGTTCCAACCGCGTAGAAGCGTTCGTATGTGTGGCAAATGTACGTAAGTCCTGTCTCATCAAGGAGGATCTTTTGGACGATAAAAATCGCTACGGTTTTCGACAATTCGGATCCTGTCTCCATAATCCGAAGACAGAGAGGAATGATCTCAGTTGAGAGTAGGAAGTGGATAACTGAGGAGTTCTCATTTTGCTTTTGAAACATGCAGTCAGAAACACGAGAACGGAGATATTTCATAGCCAGCACCTTCACTAAGGCGCCGATGACACCCAAAGATGTGAGACGCAAATATTCAAAGGGCCGTGTTTTTGAGGTAGTGTTAAGGAATGGATACAGAAACAGTGGAATATGGGCTGTAAAATGAGATGAGCAAGTTGACAAGATCCAAATTGATGACAAACCATTCAAGAACAACTGACGGGTGTCAGAATGGGAGGCAACGCATTGCAGTAGAGCGAGAGCGTTGCAAACACGGTTAGAGGCATGCGCAGTGAGGGAAGGAGGGAACAAAAGAGGATAAACCGAAACGATTTCTTGCAGTAATGCGGCCATGATGCCTCCGACCTCGAAAGTCAGCTTGAACTTCTTCGTTAGGGAGATGAGAGAGAGGACACACCAAAAGAGTTCCACAGCACTAGAGCTAGATCCTCATACTGCTCGCGTTTCTTCGACAGCTCCAAGAGAGACGACTCCCTAGTTATTGGATCTATGAGCTCAAGAATGAGCGTATGAATCTTGGGATCATTTGCTGCAAGAAGTTGCTGAGGGACAATCTGCTGTGGAGTTTGCATCTGCGATGACGGAACCAGTGGTCCAGGTTGTGTATGCTGAATACTATAAGCTGCAGGCGTAACACTCATCATCACTGAGCGTGGTGCCTACCGCTTTTTCCGCGGTGCAAAGGTTGATGATCACGTGGACACTGGGTGTAAAATATTACATAATATTGGTCAGCTTGACTCTGGCCAGTTCTGAATTTACATTGTTACAAAAACAAGGGAACAACCGAAAATAAAGAAACCTAGAAAAACTAGAGTAAGCACTCGGGATCCAACCCACCGAGAGTAACCGGAGGTCACAACACCCCTCCTCCGAAACGCTTACCGGAAGTAAGGGACTCCGAGAGAAAACTACGTCAAAAATCGCTTTCAGGCTAAAAGAAATGAGACTAAAAAAAGAAACAAGGTAAACGTCTTTAGCAGAGGATGAGGTATAAGAGGGCCAGAGCCCAGAAGCATAGGCGGACGAATAAACACATACGGAATTCGTCCGAAGAAATCGACCCAGGTATGCAGCGGCAATAAAACCTGAATCGGCATGACTGTAGCCTCGGAAGACACAGTATGCGTAAGGCCGACAGCGGGTACGGCGCATAAGATGAAGGCATCACCGGGTAATGTGCCAAGCGCGAAAAAAGACACAGAGAGAGCGCTTAGTCCAACCGCACACAAGTCTAATTTATATTTAACCTCGTACCTCCATTAAATAACAAAAAGTGGGTTCTTAGGTGAATGATCGCACAGTACACATGCCCAGATGATGTCGTTCATAAGCGCACCATAATGTTGAGGCGTTTGAGGTATACGCCCATGCAAGACTCACAGTGATGCAGGGAAACGAGCGGGATGTAAGTTGTCACATCATTAATGAAGGGGACCGGGCCAGGGGTGGCTCTGTCGCTGAGAAAACACAGGCACAAGTACTTGCGATGTCAGTAATTTACACACGTCTGGAGAATATCATGGTTGTATATATGCATCTTAACAGTGCTGCACAGTCAGTCTATCTTGGACTTGCCACGGCTGGGGACGCTCCATCTTCTGACTGCATAGTTCGCCCTCAGAATTAGCAAATCTCTCAACATGCCGAGGCTGTCTGTGACGAGATTGATCTTGCTACCTGGGACTTCGTGCCATCCCACGGGCACCTCAACGACAGGAATGTTGAGGATGTCGGCCATCAATAGAATTTCAACGTCGAAGATCCAGTGAGAGATGTGCATGGTTGGGAACAGAGCCCTGGCAGTATTCCGGGCGAACAACTAGAAAGGCCCCCATTCAGATGGCGATCGAAACTACGTTGACTTCCTACCTTAAAGCCGCATTGTGTGTCGCGGACGTGACCCACGCCCAGGGTTCGGAGGATAAAATGCAATGCATGCATGAGGAGATTTCGGACAACAGATCTCTTCACAACCGCGTCGGTACCAACAAGATGTGCCGGCTACCAACACTGATTGCATGGCCATTCTTCTCAACGAGGTCCATTTCATCCCACAACTTTTCTACGTCCGAAAAGTTGGACGCACCATCAGCATCCACCATAAGGATACGACGCCCTCTCGCGTGCAAAACCCCATGCTTCACCGCGGCGCCCTTGCCCCTGTTTTTGAATAATTTTACCACTCTGATCTCAAATTTCGTTGGGTCACTTTTGGCATGCGGTTGAAGGGCAGTTTCTTCAGTATTGTCGGTTGAGCCGTCATTGACGATTATAATTTCGAAGGAGCGTGAAGGAGCGACTGGAGAAGTGAGATGCGCGAGAGAGTGGGCCAGCATGAATGGTAGGCGGATCTCTTCGTTGTATGCTGGAATGATAACTGAGAGGTCGAGAGTAGGGTCATCATCCAAGGAGGGAAGCGGAAGAGGCTCATTTGCTAGGGAGGAGGTGCGGTAGAAGTTTTCGCTCGGCAGATAGGTTATAGGTCGTGGTGAAAGGACAACAAGGAGAATGTGTATGATGCTATACAGCTTGCAAAAAAAACAGTCAGTTTCGGGGACTCTGGGGAAAGAGTTTGAGGGTAATTTTCAGGAACTAAGAGCACGATGCTCAAGCCCAACAATGAATCGTCCTCGCCAGAGCGTCAGACTGACCCCCAGCTCGTAGAACAAGGATGAACAGGGCATCATCATAAGAAAGTCTAGCAGAAATGAAGAATGCTCACCAACAGAGCAGCCACCAGCATCCCCAAAAGTGCATCTATCCATGTCATCGCGCTTTGACTGTGGCTGGCTTACCAGAGTTGCCACGACGCGCTAGACTGAAATAGCATATTGATTGATCGCGAATGAATGGGCTGCCTTGCGTGTCATTGCTTCCGTGGACCCTGTTGTCCGGGAAAATTGCCATTTGGGGGTAAAGCCCGGAATCCTCACTGAAAACTCCGGGTTAGACATCTAGATCTGCGATCGAAAACTGGTCTGAAAATTCGGAAAATGGTTCGAGGGCTCACCATCAAAGGAGAGCTGTTGTGCCAGATGAGCATCTCGTCGTAAGACAAGATATGTAAAAAAAAAGAATCCAAGATGAATGTTTTTCGTATAGAACAATGTTGAATTTGAAGTGGTTTGAACTCAATAATTACATTACCGGACAGCCATTGGGCAGGGGAACCTCACAAACATGCGAAATGTTCAGCGGCAATTCCCATCCGAAAGGTGGCACTGCCACCTGGCTGTAAATCGGGAACTGTCTCAGGCAATAGGCCTGCTGTGTCTCTCCTAGTGAAGGTACTCAAATGTCTGGGCTTGACGAGGCTCCCCTGAAGATCCAAGAACAAGAGGTCAACGAAATCACCAATGACACTACGCATGATGGAAACAACAGGGACGCGATGGCAAATGATGTTTCTTCCTCCAAGTTTCCCAATCGGTCCCAACATGTGATGGATCTTTGTGACAATGAAGAAGAGATTGAGGATCCCGATGCAGTCAACTTTATAAACTCGAACGCAGCATTTCGCGGTCCAATGGACCACCCGTCCTCACGAGGGTGGTCCGAGTCGTCTTCTTCCAAGGCGCCTCGAAGACGTCGCTCTAGCTGGCTGGGGAGCGTGGATGTAGAGGGCTTCTTTCGTCGATGGGTCGAAGAGCCCCTTGGATTGAGTTCAGCTGCCGAGGAACCACTGCCGGACACTCAGATCCCTGGGGCGAGCGAGAGTCATAGGAAGCCAGGCAGCACCTTAACCAATCCCAAGGGGAGTAGCTCCCATTCAGAGGCTCCGGGATCCTCCAAACTGCCCAGCAGATCTGTCACCTGGGAGTTCGCGACGCGCAGGCTCAGACCGCGTAAGGATGGCTCAGGCTCTCCCCTCCCGGGCACAATTTCCAACGGGGCTATCACAAGTGATGCTTCTGGGGATAAAGACGGTACAACCGCAGCAGATGGGTCACCGCGATTGGGAGAAAATACCGGGACGCCACCACGCTCCACCACCGCCCGGCTCGCCTCACGTCGTTGGGCCTTGATCAAAAATCGCTTCATCCCGGGCCAGTCCAATGCTGCTAGTGTAAGTGCCGCTTCTGCTGGTCCTCAGAGCATAAACATATCGGACGAGTTGCTCGCGGGTGGGCTCGCAACGCTTATATTGAGGATGCACTTTGAGAGAGACGAGCATGACCACAGAAGAATACCTGTTCTATTGCACCATCTGAAAATTCGAGTAAGCGACAGTGTACACCCCATTTCAGGGACACATACTGTCTTTCGCATTGAGGTACGAGGCGGCATATTGAATAAGTATTCGCCCCTCTAAAGTTTTTTGCCTTGTCCAAGTGTCAGTACGCAAATGGGGCTGCCAGATGGGTGATATATCGTGGGCTGCGTGACTTTGTTACTCTTCACACCCACTACCGTGTGGCGAAAGTGTATGGCCGTGCCGGCGTTGGCCTTCCGGAATTTCCTTTGACAAGTGCGTTCCCTATCTACCTGCCTTCAACTGGGTCATAAGAAAAAGATTATGCTACTTCATCAAGGCTTGCCATATTTCAAATTCCTCAAATCCCAAAATCCCAACGCCTCTCATGCCGAACGCCGAGCTTCATTTGCCCGTCTTCAGCGCATGCATCTTGAGAACTATCTTCTCGCACTGATCAAAGCTGTCATGTTTCGCCCCGAAGCAAATCGGCTCGCTCGTTTCTTCGAGATATCCGCTCTTAACATTGCTCTTGCAAATTCAGGTGGCGTCCAGGGCAAAGCGGGTCTGTTAAGGGTGACCAGCGGCGAAACGAGCCGCAGAAGTGCAAATCGCAGATTTTCCTGGATCGGATCAGGCGAAGCGGCCAAGCCGAGATGGTGGAATGTCAGGGAGAGCTATCTGGTAGTTGTTGAGGACCCAGGAGAGGTCAGAAGCACCTATTGACATCTTTACTTCATCGGACAGTTCACCTCCTTTATTCCACTAGACTACGATATGGGACGTTTTCTTCCTGGATTCTCAATTCTCAATTGAGCGTCCAAAGCGGTATTACCGCGTGTTCGATCCTCGCACGCACGACGAAGATGATTATGTCTCCCACAGCAGTTCGGAAGATGAGGAGATGGCGGCTCATGCTAGGGAACAGCTTCCCGACCCCAACTCGATGGCCATTTCACCAAGTTCTTCTGGCGTGACTTTCAAACGCATCTCAAAGTTCTTGCGTATATCAAAGGAAGACAAGGGGAAAAGTTCTTCTGAATGGCGCATTGCAAAAAAGCGAACCCCCCAGGCCTCCGAAGTCCCGCCGAATGGCGCGGCTGAACAGCCCATGAGGCTGCGGCAAAAGGGGCACAAGTCACAAGCGGAAGACGCATCCCCGGCGATGGCCGATCTACATAGGTTTGGTATCAGAAAGGGGAAGAGGATGGATGTTAGCCAGCATACCTTCTATATCCAGAATTCGCAACGGAGACTGAGACTTGTCGCGAAAAACGAGGTCAGCGTCACATGTGTTTGTTTACACCCGATACATGCTGAGTGTTTGTTGTGTGAATCGATAGCGACAACTTCATCAGTGGATAACGTCCTTGGAGCGCATGGCCGAAAAAACACATTGGACGAAAACTAACCGGTTCGACAGTTTTGCACCGATACGGCTGAATGTGGCTGCACAGTGGTTGGTCGATGGAGTATGTCATCCAGGCTCCTTCATATTCTAACGATTGACTGTTCCAACCTTAGAGGGACTATTTTTGGAATGTCAGCCGCGCGATAAATCTTGCGAAGGAGAAGATTTATATACACGATTGGTGGCTTTCACCTGGCAAGCCCTGTGGAATTTGCCCTTGACACACGGCCTGACCGTTTTTTCTAGAACTGCAATTACGTCGACCGAATAAACACCACTATCGTATCGACCGTCTGCTGAAACGGAAGGCCGAGCAGGGTGTAAAAATTTTTGTCATCATCTAGTGAGCTCACCGTATTCAGTACATCACACCAACTGAATTTATTGGCAGCAAGGAGTTCTCGAGCAGGACGACGCCAACAGATAGCAAGTGAGTGCGTTGCGTGGAACCAGTCCCTGGCTGAGTCGCGTCCCCGTAGCTACACAAAGCAACGTCTTCAAAGCCTTCACCCAAATATAATGGTTCAGCGCTCGCCCTCTCACTTTGCCACCGGCACATTTTACTGGGCGCATCATGAGAAACTTTGTATCATTGATGAAGCGATCGCCTTCACAGGCGGACTTGATATGTGTTTCGGGAGGTGGGATACTCCTCAACATGCCCTCGTTGACGATCCACAGGATATGAGCCAAAGGATTTGGCCAGGTATGTTCTTCGAATTCCGTAAGAAGGAGAAATCAGTCACACCATGGGCAGGGAAGGATTATGCTAATGAGCGAGTTGTCGAGTTTCATACTTTAACGAAGCCATACGACGATATGTTTGACCGTTCAAAGGTGCCTCGAATGCCCTGGTAGGTCTGTTACCCAAACTTCGCGTAGCGTTCCAAAAGCCTATGTTACCAGGCATGATGTCGGTGTCCAAATCCTCGGTCCTCCTGCTCGAGATTTATGCCGACACTTCGTTCAAAGGTAACGTTCATTCTCTACCGCTTTGTTCTACTGATTCCCAAACATCAAGGCCCAGATGGAACCACCTCCTCCGCATCAAAGCTCATACTCGCTTGATGCCATTTTTGCTCCCACCGGCAGAGTTCAGGCCTCAGGCGTTGGATGACCTTGGTCTGACTGGAACTTGTGAGGTTCAGATTTGCCGGTCCGCCGGCAATTGGTCAATGGGGTTCCAACATCATGTGGAGCATTCTATTCAAAATGCCTATCTCAAGGGTGGGTGATACATTATCTCACGTGTGGTCCAAATTAAGTGGTATCAAAGCTATCCAAATGTCAGAACATTTCGTTTACATTGAAAATCAGTTTTTCATCACCAGGTTCGGGTGCTCCCTCTTTTGCGCCCCTAGCCTCAAACTCATTCTGGAAATACAGCACCGTTGTCAACGATGTGAAAGTCGAAAACCAGATTGGAGATGCCCTGGTCAGTCGCATAATCAAAGCCCATCAAGAGCGAACTCCATGGAGGGCTTGTATCCTTATCCCCCTTCTACCGGGTTTTGCTTTCCCAATTGACCACAGCGATGCTAGTGCGGTGCGTAGTTCCATCGAGTTTATCCATGGAAAAAGTAAGGATTCATGTTCTCCAGGTCCGCCTGATTCTTGAGTGCCAAAATCGGACAATTTCGCGAGGTCCCGATTCAATCTTCGCAAGGCTACGCAAAGAAGGTATTGATGTGAGTGCTTTTCCTAGCCAGTAAGCAGCAGTGACTGACGCGTCGCGTAGCCAAATGATTACATTACGTTCTTTTCGTTGAGGACGTGGGGGAAATTGCGGGGGGAGATTCTCACTACAGAACAGGTAACCAGTTGTAGTCATGCTAACCGACGCTATGCTGATTACTGTACTTAGTTGTATATCCATGCCAAGGGAGATCCATTTTGAACCCGGGTAGTTCTGAACCTGACTGCTCTACTTCATTGCAGATGATGATTGTGGATGATCGATTGGCCATCATCGGGTCCGCAAATATCAATGAGCGCTCTCAAAGGGGTGACCGTGATTCGGAGCTTGTTGCTGTAATTCGCGATACCGATATGATAGACTCGTGAGTCATTTCTGTACTGCATCAGCACAACGCCTTACGCCATCATACAGAATGATGGGTGGGAGGCCGTTTACAGTTGGCCGATTCGCACACACATTGCGCATTCGACTCATGCGTGAACATGTTGGTGTGGATGTGGATGCTCTGTACGGCGAGGATCCAATGGCGAACAGTCCTTCACATCCGCCCGAGGAAGTCCCAGGAGCTCGTCAAAACCGTCTTGGAGTTAGGTCAAAGGAAGACCTCCTTAGAGAAGGTGAAGGCTCACCGAATAAAAATCAGATGTGCTACAAGGACTGAACCTTTGTTCTAGCCCTTTGCGGGGCAGACGATGACGCCAAGGTGAGAGTCCAGGAAGCAAGGTTGAGGTTATCCTAATCTAGCCCCCAAATCGTCAATACTACCAAGAACCACCATTCAACTCATCGAAATGGAAGGAATGATGAGAATTTTCCAGATTCCGGATCCCTGCCGACGGAGGAGCAGGTAGTGACGGAAAATCGGCTGCTTGCTGATGAATCACAACAAGCTGCTAGGCAAGAAGTAGGAGATTCCCCTGAAGATGTCATGGAGAACGGTCAGGTTGAAATCGAGCAGGTCCGCGCCCAAGCCAACGGCATCCCAGCGGAAGCGGAGACATTGGATACAGATCAGCCCCCTCGTGCCCATGACATCCATGCAGATTCGGACCCACACCAAGGAGAGACGATTTCTGTGCGAAAGCCCCCGACCATTCGAGTAGGCAGAAGTCCCTGGACTTTGCCAAATTCCAAACCGAAAATCGACCCCCATGGCTTCAAAGATCCTTTGATTGACTCGTTTTATAAAGACGTCTGGATAGCTACCGCAGCCCATAATGTAAGCCAGTCAGGAACACCTTTCATTTTCTTTGCCTAACGACCCGCTTAAGACGGAGATATTCCGCAAAGTTTTCCATTGCACACCAGACGACTCAGTGACGACGTGGAAACAATACAAGGACTTCCATCAGCACCACGATCGAATAACCAAACCAGTTATGAAAGATTCCGCTTCTATTCCAGCTCGCTCAGAAGCCCCTAGCCGTCCAGAAGATGAAAAGCACAAACACCTGGAAGCTCCTTCAGCTGAGAGACCAATATCACCTCTAGCCATGGATTCTGATGCCAAAGAGGATCCGTCGCAACTGGCTCAATCACGACCTATACGGCCCAGCTTGAGTTCTCGAAGCGCCACTCCGGCCGACGATGACCCACACACACCTTCATCAGAGTCAAGAGGGAGGAAGGGAAGAGACCGCGCAATCAGTAGCAACAGCGGCCCACCTGATGGAAGTGTTAAGCCTAGGCGTCCCACGCATCTCGGTGAACCTTTGGAGGCATGGGAGCGGGATGAAATGGAAGCGCTGCTGAAGGAAACACGCGGCCACTTAGGTAAATGCCTTTGTTAAGATGATTTGGTATATCACTTATCATGCATCTACGTTCAGTAATATACCCAACGAGGTTTTTGGAGGGGGAAGATGTCTCGGACAACTTCCTATTTAATGCCGATCGGTATGTTTATCTCTGAAATATGGAGGCAGGTTTTAACTCCGGTGCCTCAGGCTACTTCCTCTTCCCATATATAATTAGGAATGATCTTGTCGCCAACGTATATGTACATACAATCCAAACTAATCTACACACGATACACTGACACATTAAGTCTGGAACATACAATGTGATGAGAGTTAGACGCTGAAGAGAGACACGGCTGTGTTAAGTTGAAACGGTATCAGGTGCTAAATGCGCGCTCACTCTTAGGAGATGAAAACTTTCCGTAATTCAGAGAATGGTGCAGAGAGTCCGCTTCGAGGGCATGTAACACGACCATCATTCTTGGCGGCCATCTCCTCTAAAGCCTAAAAGCTTAGTCATTAGCTTGACACGAAAGTTCAGTGTGCAAGAAAGGTGCTCGCTTGGTAAGAGTATACATAACCATTCCGTAATGCCATGGGTGGGTTCCGATCATCCATAACTTTTCCGCTAATGTAGCACACAAGCGTCGAGTTAAGGTGATTAGCAGAGGGTACCAGATGGGCAAGTACACCCAAACCAAGAGGATCACAGAGTGGGCAGTCCACGTTGGGTGAAGGAGGCTGGGAAGGTTCTACATTCATATGGGGAGGTCCAGAAAATGGGAAAGGCATTGGAGTCGGAGCGGGAAAGGTTGTGCCCTTTATCGATACTGTGGAAGATGGATAGGGGAGGGCATTTGGGGGAGGGCTGCCTTGGGCGAGACATGTTGGATGCTTGAGCGCAACGAGGCCCGCGAACAGCGAAAGCAGCAATGGTGATGAGGCGGGAAGCGCGGTCAACGCGTAAGCAGTGTCAGTGAATGTTTCGGAGAGCATCGTCCATCTGTCTGGTGAGTACAGCTTCCTGTACGAGGAGCGATTAAGGCTCGCACCGACTTTCGGCGAGACGCACTTCGGGACAGCTTCAGGCGCGCACGTTTCTGAGGGAGCCCTAAAGGCGAGCAGCGCCATAGCCTGTCGGAACTGCTGCGTATGCGTATCGTGCCATTGTGTGAGGTGCTTTTTGCAATAAGCAATCGCTGGAATTGACTTCCCTTCCCTCACTAGTTCAATGAATTCCTGGAGGCGAAGTTCGAACTCTAAGTTACTCTGAGAAGTATGGGGTCCGAGTTCAATTAGTGCTTTGCCTGAGTCTTTGTGCACTAATTTATCGCTACCTTGATTTTGCGTAGAGAAACTTTGTTTTCATTGCACCATGCTAACGCCTCCAGACAACTGTGACGCTCAAGGGCTCTTCTGATTCGCCTGATCTCGGCGAACAAATCAATATCAACAAGCGTCTGAGTTCGTGTGGCTCAGCTCGAATCAAGCGTCGGCTGCTGATATGCACATACCTGTATTCCCTTCGACTCAGCCAGCTTCTTTGCAGAGTCAACGTCGCCCTGTCGTAACATCCAATCAACGAGCCAGCGATTCATTCTAGTGTCAATCCATTGACCATATCGAGCGTCCGAAGTGTGGGTGACACTCTCAAAAGCCGCTAACTCTTTGGTTCTACGTCGTAGAGAATGTTCCAATGGCATTACTGTATTATGGTGCAAGTCAGCTAACTTCGTGCAGATGTCAGTTCCTATGATGCGTAGGATGGTTGATCATCTTACCTTCCTCTTCAAGCTTTCGATCCTTAAAATCATTGATTCTATTGAGGAGGAAAATTCCTCTGCATTCATATTTCCATCCCTTGTGAGAGGTGCAAAGGCCGCAACATCCTTTTCGAGGAGGCGTTGAGCTGTCCTGAACGCCTTTCGAAGTTGTTCGTGCGGGACCTGTAAACATGCGTAAGCGAACTATTTGAACTCCGGTCACGACAGGTGCTACCCTCTGCAGATGTTGCTCGAAGACCAAAAGACTATCCGTGCCTACTTTGGACATGTTGAAGGCGGAAGGCAGGGAACTGGTGCCGTGGAGATTCCCACGCATACAAGAACGATTACCAATCAGCGCTTGTGCTTCGGAACTCGACGTCTGCTCTTCACCTCAATGACATTTACCGTCAAGTTCAAAGGACAGGCGCATCTTATCGACTTACCCCTGTCCTCTTCCGTTTCCGAATTATTAGATCATATTCAGAGGCTCACCGATGTACCTCCATCGAACCAAAAGCTCTTGTGGAAAGGGAAGCGGGATCTTGGCACATTGGAGACTTCACTCCTCGATGCAGGCGTTACCGAGGGAGTCAGGATCATACTATTGGGCACTACGACTCAGGAGCTCGACACCCTAAAATCTGCTGAACGAGAGGCGAATCGGAGGAACGAGATCATGGCCAGACGGGAGGCCAGTGGACCATCTAGGGCAAGTAATCCCATTTGTACAATCAGTACTACGCAACAACCCTCCACCTGTAGCGGGTCACATCCACCAGATCCTCCTCTGCATCAACCCTGCATCGCTTTCATCGCATTGAGGCTCTCCAGCATTTACCCAGGTGCATCACGTTGAACAAAGAGACTCTGGCAGTGACATTCAAATAATTTTCTGCCAGCCCAGAGGAAGCAGTCAGGCTCCTCACTAAAATCGCCAACGATCCAGCCATTCTCCACGTAATGAAATTGCACAAGTTCTCCGTCGGGCTTCTGACAGAGTTAGCGCCGCATGAACATCCTAATCTTCTGGGATTGAATGAGGTATGTAGCAGCCAGATCCTAATCATTTCAGCTCTTCTCTGTGATTGGCTCACAACGCATCAGAACGCAGGTCAGAGTGTCAAGTTGCGAATACGAACTGACAGTTATGATGGGTTCCGACTCTACTCAGAAGTAAGCAGGCATGGCATCCGCAGTTGGCTCAATACGACAATAGCTAATAGTAATCCCCCCAGATACGCAGAGTCCTATTGCACGAGCTCACTCATAATGTATGGGGCGACCACGACGATAATGTGAGTCGACGGTGTCGTTTAATTTATATTGGGTCCTTACCCACGCATCTATGCCAAGTTCAAGACACTTAACTCTCTGCTCAATCGTGAGATGGTAGAGTTTGAAACTGCTGCTCGAGAAGGGACGCATACCCTAGGTCCCGGCCCAGTGTATGAGCCTGAATCGGTGGTGCCGAATCGGGGAGGCCTTGTGGGCGGCACAAACGTCCTCGGGGGAAACGAAGGCAGCGGCCACCTCACTATCGAGGAGCGAAGACGACGGGCTGTAGAAGCCGCCATGAGGCGATTCAATGAGCAAGAACAAGAGATTGAGGATAAATGTGCCACATTCTAAATCTTCCTCGCAGCATAGATGATTGTTTACCGATGGCTGTTAGACTTTGTGACGCCTTCTTGGTTACTTGTTGTGGACTCGGTGTGCCTTCAGGATCGTATCATTGTAGTCCATTGCTATTCAGTGTGTCATCGCAACCACGAGAGCTTGTTGATATGACATTCCGATGCCCTTTGTGCCAATGGTTGGCTAGTCAACAAAATGTTGCCACCATTGAGACAAAGCTAAGGTTTCATTGCTGCTGGTGCTTTGTTCCTTTGTGCCACTCAGATAAGCGCAATGTGTGAGCTGAGAGCACGATATCTAATGACGCTGATGTCGTGCTCAGTGTGTCCGGCTGCAATGCCGCGATTATAACATAAGGCACGTTCTTCCCCTTATACACATAATATGCCTTATGCAGGGGAAGCGAGGTGTTTGGATGAAGATTTCATGAATCGACTCCGTGCCTGGAGTCTTGGCAACGCAGACCTGACAGGAATCTGGTCTCACGTGCAGGTCGCCTAAATGCGGTTTGCACCAAGACTGCCACTGATTTATCACGGCCCGTCGTTGTCGGTTCGTTCATTCTCTCATTATGGCGAGCTACTGAGTGTCAATCCCCGCCCATCCGGCTTCTCCAATAATGCCTTACCGGATACGAAAGGACTCCGACGTTTGACAGCCCAGGACCTTGCGACACATACCACTCCTCCAAAGAATGTGAATGTCCTCGTGCGAGACTTCATACATGACGCCCTTTACAATCCAAATTATGGTTATTTTTCCCATCAAGCAACCATTCTTTCATCAACAGAACCTTATGAATTCAACAGGATCCGGAGCTCGAAGAAGTTTGATGACTTGGTTGCGGGTGCATGCGACGTAGGGAATGAGGGAGCCGTACCAGGATCGGGTGTACTAGGACGACAGCTATGGCACACTCCTGTAGAATTATTTCAGGTGCGGAACTCTCGTTAGATCGTGCACCGTCGTTCCTCAGCAATTGTTTAGCCGTGGTACGGGCGAGCCATCGCCCAGTGTCTCACATCTGAATACCTCCTCAATCACTTTCCATATGAGGATTTTATCATATTTGAGCTAGGGGGTGGAAATGGCACTCTTGCGGGCAACGTGCTCGACTTTCTTCAGTTGGAGTATCCTGACGTGTACGAGCGGACACGATACCACATTATCGAAATAAGCCCTAGGCTAGCAAGTTTGCAGAGGCTCAAACTAAAGCATCACACCTCTTGCTTGGAGATCGCTAACAAGAGTATCTTTGAATGGGATGAGATTGTGCCGTTGCCTTGTTATTTCGTGGCATTGGAGGTGATTGTGAGCTCTTCCATTGCGATGTTTCTCTAACTGCATATCTGAGTAACAAACCAGGACAATTTTGCTCATGACATGATTCGGTATCATCTAAGCACTCTTGAGCCATATCAAGCGTTAATCGTTACGACGGAGGATGGGGACTACGAAGAAGTTTACGAGCCATTGTCCGATCCATTGCTTCAGAAGTATCTCACCTTGAGGACCAAAGCTGGTCATGTTTCACCTCTACAATCGTCTCGATTCCTTCAGCGGCTTAGGGCCACTCTGCCCTTTGCTCCCAATCTCTCTCGACCTGAATTCGTCCCCACACATCTACTCTCCTTCCTCGAAATATTGCGAGATAAGTTCCCACTTCATCGTCTGCTGCTCTCGGACTTCTCTTCTCTTCCCGATACAATCGACAATGGTGCAATTAATGCACCAGTCGTTCAGACACGCGTCGGAAATGCGATGGTTCCCTGTTCCACATACATGGTCCAGCCTGGGTATTTCGATATTTTCTTTCCCACCAACTTTGACGAACTACAGAATATGTATGAGTTGACGATGGCCCTACCAAGAAAGTCAATGCCAGAAGAGGGCATCTCTGTGACGACTCCGCGCTTGGATTCAAACTTCTTCTCTCGCAATTGGCGGGCGTCTCCTGTAGATGTCTCCTCCTACACCGGAAGGAGAGTATTCTCACATCGGGACTTCTTATACAAATACGGCAATGTCGAAGCTACCACGCTACGGAATGGGGAGAATCCAATGCTGGATTATTACAAGAATGTGAAATTCCTATTTTAAAACAGCATTGGTTCGGGATGAACGTAGTAGGTAAGGGTGTACATGTTGTTCACAATATTAATGTTAACTGGGGGTTCAAGCACGTGGTCACCCAGTCCTGTGTCCATCCTTATACTGAACAGAAAATATTAGCACAAATGTGATTGTCGTTCGGCCAGTTTACCACACATAATCATCCGCCCCACCTGATTTCAGGGTAAATAGCTGAGGATTATTATGGGTCTCATTGGTAAATGCGGCCCAGCTGAGAGTGGTGCTCTATCGAGGATAAGGTGAGAATGAATAGATCGGAACTTCTACAGAAGGTATGGACGCAAATTAGGTGTGTCATAGGGTTGTACAGGTGCAAGATCGAATGCGTAAGGTCCGTCCGATCCATCGAGAACGAAGTGAGGTTTCGGAGTTCAGGCTGAAGCCATTATGGCCTGAGTCCTCAAATTTGCGTGATTTAATGCCGCGGCAAACCCAGATAGTTGCTCCTGAACTAATTTTCGCCCGTCAACGGGCTTTGTGCCAACGCCGTCTACTCCATTCTCCCATCTTTCGATCTTTTCTCGACTCCGAGCGGCACTCTCCCAGTCATTTCGCAAACTGGCAATCTTGGATTTAAGGGCGCGCAACTTTCTTCCCGCTTCTGCCGTCGCCGCTCCATTTTCTTGGGCATGTTCGCTGAGGACGCTCAGAGAGTTTGCAATGGAAGAAGTGACGGAGCGCATATGGTACAAGTGAGAAACCGTGCTGCCAGGTGTGGCGGACACACCGCGTGGAGAGGGTGAAGGTATCCCTGGGACTGGGAGGGACGCTCGCTGCAGTCGGCCGTTGACGAACCTCTCAGTACCAACGTCAAGCTCTGCAGGATCAGCATCTGAATCATGACTTGCTTCGGAATCACCCTCATGGAGCTCATCTTCTTCAGCAATGCCCCTAAGCGGCAGCAGATGGCTTCCGCTCGAAGGAAGACGTGATGTCTCTTCCGTGCTGCCAACGAGATCGTCTGTGTCTCCGAGTGGCTCTAGTGATGCGAGAATATCATCCCCACCCAACTCACTCCCGATCTTTTTGAACTCCTTCTCAATGGCCAAAAGTTCACGAATTTGGTTTTCGCGTTCGCGCATAACATCATTCATATGTCGAACCATATTTGAGGTGTAGCGTTCGATGGCTGGTTCGAACAATGCAGAGGCGGGTGAGGCTTTTGGATTCAATGAGTGACTATCGAGATTCTTTAGGCAGGAAATAAAAGCATCCATGCTAGCCAGGTCTTCAGAAAATATTTCTAAAGGGTCCCGCTGCGATTGACCAGCCATTGGCGAATGGGAATTGTGGTGACTGGGTTCGGCATGGGGGGTTGAAAATGCTACAACACCAGGATAGAGGTGATTATCCCCATTGATTATCGGGGTTGTAGCTCCCGACCGGCCGCGAAGGTGGAGGGAGGATCCATCGTCGACGTCTGATGTGGAGTCGCTTTCTCGGTAACCACCAGAAATAAAGGATGGGTCATCATGCAGGTCTCCAGCGACAGGGATTTCTGCGTCCTCATCCTGTGCTTCAATCCCTTCTGCGCCCTCATCAAATTCGACCCCAAACTCCTCTGCAAGGAGTCTTGATCCAACACTAGGTTCTGGCATCATAGCAGCAGCGAGTTCATGCGCCAAGGAGAAGCGTGCAGATGAGCTCCCTGCCGCCCCCGCACTCGAAGAAGAGTCCTGCTTGTGTTCATCATCCAGATAACTGAATTCGCTTGCATGCTCCTTAGCAACTGACCGCAGTGAAGCAACCGATCGGTGTTTTCCAGGCCCCGAACGCGATGGCGTGGCAGAGAAGATATCCGAAACATCAAGCAAGTTATTGAGCCTTGACGCAGGGGTTCTCACCGATGCTGAACGCGACATTTGGGTCGTGCCAACCAACTATTAGGACGCGCCTCTTTGAAATGGCGTTTCGGTCCACGGCAAGTTCCGGATTACCAAAATGTCAGTGCTGAACCTGAGCTCTCGAGAGATCGAAGACGCATACAAGGCCGTGCTCAATGGGGAACCATCCACTAATTGGGTAATTCTGTCTTATTCTGGAGCCCTTGATCTCAAAGTCCAAGCCACAGGATCGGACGGTTTAGAAGGTCTGCAAGAGGAATTCTCTGATGGCAGGTACGTGCATCTGCTGCCGCTTTTACCTGTAGCCTGCATTACTGTCATCATAGGATACAATATGCTTTTGCTCGAGTTGTCGATCCAAACGTAGGCCGGACACTCTCGCATAATTTTGTGCCGTTGACTAAGTATGGCGATAGAACAAATTGACCAAGTTCGTTCAAATTAATTGGCTTGGCGAGGGGGTACCGGTTTCCAAGAAGGGTTTATTTCGTACGCATCTGTAGTTCGCGGCAGATTTTGTGATTCCCATATCTGCTGTAGATGCCCATTCGACTCAAGTCGCCAACTTTCTGCGAGGCGCACACGTCGTGATCAGGCACGTCCCCATGTATCTTTATGGCCTCGTCGGTATATCTCGCTCATGCACATGTCAGTGCAAGAAACGAAGGGGATGTGGGGCCAGATATTATCATGCAAAAGATTCGGAATGCATCAGGGTCCAAATACTCAGCCCATGTGGAGAAGCCCCAGAAGTACGAGCCTCCTGCACCCGTTGGGACCGCGTATACTCCAGTGGGGAGGCCCGATATTAATTCTCTGAGGGCTAATTCAAACGATAGAAGTGCACCTGTGGTGAGTAAGCATGAAACACGTCCCCGCACCCCGGTACTCCCCGGGGCATTCGGCTTGACAGGGAGGTGCTGCCTATGGTTCGGCGCAAGGGGAGCCAAAGATCCCACTACGGCCGGCAAGTAGTATCAAGACAGCGCCATCATCCTTCGTTGTTTGGGATAATGCGCCCCCACCCCCGCCCCCGGTCCCTGCCGTCGCCTTGCCAGCTTCTCCCAAAATCACTGCTGGAAAACCTTCTGGCCAAGCTTCCACTTTTGTCCCGACCAACATAATTTCTCAACATGCGCCTTCCACTGTTCCTCAGCGCGACATAATTACTCCTAATGTAAGATTTTGGATTAGCACACTTCCTTTCATGAGGAACTCAATCTACTTTCCCACAATACTTCTTATGTAGCAACCGGCCTACCAACCGGTTAAGCTTGCTCCACCCAAGAAGCTTGTGAACCCGTTTGCCGCTCGGGAAAGCGAGGCGCACCAGCCTGCTTCGCAGCGGAAAGCCGCGCCTGGTAAGGGGCCAACATGGTCGGAGCGGCAAGCTCTTGCTAAGGCCCAGAGGGAGGAAGAAGACTCAAGGAGTGCTGCGGCAAGTGTCAAAGCGGGCGTAGGCCGGAACGTTGCCATCGGACTCGGTGCTAGAATGAATGCTGCCGCAACCGCGGCGAGTATGGCTTCCGCCGACACATCTCCACCAGAGTCGAAGGGAATCCTCTACGGAACTTCTGAGACCGATACCACTGCAACTGTTGCTCCGCCTCCGCCTTCACCTCCACCGCCGCCACCGCCGCCACCGCCGCCGCCACTGCCAACAGCTGTTGAGCCCGAGGGCTCTGACGTTGAAGAACTCACACTTCAGACCGAGCGCGTTGAGCTGGGGGAAGTGCAACCAACGGAGCAATTCCGCGCTGTGGTGACGTACCCTTATGAGGTATGTTGTCCAATCGACCTTTCAAACATTCTAAAGATATTTGTTCCCCAGGCCCAAGAATCCAACGAAATAAGCTTCGAAGAGGGAGAGACAATCCACGATGTTGAGGCACTAGATGAAAAGTGAGCGATTGGATGCACACTCATGTTGGCAATAATGCAATGGGCTCTATTTTTTTCAGTTGGTGGCAGGGCACTAACTCAAAAGGCGAGACTGGGCTGTTCCCTGGTATGTTATCCTGAGGCGGAATGATCCTCGCTCTTACCTTTATCGGCTTGTTAGCCAGCTATGTGGAAATACAGGAGCCACAACTTTCAGAAGAACAAGCTAATTTGCCTCTGCCACCACCACCACCACCACAAGGAGGTATGGCGGTTGCAGGACAAGCACCGGTTTTAGCGTATGCTCTTGAACTCGTGGCTGTGCAAATTGAGCCGGACGGCAAGGAGGTGGCTGGTCCTACAGCTGTGGCTCTTTACTCGTGAGTTCGAAACACTTGAGCGTTGCGACAGTTATTATACCTCATTTATTCCAATAGCTATGCCGCGCAGGAGGACAATGAAATCAGTTTTGAAGAAGGAGAAGAAATCTATAATCTTGATACTACTGTCAGTGATGATTGGTGGAACGGAACAAATGTCCATGGACAGTCTGGATTGTTTCCTGGCGAGTATCGAAAAGAGAAGGCACATCAACTATTTTTGACTTTCTTGACAGCTGCATACGTCCAATACCAAGGCTAACGTGATCTGTCGAATCCAGAAACGCGCACGATATAAACAGACACACCCTTTCCACAGTGGTGAACGCCGTAACATAAATGGGTCGAATGGATTAGTTGAAGTTATTTGAGGCTGATTCGATCTTTGGATTAACTGCAATATAACTGAATCAAAGCACTAGTCTGCCCTTCCCAATTTCTCTAATGCTCGTTGTGGTCCGAGCTCGTACCATTCATCTCTGGTAATCCAAAACTCTTCCCTCCTCTTCATGATATCTGCCAATACAGCGCCTCCGAGAAAGACCATGTGCTTGCGACGTGGAGGATCCTCAATGCGGATCTTAAATTTCTAACGCAAAATACTTCAAACAATCAGACAATATTGGACGAGGATGCACCTACGCTTAGACGGGACGCATCTCCGTTCAGCACACGGGTAAGATACAGCTGTTTCATCTCCTTCTCAAGACGACTTGGTAGTCCTGGGTACATGCTAGACCCTCCGGAGAGCACAATATGTTTATATAATTCGGTTCGAGTATCAACGGCAGCGCCCTGGATAGTCTGGAAAAGGAGTTCTAATGATGGGGCAGGTGAGGCCACTGTCCCAATTCCGAGACGGGCACTGTACCTGCTATTCCAGGCTGTTCAATGTCCACAAGATGAGGCTGGAAGAGACATTCAGGTGCTTCGAAGCGTTCTGAGCCTACTTTGACGGTTCTACCGTCAGGAAGCTAAGTATTATATCAGGGAAAGCGACACAATGGCATGGCATTCTCGTACCGTGTAGCTTTCGACCAGGACAGTGGTTTCTTCAGCTAATCGCTGGTCTAAATCCAGGTCATAACTGGTACAAGGTCAATGTCCAATCAACTTGGTCTTTGTCTACAACCGCACCTGACATAACACAATTTCTCCTTTATTTGGCTGACGGTCTCAAAATCCGCGGTGCGATTGAACGCGTATCCGCGCTTGAGAAGAAGCTTGATGAGGTATCTGGTAACATCACGGCCCGCGATATCTAGCCTCTTGGTGAGATGAGGAATAGCAAAGCCATCATAAACGGGCACGATATGAGTGACACCGTCGCCGGAGTCCACCACTACACCAGTCGTCAAGCCTTACAAAATGACATTACAGGCTAAGATTGAAACGAAGCAGGTAGCAATACTCACCCTGAGCATAAAGTGTGAGAACGGCCTGTATCGCGACGTAAACCGCGCCAAAGCCATATTCTTCGAACATGACCTGGCACATTCGCTGCCGGTTGGCCTTGGGGTTCATAGGGGGTTCCGTGAGGAGGATCTTTCTCCCAGTAGGGCTTATCTTAAGCTTTTCATCAAAGGTGTAATCCCATAAAATCTTCATGTCCTCCCAATTCTTAACAATACCGTGTTCCATTGGCTGAGTGACTTGGAGGAAATTACGCAGTTCAGCTGCCTCGTCCCCAACCATGATGTCCTTTATCGTCGAAGTGCCCAACCGCTCCTCCGCACGCAAGATCGGCCTTCCTACAACCGATGGAAAGACATGCTGCGGGAAATTCGAACCCGCGTATCCAACTTTAACAAACTTTTGAAGAAATCGACGACTTAAGCTAACTTGCACTCCCCCAGGTTAGCACTGAAGAATATCTTACTTACGCCGGTACCGTTGTCGACGACTAAAGGCGGATCGGCCATACTTAGGACTCGGACAATATTCTGATCACGAGACAAACGCTGGCACAAAACATAGTCACGTGCCATCAGGTCGACGTGGACGTTCATCTCGAAAAGCGTACCTATCAATTTCCGTGCTAACCATTTTGGAGGACATAGGATAGCTTGAAGAATGGCAGCTGCTGCCGTTCCCAAAGTTTCCGCCACTACGCTAGCCAATGCCGCCTCATTTCTACGGATTCTTACTCTCTCCTTCATATCTTTCGCTGCTATCGCATCAAGGTGTGTGCCTCCCCGGGAATATAATTGGTCGATGCTCACTTTATCCCAGATTATTTTCTGTCATTAACTTTGAAAGCATAATCCATGAGTTGTAGGTTCTTTATGAGTCAAAATGTCCTGCTAATCATTGACAGCGCTCGGACAGCGACCCTTGGTTCAACTAGTCTGTAGCAGTCTTTTGGAACAAACTTTTGCTAGTAATGATCCCTCCTGTTTTCTAGTCGAGCCACTCGCGTCCTGACTACTGATGGTTTCTATGTATGCCTTTTCCTCCTTTCACCCTTCCCACAACGTCTCATATAATTATTCAAAGGAATTCTGGAACTGGTTTGACCCAACAGCGTGGTATCCGCTCGGCCGCGTTGTTGGTGGGACCATCTACCCTGGTATCATGACCACCAGCGGTATTATCTATAATATTCTGCACTTCATACACATGCCTGTTGACATCCGAAATGTCTGCGTGCTCCTTGCCCCGGGGTTCAGTGCCCTCACTGCATGGGCGACATATTTGCAAGTTGGTTTATTGGTATTCCAGCATCTCCATTGACGATCCCTCCCAGCTTTACATCCGAGATGAAAGACCCGGCGGCAGGTCTTCTTGCGGCCATTTTCATAGGCATCGCTCCGGGATACATTTCCCGCTCTGTGGCTGGCTCATATGATAATGAGGCAATCGCAATTTTTCTACTGATGTTCACCTTCTACTTGTGGGTTCGGGCACTTAAACAAGGAAGCGCTCTGTTCGGAACTCTCGCAGCGCTCTTCTACTTCTACATGGTAGCAGCGTGGGGTGAGTGGCTGTGTTATTTCCTTGATAACCTAATTAAATCCAAGCCATACAGGCGGTTATGTCTTCATTACCAACATGATACCATTGCATGCATTGGCTCTAATCCTTATGGGACGTTTCTCCAGCCGCCTATATGTCGCGTTTTCTTCATGGTATGCTGTTGGGACTCTTGCCAGTATGCAGGTGCCCTTTGTGGGCTTTCAGCCCGTCAGCACCAGTGAGCACATGGCTGCCTTAGGTAAGTGGGCACGATTTGCAACTCGGGACGTAAGTGCTTACAAAGCGCAATCACAGGTGTCTTCGGTCTTTTGCAACTGGTTGCATTTACCGAGTTGGTTCGGTCACATGTGCCTGAACAGCAGTTCAAGCAACTTTTCAGATGGGCATTGGTTGCTGTCGGGCTCCTTGGATTTGCTGGATTTGTCGTCCTTACAATATCTGGGAAAATTGCGCCATGGACTGGGCGTTTCTACTCGTTGTGGGACACAGAGTACGCCAAAAAGTAAGTGAACACGAAGGTGTTTCTAAAATTTACGCAGCCTCATTATGATTTACTTCCAGGTACATTCCCATTATTGCGTCCGTCAGCGAACACCAGCCGACGGCCTGGCCATCATTTTTTACCGACCTCAACATGCTTATTTGGGTGTTTCCAGCTGGTGTCTTGCTCTGCTTCCGTGAACTACGTGATGAACATGTCTTCATTATCATCTATGCGGTTTTCGCTAGTTACTTTGCTGGCGTTATGGTTCGATTGATGCTCACACTCACACCTGTCGTTTGTGTCTCAGCTGCCATAGCTGTTTCGACTTTACTTGACACATTTGTCGATCTGCAAGAACCAGTGTCAGAGAGTGGAGAGAGCGCGGTATCAGATGGCACTAAGAAGAACAAGAGAGTGGTCCACACGCCTGGCAGAAGCTTCCCAAAGGGAACCGGTATATTCGGCCTTGACACACGTTTAGGGGTCGTTTTCAACACCGCACTTCTACTGTCCATCTTTGTTCTGCACTGCACATGGGTCACATCCAACTTTTACTCCTCTCCATCTGTCGTCCTCGCGTCCAAGAACTCGGATGGGTCTCAAAGCATTATCGACGACTTCCGAGAGGCGTACTATTGGATTCGAGAGAACACACCGAAGGATACTGTTGTTATGAGCTGGTGGGACTATGGATACCAGATTGCAGGATTCGCTGATCGCACGACCCTTGTCGATAACAACACCTGGAACAACAGTAAGTTATGATGATATCATGGTTAACTATCATCTTCGTAATCATTCAACCCAGCTCACATTGCAACCGTCGGCAAGGCCATGTCATCGCCGGAGGAGATCGCGTACCCAATATTGCGTAAACACGATGTCGACTATGTCTTGGTCATCTTTGGGGGTTTAATAGGTTATTCGGGTGATGATATTAACAAATTTCTATGGATGATTCGGATTGCGCAGGGCGTGTGGCCTGATGAAGTCAAGGAATCGAACTTCTTTACGCCACGAGGGGAGTACAAAGTGGACGGAGATGCGACACAAACAATGAAGAATAGTCTGATGTACAAGATGAGTTACTACAGGTAAGCACTCCTAAATGACCCCTAGCCATCAATAAGCTTAGTCGTGTGCTCTATGGTTCAGGTTTGCGGAGCTTTATGGTGGCCAGCAACCCGTCGATCGTGTGCGTGGGCAGTCCCTACCCACTGTTGGTCCGACTCTTGACTATCTTGGTATGACTATATTCACATCCAGCCTTGTTGAGATCTCTGACGTCCATCTTCAGAGGAGGCATTCACATCCGAGAACTGGATTGTAAGTTGTTGACTGCCTATCCTCACGGTGGGTTGTGACGCCAACTTTGTTGTTAGGTCCGGTTGTACAAAGTCAAGAAAGAGGACAATCTGGGAAGGGAACTTCGGGCTGCAAATGCGTTCGAGGCGGGGAAAAAGAGGAAGCGTTCGCGTCCTGCTTCTAAGCGCAGAACAGCTGTGGTTTAGCGGCTGGTCCTCAAAAATTAAGAGGTGGTATAATATTCAGTTATGTTGAATTACAATGACTTGCTATTAGCCCCTATGAGATATCCACCACCGTTAACTAAATGTAATGGTATTCATAGGCCATACATCAATGTAGAAGTGAAAATTTCGTTTAAACCCAAACCTTCAAGTGGCACCTGATGGAAGCGCAGGTCGATGTCCACGGGATGAAATGGCTTTCACAATAATCCGTTGACAATCGAACCATGTTAAAGGCCGATCGAGGTATTCACGCCCGTGGTCACCCTGAGATTTTCGTTGTTTCTCGATCTGCCGCCGAATTCTTTTCGCAGATCTTGACAAGTCTACAGTGGGGATACCGTTTGGGTCTGAACTTCTTTTGCCTAGCACAGTGCTGGCGGATGCAGCGAGGGTATGGTCGGCTCCAATTACACGTTGTTGCCGGCCGAGGGCAGCATCTAATGAAGGTTTGACAATTTTCTTTTTGATCGAAGAGGATAGGGGATATGAAGCTGAGAATGGGTCATCTTTCTCTTGCGCCTTCTGCTGATGCTGTCGTCGTTGTCGAGGCGAAACATCAGGGACAATCTGAGGGTCTTGAGAAACGCTTGGGTTGGTTTGCGTGGCCTTGTCACCGGACGCGTTTTGAGAGAATGGATCAGAATCGGAATTGGCCACTATAACTTTCGGTGATGGTTGCGGAAATGATAATGTCTTGAACCTTCGTAAAGCAGGGCTGGTCGGCTCAGAGTTTGAGTGAAGCAGTGGAAATTGTGAGGATGATTTGGATGATGATAATGGAGTATCGTTGCCAGTTGGTATCGTTAATCTCGCTTGAGCAAGGGTAAATGGGCTAGGATTCTGAGAGTGACCTCTTGAGCGCTGTGGAGACGGATCAAGCGGTGAAAGAGTGAGAGATACAGCCGACTTTGCTGGACTCTCATCAGAGATTGAAGATGCCTGTGATTTTGACCGAGCAAGCTGAGGACGGGGTGTTATAGGTTGTAGAGAAGCAGAAGAAGGGGTCAATTTTGTCGGACTTCCATCACGAGACGATGCGTATCTAGGAAGTCCTTTAAGTGGGTTTTGCGTTCCTGCCCGGCAGGCCTCTGCTTCCGAACGCGATATTTGAGGCTAGAACATATGCCAGTTGAATTTTCTCTATGTTTGATTCTAAAACGGGTAGATCTCACCTGTGAAGAGAGAGGTGTTTTTGAATGTTCGGTTTGTTGTGGTGAGGGGAGACTGTAGAGCTTGTTGCCACTCTGCGATGCTCTCGTTTGTAACGATGATCGGGGGTTGGGAGAACTTCGGGGTGAGTGTTCTTCAGCCTCCGAATGGCCCTTTCGTGACGGCCACTGCTCGGCATCGATTGAGACATTGTCGGGGATCTGTTCTTCTCTAGTCGGGGATGTGGGACAGGAAGCTGGCTGTGAACTAGCACACCAATCCTGGTCAGGTTTTTCATGAGGGGGTGGTGAAGCTTCGGGGTGTTTCGATGGCGATAATGAAGGAGTGGGAGAAGGTAATTGAGTATTGGCAGGTTTAGGGCTCGACGTCGTGTTTTGTGGAGTTTCGTGAGCCAGATTCGGGGGCGGGATGGCGTCGATCTCTGAAAAGGGGGTCGAGTAAAGAACGAGAAAGGACAAGGTCACAAAATCAAGCGCACTCTCTGGACCGAGCACGTTCGCATAGTGTAGCAGGTCTTTCAGCTGAGATTCAGTACGCTAAGTCGGAATTTTCAGCATTCCTTTGGTTTACCATCCGGCAAGAAGTGCGAAGACCTTCCACTTTCTAGACCAGTCAACCTTTGCCTTCAACACTCCAGGCAGTTCTGGGCCCGTCTCCCTCGCGTGAGTTGGTGATGCTATCACATTGTTGTTTCCTGTTGTTGATTCTTTGTTCATTGACGACTTTAGGGGAGAAATTACTTCCCACTTTCTGCGGACGTTCGACTCTGGGTCGCATATACACTAACAATATAATTCGGACAACTCCGCTACAGTACAGCTAAGGTCGTAACTGATCAGCTAGACCCCGTTGATCGGTGATACCAGACTCGGAGCAGCAACAAAACCAAATATCAAGCGAAGAAAGTACAAACAATCACACACCAAGGATGTTGATGTGGCATTCCGATGCCCTTTGTTGCGGTGGTTATTGTTCTGATGCTTTGGCCTTTGTCCCTTTGTGCCACTCAGAAATGTATATAAGCGTAATGTGAGCTGAGAGCACGATATCTAATGACACTATGATATCGTGCTCAGAGTGTCGGGCTGCGATGCTGTTGTAAACGCGGTGTTCCAAATATGGCAACCCACTTCAGCGGTTCACTCGCAACCCAGATGTAATATAGAAATGAGAAGAGAAACTGTAACTAAAGTACATACGGCGCTCCCGCGCCCATATTTATACTCTTCAATGATATTCTAGGTTCTTCTATGCCCAGCGCTTACGCAGGCGCCTAGTAACCGGATATTCCGGTTCAGTTTCATCATGTGACTCGTATTGCCGAGATCACAAAGGACTAAGCGCTGATATTAATCTCAACAATTGGTCACGTGATTGAAATGACCTGGCACTCGAATGCCGGCGGGCGCCAATAAACCCAACAACAAAGGCCAGTGACTTTTGATGGCCTGGACACCGAATTCAGCCACAAATTAGGTTTCAGCACCGGACTGTGAGCCCTGTATGTACATGGCACGTAACTCTTATTAGCTTGGGATCAGGTGTCAATGTCAATCGCTAATGCAATAAAGCCCACTTTTTCCTTCACAGACGCCTCCGGAGTCGGCGTTGTACGTTATATGCATACTATTTGGCCAACAACCCCAGAGGACAGTGACTTCAACCTCGGGGATACCACTCACGCGGCAAGCTAGGAACCAACTCACAGCCTTGCTCGGAGAAAGGGTCTTATTTGTATATATTGTATGGCTGATACACTTCAAAAGAGATTGGGAATGTCTCCCCTTCATCCAGGTCTTCTGCGAGGCGCCCATTGGACATGTTCCAGCTCACGTGCTTTATAACTGTTTTTAAATTTCACTTGTCTCTCACCCAACGTACTCCCGAGTCTTTCCTTGAACAATTGTCGCTCATTGCTTTATTTTGCACAATCATTTGGATCCCTTGGACATCGCTAGTCTGACATCATGTTCCCTCACGTCGTTGCATTCTCCACTTTGTTCGTTCTGGCGTTCTCTGCACCGAACCCTATTGCTGTGCGTTTTGAGGACTTCCTCGATGTCAAATATTTTCCACTCACATAGAACCGGATGTATTGTAGCCTAGCCCATCTGACAAGTTTGCGGCCGGGTCCCAGTGTACGATCCAGTGGACTGCCGACCCAAATGGAATATGGACGAACATGAACATTGGTGCGGCTTCATACTCTTCCTTCCAGATCCTTTCTCATCATGTCCTCGGTCACAGAATTGATGACTGGACCCAATTCTCCTATGATTCATTTGAGGAGTATGCTTCTATTCCTGATGACCGTACCTTTACACCACCAGGCCTGAAATGTTTCTTTTTCCCTCTCCAGCTGTTGCCACCGTTAATGCCGTGACAACCACATCCTTCTCTTGGACCTGCCCACAGGTTCGTTCACTTGAAAATTAACTCAGTGCGGCCAACTGAACTTGTTCCGTCCCCTGTCATACACCAGATTGTCCCCCCGGTCCCATCGTCTTCTACCAATTCACCGACCAGGCTGACCCTAAAAGTGTCCTCTGGACCGGACGCTTTACGATAACTGATGCAGATGGTACATCTGATCCTGCTCCGTATACCGACAGCAACGGTGTCGGCTACGGCAACGCAACCTTTGAAGACACGTCACTTTATAACGCCCAGCCTTCTTACCTCGTGGGTAACGGTCAGCTCGTCCAGACTGCCGGCCCTTCTCCATCGTCAACTGCTACTGGTTCAAGCATCACTTCCGTCATTTCTGCTGCGACTACGACTACGGCGTCATTTCCCGGCAAGATGTCAACTACTCCCGAGATAACTTCTTCTACCATTACAGGTACCACTGCTGCCACCACCACCGCCACCACTACCACGAGCGCTGGCGCTGCTCTCGCCTTGTCCGTGCCTGGGTCAACTTTCTTCTGGGTCACTCTCCTTGGGATGTGGTTGGTGTGACAGTTGGTCTATGAACCCCGACAGCCCGTCAGGCGAGATAAAGATGGTATCACTTCGCCCTTCGGGCATATTTCTTCATTCCCTTTTGTGCTCTCATCTGACCCGTCACTCCCGGTGGAGACCTTGTTGCTCCATCGTGTGGATCGCGACCTTCCCTTTTTAGTAAAACGGCAATGTGGTTCATGCAAGCAGAGTTTTAGTTCTTCTATACTTTCCACTTTCTTAAATACTTTGGGTTACTCTTCTCCGGGATATCGTGGTTCACTTGGTCCAAACACACAATTTCATCCGATCAATGTTCTCATGAATGGATAAAAACAAGCCTTAATTCTGGTCACTTTGTTTTGCCCAAAAATGCACGATGATTTTGAATAACTCCGTCACAGGCCACCTGCATGGATGCTCCCAAAATCATATTAAATGGCGAGCGGTCGCTGGCCAAGGGGTGATGATACTTTGGTTTCTAATTATGACCTTCGCAATGGTCCTTTGCCCCACTTCTCTATCAAATAGCTGGTCATCCATTCGTATAACTCGCGGTTTGCTCCCCGTGTGACAATGCGATGATTACTATCTGTAAACATCCTAAATCTGAAGCTTTGAACGTGATCCTGAGTAAACATGTCAAGGAGATGGGCCGAATTTGCAAAGTGCACTGTTAGGAATCATTTGGGTGTGAATATTGTTGCTGTTAAACAAGTTTTAAGCGAGCGTACCGTTATCATCCCCACTGCCGTGGGCTAGCAAGAAATCGACATTATTGAACCCGGTGACATTCGTAATAGAGGCATTGATGTATCCGTCGGGATTAAGTTGGGGTGTACGCATGTATCGCTCCGTGTAGATGGAGTCGTACATAAGCCATGAAACGACGGGCGCCACGCTCATTCCGAGAGAATGGATCCCGGCGTTGGCTTCGATGACCTTGCCAGTCATGAAACCTCCATAGGACTGCATACATAAACAATAATGCATCAGGAGAAAGAATAAAGGGCTGAATGCAGGAGGACATACCCAACCCCAAATACCTATCCTCCTTGAGTCAACATAACGCTTAGTAGCCCAAATTCTGTGGAGGACCAATCAGTCGCGCGTGTGCTGAATACAAGTTCCACACCCACTTAGCAGCATTGATCTGGTCCACCGTCTCGAAAAATCCGAGGTTGCCTCGAACAGGATTCCGCAATCTCCTACCCTTAAATCCCGTGCCTCTTCCATCAACAATAACTACGATATACTTCAAGTTGCACACTAGATAGTCGTGCCAGTCACGACCGAACCTAGTGTTGACAAGCTGCGAGCCAGGACCGCCATATACATAGAAGAGAACAGGGTACTTGACACGTCCCGAATCATCCATTCCTGGCGGTCGAAGCTCCTTTACGTTTAACTCATACCCTTCGCTATCGATCGTGGAGTGAATCACGACAGGGGCCTGGAATTCTTCATTTGTCAAATTTAGTGCTAGATTGTCACTGAGTGTATATTCAAAGGCTGCAAACCATCCTTTTGAGTGATATTTCAAACGACTTAGTACAAAGAAACAGTACGCACACGAGTTGTCCGTTTGTATCAATTTCTGCCATGGTATCAATGGACCCAAATGATCAAGGACGTAATACCTCCCCCCAGGAGAGAAGGAAGCAACATAGTAACCGGGGCGTGACTCATCCGTCAGAGGGGTAGGTGCCACACTTGGTTTCTGTGCCTCTGTCGGCTCGGGACCTGCGGCAGATGGCAGGGGCACTGCATACACATGCCTGTTGATGCCAGTCTTGGATGCGACACCAAAGTATCTGTGAGAAGTTATTATACAGAGGCGATAGGCATGCGCGGGAACGTACACAAGACCTTTCACGGGGTCGACCTTGAGGATAGGGTCACTCACTTCCCAATCGCCTGAGGTGAGCCACCGAGGCACCCTCGAGTCAGCAGGAGTGAAGAGAGCTATATGGTTGTAACCCTCCCTAGTTGGCAATATATCAAGATATGCCGACGTCCCCAAAGACGCGACGGAGATCGGGTGCGTCAGGGGATATACGGATTGGGTCTAAATTGATAACGATCAGAACTAGACACGTCGTCAGCAGCAGAAGACTTGCGCTATCAATCCATCCGTCATCACCTTCCTCCCCTTTCTCCCCTAATGTGCGAACAACTTGTCCCTTGACAATTTTCGACCCGAAGTTGAAGAAAACAACATTCCCAGCATCTGCCGATCGTGTCACTTCCTTGAGAATAAGAGAATTGTTTGCCACCCAAGTAACCTCTGTAATGATGGAATTTTCTTTTTTAAGTTTGGATTCCCAATCAAGCGCCTGCGTGGCGGTCTCAACAGCCACCGTTTTGTTCTCGTTCAGATCGACAATAGCTTTATTGTAAGTATTGAGGGAAAAAATATGGACCGAAACCAGAGGGTTATTGAAGCCAGGCTGCGGGTATCGCGCGGGTGAGGTGAGTTCGCAAGGCACTGATGATAACAAAAAACAAACCTTCGGGTATCTCATAGAGACTCGTTCTGGGTATGGATGCACTTCGTGTGAATCAGTTGAAGGGTTGTAGATAGGGTATTCGAACATATTGACTTTCGTTTCATCCAGCCGCAGGTAGGCGACTCGCAACGCATCGGGAGACCACCAGAGCGCAAAATCAGATGAAAAGACCTCCTCTTCATACACCCAGTCAGGAACACCATGAAATAGACTAGAGTTTCCGCCAAAGGTAATTTGAATCGGAGTCAAAGTTTTTCTGATATTCCAAGAAAATTCAGAACGATGACAGAAGACGAAACCAAACGAATCGCCTACCCTACATCCTGAATCAAATAGATGTCGTTGTTAGTCACGAAAGCGACCGAGTGCCCAACAGGAGCCCATTGAGCATAGGCAATGACCGGGGGACTTGATGGCGGCATAATGGGTTTCGTAGAATGATCATCAAGGTTGTGTAGATAATAATTCCCAAAACTGCTATGTCGCCATTGCTGTAGCCGCAATCGTCAATATCAAGCTTCCTAATGTAGGATCTAAGACCTTACCTTCAAGCGGTCGGTTTTGAGGAGCACGTACTTCATATCTGGGCATAGCTTCCATTCGTTCCAAACAAGCGGTCGTCCATGTTCCTACATGTGGCGACTAACATCAGGAAAAACTATGGAATGAAACTGGTGTTGCATACGTCGTTGACATCTTTCTGTGACATTAGAGTCTTATTGGTCCCGGTGTCCAGATTCACCAGCACTATGTCCCCCCCGATCTGAACAGAGAAAACACCATCTCCAGCTTGGAACAATATCAGGTGACACCACCGGGAAAAAAAAATGATTGGCACCTTCGGGGACCCAATCAAGATATTTGCGATCATACGAAAATGTACCATTGAACACATGGTCCATGGAAAGTGGACGTTTGCCTCGGGTCTTAAAATACGTTCCATTATACGACTGCGCCGCGAATATGCCAATTACGGTAGCAAGCAATACAAGGCCAGAAAGAGCTAAGAGGAGGGTCCTTAGTGCGGTTGGGTGCCCCTGACAGCAAATATTCAGCCGGCGGCACGAGCGATGGTCACTTTCTTACGAACTTTGGTTATCCTGGTCAGGGATCCCGTGTATTCCAAGTCATCTTCATCTTCATCCAAGAAGGCATCCCGTTCGGTATCCTTCTCAATAGGCTCATCGTCAGAGCTAGGTGCAGAAAACTCGCCATCATTATAGTAGGTCTTCGGCCGCTGGTCAACCTTGCTTTGATACTCATCAAATTCGAGTCTCGAGTCATCCTGTGGAACCTGAGTATATGAAGATTGAACACGCTCCATGTAGTCAACTTGTGTTTGTGTACCGAGAACGTCAGGCCTCAGGACGGGCACGAGGCGTCGGAAGTTTCAAACGCTCGCGACAGGCTCGCGGAGGGCTTGTCAACTGTGTGGCGATGCGCTTTCACAGCAATTATTTATGCAATCAACAACCAAACAATCAACGCGGCTGGTATGCATCCGCGCAAATACCCCCTCAAACTGGATGGCCGAGCTTACAGCGCCTAAACAACTCTCAAACAGTAATTCTTATTTCAATACAAATTTATTGATTGTCCCTAACCTGCAAAACAAGTGGCACATTTGCAACGGAGATGTAGATTTGCTGGTCATTTCTCACGACCAGGCGGATTCCCACGGCAAAAAAATTGGGAAACAAAAGCCTCGGTCAATGGGGTGCCCCTGTTTGCTATTGAATTATATATCCTGGAAGGCGTGGAGGGATAGGGTGATGATTGTAATGGCCATTTCGAGGGATTTCATGGTGAGGAACTGGCTCATGGTTAACTTACGTAGGAGATATATGCCCTGCCACTTGAATAGCTCTGATAGCGCTTTGTCTGTTCATGGCGGGCAGCATGGTAAATGCTTTCATGCGAGCTTCCACAGAATATACTAAGCTATCCCCTGAAATTTAAGATCTAGATTGAGCGAGTTTGACGTTGTCAGCCACATATTATTGCAGTTAAGTAGTGGCAGAAAAAAAATAGTGTATACCATCTACATTCTGTAAACGGTGCTTCACGCAAGACAAGAAATGCATGCCTCTCACCCAAAAAGCTGTATGGTGAAACGAGAGATAGCAACGCACATGAAGACTGCTCCGATACCTCTTTCAAGGGATTAACAGATCGCTGAGCCTCAATTTGGGCGCCAACATTCAGGCGTAATTAAGTGACTTCAAGCGTTCTGGGTTTCACTTGATACTCGATCAGATGGTGGACCGCCGTTTTAGGATATTGCATCTCATACACCAAGGTCAGGATCAACTGGTAATCGCAGAAATTTCGCAACGTCACATTTGCCGGCCACTTTACAGGGCCCTCGTTACCAAACCCTCCGGGAGCGGTGAGCTCAGCGCTCAGATCTGAGAGGGTTTGGGGCAAGTGAAGAAACTTCCGACAGGGGGTGATGACACAATGTGTGCCTTAAATACCTCCACTGGATCAAGAACCGGGGAGTGGGATGGAGCTTCGGTAAATTTGGGGTGTGCTTGGATGGTTAAGAGGCGCTTGCGAGGTCCGTCGGTTGTTGCAGTAGCATACTGCTCCCTTGTCCCATGTAACGGTAGCGTAGCCGGTAAGGATGTAATATACACACCACATAGTGACGGCGAGAGCGTTGGGTCCTTCTCCGCTCTTCTATCAACGGCACAATAAGAATGAAATTCCATCAACATTGTGAAAGTATGCAACGTGAAGAATCCACTCTGAACTCATCTAACGAAGTACGGGAAGGCACCAGGGTCAAGAATTGCATGATATGTGCGGCCATTGACTGAAAAGTTGGAAGCATTTTCTGGGAAAACATAGGAATCATACTGGTTAAAGGTTTACGCAACACGGCATGCCAAGTGCGCAGCTTCATAGTATTGCTGAAGAATCACCTCCACCGCAGTCCCTCGCTGTTGCTTGAGTATGGCCACTGAGCACCCAAAGTCGACTCATAACAAGACAATTTCCGCGCAATATAGGTACTTTTAATCATTGGAATTGGAGAGTGAGAAGTTGAACCACACCCCCGCACGCATCAAGCAGTGCAGGGACCTAATTCAGTACTAGTTCCCATTACACAATGAGCAGGGTTTAATTTGGAGAGCATGCATCCCCTCTTCATTGAGGGGTTCAACTGTTCGATGAGTGGGATACTGGACCAGAACGTGTAACTGCACAGCCACCGTCGCCTTCAGCCTTTTCATGAGCGGTGAGAAACAACCCGCCAAGCTCGCATATTTCGTGATCTACAACCCGACTTTGGGGCCCGGCCATTACACAGAAGACGATGACGAGCTCGAGCAATCACATATTTTATTCTACTTTTCCCATTCTCAAGCTGTCTCGAGGGATACCATGCTCCGCCAGGTTGGCTTGGCTAAGGCGTTGGTGAATTTCTCCATGTAAGGCACAAGGTTTTCCGATACCAGGGAATGTGCACCTGAGGTCCATTTCACAGTCTCTTCACAAAAGAACACCTCGTCGATAGTGTACATTCCCATCAAAGACGAATGGTGATGATATCGCCTGAACCTCACTATTGGATTCACGCGGTCTGTATCCCCCAGATCATTTACCTAATTGAATATTGAGTGTATGCTCATGTGGATGGTTTTATTTGACCAGTGTATTGACCTTGCTCGCGCCTCAAGACCACCCCCCAAAGCTAAGGAGAAGGGAACGGAGGCAGGCACAGAGCTTCCAGAAGCATTTGATTATTCCGAGCACCATATTCATGACATAGTCCTTCGAGAATACCTTCAACGATCATATGATGAGTTCAGAGTGAGTCAGGCCCTTCCTGCACACTCAACACGCAACCATACTGGTTATGCGATAGCTACTGCACGGAACACTCGAGGAAACACTTCAGCAGCACGGGAAGGGTACTCTTGAGAAGATTCTAGAACAATTTTACAATATTTGGATATCAACATGGGATGTGTCTGCGCCTCGCAGTCTTCCTCTGCACATGGGTAATGGTGTTTTTCTAGATCATTTCCCCTTGCGCTCACCACAGTGCATTAGGGATCCCGTTGCATCCTCGACATGGACGGGTGGCCGCACAAATACAGAAGTTAGTAGACATTCTGCCGCCTACATCGAATCCATTCATATTGGACAACCCGTCATCGTCATTACTGGCCGTACCTCCCCAAGGGTCATATCCAGCATCACTTCCTCGGTATCTAAGGTATCACATGTCTTCTTCAGATGACCATACAACACGGAAGCGTGTCCTGGAGTCTGCACTATCTTCCGTCTTGGATTCAACCCAAGACCAGACAGCGACAGCCCCTGACCATCAAAGCGCCGCGGCCTTGGCACCCGGTCCGCTATCCGTGTCAAGAAGCTTGGCGGCACCATTGGCCAACGCTTTCGTCTCTACGTCGAATGCGGCAGTCACAGCTGGAACTACCCTCATCTCGCCATTCCAGAGCATGCCACGTCTCACTAATCCGAAGAAATGGTGGCCTGGGTATCTCACAATAAAACGCCCAATAAGTGAACCTAAGGAGGCTCAGGATACCTCGGCTACTGACACTAACAAGGGTTCCACGGAGGCCCTCGGTGTCGTTAGGTCCGGGATTGGGGCGGAGCGGCCCAGTGATCGATTAACTCATCCTAGTACGGATGCTGAGGCTCCCCCCCACACTATTGACCAGATCTCACTCGAAGAGGCTATGAGCCCACTTGGTGGAAGTGGGATTTGGGAGCACTCTGCGCTTCCGCCATCCCCCCCTCCCCCACCTTCCTTCTCGGAGTTACGCGTGCATCTTCCCGTGGAAATCGACGGGCATACGACAGAGCAACGGAAGTTGTTGCACCTCACTGTGAGGTGCTCTGTAGTCCGTGTATACAGTCAGAAAATAATTGATGTTTCTCGTCTCGTAGAACTACGGGATAACTCTTGCGGTTTTATTGGATCCCCGGTCAGAAACTGACCTGCAGGCTATACGAGGCGAATCAACAGGATATTATGATTCTTTTGAAGACACGATTGCTGAAACGATGCGTGATATTCGGGCGGAACTGGATCAGTTAACAACAGATGTGCCATTGTACGCGAGGTTCCCAAATTAAATAAGCTCTTGGCTCAAAGAAGGGCTTAGATGCAAGCCTTCATTAACCTCTAGCACCACAGCGCCATCCCAATTCGTAATATATGATTCAGACAGCAAGGCGACACTCGTCTATAAGGATTCATATTTCGGAGACGGAAATCAAGTTCTGTTTGGGACACAAGATACATTCGAGAGGTATGAACTAATTCGCCCATCCTGGATATCTCTTTCTGAACTAATTGGCTCCTAGGCAATATGACCCGCTCGAGATTATTGAGTCCACCACCAGGTCCACTTCCAACCATTGGTACGCTTCGCGAATGGGCCGGCCCAATCCGAGGGGCATGAGTGGCATCATTGAGATGAAACCTGGCTCCATTGTTCATCTGGATGTTGGGAACACTCAAAGTTCCTTAGTGGACGTTGATGCGGAGTTGGGAATTCTCGTGAGGAAGATGGCAGAAAAACAACTACTAGATCCATGAAGGAGTGGCATTGAAACAGCATAGTACACTTCTACTTCACTAACCCTTGACTAGGATTGGGGCCGTACGGGCGGGCTATATGCGTCGCTTCCCAGTGCCTGAACCCGGCCCACGCCTGTCACTAGATATACGCCCACACGGGTCCGTTGAGCAGGTTGTTAAAGCCTCCTTGCCGCAGCCCATAGTTAAAGTAAGATTCCCCCGTTGCTCGTGAGCAGGATCCAGATGGGAAATTGAAAGGACGCTTCGAGCAAATAACTTTGCCAGAACATGCACAATGTGATGACTGAGCAATAAAGCATGCCCAAATATGTATTCTTATTGGTGATGGTTAGGTTAGACTTGGAGCGGCGCTAATGCATGTATAGCGAGAGGATTGGGACGCCCACAACACACGGCGGAAGGCTGGAGTCTTCCAAGTATTTGAAAGCCATTGCAGTACTTGTGTGAGCGTTATGCGACGTAAATGAGGCTCTGTCCAACAATCGAAGTCCGTTCGTTCCTGGCTCATTTCAGACAGAACTAGATTCTGATCAGCCGATGAAGGTACATCGCAGCAACATCGATGTTGGTTCCCAACTTTGTGCAGACCGGCAAATGCCATCCACGCTTTTGCTGCAAAAAAGGGAGAGACTCAGACGACCTCCCCCAACCTCCTCGCCTCAACAAATCTTCATCATCTACACGGTCCAGCATAAGTGCTATTGATGGGAGGCGGACCTCAAGGATCCCAGGATGTGACGCGTAAGCGTCCTCGCTCCACCACCTCCTCGGATTCTTCGACAACATACAAACGAGGCGCCTCCGAGGACGCTATAGCTTCCGCGGCAAGCACTCCATCAGCAACGGTGACACCCTCTGTGGGCATGGATGCCTACATGCGCGAACAGGATAAGGATGACGTCTGCTTGCCTGGCGACACCATCACACGTGGAAATGATCCAATTGCCTCTTCTTCAAAGCCGATGCCTATTCCCAGTGAACAGCTCACTCTGATCGAGTCTTTGGTGCAGCGAACACCCCAACCTGGAGAGACGTGGTACATAATCTCCCGGGGTTGGTACCAAAAATGGCACGACGCGTGTTCCGGCCGAATATCGAAGACCATATCCGATCCTTCCACCATACCTCTTGGACCAATTCAGAATGATGCTATTGTCGGTGCCGATGGAACCCTGAGGATGGAGCCTGCCTTGCAAGAAGGCGAAGATATTGAGTATCTCCCAGACCAAGCCTGGAAGTTGTTGGTAGAATGGTGAGTCTCCCAAGGGAGGTTGTGATCATTGTAACCTATTTATCATCAGGTATGGCTCTCCAATGAGTATATTCCCTCGTCCTGTCAATAAACGTGGATTAATCGAAGTGAATCCACGCACCCTTCGGATATTCTACACTCACACCGATCCGACACACCTCCCTCCAACCCGGAAGATATACCTCCTAAGAGAAGACACATTCGCAGATATCATACCCCGAATTACATGGAATGATCGTGCAACGTTGCACCGAATAGATGTTGACCAACCCTGGGAAGATGACACGCCTCTTAACCGTAACCAGCTCAAAAATATGAAACCTGTCCATATCTTGGGGCCAAATCCTGACCAGGCGGCACTCTCTCAGTCCGTAGACGACAAGCTTGAATTCAGTATGGGCGATTTGGAGGACTTCGTTGTGGACCTGACCCCTGCTGAGTCTGAGATCAGGCCTGTCGCGCCTCCCCCGCCCATTTTTGGGTCAAGTAAGGATTTTTTCTCCAAGTTCGAGATTGGTTCGAAAGGGACAAACCAGTTTGTGATGACCAATGGTGTTACCTCGGGCAGTCCCCGTCTTGCGATTGCAAGGAGTATTGCTCCGACCCGAACTCCAGGGACAATGGGTTTGACGAATCTTGGAAACACATGCTTTATGAATTCTGCCCTACAATGCCTAGCGCATGTCCCTGAATTAACCGAGTATTTCGTTCGTGCGTATTTACCCCCTTCGTCAGCAGTGACACGCTCACACATGATATAACTCAGGTGGAGTTTATATGAGCGAACTCAATCCTGATAACCCCCTCAGCACTGGAGGCGCCCTGGCACGCTCATATGGCGATCTCCTGCGAAACCTCTTTGCCCCGAATACTACTTCTACTTGCTACACCCCACGAGAGTTCAAACATCGGATAGCCATGCACGCACCCGCTTTCGCAGGATATCAGCAGCATGACTCTCAAGAATTGCTCGCTTTCCTTCTCGATGGCTTGCACGAAGATTTGAACCGTATTTTGAAGAAGCCATACGTTGAGAAGCCTGATTGGGAAGGCGGCGATCTGAAAGATCTCGTCAAGCTTGCGAAGGCCACGTGGGAAGGGTATCTCAAACGGAATGATAGCGCTATTGTAGACTTGTTCCAGGGTCAATATAAGAGCACCTTAGTCTGCCCCGTGTGTTCGAAGGTTTGTTGCATTCAGTTTACTGTCCATTGGAACTGCTGACTGTAGTCATTGCGCAGGTTTCAATCACATTCGACCCTTTCATGTATCTCACACTACCCCTTCCGGTTCATAAATTATGGAGGCACGAAGTCTCTTTCATCCCTTGGGATATCCAGAAACCGCACATCTCGGTATGATGTATCACCTTCGCCTATCAGAGGGGGTTAACAGATGCGCGCTTATGCCTTTAGGTTCGTGTGGAGGTGCCAGCAAACTCATCTATCCGCGCACTCAAGCAGCTTCTAGCGAAATGGTTTCAGACCGAGGCTGATCGCGTACGTAAAATTCAATTTGCGCTAGAAATAAATTAACTGGGTTTGATAGTTGCTCGCAGCTGACTATTTTCGATTCCGATTTTACAAAATTTATTCAGACCATGAATCAGTCGGGGAGATAACCAGCAATGACAAGACCTATATTTACGAACTTCCTATATCTGTGCGACAGCCACATTCGAAAAGAATGGACGCCACCAATGATGTGTTCATCATTCCCGTTTATCACATTCTCCCGCCACCCACGGAAAGTTACCGCGGGGGGTTCCGCTCCGTAGGCCTCGACAATCGTCTGTATGGCGCTCCGTTTTTCGTTTGTCTAGAGAACGTGGATGGCACAGCACCGCCACAAGAGGATATTTATGCTGCTATCTTAGAGCGTTACACCCATTGGACGGACCGTGCATCACACTTGTATGATTGGCACCATACAGACAGCGAAACCGAAACCGACACTGAGATGGAGCCCGCCACTCCTACCGCTGACGAGGAGAGCTCCACCCCCAACGGTGACGCTTTTCAGGATACTCTGATGCCATCTTCATCGTCATCTGGGCTCTCTCCCTCCCAGGACTCAACGTCCACAGGTCGTTCTGAGGACATTGCGCCCACCAGGGCGAAGCCTTCCCTCTTCAGATTTTACATCCGCGAGACAATCTCTCGTCTGGAAGAGATTGATGTTCAGTTGATGGACTTCGGCCGAGGCCGAGATGTTGAAATCTCCGCACGCGCTCTCACTTCTCTTGTCACAGAGGACTCGCCAGTGGTGACTGAAATCTCAGAGGAAACTCTCGAGCCTGTCCAACGTATTCGGTTACGTGTTTCGGATGCGTTTGTAGTTGAATGGGATCCTCAGATGCTGCTGTATTTCTTCGGCGCCGACGGCAAGGGCGAGGAAGCCCGGTGGGACAAATTCGAGCCTTATGTCGATCCTGAGACCTTAGCATCTCAGCAACGTCAAGCGGCTGAGGCAGCACACAAAAAGAAAAGGCCACTGAATTTAGATGATTGTCTTGACGAGTTTACCAAGGAAGAACGGCTTGGAGAGGATGACCTGTGGTACTGTCCACGATGCAAGGAGCACCGCCAGGCAACGAAAAAGTTTGAGATCTGGAAGCTTCCTGACATCCTCGTCGTGCACCTTAAGCGCTTTAGTAATTCACGATTACTACGGGACAAGATTGATGCAATTGTCGAATTCCCAATTGAAGGCTTGGATTTAGAAAATCGGGTGGAAGAACGTCGCGTGGCGAAGGAGTTGCAGGCCAATGGGGGAGATCTGGCTGGAACAGGGCTTGAACACGCCTTAGATGAGCCCCTTATCTATGACTTGTTCGCTGTTGATGAACACATCGGGGGGTTGGGAGGGGGTCATTACCGCGCTTATGCCAAAAACGATGTTGACAGGCAATGGTACCATTTCGATGATTCATATACGAGTAATGCTCGGCCCGAAGATTCAGTCGTAAGTCTATCGCACACAAACTATGACCAATGGACACTGATTGTCTTGCAGAATGCAAATGCTTACCTATTATTCTATCGTCGGAGATCATCGAAGCCTCTTGGAGGTGCCACCTATGAAAAGCTGGAAGCTGCAAGGTCCGCAGCTTCTGATGAGATATCCTATCCGACAGAAGAACCTGCTGCCACCGAACCCACCGCTTCGACCTCTCGTACGTTTCTTGGGCCCTTTATCGGCCCAGTTTTACCCGATCGCACCTCAACTCCGGAGGTTGGATTTGAGGAGACACTTCCAAGCTTTGAAGAATCCATCTTCGACCCGGTCGCCATTCCTCGCTCAGACAATGATGCTATTTTTCCTGGTTATGTCGACGATCGACGCGCTCCTTCGCCAAGTTCATCATTGGATGTGGACCGGGATTCTTCTGATCTCGTGGGTGGTAGCGAAAGTGATGGATCGCCTCGATTCTCTGTTGGCGTAGGTTCTGGTGGGGTTTCTCGCCTCGGACGGTCATCGGATTGGGGTTCGGAAAGCTATGTTAGGTTGGGACCGACTGACATCTCAGATGACATCCCTGACCCGTTTGAAGGCGAAACCGAGGAGTTGCAAAAAGTTGCCTGACAAGTAGCGTGCCAAGCTTGCACACAAAACATTTCCCTTGGCACATTTCGTCTGGACAGTTGATATGCTGTAAAGGGACTGCTGCACTTGCACCACAGTACTCTAGATAACACCTATGCTGTACAGAATTCTACAATAATCGTAATATATGTGTGTCCATGCATGTACGGATCACCGTATGAAGAATATTCGTTGCAGCTGGTGTCAGTTGGTTGTGCACAACTTAAGGAATAGTCAATTCATCATGTAGGATTTGCGGTACGATTCACGGATCCTTGTGCAGTCTCTGTTGAAAGGTTTGGCAAGGGATTGGAAGCACGAAAAGACCGCTCTCTTACCCCAGGGCCTTCGGTCCATAGGGCACTGTGACTTTGAGGAAGGAGTGGAGATCCATTTGAGCAAACAATGCATATGGAAGACATGAGAGCATTTCCCCCATACTAAGACAGTGATATAAGTCACGACTGATTAGCATCTCAAAATTGGAATATCGACGCACTTAGGGGACAATCGTCACCAGGAATTTTGCACTCTGGACAGCAGCTTTCATAGTTGAGTCGACAGATTCCGCAGAGGTCTTCCTCGGAATCGTCGTCAATATTGCCACCATCCTCTTTCCCTAAGTCCCATCTCCAAGCAGCAATGGCAGTCCACCGATTGACCTTGACTTTCATTTCGAGCCTGCGCGCAGAGGAGGGGGGACGGAAAGACCCGAGTGGTTAAACTCATGCGGTTAGAAGAAAAGAAAAGAAAGTACATATACCATCGTATCCAATGCTCTACTTCCACCAAAAAGATGTACTTTTTTTCTCAAAAATTGGCTCTGTTTTATACTTCCTGGGATTTCAATTTGAAGCCAGGTTTCAGCACTAGTTGTGTCGTTTGCCAACCTTCGGGGCCTTTCTGCGCTTGTCCGCTCTCTCTAGGGGAGTTATGCTGTAGCTGTTCTGGTTTCCGCACTGGCCCACATTCACATAGGTGATGCCACTAGTCACGAAGTCCGCTGACCTGATATCGCCGAACTTGCAAAGCGTGATTGAATCTTCTGGAACGGATCTGATCAGAAATTGTTATACCGGTGTGCAAGTGACTGGATCTCATTGACTGTTATTGTCCTAGGCAGGACTCCAGCCTATTAATGCCCTTCGAGTGACTGGCAAGGTAAGGGTCGCGAATAGAGGCTATTTCGAGATGAAAACATGCAATGATCACAAATGATCACCTCAATTCAGGCTATGAACATGATCGACAAAATCAAGAAAATAATGTGCCCTCAAAACCCCACAAACCCCGGGCCCCCTCACCACCACCCTCAACGGGAGCTTACCATGCGCCCATCAAAGTTCCCCCGTCACCTCTTCCTTTTGTTTGCTTGGCTCATGTCCCTAGTATGCGTCAACTAGGTGCGCCAATGAGTTGGGCAGAAGCAATGTCTGGAGTTCTTGCCGATGCTGAACCGTCCATTTCCTCACGACCGTACCACTCTCAGACCCATTCGAGTGGACTCCTGCCTACTCAACAGCAGCTTCGCAAAAGGCGAGATGCACCTGCATGCGTTCGAACGCGTGCACTCAGCGGAGACACCGTAACGAACCCTTCCATATCGGCAATTCCGAACAATAGCCTAAAGCAGTCACCGCTCGGACAGTTGCGCGGAACAACTGTGGTTGAGGACAGTGAAAAAGACGACCCATTGTTGGCGACAGGACCGCCTCTATCACCTCGGGGAACACCTGGGTCTCGGAGTGCGACGGACCTCGACCATTCCTAAGGAAGCGGCGCTACGTCGCAGAAGATCGACCTTCAATCTCTCTCTGCAAAACCCTTATCTGATCTGAGTAGGGACCAGAAACGATGCAGGAAATTCAGGATGAGGAGTGAGTTAATCCGGTTGCAGATAGCAAGGTCTAACGCTTGATAATGTATTTGGGACAAAAAGTGGCGGAAGATTGAGGAGCAGTTAGGACAACTGGTTGTTCCCCAACAGATCGTTGGCTGAAACATTCAAAGCGTTTACGCCATCTCGAGGTAGCCTTGAACGATCAAGTGTTCAACGTCGGATCGTCGAACCATGAATCTTTGTCCCCGCTTAAAGTCGATCGAACCGACTTCCGTTTGAATCGTTCCACATTCACGGAGAACGCGGACTTCTACATACAAGTCCTTAGGTGGATTCGTCAGACTGGCAGCGACATCTAACACATCCAGCACATCTGATCTGTAATCCATGATGAGTGCATTGTACTGTCGGAGGAAATCGACTTCATGGGGCGATATCTTGTGACGAATCTCTGGGTCGTTGAGGAGGTGAGGGAGTGCCCCATTGGAAGCCCAGAAGCTATCTTTGAGCCGATCAATACGGCTTGCGAGATATGAGAGTAGACAGCGTTTGTTATGTTGGACGGAAGAGTTGTAAATATGCATTTCGCACATAACTCCTTTTGAAGGCTCCGCGTCAGGATCCTTCTCCATACTCTCGGTGATGGCAGCTTGCATGTCCGCGTCGAGAGAGCGGATTTCACGCACGACGTTCCTTACGGTTTCGTCGTTGTAGTTTAGGAGGGTATCTAACGCCTGGGAACGCCGCGCTTCAATTATGAGAGACATTGCGGCATCGCCAAACATGATTTGGTATCCGTGATATAAATTTGTTCGTCGAAACAAAACGGCTGGGTCCGAGTCGGCCTCATGCTCAAACGTTCAAACTCTTGACCCGTCGGGACTTCGTTGGCCCCATGTAGTATCATGCTGGGGTTTCCATTCACACTCTCGCTGTCGAGCACGGTGGAAAACTCTCCACTCTTTTCTGCCTCTGTTGACTCGACGACTGCGCAAAGGGTGCAGAACGCCACTACACGGGGGGTCCGCAACGTCTCCACTGGTGGCTGCATCGCGCACAGTGGTGGGCTCAGCGCTTAGCACTTCAACTTTGGCCTCATCTTGGACTGAAGGCCGCGTATATACTATCTGCTGGGCCTTGCTGCCCAGAACTTCTGCTGGTGTCAAAACAGGACTGAAATGTTCGGCATTTTCAGATGCCCCTCTGATGGTTCGTACTCGATCCCGAGGCTAAATCTGGCCACTCTGGCCAACTCGGCGTTTATTTGACGATGCGGGAGACACTGGCCTGGCCATTAGGACATGTTCCGACGGCCCACGGCATGGATGGAGGCACTTGCCTGGTAATCCTTCACTGGATTTTCACTGCGGGCTCTGACTCGAACTGTTCGGTTCGGCGTTCAGTCCTGGTTCAAACTGGTTGTCTGAGAACCACTGCACCCCTGGTTGCGGCCCTTAACTCTGCTGGCTTGTCATTATCGGGATACACTGCCGCCTCCATCGGCTGAGGCAAGCTAGCTTCGTCTGAGTACGACTTGCTCTGTTTTCGTGTGCCTGACATGCGATGTGTCTCAAAGTCGAGACATGGACAAGCCCTGCGACTACTGTACTTACCTTGTTGAAGTTGCGGCGTTGTTGATCTTTTGCTACTCAGCTTGTGCACTATTAAGGATTGTTCCCTTGCATCTTTCCTCGTTCACGTACAACCGAACTTTCCCGCTTAGAGCATCTTGTAATTGACTAGCGGTTCATCGCTAGTTTCCTAATACGATGTAACCACATCATAACATACAATTTCCCCTTAGCTTTTTTTGGGCTTATTTTTGTGCTGCATCGCTCTTATGTTAGACCCAACTTGTGGTTTAACGTGATATGCTCAACCGCGGTTTACAATCTCTGTGGCAGACAGAGAGAAGACATGCGCTCTACAGAGATTGTCAGAAGTCGGCTTCTTCTGTAAGTATAATGCATATATCAGATACACTGGATATGACGAATTCACCCAAGGACTTGTATATGTATGCAGAAGTCCGCGTTCTTCGTGAATGTAGAAGGGGAGTTGGTTCGATCTGCTCACTTTAAACGGGACAAAGATTCACGACGATCCGAAGTACCTCGAGGTGGCGTGAAATTTTTGGATGATTCAGCTAACGATCCCTTGGTTCAACGCAGCAACCAACTGTTGTAATTGCTCCTCAATCTTCCGTTGCCCTTTTCCCAAGTCCATTATCAAGTGCATCATCTCCTTGTTCTCTGTAATCGGATTGGCACGCTCCTCCTCATCTCGGATCTCCTGAACCGTTTCCGGCTCCTGCTCCAGATCAGAATGCTCCAGCTCCGGTTTCTGCAAGAAGGGATTGAAGGATGGTCTTCTGCGATACAGCTCTGCCTCTTCAGAAAAGTTTGACGTCGCCCGCACTCCCCGAGCCGTATGTGGCCCTCGAGGTAATAGCGGTGGTCCAGTGGCTGACAATGGGTCATCGTCTTCATCGTCTTCCACTACAATTGTTCCGTACAACTGCTCGAGTGGCGACTGCTTCGGGGCACTGTTCAGAACGGCTGATATGGAAGGGTTCGTTACAGTGCCTCCGCTGAGTGCACGTGTTCGAACATATGCAGCTGAATCTCGCCTCGTGCGAACGTGCCGAGGGGGTAATTGTCTAGCAGGCAGGGATCCAGAACGAGTTTGAGGCTGGTCCGGTTGCGAGGAGATGGATGGTTCAGCATCGGCAAAAAAACCAGAACTCGTTGTTTCTGTCCAATGCATCGATACACCGCCAAGACCTCTCCTTCCTCTATCGTGGATTGGAGACATTGGTGAGCCACCCGAGCCGGGGAAGCGAATAGGGTGAGAAGGTGATGTAGGAACCTTGATGGGCGGGGGCGAAGCCCCCTTTGCAGGTGATGATGAAGTGGATTGAGCAGGAGAGTGGGGTTTTGAGGGTATATCAATCTCCTGGCTTTGCCGGTCGGGTTCATAGCCTCGCTGCAGATTCGACGAATTCAGTTGGTCATCCACCACCTTTGCCTCTATCTCAAAAACAGCCTCGATTCGTGATCCTTGCCCTGCTAGTCCCTCTAGGAAACCTGAAGGACAGCGATCAATGAGATCCAGTTATTTGATGCTAAGAACGTACTTAGAGGACGTAATCCTCGGGGAAGCATGTCCAACAAATGTGAGGCCCGTTCCAATGTTTTGGGCGGTCGTGATCGTGACAATCTTTCATACAGCCCAATCGACAACAAGATCGGAAATGCCGTAATTCTAGGAGAAGAGAGTGTAATGTCACTGGAAATATTCCAGAGCCTGGCTTGCTATCTTACCTGATCATTAAGACATTTACTTTGTGAAACCACCGCGCGTTGAGGATGAAGCTCAATGGCCACATAACTAAGAACGCAAAAAGGTTCAAAGGTGGTTGGTAAGAGAAAAGCGCATCAGCCTTCACCCTAGTTAGCGAAGAGTTAATATAGATATGTATATGCTGCAGCATTGATCTTCGCTGAGGCCATACCCTTCAATAGTAGAGACAGCACGACGAAACATCGCCTGTATTATATCAGCAGTCGAAATAGGTCAAACCCGAAGAAACTCACTTCAGCCTCCGCATCAGCGCTCAGAGTGCTGAACGTCTGTGATAATATCTGATGAAATATCGCTGTGAGGACAGGCGGATAACTGAGACCAGTCGAACGCACAGACACAAGGACTAAACCGAGCCGCGGTTGGTGAGAGGGTTTTTTGACTAGAACTTCATCCAAATCACAGACCTGTCAGTAAGAGTGTGTTGGAGCAGCACGCATACACGGCCTGTCGCATCCATCAGCCCGTTTCAGCTGGCATCAGAAGAAGTGGCGACGCTTACCATCAAAGGCGGCCCAAACACGGGATGGAAGGTGCCTGATATTGGGTATTGGTGTCATTGATGAAGCAAGTCGTTAGACTCGAGCATCTCTCTTACTGGCCAACTCGAATCCACTTGCATCGAGGCCGAACCATAGGTCAGCCATCCACCAGGCAATCTGGGCTGCTGTGTATCTGCGCGGAAGCAATAAAGCGAGGGGTGTTCGTAACATAGAGACGACTTGCCTTGATTTCCCAAACCTACGAATCCAAATGAATTGCAGTCCGGACGTCGAAGCTGAATCATTCCACTCACGTCCAGAGAGCATATAGAAAGCCTCCAAAACACCACATTGCAAGGGCCATGAGCTGGAAGAACTGCACAAACATGGAACGTAGAGATCTAATTGATCCCAGCTGTTGGTATTCCTCATTAAATAGCAATGCGACAACGCACAGAACCATTAAGTTGTTGGACAAGCTGACAAATGCAATGCTGGAAAGAGGGTCGGTGACCTACGACACGCTTCAAAAGTGAAAGCCTCACCGGGGAAACATGAAGACACCAGAGATAGAAACAATGTCAATGCTCAGTTCTGACGCCCAGGATTTGTGCTCGCGTGCACCATAAAAACGCAGCGTGATGTAAGGAAGGTATGTGACAACTAAAAAGACAAGGTATGTAATGGAACAAGAAACATGAGCATCTCATATCTCAACTGAACGCTAAGTCAAATCCATTCCACAGCTTAAAATAGTCGGAGGGAGAGGGGGGAAGATCAGTATATGAGATAAGAATCATTCTTTGTGAGCCTACATTCGAGTAATACACTAGAGAGCGGAACGGTTTTGATGAACCTTGAAGGACTATATCGAGGAACGTTGACGTACATTTAAGACCATGTTCCTGCATGGAAGCCAGTCGATCCACGGTGAATCCTAGAAGTACCGTAAATTTGAGGAATCTAGGCTAGACAGCGCCCGCCTTCAAATACCTAGACCATAAATGATAAAGGCCCATTCGAAGATATTGATGCGACCCAGTTCGTTGGTCTCCAAAAACAAGACAAAAAGGATAAACAAGAGGAGAAAGCTTCCCAGATAGAAGGATTTAGATAGGTTATCACGATCATTCCACTGAAAGTAAACATACTTCAAGTAATCCAGTACCGCTCGTATAGCAGGAACTTTAAGTCTGAAGATTGTCCCAGTTATCCCAACCTAAAAAAGAGACATCGGAGCAACTTACCGATAATGGTCCAACAATGGAGCCCTCAATGGATCGTAGAAGTGGACTGGCGCACGCTTGTATGTCTAGTAACAGACGGAGCGATTGTATACTGAGAAAATATGAGTGTATTCATCAACATACGTCGGATAATATGGCGTGATCGCTTTCTGGTGTGTAAATGATCTCGCCAGTCCAAATTCCATCTGTTTTGACATCAGCGCGGGGTGTTCACATGGACCAGCTGGTACACGCACTGATCACTTTCTGACTTGCCGAAGACTTGATAAAACGCTTAGCATCAGAGAGAACTGCCATCTCTATGGCATTTCCAAGTCTTAGATCCATGTCAATGGTATCTTCCCTATCGTCGTTAACTTTTGACAGTACTTCCTCATCAGCACCCGCGAATATAACCCATGAGGTAGTCATGACCATCGCCAACTCAAGAGTCTCATTCGCCCAATAACGAATAGCGCGAATGGCAAGAATTTCACAGAGTGCAGCACGAGAGAGAGACACAGAACGCGTGGCAATGTCCTTGTCTCGCATGAAGTTGGCGCGATTCAGGAGCAGACAAAATGGAATAGCCATGTTCTGAAGCTTGTTGTACTTTTCTGCGAGTGGTCTAAAGGATTGGATGAGTTAAGCTTGAGGCTGATAGAACATGCGCAACACCATACCGGACAAGCGTATAAGTCAAGTCCGGAGCAGTGAGCTATCGCAAATAATAAAAATCCAGTAAAGAAGGCATTGTTGACATTCGCACAGCTTCATAACTGAGAGGATTGTCTATGTAGTGAATAAGGTCTTCGCGAATTTGCTGAATAACAGGGTACACGGGTGTGGACTTGAGGATCTCCTGCCGAGGGATGGTCATGGATAATAAGTAACAATGTAACGAGTCTACACATACTTGCGCACTCCTAGTCAATAGGGGCGCTGCCTCTGCTTCATGGTCAGACATAAAATATCCGTCCGCCATGACAAGGTCAGTGATGAATTGTCCGGATTCAGTTTGTGAATGTATCTTTACAATAAATTCGGCCAACTCCGAAATGTTGGACGAACACGTGACTGGATTGTGGGAACAACATTACTCAGCGAGGCTAATTAGGTTTATCTTCGGTTTATCAGTCCTTGGCGCACCCTTGTCTTTACTACGAAACGTCCCTCGAGATGCCGTTGCCTACCGATAGCAAGTCTATTCTCCCAGATAAATATACGGACATTGAAGATCATGCATTGTGAGTGGCCCAGCAAGTCGAATGTGGAAGATTGATCGCAGATGCACCGTCTTTACGAAGGATCGGCAACCTCAGGACCGCAGCAATGGTAGGAATTTTCGCTTGAAGCTCCTTACAATGCCTATTAATTTGTTTCAGGTCAGCGTTGAAGGGATCGTTGAGTCCTACTGCATCCCGCATTTCGATTCTCCGAGCGTATTCGCCAGGATGCTCGATTCTAAGAAGGGCGGGCACTTCTCTGTCCACCCTACCATCAAGACGAACCCTAGGCAGGGCTACGTTCCCAGCACAAATGTACGTCAATCTGTGCGATCTCTGAAAAGTCCTCATTGACACTTGTATTCAGATATTGTCAACTAAGTATGTATTACTGCATCTGGTTCCCATTGGTTGCTCATATCATAGTCTGCAGATTTCTTAGTGACCAAGGGGTAGCAAATGTTATTGGTGAGGATCAGTCCGTTGTGTCGCGGCACACTGAGCTTAATATCAAGGTTCCAAGACTTCCTTCCTCTCCAGGCTCATTTCTCGCCAAATAAGCCTCTCTTACATTGGTTTATCCGCCGGGTTGAAGTTACACGCGGGAGAGTGCCCTTGAGACTCGAAGTTGCCCCTGCTTTCAATTATGCAAGGGATCCACATCAGACGTCGGTCCGTCATCATCTTTCATTATGTAATAGAGTAGTTGTATCAAAATTAGGAGAATTTCCTAGATTGTGCATGACGACTCATCCACCAACCAACAGAACAAAGCTATCTTTATATCCGAGAACATGACCCTTGACTTACGGTTTGTCGCTGAGGGTGGAGCCGATTCTGGAGCTGATCAGTTCCCGCCGAGTATCGACTTTGGATTCTTGGATTTGCGTCACCAAGTACGTTCTATCAATTTGGCTCTTTTCCCGGTGCGGACGTTGCTCCTCAGGGACACCTAGGCCTTTCTGTTTATGCCGAGTTCGAGCTAGCGGAGGGACAAGCTGTCACCTTTATCCTCCGCACTCCCCCTACGAAATCAAACCGTTCACCTCAACTTACTGAAGATCAGGCGGTTCAGGCGGGGATTCCATATGATAGTACGATTTATCTGCATTCTAAGTTCTGCTTAAACCCATGAATCATTAGTTCTCCTGCGTGGAGCGGCAAAGATGCGACCAAGAGACGATCCCCTGATTAACAAGGAACTTATGGCAATCCTTCTGAAAGTAAGTTCTCGAACACAGTATGTGAATCTTTGGAGTTCAATCTCTCGGACAGGAGACTAAAGCATATTGGCGCGGCTGGATCGGCAAATCAACGTATAAAGGATCGTGGCGCGAAGCGGTCCACCGTAGTGCGCTCGCCTTGAAGCTGCTGATCTTTGAGCCAACAGGTGGGTTACTGCTATGTTGGAGTTGGCGGAAGTGACTCAGTAAATTATTCAGGGGCAATCGTTGCAAGCCCAACTTTCTCTTTGCCAGAGTATATTGGAGGAACAAGGAATTGGTACGATTTGGGCTTCAAGCTCACACATCAAAGTCTCGCGGCTAATGTGGTCATAATGTTGAATCATCAGGGATTATAGGTGAAGACAGCGAAGGGTCAGTTTTCGTCACTTACTAGCGAGCACGTCTAGGTTCTCTTGGATCCGAGATTCGTCCTTCACTCTTTACGCACTCATCCGTCTCGGTTTCACCGAGGAGGCTAGCGCATTCACCGAGTTTATTTTTGATCGCTTGCAACATAAAGTTCGTGGTTCAGTTTTGGGCCCTTAATATGCTAATTACTCGGCAGAATGATGACGGGTCGCTACAAATCATGTACGTATCTGACTCGAATTCAACGATATTCTCATCCTGGACTCGGTTACCTAGGTATACCATCCACGGTAGGCATACCCACGGGCTACTCAGCGACAAGCCATGAGTCAATTACACGTAACAGGTGGTAAGGATCTCGAAGAAATCGAGCTAACGCATTTAGATGGCCACAAAGGCTCCAAGCCAGTTCGTATTGGTAATGGTGCTGCCGACCATGTCCAACTGGTACGCTATCCACTGCACCGCTGATTTGGACTTGGTCCTGACATCATCCGGCGTTGGTCAAGGATATCTACGGAGAATTGTGAGCATTGTGCGGGGGGATCGTGATATGGTGAGGACTAACGTCCTTGAAGAATGGACTGCATATATCTCGGACAGAAGTTTGGGAAACCTCTAGGATACGATCGCTGGTAGGCACTTATTTGCTATTTTCTCATTCGATTTATCAACATTCCGCCCTCCTCGAAGGGTGCAAGTGCGAGATCTGTGCGTTCATTCAGTCGTGCATCATGAATTCCTTTTCACTCACGCCAAGATAACTCTCATCAGAGTCGACTGTGTGTCTTGCCTATGCATCAAATACACTACGTAGGATTGATTAACTATTCAGACGTCATTGCAAATTACAATCGTCGGGACCTGTACGCTATGATTATCCTCATGTCCTCGACACACACCGACACTTGACCCCTTAGATCGATTTGGTACGTAATGAACCACCGCGCATACTGTACCTTGAAGACGACACCATGTCTACTGAAGGGAAGTCCGAAGCCGTGAAAGAAATTTCACTGTGGGTAATATTCGGTGATCTTCGGGAAATTAGTGAGACCCATTGTCGTTCCCATCTGCAGTATTCCAAGGTCATGTTGTGGTAAGCATCCTGTGTTAGGTGTCGCGGATTCCGTGAAGAACCTGCACCACGATAAGGGTTGCGATTGATCGTGGCATTCGTTTGGCCGAGAAACGTTCCCTCCCGTACGAATGTCTCGTCCTATCCCTCTGAATACATAACCTAAACGATTTGCCTACGCTCAGGTGTCCAAATCGGGATGTATGGTATAAGACGCGAGACTCGCTGTACGAAGAGATTATGCAAAGAGCTTGGAATTCCGAAAAGGGATTCTTCTCCCAATCTTATGAGGATCGAGTTGAGTCTATCATTGCGCCATTTTCTCTTCTGATCGATGACTTCCAGGACGTTCTCGATAGTGCTATGCTCGTGATGCCCCTAGTATTCTTTTGTAGCGCCAGCGAGCCCCGGTATGCAATTTGCGCACGTTGCTGGCTGATTCATGACAGGTCTTCGTTCAGCTTCTTGTCGACCCTTCAAGCAATCATGAGAAGCCCAGAAAGGGGAGGACTTTCTGCTAACAACCTCGTATACCGATATGATGCTACTGCGGTTGACGATGGAGTGGGCGGCGAAGAGGGTGGTGGGTCGATTCGCCAGACGTAGTCGGTATCTAATCTAGCTTTGTGCAGCGTTCTCTTTATGCACTCTGTGGGCCGTCGAAGCGTGAGTGTTCAAATTGGATATGCATGACTATCGCTTGACCGACTTTATAGACTCTCCAGGGCGGGAGATTTAGATAAGGCGGTAGAGATATTTGAGGTATGTGACAGAATTGCTCATCCAAATCACCCACACTTACACTCCTTTCAAGGAATTCCTTGGTTAGTTCAATTCCCCAAACGATACAATCTAAGTGTATCTCATAAGAGTTTTATAGACTATGGGAATCATGTCGGCTTATTTACGGAGGAGTCAGTCCGTTTCATGCTTCTTCTCGCATCGCGACGCGTAACTCTCTTCTCTCCAGGATTTCGCCTGCAGGAGAAGGTCTCGGGAACGCGGTGCAAGGGTTTACCCACGTTACACTCATTAGTGCGGCGTATAATTTGTCTCGCACTTTGGGCCATTTAGGGTGAGGGATCTGGGTCAGATGGGAAGATGATAACTACAAGTTGCCTGTGTTACGATGGCCGTCTGCTTTGAAATACGATTACAGAATATTCCATCCTCAGCTACATTGTTGATGTACGGTCACGATGAGCGAAACTAGCCTGCCGATCCCAGTGATCATGTCCACTGCACATATCGACGAAAGGTATAAATACAGCCAACGTGTGAATTCCAGTCAATAATGTGAAAGTACGATAATTTGCGTGTCGGAATCCAAAGGGATTCAGGTCAAAGTGATGGGATGATGGTAAATTGGAATGAAAGAACAATGAGTGGGAACAGGAGTGTACATAAGAAGCCTACAGGAATTGTCGTACAATAGTGAAAGAGTTCCATCGTTCTACATTATAATGCATCCGGTTTTGTATTGGTCATTTTTGGGCTTATTTTTTGTTAGGGCGGCAGGACGAGGTTCAGGGTGAGAAGTAGGGACGGGGTTATTTGTATTCGAGTGAGCTGGGGAGTCGCTTGAAGGAGAGGTGGGATGGGGGACGGCTCCATCGCGAATGTTCGCAAAGTGCCATGATCCTCGGGCAGAAGTACGGGCCGTGCTAGTACGTTCTGCCCCAGATGAAGAGCTACGCATACTATGGGCCCGATCAGATGACGCTGCACTCCTCCGAATAATCAGTCCCTCAGTTTGAGATGACGGACGGGGCTCGCCGCTTGGGATCGAAGACGTGCTGTGCCGTATCTTGCGCAAGCCTGCCAGTATGTGCCCAGGCAATGAAGTCGCCGAGCCTGTCATTAACTGGTCGACTCGGGGCCTGGAGTGACGAGTGCTCGATGTCGTGCGCTGGCGCTGTTGTGGCGATTGAGGCTCCGTAGCCTTTTGAGCCAAGTATGCGGCGTAGAGACGACCTTGTTCTTGTAGATCGCACACAGCCGATGCTTCAGAAACGCAGCGAGAGTGACAGATAAGACTGCATGCCTGGCACAGTATTCCTTTCTTCGCTGGTGTGCAACAAACACGACAATCAATGGCTGCAAGGAGGGCGTAAGTGCGTTGAACGACCGGCGCTGCCATGAAGCCTACCATCGACAAAGGATGTACGAACAAATGCATGCATCTTCGCTGGTTCAATTAGAGAAGGTTCGTCGAATTTAGACTCATCCCGCACCGCGTTAGACGCTTCACTTGAGGGGAATGGTCTCTGATGTGCTAAAGAGCCTCGCTGAACATCCACGCTTACGCGCCTGAGAAATGGCAGACTGTCTTGGGGTCGCAACTCCTGGAGGATGTTCAGGAGATTTGTTCATACGAAAAAAATGGCGTACTTTATGTTCTCCCCAGCTGCTCTTGAGCCACGGATGCTCAAACAGATTCACGGCATCGGGTCGCCTATGTGGGTCTTTGTCAAAGCACCTTTGGAGGAAATCCTTTAAATCGTCCGAGCACCCTGGTGGGGGCTGAGGACTGCGGTCCTCAACAATACGAAACATTACTAGAAACAACATTGGCGAAGGTGTTGGTTAGTGAAAAATGAGAAACTGACCAGAGAGCCCGTTCTGAATTTCCGCGTAAGGCGGCTTGCCAGTTATAAGCTCAATGATCGTACATCCAAGTGACCATATGTCGGAGGCCGGTGACGCGCCTTTCAATTCGATAACTTCTGGCGCCACTACGCTCACTGTGAGGTCAGCAACCAAACTATGACGGTTTACAAACTTACTCCAGTTGGGAGTCCCAGCCGCGTCGTTTCTGGTGTTCTCCATTGCATGCAAGTTGAGAGAAACTCCAAAGTCTGACAACTTAACATTCCCGTTCTTTGTTGTCAGGATGTTGGCAGCCTTGAGGTCGCAATGCACAACCTAGAAGTCAAAATTACGCATAGGGCGAGTTCGTCAGGACCGTAGCTCACCTTCGAGGTATGGAGGTAATGAAGACCCTCCAAGATCTTCACAACATAGCTCGCAACAAGCCTCTCATTCAACTTTCCAAAGGCTCTGAGAGTTTGGCCCAGGGATCCGTTTTCTACATACCTGCAAGGCCAAACTATTAGAAGACCTCACAAGTTAGGTGGTAACTCACTCCAACACAATACTCAGATGTTCTTTATCCCTCACCATGCCTTCATACTTGACTATGCTGGATGAGAGAGTCTCTTGAGAAGCTCCACTTCCCTCATGAGCTGAATTACTTCATCCTCCGAAAGACCTTCAAGTCGAATCTGTTTCACAGCAACCGTTTGGCCCGTATTTAAATTCAAAGCCCGATATACGGAGCCGAACTGTCCGCGACCTATGCAATTACCAAGTTGCTTCGGGGCTAAGAGTCAGTCATGAGGCCCCACTGCAACCAAGATACTCTGCGGCTTACGAAGTGCACGGTTGGCGAACCAGTCTCTTTTACAATCAGTAACCTTCGAATGGGGCCCATATCTGCCTTAAATTCCTTGAAATCGCTGGAAAAATCCATCATACTCTCATGGCGAGATCTCCTGCCCCGGTTCAGCTCGTTAGCTCTGCTGGAAAGTGTGCGGCCTAGGCCAACACCAGTAGCTCGTTCGCTACCTGCAGCGCCTGCATCTGATTGATATCTCACGCGCAACCCTATCCGTCGCAGAGGCCTTGAGGATGAAGGTTCAGAATTTTCACCTTTGGATTCTTCGTCGAGGCCGTCTCGCGAACCGGGTATAGATGTCAGAGGATATCCAACAGGGGCGGGGGGGAATATTTGCAGGCGATTCGGGTCAGTATTTGATTTGGGGCGAGGGAATGGAATAGGGACTGCAGGCGACGAGGTGGATGGGCTGATCGGAACAGAGCAATCTCCGTTGTCAAAGGAAAAACGGCTTTCTTCCAGGCCAACCTTTGGAACGAGATGCCCCCTGGAGCTGGGACGAGGGCCACCGGACACCCTATCGAATGCAGATCGATTTGAGTCAAACTTGGATGGACTGGGAACAGGGCTGTAGGAAATACGCTGTCCGGTTCTTGGGCGGCGCGGTGTGGGGCTAAATACTTCACGTTTGTCAGAGAGATCAGTGGGGCGGGACGATGTTGAAGGACTCGTGCTTCCATTTCGGACGGTGAAATTCCTCCTGGGTGTCTCCGCGAAATCAATATACACGTCTTCACCTTCCTCGGGTGCGCCCGTCGGACTCGCCACCAGGTACTCATACTTCGCGGATGGTGAAAAAGCATGAACGAAGCCGTCCGGCCATTTGACTACTGCTACAGCGGAAGAACGCGAAGGACTTTCATTACGAGCAGCGGTCGCATCGCTATTTATGCTGTTCCCACCATTGGCATTGCCCTCATCATCATTTTCCTCTGTTACGCGCATCAGATCGGAGGTCCGGCGCTCTCGACGATGAGGTGAAGGCGCGGGGGAAACGCCTTGTACAATCGCATTGCTAAGGCTCGTTGTATTGAGGGGCACCTGCATCGACCTGTCCTCCACTGGTTTCTTCCACCCGTTTCCGGGCTTATTAGCATTGCCGCCCTTCGAAGATATCGCATCCAGGAATACATCATCGAGCTCGGGGATCCTGACGCTGAACGGCTTGACCGTCAATTCCGTTGCGGCTGCCTTGGCCTCAGACCTTGATAATGATGGGTGTCCGGAAGATGGCACCATAGATGTTGCCTCTGTGATGTTCGTTCGGATACTGCCAGCTTTGGAAAACCCATCGTACATGCTCGTCGTGTCCGTCGCGCCCGAGGTGCTGGTAATAGATGCACGGGACACGGCGGGTGCAGGTCGCAAACTCGAGCGGGGTGGAGGCGAAGGTGGACGGGGCAGAGGGACTTTAGGCTGTCGGACGACTGATGGTGATTGGCGCTTCGGTACTTTCGCAATCGTCGAGACGAGAGAAGACGTCGACGCACTGAATGGCTTGTCGCTCCGGTTGTCATGGGTGTGACTTCTCTGTATGGCTTTTGTTGCGAACTGCAACGTGTCAACAAAACTTGACAGAGCAATTATAGTGTTGGCGACGCGGCCCATTGATTCCATTGTGCATTTCACGAAATCATCGCGAGTGCAGAGGGTGTCGTTTGGGATGCCGAACTCGGCAGCGGCGACAATGAAGCGCACTATATTCGAGGACTTTGTAACTCCATCCTCCCGATGGTCAATGCGGGAGATAATGTTCGGCCGCCACTTGTTCATTAACCTGTAAATCCCAGATCCGATCAGCCTACCTATATGATAAGGGAGGGCGTGTCACCCACTGGCAAAGGACGTAGCCATCTCTTAACGCTTCACAAAATGTCGCGTTTTCTCTCTCCTCACCACTACTGGTTTCCATCCCGGTTCGCTTGTTCCACCCCTTCTCCATCCGAGCCAGCTTTCTAGTCCTCAGCTCCATCTCTTCAGTCCATTGTTTATTTAGCATACTCCCACTCCCGAGATCACTCGGCGGCTTGAGCGTCTCTTTCAGGATGAAAGACGTTGCTGCGCGTATGGCCTCGCGCTGAGAGAAGAGGGAGTGTGTGCTGGAACTTTGCAGTTTTTGGGTATAGAAACTGCTGGATGAGCTAGCGGGCGAGGCAGGAGAGCAAGCTGGTGAAGGAGACCACGTGCGTCCTTTATCAGGGGATGCGAGTGTCGATGGGGACTGAATGGAAGGGCTTGAGACTCGGCGTCTGAATAAAGGGGTCGCTGGCGGGGTCAAGACACGCTTGCACGACGATGGGGATATGGATAGGGGGAGTTGTGTTGTGGAAGAGGACCTGATTGTTGGGGCTCTGGATGAACAAGAAAGGGTCCCAAGGGGTTTAGGGGGAGAGATATGAGAGCGAGTTGATTTTCCATCGAGGAATTGCGGGGAACATGAATTCGTCGGTTTCGGAGAATCAACAGTTGGCCTCGATGAAAATCGCTGAGGGGTGATTGCATTGAAATCAGATATCGAGCCGGGTAAAGTAGATGTGGAAGGAGACGCAAGTCGTGATCTCAGGCCAGAAATTGGGAGTCTTTTCGTAAGTGAACGATGACTGCGAGTAGGACCGCTTGAGGTAGCCCCGAGAAGGGTGGAAGTCGATGCGTTTGCAGTCGAATTCGTAAAGACATCATTGATGGACGTTGGCAATGATCGCAAATTCGATGCGGTACCTGACAGAGCATGCGAAGGCAGAGATCGTCGGGAATCGAACGTTGATGAGAAAATCCCGGGGAAGTTTGAGCCACTCTCATTCCTATTATTGAAGCGGGCGAGAAAGGGGGGGCGGCGCTCATCGCGCGCTGTAGGAGTTTGTTCCTCCTGTTGCCGTTCTATGCGTTGGTCGCTGTTGAGCGCCGCATGATCAAAGGACGCATCTCGCGGTGTCTTGATCTTTATATGCCCTGTAGCCCTGTTAAGTGTCTCCTGTAACGATGATCGGAGGGTCTTCTTCACCGGTTTCTGTTGTGCTTTGGTCGGTGATGAGCCACTGCAGGTAGTAACTATCGCAGTGCTCATTTAGATATGTGTATAATAAGGAGACACGAGGACGGAAACACCAAAGATGAGCCTTTATGCCACCGCTGCGGCAACCTATTGTCTGTGGCAAACGCAAGACTGCGTTGTGCGCGCTGAGGTTGAATAGCGAGAGCCAGCTCAGGCTAGAGAACCACCAGTGATCGCAGCACAGTGCGTTCCTCCGCCTGGAAAAGGGGAAATGCAGACGCCCTTTTCTGCAGGTAAAGGGGTTGAGTCTGTGTCTCCTCCAACTGTCAGAAGCAGCTCACCTCAAGGCTATTCGCCCAAGGGAGATTAATACAATCGAAGTAGGTGGCAGTGCCCGGATGTAAATCTGCCGCAGCTTCCCTTTTTTCGCTCAATGAGCTTGTTTGGTTCCTGAGCATCGATCGGAAGGTAAAATGTTTACGTGTGTTTGTGTGAAGCCAGCCTCACGAAACAGGGGTGGATGCTCTCCAGCCCCTTGTTGGGAGACAAGGACCCCTGGTTGACATTAAAAGCAGCAAACGGCATACATCACTCCACATCTCGCATAGGCTTTGACAGGAAATGACCATTCCGTCATCAGATTTCAAAATCCATGAACACGAGGTGAAATTGGATAGATTCCCCATCCCTTCATCTGACAACTTGCTAAAAATGGGCAGCGATCAATTTCAATTCCGACGGAGTCGTTTCTGACCCCTTGCATGCTCGCGGCGGCTCTTATGCGTGACGATATCGAAACGGACTGCCGTGCGCTGTGGTAGAGACTTAGGCGGTGGTAACGACTCTAAAGATGATAGAGAACTAAGGCTTGAAGAGGCCGAGACAGATCGCGGCCGGGCTGGTTGAGCCAAAGAAGCAGGAGTGGTATCCCCATCGACAGTAGATGCATTCGCGGCACTTCCTTCTTTGGCAACACCTGTGCCCACTCTATTTAGAATAGGGCCCGGTTCCGCTCCTTGAAATAGCCAAAAGTGACTGAATACGAGGTTCAGAAACAGCAATGCAAGCAAGAAATGGACAGATAGTCACCTGTTACCCAACCTTGTGGGGACCCTATTCATCCCATCGTTCTCATCAAATAACGACGCCACGCTGCCCTTATTGAATACTTCATTGTTCGGAACGCTGTTATCTGCATGGGGAGGTGGGGGAATTTGCCACTTAAGGCACCAGCAGAGGTGCTGCACGATTGTATCGGCATCTCCTAGGAGAACGACCTGAGTAGGGGAAACGCGGTCTAATCAGTCCCAAGCTCTCCTGTCCCCAAATGAAAGTTGCAATAACAAATGTAAGTTTACTTACATCAGGGTTTGCGTGTACCACGGGTGTCTTGTTGATCAGGATTTGAGGTATTGAATGAGGTATCCGATCTTCCGCAAACTCGTAAATACGATGACCCATTCATTTCCTGCAACTATGAACTTACATACAATATCTGCAACTGGAGCAACCTGACTGAAATTTAGAAATCTTTGTGGCTGTCAACATATCGAGGGACACACCTTGAGAGAAGTCCCAATGATGAGGAGAAGATCAAACTCCCTAGAGCCCATGTCTTCCCTTAGAAGATCGTCAAATTTTGAAGCCAATTTCTCCCCGAAAAAAGTGATATCAGGCTGCGTCATTACGGTCAGAGAGGGATCGAAGATCAGTCCACTCCGAGGCCCACGTTTCGAGGCTTCCAATTGAAGCAGAATCAGCAGCGTACCTTCATAAGATGACATTCACTGTTCTCGCCTTCCTCGTCATCGTCCCACTTCCCTTTCCGTTTCCCTTTATTTGGGCCCTTGCTTGACTTTAACGCTGCCGTACGTTTGGTACAAACCTCGCAGAATGGTATTGTTTTAGCGAATATGTGGTCCTCGATAGTGCTCCCAGGTACCGTATGACGGCAGACAATACAAGATGCCGTAGCGAAGGAGCCATGGCATTGAAATAGCCGTTTGATGCCAACAATGCCCTCGATATTATCAATGTTCTGAAAAACAAAAGAACTCGATAAGTGACGCTGCATCATGCCTAGTAGCCTGTGTGCCGACACGCCTACCTGGGTATAATTCCGCAGCAGCTATTGCGGGAAGACACTTAGCACACCCCTGTTAGGCGGCAAGGATCTAACTTACCGCACCGCGGTCCTCTAACAATTTGACAAAACGGTGGCAAGGAGAAGGGACAAAATTAGAAGGGTATATCTGGCTACCATATTCAGTGGTGAGCCTAAGAATGGGCTGACAATGACCATTAAAACATACTACGCAAACGAACTAAGGAAGTTTGGCAAGTCAGAAATTGCAAGATTTAATAGTTGTTGTGACACACGCACTAAAAAACTTCAGGATACATCTTAAAGTAGTCGATATCAAACATCTGCTGCGGGTCATCGAGCTCGAACCCTTTCAGTCTTGCATATAGCCCTGTAGGGGACCGGAAGTCGGCTGCGACCACACAATTGAAACATCGGCTCTGGAGAAAAAATGATAAACACTCACGGATACCGCAGGAAACCGAGATCCCTGCGCCCGTCACGACCATAATCTTGCGAGCAGAAGCTATCAGACGCACAGCGTCATCAACAGTATTGTACTGGGAAAGCTTCTCGCGATGCTGCCGGCTAAATAATCTAGAATTCCATGAGAGCACTGGCTGTATGATATTCTTCCCCTACATTCGGTGCATCGTTCTACGCAGCAGTTTGACTGCCATGTCCTCACCCATGGATGGCTAAGTTAACTTGTCAACAGCATGTTTTTACAAATCCAGAGGAAGATCACTCGCCGGAACGGTAACTCCAAGTAGAGATAAGAGGTGGCTGGAAAGCGCTGTTGATGCAGGATCATACTTCCTCAACCACTGCTCAATGCCTACCAGTGTTAAACTTAGCCCCCTTGATCAGGTTTAAGACATCATTACAATTCGCTCACTTGTATCCTTTAAATACTTTAACGCACGCGCATTGGGCTCTGATGCGAAAGGAATGTCTACTGTGGGATTTAAAGACGCCAACGAACCAACGGTGTTGAAAATTGAATATTGAATATTGAGAGTAGCTAATTTTATTTACCGTGAGACGCTTGATTGTTCGCCATTGAATGAATAATATTGGGATTTTTGTCATCTTCGGGATAACTTGAAAGCGAGGAAGAAGACATGGAACGCGTATCAAGTAAGTTTTCGAAATCAGAGGGCAAAATCTGAAAACATAAAATAACACGTGATCTAACCTTGGATTATTTCTAGCAAGCGTTCTTCAAGGTCCGAGATGCAATCGCAGCTAGCGTCGCGACTCAAGCCTGCTCCCCGGACTTATGCAGTTAGGAGGCGAGCCAAGAGGACTCTTCTTGACGATCTTCCTTTGTCGATGATGCTCCTCTGAAGCGAATGAAACGTGCCAGTGACCGTCCTGCCTCCCTCCTTCGCGTTCCATCGGATCAAGGGACGCGCGTATTAGATACTACCGATGAGGGGCTTTCAGGGGAAACGCGTAGAAACGATGCTCTAACTGATTCTCTCCCAACCCAGCGCGGATCCTTGAGATCGCAATGTGCATCTCCCGAAATCATAAACCCATCGGGGTTTGCTTCCCACTCATCCTCCGCGCAATCAAGCTCGGAAACGCTCATACAAAATCATTCTCCTCAGCCCCTCTCCCCGCGTCTTGCGTCTCCTTTTAGGGCGATTAAAGAAACTCGCACGCCCTCTGGCCGTCTGCCAACTCCTAGTCTCGGAGCTTTTAGAGTGGAATGTAGACATTCATCTGCCGGAATTTTGCAGAAAAGGAGGCTGCGGGCCTTACCTCAACGGCGGCAAACATCAAGTACTACGGAAGGCACTTCGAGTCGTCGCAGGTCTAAATCTTGGCTGAAAGTGCCACGATCTTCCTCTATACTTAGGTCCATCGCTTTGAACTCCTCTGCTACAAGGTCTAAGTCTAATACTGCCGCTGAGGTCTCGGATGAGCAGGAGGGAACGTCCCTGCCTAGTTTCTCTTTCGATGCACCCCAAGCTTTCTCAACTCCCCGCAATAAAAGCTCCGCTTCTGTCCACCTTAACTACTTTTACCGTCGCTTCGATCAGAATTTTACAGTCAAGCCCTGCAGCCCGACTCATGCTATGTATGAGTACAGTCCACCAACTACCATGAACCCGGCGGATCTCTTTGGACCTATTATTCCACGGCCCCCACGTTTCAGCGGCGCTGTTCCAAAGAATTCCCGCTCGAAAACGAAGAGGATTTGCCACTATAAACTTGACTTTTTGCCGTCTCAAAGTGCTGATGTTGTTACTGGCCACTCGCTTGCTCGTGACACGATGGCTGCGACGGCGTTTCCTCCCATGACTGATGAAAAAATGGGCCATGCTGACTGTTATGAAAATAATGTGCACCAGGCCGATGAAATGTCAGCGTCTTGTGATCCAAGCCCTCCAACAATCTCGGCAGAAGTTGACAAGGAAGTGATCGCCTACCCATATGCGTCGCATGACACCAACCTGTTGAATATGTTCTCCGCTTTTGACTTGGATTCTGGTACTACGGATGTAGAAAAACAAATGTTGGAGTATATCGTCACATCACCCAAAGTCGAGTCGCTCGATCGTCATGATGCATGTAAACCGCACAAGCCAACCCCCTCTGGGGCTCTGTCTGGCGATGGAGCCGCGAATCAACACTGCCACTTATCTAACGAGCATTGTCGGCTGCTTCAAAGCCCTCCTGAACACACTGGCTCACAGAGCAAGGTAATCCTCGACTCGTTCCAAGAAAGCCAAGGAATTACTCCCCATCGACCTTCCCCATGCACCCCACCGAACTGCAAGGAATCTAATCCCGTGAGTCCCAATCATCTTAGGACGACGGAGGAATTATAGCCATTCTTCTTTCCCCAAGACGGAGGGCAGGCGTGCAACTACTGGACGGGACTGCGAAAAGGGTGACAACGGGACGAAGGAGAAAAATAATATTGAACGCAAAAGAGGTCAGCGACTTGGGGGGAAGAGGAAGAGGGTGCTGGAGGAAGGGGAGCCGGACGAATTGCTCCTTGTACCAGGTCAATCGAAAAGGTGGGCCTTGTCACCCCCTCTCTCAGATCCGCACCTCACCATGCGGATCCTGGCGATTCTTTAGGTATTACTAATAAACCTGACTGAGTGTATGTGTTTCCCACCCAATATCAATGCTCTTTATCACGACTTCTGGTGCTGTTATCCAAGTGAACCCTGCAATGAACAACCACACCAAAGTACTCATCCCCGAGTTGACGACTTCCCTATTGCCCCTGAATGTTTCCGTGACGGGAGTCCCGGCCCTTGGACCCCTTGCATCACAGTTCTCAGACATATTCTATCGAGGGAAGACGGAATGGACCCCCCCAGAGGATCCTCCAGAATTATTCACTGCAGTTTGCGTCGCGGAAGCGTGTGCCTCATGGTTATGGTCGGATTACAGAGGCTCCACAATTTTCCACAACACAACTCCATCGTCAAGTGGGTGCAGCACCCCCTGCGACACATCGTACCCACCTCGATCGTCCAAAATCATGACGATACAGTTTAACATGAGTCTTTAGTAGCAAAATTGCCCTAGTGAAAGGTGATCCCTGGTGTTCCGGCCGCAATTCACTTTTGCTGGGAAGGTGGTCCCGTATGTGCTGCCCTAGGCCTTGGGTATGGCGATAGCCCCATTGACCGCGCCTAGCCATAGAGACCTCAAACTTTCACATTGCTGAGGCTGTTGTATCCAATTCTGTCTCCACGGTCGACACCAATTGCACTAGGGCCTATCACCAAGTTATTTCCACGTCATGGGGACAAGAAAAGCAAAGCCTCTCGTTTTGGATGAAAATCTACTCAGACTTTGTCATGAGATCTACGGCAAACTCATTGACATTATCTGTGGGTCCAGCCGCTGCCATCCTCGTGCAATACTATCGCTTCGCACCTTAAGCTCGCGCCGGCACCACTCCGATTCCCCGTTACCGCCAACATTGATGCCAATTCCTTTAGGTCAGCGGACGTAGTTAGCCATCCAGTGTATGGGTGTAGTGCTACGTTCCTAATATTTACGATGACCAGACCATCCCAGAGGACTTGACGCTGTCGTGCAACCCAGTGCAGTCATAATAAGCCTATGGTGCATTGTCGGGGACATTTGTGGATTGGTAAACTGAACACGACCAGTACGATACAACATGCATATCATTGATGACATTAATCCCTCTCGATCGAAACAGCATCAACTGCACGAACAGGGGTGGCCACCTTGACAGTCTCGAGGATTCCCTCATCGGCAGGGAGATCTGACCCCAATTCATCCTCGCTGAGAGAGATACCGAGAACAGACTGTAGGTGACTTTGGCACCGACCTTACTCGCGACGATGTTGGCTTCCTTGCAAGTTGTCATCTTGATGCCTAGAGAAGCCGTAAACATTTCAATCTCGCCAAAACACCAGTATCAACGACGCACACTTATCGCACCCTTCGTCTTCCATGCAGCTGCAGTTTTCGATCACTGAGAGCGCTTGGCCCAGAAGGTCACCTACTGAGGGCCAATCATCAATATGTGGTCTGTTTGACTGGAGGGCATTGCCTACTGTGGTCGAAAGCCTTTGCACATACGCCACTACCAGTCCCAGCGGCATCGTAGAATATAAGTCTGGGGGGATCGGTGAGCGATGGAATCAGTTGACCATCCTGATATTACCTAGCTGGTCGCTTTCGTTTTGACTCCCTCACACTGTTCTCCTTTTCTGGGGACTTACACTCGGTTTTCACATCACCCTTTGTGGACATAGAGTATAATGGAGTGAGGCTGAGGACTGCATGCTGTGCAGAATGTATGCCTTCGGCGGGATTTCGACCTTTTCGAAATAACAAGTCCACACAGTGCTTGGGTATATCAACCCACATCCCCGTGCTCTCACGTTCAAACGGGGGGGTCTCAAGCTGCACGGTATCGAGAATGACATTGTGCCTTCCGCTGCATAAGGACAACGATCAACTGCAGAGGGGAATACTTACCGGATTTTGAAAAATCCAAACACCACGGTCACTATCTCAATCCGTCCAAAATACGCAAGGACAGGCGACCCGCGTATTTCGCGGATACGGTAAGTATGTGTGGGGTCAATGTTGCTATTGTACGATGGGTGTAAATGCTCAACAGAGCTTCTCGGAACAAACTCTTACGTGAAATCCCTAAGACCCAATGTCAGCGAGGGATAAAATGAAGGACGGACGATGAGAAAAACCCACCTGGGCCGCGTGGTCCAGTTCACATCCGAGCGAATTACCTTGGCGGTTCGTTCATCATGACTGACCTCCTTGACCTGTAAAGACTCAGTGGACGATGGGGGAAGTCAGTAGACGAACACCGTACTATGAATGTCATGCCTTGGTGCATGAACTAATTTGAATGCTATTGTGGGCGCAGAGCAAGTAAACTTCCGCTCGCAAAACTCACCACACCGCCTTCATAGGCCTATGATGGCGGATGTCAGAAAGTGAGCATTGGTCCAGCCAATGACTGAAATGCACCTCGAAAAGCGCGCGTGACACTTCAATCTCTTCCAGAATCCTCGATTTCCCCCCAGGACGTGATTTATTGCTCATATCTACGACAGTATATTTGTCCTCTCGTGCACCTCTTAAGGCGACATACTTTGCAGGGTGGGGTAAGAACTTCGGATGTGTGTGATACCTACACGACCTTCGTCATAGTGATGTACAAATCGTATAGAACTCACCAGCCATCAGAATCCTTCTCCAGCCTGTCTGCACATAAAGCTTTCAGATTATGCCCAAAATATATCTCGTCTCTTCCGGGATCAATAGGCATTTCGTGAGCCGCGCATTGAACATGGCTCTCCAAGATAACTGTATTCTCGGTGTCGATGACAAGGTCTTCCATCGGCTGAAGTCCAAACTATCAATGAAATGGCCGGAGGATCAGGCTCAAAGCCAAGCCTACGTGGTCAAATATTTCTTCTGGATTTTCAATGAAGTGCTTGTCAATTGCTAAGGAGTCTGATATAAGGATTGAAATGGAGTCCCTGGAGCGACGCCCCGCTCTCCCTGATTGTTGCCTCTGGGTAATACGGTCAGCTGATGACAATGAAACGCAACGCAACACGTACGAAACTCGCCACATTAAAGGGGAATCCCAAGGTAACAACGGCATCAACTGGATACAAAGTGAGTCTAGAGCGAGTTTATATTTCCCTATGCCAGGAACGTACGCGAACCAATATCAACGCCCAACTCGAGGGCATTCGTGGCCACTATACCCAACAACTCTCCCGAAAATGCTTCTTGCTCAATCCGCCTCCGGTCCTGTCTCATTTTTAATCGAAGATCAAGTTGGAACGGGATCGCACTCACTTCCTTTGAATAACCCCCTCGATATGCTCTTATTTTGTTGGAGATGTCCGTTCGACCTTCCGCGAGCAGATTGGCGCGAACGCTTTTCAGGAACTTGCTAGACCTCTTAGAGTGGAGAATGTTTGATATTGCATGAAGCACTTGCCAGTTCGCACGATCGCCGAGTCTGAAGTCAATAAAAGGGATCAGACAGGCAGATGGACACGAAAGAGATCAATACCTTGCAGAATACGATTGTTCTGACTCCTCTCTTCATAAGGAAGACCGTCACTGCAGAGCCCTCCGCCATGGATTTCACCCTCCCTAGCTCTGGCACCTGATCGTCTACTAGTGGCGGCTCCCAAATAAGGAAGTCCTTTCTCCCAGCAGGTGCACCATCGTTCGTCAGGACCTCAACATTCTGAGAATATTGCAGTATCTCAGCCGGCGTTATGGGCAGAAGGGATTGCGTACATCAACACCAAAAATATTTTGCATATGCTCCTTTGGATTAGAGATGGTAGCTGTGCACGACACGAATTGCACACGGCGATCTTCCCAGCAACTCAGTCACACGGATTCAAGATGTAACAGATTCGGCTCACTTCCAACCGCGGCACATACTCGTCGCAAGCGACGCATTACTAGTGCAACATGGCTGTGTTCGAGTGTCCATTGAGCCGAGCACTCCGTGTATCTAAAAGTGCTGCTCACCTTCCCATTAATCCATGATAATAGTGGAGTTCATCTACAGCGACCAACTTCATGCTCTTCAAAAATCGTCTCCATCGATCTTCGTTCGGCAGTATGCTTGCACTGAGCGTATCGAAATTGGTGAAGATGATCGCGGCGTTCTCGCGAATGTCTCGTCTCTTATCTTGGGGTGTGTCTCCATCATAGGTTTCGATGCGCAGCTGCTGGATGCTCTCACACCTCGCAAGAAGCTGCTGGAGAGAATTTTTTTGGTCCTGGGCAAGAGCCTGGGAACAGGGCATTAATGAGCCTCACCTCATCGGAGTGGGCAAATGAGGTACTTTAGTTGGATAGATAAATATCGCAGTCGCCTCATTGTCGTTTTCGAGCGCTGTCAAAATGGGAACCTTTAAGAATGTATTAGCACGGAAACGACTTCTACATGGAGGAAGATCAACTTGATAAATGAGACTCTTTCCTGACGCAGTGCTCGTCGACACAACCACATGCCTTCCGGCCCAAAAGGCGTTAATAGCATCAGCCTGGTGAGCATAAAAGCCATTGACACCCCTCAATTCCCTCAGTGCTTGAGCGAGATCCTGAGACAACGGTTTGCTAAGGGTTTTATTTTGTGCTGCCCGCTCTTCAAATATCTGGCGGTAGCAAATTTGTCCTCTGTACGAATCGGACTGTTGTATCTCCTCGATAAGGGATACAATGGATGGACGGGAAGAAGGTGTTGGCACCCGTTCTGGGACATCGAGTCGAGCAAGGGCAATGGACGTTGAGACTGCTGGGCTAGATGCTGAAGGATTCACGGGAATGTGTTCAGCACCGGCATTTCGAAGGAGGGCAACTGGGTCCTCTCCGCTGGCTTGGCAGGCGAGTATCAATCTTATTGCATGAATAAGCTAATGCATGAAGAATGGGCAGAAATTATCTTACTCATTGACTGACGTAGAAAACCTGGAATTCCTCTTCTCGATTAGATTTTTTACGGCCAGAGGAGACAGGGATGGTGGCGCCGTAAGACCAACAGAGTTCTTTCTTGAGAAATGATTAGGATCTCAGCCCAACTCGGATGGAAAACTCCCTTACTTGGCTCGATTATTTTTAACATTTTCAACAAATTCCATGACCAAGACGTGGTCTTCTTCCTCGCCTTTAGGACCATAAATATCGGAGGATGATCCCTGGTGATGTCTGGAAGTCGAGTCTGACTCGTTGATACGATGATCGTCTGCCGGTATGTATGCAAATTGGACTAGATCTGGGAGAAGGGCTCTGCGCCTCAAGACTCAGCACACACAAAGACACAAGCTGAAGATTGACTGGCTTTATCTCGGCAACCTGATGCATTTCCAGCGGCCTGACAATAAACGTCATAATCAGAACTACTCGCCGACTCTGGATTCGTGCAGAGCCACACTTATTCAAAATATTCTCTACTGATGTTTTGATCGCTGGGAACGTCACCGCGAGGTTTTTCCTGGACGAACAAAATGCCAACACTGTATTGAGAGCCTTAAACATTGTGCTAAGTGATTCAGGGGGAAATGACGTTCAATACGACGGTTTACAAACCTTATAGACTTTGAAGAGCTGAGAAAGAACAGGATTAACGAATGATTAAAGATATACAAGGACGCCTTCACCGAATCGAAGTATTCAGGCCAGTCGCGTTTGATGTCGACAGCTTCTGAAGTACGTTGTGCTTTTGCACCACGAACCCCTTTCTGCAGCACTGGCCCGGGATTATCTATCGTTTCCGATGAAGCCCTCTCTCTCTTTCCTCTTGAAGACATGAGCGACAATTGAGGGCACCGAGGCCTATTCAACGGGATTTACCGCGTGCGTGATAAAAAATTTCTCCTGCACACTGCTGAGCGCTCATTCTCAAGAATGCGAGCCTCCATGTTTTCACTGGTTCGAGTTTTGCCACGGTCAAGTGTGCCGAAGGCCGCTGTCATTGAGAGACCCAAGTCTGAGATCCGGATCGAGGGCCCATCCCTCATCCGAGAGCTCGTCGCGCGACAGGAAGCTGCAGGCGAGAATTGGCCACCAAACCTCCGGATAGAAACATTTGAGGATAAGAAGCCCGATTGGGTAGGCGTGAAGGGCAGAGTACGGCAGGCGTTGAAGAAATGGATTAAGGAACGATGACACAGTTGTTCTGTCTTCCATAAGCGCCGGTGAGTTCATTTCAGGGCCAGGTCAGTTAATTCTTATTTGGTCGCTCAGCCAAATGTGCATACACAGACTCCCCCAACGTTATTTAAAGAATCCATTTATGATCAACAAAGTCATGAAGGCGCCGCAAACAGGTTCTTTCCACGATGATTCACAGAAGCGAATTCCAGACGCGAGTCCATCTCGTCGATTGTTCTGATGGATTGGGGTAGGGAGGAGCAGCAAGTTTGAGCGTGATGCCATTGCAGTGAAGTTTTACTGTGCACCTTGTAGACATCTCGCTTGCCCATGTAATTCCCCTCAATGGTGGTGAATTGAGAGTGGCGCCAAGTATGAAAGTTAAAAGGGCCACATATAGTTCAATCACAATCTGTCACGGTTGCAACACACAGGTTCGGGACATGAATATTGCAGTCCGAGAGATCATTCACTGGATGACTCACGTTGGATGGTAAGTGGCGGGACACCGTAAGTTTGTCTAAGGCCTTCAATTGCGAGAGATCTACAACCGTTCTTCAGCGAGCCTGCCAGCAAACTTGAATTGTAGTTGCGAACATTCGTACGTGGAGAAGGCAGCTAAAATTTCATATAGTAAGGAAGACATTACTCTTGCAATAAAAATGGCTCCGACCATGCAGTAGTGCCAACACGGCAACTGTCAATAGCGAACGGCCTAAAGTACGAACCATGTGGCCAAGCGCTGGAGTGGAACTTCCCGATTGAATTGGCTTTTGTGTTACCCTCTCTTGTGTCCAAAGTTATGTGCCTGCTGGCATACGGATGCTTCTTCGTTGCCTTTGAAAGAATCGGGACTGTGTCCGCAAACCCAATGAAAGTGGGGATTCCTGGCTGACGACACTTTCCCGTTGGGTGACATGCCTCATGCCAGGAGCTGAACCTTCACTATTCTTGCCGTTCCAACCAATTTCTCCAGCCCTTAGACCAGCTTGCAGCCATCACGCACTCCGCACCGGCTTCATGTCTACCCAGGAATCTCGTAAGGGGTCAGCGAGCCTCTCAAGCCTCCTACCAATTTCGCGAAATTCCAATGATGCCAGTGGTTTGAAGACATCTCTGTCTCTTCATCGTATGAATCGGTAGATTCGGAAAGCGCTAGGTCCTAGCCGGGCCAAACGAGCACGGAACGTCTGCGTTGTCTACTCCCAATCCGTTGTCGTCTGACTGTTCCAGGCCCTCCTTCATCTCCCAACGCCTCCGACTGAACTTCTAAAGAGCATTGGAAGAACAGATCAAGTAGATCATATTGCTCAAGAGCCAAACGCTGCGAAGAGGATACCCACAGCACCTGATACGACTTGAAACGTTATTAGAGTCAAGGCTTGCATTAATAAAGTCTTCTCTTCGATTAGTTTGCCGTCATGTCAATTAAAAGGGCCCTCAGACACTGGGGAAACAGCTTTGTGCATAGTTGTTCTTCACGCGGTTCAGTCGTCGATGCAAAGTACTTTTCTGTCCGCCTGGCCTTGAACCCTTCACTGAATGCTCCTGCCAGCAAGAGTTGAGCGAGCTGCTGCCGGGAATACTTATTTAAAAAGCGAATTTATAAGCACACGGGTCGAGATGCGAGAATCCATGTCTGTGGAATCCAAGAACCTGTCTGGCTATGTGACTCTCCCGGCGCCTTGAAGCCGGCGATATTCATGAGCATCGCGCCCACCTTTAAGAATGGCAGCCTCGTATGAGAACCGAAAGGGAGCGGGCCTTGATTTTATCGAAAATTCCTCTCAACCCTTTTATTCCAGATTGCGGGTTTCGGGGGCGTCCTCGGTCCATCGCCTACCAGATACCTTCGACGGGTGGGTCTGAAGCTGGACCGGAATCCTCCCCTGGAGAAATTGTACCGGGATGTGCTGTGCTCCCCCAATTTGCACCGAAGTCGCTTCGGGGTTGGGTTGAAGCTCAAGTTCTGGGTGATGACATTCCATGTGAAGATGAGGTGCGATTCTCATACTCAAATAACTGTGGACGCCGCCTGACGCGGCAGAACCCGCTACTCAATCGCGCCCACAATTCATTCTGTTCCGACGTATGGACTTTACATCCCAGCTCGTTCACCACCGTGTCTATCGATTCCCACCGAACAACCTCACGCATGGAAGCTTAAGGCAGAAATATCTAACATGGTGAACCGTCGATCAGAAGTTCGAAACCTCGCCTTGTCAGTTTCACGAATCAACGCCACATACTATCGAATGCATCCACGAGGCTTATCTTTTTATTCTCCTTCGCGACAGGCGTTCTGTTTTCTTTAAAAATAACATGTTGGAGACGAAAGTAAGTCTCTGTTTGTTGTCCAAGTAGTTCTAACCACATGAATTTCCACGACAGACTCTGCAAAGAAGCAATGAATTGTTGCACTCCATCACAGTGAAAGTACCCACCTTGAACGTGATGTCCCAGAGCAGACGCGTTCTTAATCCGGTTCAATGCGATCAGTTGATGGGCGTACTTCGATTTTGACGCTCGAAGGGGCGCTGCAAGGCATGCCTAGATGGATTTAGAATTTCGTGCTCATTACCTTCATTCGCTAAGAGACACTCAGAATGAGACAAAGGAGGAATATTCTTGAAGCCAGAGGTCGATCACTTACACCTTGCTCTCTCCAGGAGTTGAAGGGAGCCGCATGCTGATTACCGTAAGCGGACAACTCAGCTTTGGTAATCACACCGATGAACGCGACTTCGGACACTTGGAGGCGATCGTTGTTGGCAGTCCAAGTGCCTCGAATCGATTGAGCATTCGAGGAAGCCAAAGGTGACATTACTACGAATCCTAACTACGAATGGGAATTAATGTGGCGCAGATCTTACTGCGAGCGGTATGTGGAAAGTGAAGAGTACAGAAAAAGCAGGGTTAGTAGTAGGCATGATTACTGGGGAGAGCAGCTAGGCTACACCCTCTATATGTGAGGGGGGTTAAGGACCCTAGGGGCTACCGTTCAATGCGGACCTTGCCATTTTTGCCATTCAATCAGCGGTATTAGTACAGCCACCAAGCTTGGCACCTGACTGTTGTTACTCTACCAAAGCCGTTCGCTGGCGATGGCTATCGTGTTTAGTAATTGTCATCTGGGTTTGAATCCTCTGCATAATCCTTTTTTGGGGGTTTTCTGACACCTAGCGAGGGTTGTCACTCTGTTGTGATGGCTCCACTTTTCGTCCCACGCTGACACGAGGACCGGGCGTTGCAATGAGCGACTCAAGCTCCAACCGGTTGATCCATCAGCACTCTTAGTATAAATTCTGTTTTCCCTTCACTTTCAGTTGAGGCATTTTGATCACTTGGAACTCCGGAAATCTACAAAAGAGCTCATTCTTGACCTCAGGGACGTAAATGTCAGAGATCTTGACAACTTGAGTTCCGCGACCACTTGCCATCATGCGTCCCTCCACTATTCTACTTGCTCTCGTCTTCCCTTCATCGATTTTGGCAACAAATCATTTCAGTGGCCTTGCTGTTTCGAACTCCGTTGGAGGCACTGGGTCATATACATGCAGAACACAAGCGCAGGTGAAGCCAACAAGCTTCAGATTTTCCACATTTCATATCCCGAAGTAATCTCTTCCATCCCATAGTGGAATCAGCTTGCCAGTGATGCGAGGAATAACGGCTTCGCTGCGGTCAGAATAGAAGGATTTGATTGCGATGCTCTCGACATGGTCAGCTCTGCTGCGGCTGCTGTGGGAATTGAGGTCCTTGTGGGGATTTATGTCTCCGTAGGTCATCGACGATGTTGACTTAATAGTGGTAACCTGATCCAAGCTTGAAAGGGGACAATCGCTGATGGGATGATTGGGATAAAGTAAGATGATCTCAGCTGGGCTACTTTTTATATCCTTATCGAGCCGGGATCTGGCTTGGTTTAGCAACGATGTTCAAACTTTCCTAGCAGCCTACAGGAAATATGGGGCGGGCCTTTATGTGGGTCTTACCATTGGGTACACAACTTCTCTTGATCCAACGCGTTCACTTCCACGCTAAAACGTCATGCGTTAGCAACGAGGTGAATGACAGCGCTGGAAATATAATGGCGAAGGTGTATGATGTTCGGGGTTACTTGCGTTCTGTGGGCGTCACTACACCGGTAAGCAGCGTACACATCTGGGCCTTCATCCGAGATAACCCGGAGATGTGTGGTGCAGACTTTGGCGCCGCCAACGCCCAGTAAGTAGCTCTGAGTATCTCCTACATCCTAAAGATCACCTTTTCGAATCCACTAGTGCTTTCTATGACCCCCCTTCTACATCTGCTGATGCCGGCTCATTCATTCTCAACACGGTCGTCCCGGCTGTGAAAACTGCCTGCGGCAGCAATAGCTTCATCATCGCTGAGTGCGTGTCCGAGCATCCCCCCCTGTGTGCCACCTGACCCCTCTCTGGCAGATCCGGATGGCCGTCGCGTGGCTCACCCGTTGGAGCCGGTATACCCTCCCTTGACGATGAGATGACGGCTTTGAAAAACCTCAACTGTGCCGCTTCCACTGCCTCTATTTACGCCTTTGAGTATGATGAGTGAGTGCAACATTTACACTAGTCACGAGGAACGGTGCTTAGTTGTGTTATTTTATGATGATAGTCAACTCTGGAAGGGCACAGAAGCTGACCAAAGCTTTGGTATTTTTGGAAAGATAAATTTCGGGGCTGACTTCTCTGCCTGCTAGCGCGCTTGTGCCAAAGATTGTATTCCAAGCTTGTATCCTGTAGCGCTTATGCACACACCACTTCAAGTCCATATGCCTGGTACCTCGATCGTTAAGATTGCAGGCCATCGTCAAGTGGAATCCGGCCGGAAGTCATCAATTGCAGCGCGATTCACAGCTAACCATAATTTGGACACGCTGATGATCGATCGATGATGTGGATGCATATGTGCCGCGTTGGGTGAAGAGTGCATTGACTAATTAGCATTTTACCATGAAATGCAGGACCTCGGCTATGGCTTATGTAAATTGCGTTCTCCGTTTCAGGAACAATGAGTACTCAAGTAATCATAAGACAACACAGGAAAGGATAATGAACGATGCGAAGTAAAGATAGTGCCTGCCGGAGTCATTGCGTAGTTGATACTCTATATCAGAATGTTCGATGTATAAGTTAATGAGTTGAATGTCCTGAATACCCTAAGAGGACGCTACAATTGTAACTCCAGGAGTGTTCAACCCATCTTGGGATTGTCCCATCGAAATGTCCAGGCCCACTGCCCCACGTCTAGCCTTCAAACTTTGCAAGTGAGAGTGCGAGCCACGGGGACTGTCAGATGAATGTAATGCGAAATAGCCCTGAGAATGTAAATGAGGTGTGATGGGTGGAGATTCATGGCTAGACGGTGGAGGAGACGGATAAGACCCTGTCGGGGACTGGACCAATGATGTTTGGTGTGTGTGGCCGTTCAATCGGTCCGTCACTTTCGATGAGACACTGAGTGGTGAAGGAGTGTGGCGTGTATGTGCAACATCCACATCGCCTGGATGGGGTATGTGCACATGAGAAGTCCCATTTGAAAACTCAACATGCGGCACAGCCGTCGAGCGAGCTTCGAGGCGATTTGTATCCCACTTTTCAGTCTCCACTTTCTCGCTTGGCCATGTCGAAGGGATGGGCGAGGCTTGCTGCAGTCTGGCATCCTGTTGCGACACAGGAAGTAAGATTTGTGCCTTAGCTTCAATCCTCCTAACTTTGCTCTCCCCCTTCTCAACGTCACCCTTGGCATTATTGTACATCCATAATCCAACGAAGGCAAGGATTATGCCTATACCCTGGACAGGATGAATGTGCTGATTGAACCAAATGATCGCGATGCAAATTACTGCGATTCGCTTGATAAGGGAGGCAATGCTGTATGTGACGGGCGAAGTGGAGGAAAGGACGGCAAAGGCAATCAAATTTTGCCCCCAATGAACAACACCATTGAGGAAAAAGTTGAGAATAACGATTTTCCCGCTATTCGCAATGCTCCTACTGTCGCGAACGCCTGTCGTGCTCCAAAGAGACATGAGCGGACCGAAATCCGATGACACCCAGACCGGGATCATTAAGAGGAAGGCAATGCCAGAAGAATACAGCAATAAGTTTATCTTGTCTAATTTGTGCGGCGGGGCCGTGCCTGATCCCGAACCACTACTTGGCATGACTTTCTTGAAAAAGATGTTGGAGGACACAAAGACGATGGCTGAGCCAAACGCTGACACGAGTCCAATGAAGTCCGCTGCCGATACATCGAATGAACAAGCGAGCATGACCCCCGCAGTAAGGGGAAGTAATGATATATACGTTGCAGGCGAGTACTTGACGCCGAACAGTGCCGCATACGCAGCAACAGTGAAGAGCGGTGACAGTGCCTAAATGGGTGGGTGAGTTGTGGACAAAACGATAATAATAGGCTTCACTCACTTTGATCGTATGCACGGTACTGACTGGGATCCTCGAAATCGCGACGCTCGAGAACATGTGGCCACCCACTTGAAAGACAGCCATTGGCACCGTGTTCCAGAGAATTGCTTTTGTGGGTCGCCGAAGTGTACTTATATTAAATGAGGGGTGGCACACGAGCGCAGAAAGGCCCGATACGAATGCAAATTGAATAATGGTAAGAGTGATGGGGAAGCGAAAGTGATTAAGGATGACTTTGCCAGTATTTGACGACATAGCAGATGACATGTACCACAACAGGCACATAAATACGAAGCGTAGAGTCGAATACGACGGAGGCGGGATAGTCACTTCGTGACTGCGAACGGTGAGCGATATGCTAGGCCTCCGACGCTGTGCGGAGCCCAGGGCGATGAGTTGTCCTTGTACGTAATTTGACAACGTAGAGGATATTGAGGGGCGGGGAGCAGACGTCGGTGCTGGTAAGTAGTCGTCTCGCTTTCTGTCCAACCTATCCTTGGTGCTGTCCACAAAATGCTGGACGTCCCAACCCGAGTCGACGTTGCATCGATGCTCATCGCCTCTTGAAAAGGTATTGGGCAAGCCGAACATTGAATGGAGCCTTCGCACAGATACAAATGCGTTCCTTCTTGCAGTTATAAAGGCAGGGTCACAGTGCCTTTCTGTGCCAGGTTGAAGGAGAGATGATGGTTAAAGAAGGTACCGGAGCACAAACCACAGAACCTAACGGCATGTGCCGACGTCTGTTGATTATTTAACCTCACCAGTTATGCAACACACATGTGGTTGGCCTGGGGGAGCCGCTTCAAAAATCATGGCACCATTCCAGCTGCAACTAACCACCTCGAGCGAGAATTGAGGTTGCGAATGTGTCCATAGTAATTCCGTATTTGCTTGTGCGCAAATGAACACCCGTTGCCGTCCATGATTACATTGATTACGTACATCCTCCAGTGCTTCGCTCTCACTGCCACAGAACGCCGCTGAAGAGCCAGGAGCGATACACAATTGCGGAAGATTTTGCTCTTCCGGCGCACATACTTCATTACGGGTCCGAATTTCAGGTCATTCAAAGCCCGTATGCCTACACCTCCCAGTCAACCCAATGGTACACCCTCCAAGCGGAACAAAGGCCTTCGTGGCAGACCCCAAGAGCCGCTTGAAGTCCGGATCTCTAAAACCCTCTCCTATATTTTACGCCATGGTGCTGAGAAGGAAGGGTTGAAGTTGAGACCTGACGGATACATGAAGGTATCTGAAATTGTATGTTTAATCGGTCCTTCCCAAATTATATACGAGTATCTCTAACATCTACACGTTTTTTGCTGCGACAGTTGGCCTGCCCCAAGCTACAAGGCGTGGAGTTCATTCAGATTCAGTCGATCGTAGAAACAAATGACAAAAAGCGCTTTCATCTCATGCACGAGCCAATCAATGGCGAATCCGCTGATCCTCTCATCGCCACCGGGTGGTGGATTCGAGCCAACCAAGGACATTCTCTTCAGGTACATTGTGACGCACTTTGTGAAGTTGAAGGGTGTGTTGAAGAAATTTCGACAGGTTGAGGATTTGGAACTGGTGGAGATCAAAACGCCAGAAGAGGTACCAATTGCTATTCATGGAACTAATCCTGAGGCATGGGAATCCATCTGTACGTAAGCACACTTTTCCTTGAATGATTCTTAACCGCGTCCTCGTCTAGCTCTTGAAGGTTTGTCACGAATGAAGCGGAGTCACATTCATCTTTCTGCGGGACTTTTGGGGACTGAAGGGGTCATCAGTGGTGCGTTTTTTTTACTCGTTTTCCGGCCATGCGTCCTCGTCCTAAATCTGTGACCAGGCATGCGCAAGAACTCTGAAGTCCTGATTTACATTGACATCGAAACTGCTATGTGCAAAGGAGGATTGAAGTTCTTCCGCTCAGCTAATGGCGTCATCCTCACCACAGGCGATGAAAAAGGCTTCATAGCTCCTTCATACTTCAAAAGGGTCGAATTCGCAGGGCGGCCTGGAGGTGATGCACCAAAGGAATCAAACTGAAGCACAACTTAATTTAAAACAAAGATTTGGATGTCTGTATTATGAGGGGTTCGCGGCTCGAAGACGCGCCTCTGCGGCCCTTGCTCTTCTTTCTCGCTCAATCCGCGCTCTCATCTCCGGTGACATGCTAGCTGAGCTTACGTTCTCTATGATGCCACCACCGGCAGGACCGCCTAGCCTTTGTGGGCCCTTTCGATTTGCAGCTTTGGCAGCGGCAGCAGCTTCTGCTTCTTTCTTTACTCTTTCGGCCTCTTCCCTTTCTAATCTTTCCTGCTCTTCGGCAGCCTTTGCAGCTGCGGCCCTTTCCCGCTCCATCATACGTTCCTTGAGACCTCTTTTCCGATCGGCTTCGCGATTCTCTACTGCTTCCTTCTCAGGATCAAGAACACTCGTTACACCGGCACCATGGGAGCCTTTCCCAAGCCAATCCCACCATTCGGGATGCGCATGCGCTGCACGCCGAAAGACATTGCGAACATTTTGCGAGCGTGCAACATTGTAAGCTTTGCGGTGTGCATAGTTGCTGGTCTCGTCATCTGAGGCCGAATTCGTCTTGGCATCTTCCTCCCTGACTAGCGCAGAGGGAACACCAATTGTTGGGTCAGCGCGGAGCTCGAGAAGTAGCCATCGGACGACTTCTTCCTGATCCCAGGCGGTAGCCGCTTGCAACAATGTCGCCCCACACCGCTTCCCTTCCTCCTTACGTAGCCATGTCGGTATTCGCGTGTTTGCAGCTGAATCTCCAGCATCTAGTACCCCAGCGCCATCCGTAGTCGTGAGTATGTTCCAGAATTTCTGAAGTGGCCCCACACGCCCCTTTCGCACCATGTCCAGTAAGCGGCGCCATTTGATTCGTGCCGCCAGCTCTTCAGGTGAAAGAACCTCCCTGTTGGGCTTTTGTTTCTGTGCTGATTCCTGTTCAGTCGAAGGGAAAACCTTCAGTTTTTGCCTTGCTCTTATCGAAGCAAGATATTCTTCATCAGCTTGGCGGAGTTCGTCATCAGTCAGATGGGTTATCTTGACACGAGTTAGCTCTAAAAGACAGCGAGAAAGTTCTGACAGAGTCTTGAATGTGCAGTGAGAAAATGAATTAGTTTGATGCAACGCATGAGCTTACAGGACGTCTAGTTGGGAAAGGGAAAGTCCTTAGTCGATCGTCCCCTTAGAATGTCCATGAATTGAGAGTTTTGCTTGCACACGATTCACTCCCGCGTACCTTTCTGTATCGGAGAGTTCTCGCCCTCGAGGAAGATTCGCCGATTCGACACGCTCGCCCTGATGAAAATCCTATCACATAAATCGATATTGTCCGCCCAATCTTGTAGGAGTGCTCGTATATCCTAAGAATTGATATGAATTGCGATGGTTAGACTTAGTTTAACAATTTTATCATACGTCGCGCAGTGATTGTTCTCCATATCGCCGAAGCATAGCTCCTGCGCTCTTGGCATGCCCCTTAGCGTTATCATTTATGGATTGTGAGCCTCCCTGCTTCCTCCGCGCTGCATGATGAGAAAGGATTTTATGGAGAAAACGATGCCCCACGTTGAAAATGACCCACTAGTGTACCGATGGAAAGTCTTATGGGCAACAATCTCGTATTCTTGCTTCTGGTGGTGTCCCTTCTTGTTCGGTCTTTTCCTGTTGGATGGCCTGGGCACGTCGTCTGCATCCTCGTCTGGAGGCCCAGGATTAGATACCCGAGCAACCATCCCTGCAAAATGGCCACCCGCAGTCATGAACAGCGCCCACAATCTCCCATCCTCTCCACCGTCTTGGATCCCACGCAGGGACCTCACATAGGATTCAGGATTGTCAGGGGACACTGAAGAGTGTAATATAGCTGTATACACGCCGAACTGAGTATCCTTTATTCGGGGAGAATAGAGCCACACAATCGGCGAGCGAAGCTTGGCAGGTTCTTCATCTGAGGTATCGGAGGATCCGTGTGCTTTCGCGCGTTTCATCTTGCTGACGAGAGCATCAACTGCGTCATCATCGGATTCGTCTTCCGAACTCGACGCCGATCCAGAGAGTGACTCATCTAATTCTAAGCGGGTGGAGATGTTCAGCAGTTAGCTGAAGACGCGAGGGACCTTACTCGCTTTCTATCAAAGCGTTGAAATCCGCTTCAGTGACTGGCGCTGCATTCGCATTTGAACTCCGGCTCTTCACGTTGTATCGATGCCAATCGGATCGATAGTGTTCCCTCTGTTCGCTCACGCTGTCAAATAGGGTACCAGGGCAACTAAAACAGGACAGTGAATCTGATATTGCTCCTGGGTCAGGTATGGGTTCGTTTGGGCTCTGCTCGATCGTCGGCAGATTACGCGCCAGTCGTGACATCAGTCGTGGGACCGGTCGCACTTGGAGTGCTTCCGATACATTTAGAGGCATTGAGAAAACGTAAAGGGGCTCCTTGATGTTCGCCTCCATGACGATGAGAGGTTTGGTGTATTGTGTACAAGCGCCAGCAAGAAATTTCACATGACTCATCACAATATGACTCACGATCAGTCGTTCTGAGTCGAAGATGGCAGTTGCGTGATACTACAGTTGGATGTACACAGCAATGGCACTCTTAACACTCTTCATTGAGTCCTCCTGTCAAGGGCTTTCCAATCCTTTGCCAGTCCTAACCTCCTAATAAGGTCTGCTGGCATACAATACACAGGATCCAGGTCATTTAGGCCCGGATAGCCCAGAATTGAAAGGCCTGGTGACATAACTAAGCATAAAACATGCGAAGCTACCAGGTTACTGACCAGCAACCCCGAAATTCGTATGGAAGACATCAACCATATCCCCTGGCCGATCTGCTATTCCGCCACCTTCGAGGTCCTACGAAAGTAGATGAGTAATCCACTGAATTCGGTGAAAATTTCCTTGCCTGAGCAGACAGAATGAAATTGGTTAGCGCGTCGGGATCAATCCAATGCACTTTCTTGAGGATGGCCAATGAGGAGAGGACCCAGAAGCTATAGCACACCTAAACACAGTAAACACAGAGCCACGTACGCGGCAGAGAGACAACTCACATCTTCCAGTTTTTCTGGGCGACCATTCAACCCTCCATTAGGTAACTGGCGTTCAGCGAGCCACCACCCTAAGATCTGCTGATCCACCTCCCCTTCTATCCGATCCAATATAGCGAGAGCCGCTACACAAGTCCAAACTGGGCAGCTCGATGAGCGTGAGGCACGCTGGTGTGCATAAAAGTGGATACCTTGAGCAGCATGGCTTTCTCCTCCTTCACTGCTACCGAAGCCCCCATCGAAGTTACGGCACTTCCTTAAGTAAGAAACAGCCTTATCCACATCAATAGCATGTAATTGACCAAGTAGTGAGAGAGCCGACACAGCGCAGTAAGTGAATCGCGTATCAACTTCCCCCATTGATCGCCAGAAAACGACCCTGAGGGGTTTTGAAGTGACTTTATAACTTTAAGTCGCAAATGAGACCATTCAAAAGACCCAGAAACCGATTACCGACATGATACCACCCTCGGCACATCTATCCTATCGATCGCGCCATGAATATGGAGGATTTGAACTGCACTTAGTGTTGATAAGACGTGTCCATCGTGGCCCGGGTGTGCACCAAATGCGCCTTTATGGCAAAATGTATCCCTCGGTCCCCTGGGAGCGAACGCACGCACCTAATTCATCGTCCCAACAAGACATGACAAACTCAATCATCTCATCCCGATCGAGGGCATCCTGACGACCCATAACACACAGGGCCGTGAGGCCCCAGTAGATAGCATTTAATCGAAGATGAGCGGTAAGATGGTATGCCAAGGAGCCTGTTGACTGCATGCAGCGGTTTCGACCAACTGTCAAACACAGCTTCTTATAACCCGTCGCAGCTTACCTTTCCTAAGGATTGGATGTACGAGACATGCAGACTTGTTGCAAGTCTGTTTGCCGATAGCCCAGCTGACATGTTAGCTGCGCTCATTCACCTTGTGAACGACTATTGACACCAAGGCGTACAGCGGCAAGTGGCGTGCGATGAAATTGGTGATGACCCAAAATGGCAGCAAATTGGAGGCTCATCAAATCAGATGCGCCAGTTTTCTTTGCATGCCGGTATTTCCACGGCTTTATGCGTAACCAGCAGGCAGATAGATATCTCTTGCGTTTTTGGGAGATTGATCGTTCAGAAGAGAAGATGCCCTAATAGGCTCGGCGAAGCGGAATATGAATACGGGATAATTGATACTTGTTGAGCCTTGATAGATAGTTGGAGGGATTTATGAGATTGGACCACTGATATTTGGCAAGGATTTTGGCGCTTTGTAGTGTGATCCCTTCGTGGTACGGTGCGGTAGTGGAGCAGACGGGTCTTGGAAGTTGCGAGCTCAAGCTGATCCTTCATAGTTTAACGAAGCTGATTCTTCTGAATTTCAAGGATGCTTGGGCTTTTCATCGATGTCGCGGAATTCCATTAATTGCATGGCCTGTTGTGAAAAACCGTGGGAAATCCATTTCAGTCCCTGTAGTATCACTTGAAATCCACATTTCGAGTGTATGCGATCCTAAATCTATCATTGAGTCTACCCTCGGTGCTCCAGAATGTCTTGGGATTCACTATCAGACCAGCTCAACCTCGACAGGGTTGCTTTATCAACTGGGGGATCTGACGACCACGATCGGTCTTCACGCCATCCGCTGCCACCTAGGCACACAGAAGGGAGGAGTGCGCCGAGAAACAGTGCACCACAAGACGAAGAGGAACAAAGCGGGGATGAGAAATGGGAGGACGCCCAGGAAACAATCGTACTAGGGAAGGATGACGATGTCGCGGCATCATCTTCTTTAGATCCTGAAGCGAAGGTAGCTGAGCTCTGGGTGGGTGTCTAGCCGAAACTAAGGCAACCTGTGCCTAAAGATGTATCTGGACTCCAGGCATGGATAGACGCAGCCGACAAATTGAAAGAAGAGGGGAACAAATTGTTTCGGGAATCCAACTGGCCGCAAGCCATATTCCACTATGAGGAAGGCATCCGAATATTACCCCCTCGCCCCGTTGCGTCGACATCTCAAGAAAAAGATAGGGCTCCAGATGACACAGGCGAAGAGTTGTCTCCTTCCCCTTCAGCGCCTGAACAAGCAAGCGCCAACCCCCCCGAGGACAATACAAGAGAATCAGAGGATGAGCCCCTGACGCTAGCTGAGAAGCAATGTAGCATCATACGATCAATGCTGAACTCCAACATTGCAGCCTGTCATGTTAAGATGGTGTGTTCGATATTCGTGCGGACTCACCCGTCGATTCATCGCTTTCATTAGGGGAATCACCCAGAAGCTGTCGCATCGTGTACAGAATGTGAGTGTCCTCGTTCAGTGACACAAACTGACCGAGCGAATGCATTATATCCCACACAGCGTTGCTGGATGTGCCCACATACAGCAAGGCACTTCACCGGCGAGCGACGTCTAACGAAGTGATAGGGACATGGACGGCTCTGTCTCAAGCAGACAAAGGTCCGCAATACTCTTTGTTTTCCAGTCCTACCAATTCAACACTCTCCCCAGACTATAAGACTCTCCTCGAAACTCTGCCTGCGAACTCCCCGCTTCTGCCAAATGTCCGCATCGCATCACGGAAGCTCAGTCCGCGCTTGGAACAACAGCAGAAGAAAGAAATGAATGAGATGCTGGGTAAGCTGAAGGAGGTTGGGAATACTATGCTTGGTGTGTGGTGGAATTACAGCTCAGGCGCAACAATGTTGATGACGACCACTAATTAGGTCATTTTGGGCTTTCAACGGACAACTTCCAATTCACTCCCAACGGGCAAGGCGGATACTCGATGAATTTTGTTCAGAAATGATCTCATTTCATGGGGTTTACGGGCCCTTCAAACTTTGCGGATAACACACATTCATGATTGCCACTTTCAATGATTAAGCCAAGATGGACAGGAGATGATTATGAGCTAGCCCGGTGCCTTTCTAGTTGAGGATCCCATGCAACATTGCAAACTTGGGCCAGACACTCATTCATACCCGCAGCCGAACAGCATAGAAATTTCATTAGTAGGGGATGGTTCATGCGTTATTCGCCCGGTAGTTTGCGCGGAGGCTTTTGCAAGCTAGAAGTTTCCTTGTCATGATCGGACAGAATGTTTGGACTAAGAATCTCGAGGCCAGTGGTGACTACATCATCTCAGCTACCTATTTGCATAGATACAAATCTCACGGTCAGCTCCGACCTTTGCAGTGTCCCCGCCAGGGGCAACATGAGCATCTAGGTTTCTTCGTGGTGGGAACTGAGAAGACTGTCGCCGTCGCGGTTCGCAAATTGATATTGGAGCTGTCCCTCGATCGTTGTGCTTGTGCCTGATGAATGATCATCAAACCTTGAAGTCATGACCTTGAATAGGCAGTTGCACCACCAAGAAGCATCGATTCTGACTTCCTCCTTGTGATCGCGTGTAGCAATTGCATGTAGTGCCGGGGCTTCCCAATCAAATACCCAATACTGCAATGCCATGGTGCTAGCGGAGTGGTACGACAGCCTCAACGTCTTGGAGGAGGTCATGGTTCGACGTATGGTTTTCTCGCGAGCAATCGCAGATGGAACAATAATGCAGGATCATGAGCTGTTTGGATTACAGCGGCAGCCTCAGTCGATCATCAACCATGACCTGATGGGTCAAGTAACAGATCCGAACTGCTGACAGTGGTACAACTTGATAACCCACATGGCATTCATACATCGAGAGTCAAGATTAGAGCATGATTATTCTCAAACGCCCGGGTGGTATAAGAGATAGACTGATACTTATGTGTCCTTGTAGGCCCCAACCTCTAACTCATAGCACACCAACTTCATACAAGATTCACTGCGCCACAGCTTCGGGAGACTGTCCGGGGCCCTGTCCTGGGGAAGCGCCACCGATCGATAATTGTCTGAAGCTTTGATTGAACGCCGAATCGGGTAATGGTCCCCTTCCTCCGCCGAGCGGCAATGACCCCGTACGCGCATGAGTAGGAGACATGGGACCTACACCGAATCCTAACGAGTTTGAACGTTGAGGCGAGGTCACAGCTGGCGAGCCCCCACGATAATTGTCCGCAAGCGTTGTTGTGATGATCGGAACAGGACCGCGTTGGTGCACGGGTGAGAGGCCCCGAATCGAATCCTGGGCATCCGAATCGAGGCGCTGTTGGGGGCCGGCTGGACCGCCGGGTGACGGGTCCTGTTGCGGGCCCTGTTGGTACTGTTGCTGGAGTTGTTGCTGGGGTTGCTCCTGAGGGTCAGCAACTAGCCGCTGCCCTTGTGTGGTTACATGGGGCGAATTCATCAGTGTAACGGATGTGGGAAGAGTGGAATGGATAAAGTATGCTCGCCCGGCAGGCTCGGTGCCACCGTTAGCATAATATGTGGCCCATGCTTGAACATTAGGATCGGCATACTTGCGCGTCGCATCGAATGGGAAGGGAGGTTTGCCATCGATGGGCGGCAACTCATTACCTGGCGGAGATTGTGTTGGTTCGGCTGGCTGAGACTGGGCAGCAGACGCCGGCTGCTGAGACTGTTGAAGCTGCTGTTGCTGTCCGTGTATAGGCTGTTGAGAACCTCCGGACACCTCAGTACTCAGGCCGCCACCTTGCCGTATAGGCTGGAACGAGTGCTGGGGCAAATTTTGCTGAGGCGTTGGCGTCTTTGATGGCTGCGGCTGCTGTTGGGGGATGTTGGATAATGGTTGTACTTGTTGGTATGTCGCAGGACTGCTTTGAAGCTGTTGAGGGAGGGGATGACCACCAGGAACGCCCAAAGGTTGGGTCTGCACTGGGATTTGGGCATAGGCGCCATTCTGCATGCCTGAAACAGGCTGGTTCTGCGGAACATGGGCAGTCGAAGTTTGGGATCCGACGGACTGAGGAGCCCCGAATTGGGCCTGATAATTCGGAGCCGTAACATCATGACCCCCAAAAGGGTACCCTGCACCTGGGCCTGGAGGTTGAGCAGCGACTGGGGACTTGAATAGACGGCTGGGTTCCATCCGTAGGCAGTTGGCGGACGAACACCGTATGCCGAAGTGGGCCTTCCGATGCCAGGCTGATCCGGCATGCGATTAAAATCGTATATAGGTGCTGCAAAGGAATGTTAACTGATGTCGCTAGCGTTGGTTTATCTCATACCTCCTGGATTGTATTTCGCCAAGCTCTCTTCCATCACATCATCGAAAATCTTCTTCGCCCGCACAAAGCTCTCGTTCATATTCATGAGGTCCGCTACAAGTCCGAGAACACATCAATGATAAGCCTTGTTTGGGCGGGGTGACGCTTACCTCGCTTCTGACTGTAGCGATCGATAAGCTTGACAATCTTTGGTCGCAGGGCCATGCAAGAACGATACAATTCCTGTGAAACAATGAGTAGTTTTTCTTGGTGATGACAACACCAGAAATTGCACCTGTATCTCTTCATTATCCGCCAGGTTATCTTTGGCAGGATCAACCTTCCTGAGCATATCAAGTAATTGATCGATTTCCGCAGCTTGTGCAAAAATCGTCGCTTCCTGCTGCGCCTCCCGCGTGATCTCCTCTGGCGTAGGTTCGGGAATGGGTTCCTATCATAGTGCCTTATTGATGACCCATAGATCGATGGAAGACAGAAGAAACTTACGACGTAGTTCACCGGGAAAATCCCAGTCTGCCCCCTTAACTGGCCTTTCCACCATTCTTTGTAGAGCCTTTCAATGACTTTGATCACATCGCCTTTCTCAAAACCAAGTTCGCCGGGCTCAGTGGGCTCGAAGGTGTGTAAGGCACGAACGCGACTTGAAAGCGTTGCCTTTGGTGCTGGGGCCAGTTCTGCTGGCTTAACAGTGGTGGACGTCGCTAGTGAGGGTACAGCGACTGGTCGTGCAATCTGTGTCTTCGGCTGGGTCGGCGATGTCTCAGCAGTATCCTGCCTTACAGGGGAAGGGTGTGTAGGAGAAGCTTCCGGAACGCTTGACACGGTTGAAACGACAGGTCGAGCAGAGGGGACATAACCACCGGTAGGGTATACGGGTGTAGGCGATGGGCCCGACGTCTTCCGATAGTTCAGGGAAGGACGCTGTGAGAGAGATGTTTGTCTCGAAGGTCCCGGTCCCGGAGCGGTGGAAGGGACATTAGACACGGAAGGGGCCTTTGATGAGCTAGTCCCACTTGTTGAAGCACCGGAATTGTGTTCCCAATTAGAGACCCACTTTCCAAGTCCGCCCGTGTCTGTACGCGACATCTCGAGGACGCGCTGAAGTTCCTCTTCTTCACGCCTGCGGATGTCATCATCATCTGGGGGCGGAGCCTCAGTTGCTTGATCGAAACGATAGTCTGCAATGTAATCAAGTTATTTCTAGCATTATAGGAGGGACCTGAATGGCGCACGCTTCGATTTGAGGTTTTCGTAGCATTCATACATTATGCCCAAAGTTGGATCCGACTCGAACTCGAGAGCCCAAGTTTTGATCAACCCAAGGGCTCGCTTCCGGACCTTGTCATGAGTATTCTGTAAATGGAACGTTCGACATGACGCATCAGTGCACTTTAAGACGCGCCCGCAGCGGGGGACTTGTATGCAATCCAGACAACATACCCGGTCAGTGACGAGCTTCTCCAGTCCTTGGGTAAACGACCTCGAGCACAATTCGCGATGCAATTCGATTCCACAATTCTTTGAGAGTGCCTCGGCAAGAGCGAGCGAATAAAGTTGGACGTTTGATGTGCGATGCGCCAGGCGCTTCAGTATAGCAGCAATGACATTTCTTGCGCTGCAAAGTCAACGTCAATGAATTGCGCGTCGAGATAGGGTGTATCTACGTGCCCCCCTTCGCCTTCATCTACGACTTTGTCGCAAAGGCTAATTATTATTTCCCAGTTTTCACTTGTCTGATTCTCATCCGTTGCCTTGGCTGAAAAGGAGCGATCAGACCGAATTCATGCGTCATGGCGAGGATGTGCGACCCACCAACGATCTCGTCGTAAGGATTAGGTGATGACTTGAACATTGTGGAGAACTAGAGACGTAAGGGCCGAGGAAACGAACCACAGCTTTCGATCTGTTCAGCTGAGGGAGAAACTAAGGAACGTTCAGGCTGGGTTGGAAGCGGCTGCGGCTGTGTGACGAGTTTGCTTCCGGCAACACAGCCGAAAGGCATCAGAACACGAGAGAAACCAACAGACGCCCAAACGTTTATACGATTATAATTCCAATGGCGAAAGGTGAGGTCCGCACGCTTGGAAATTATTCTGCTTCTTATAATCACTGGCTTAGTACCGCGAAACTTCCGGCTGCTCGAGGAACTCGAGAAGGGAGAGAAGGGGATCGGTGATGGATCGTGCTCCTATGGACTTGAAGACGGAGACGATATCTCCATGACACACTGGAATGGGACGATCATAGGTCCAGGACATGTACGATCTCATCCCAACCTTCACCTTTCAACACCCACTCCTCTACTCACGAATGACTCATTCTTCGTTCGGCACTTTTGCTTCGTGGGATTCTCCAGACGGTGCACGAGAACAGAATTTACTCCCTAAAGATTACCTGTGGGCCCCAATACCCCGATCGCCCTCCGGATGTTTCCTTCTATTCCCGCGTCAACCTCCCGTTTGTGAATCAACAGAATGGAAAAGTGGACCCATCCAAGTTGGGCGCTCTTTCAAATTGGACAAGAAACAGCACAATGGAGAGCTTGCTAATTGATGTCAGAAGGTGAGGGCTGCTGTTCAGGTGAATTCTTATGTTAGATCCCCATTGACGAGGTACAATTCCCCTTTTCTATCCCCCTCCCGAAGGGAGATGGCTTCCCCGGCCAATCGGAAAGCCCCCCAACCGCCGGAAGGCTCCACTTTCTGAGCCACAACGTCCATGGATAACCTGTGATCCAACCATCCGTTTCCATGTACACATTTGTACAGTAGATTTACCATGACACGACCGGTAACGCTTTCTAAATGCTTCTATATCTTCGCACGATATCCCAACCCGCCCCAAAGAGTGTATATGAGAAAAGTGCGCATTTTTGCGCACATCTCGGAGGGGTGTAAGGCCGGCCTCACCTGCGACACTCGATTTATTTTTGGCTTCGTGTGCCTTGTTTTCCCACGCTCTCCTTTCTACTTCAACCCTATGTGTTCTGTTCTGATCGTGCGACAGGACGTTCTCCTCGATGAGTCCATCCGATCCGATCCTGACACAACCCCATGAGTCGTAGTGGGCGCTGTTTCTCCACGTTCCGGCCTTGTAGATCTTTCCCCCACTCGCCGGTCTAACCTCATTGAGAAAATAAAGGCGCTTACTAATGTGGATGGGAACAAATCCAAGCTAATGCTCGGCATTGGACAGGTTAGGATCGAGTCATTTTAATTTTTGAGCCACGTTCGATGGATGGCGCGTGGTCTTCTGTTTATCCTTACTGGTTCCCGTATTCAGGGGTAGCATAATGTCACCTTGGACAGCCGATATGCGGGAATTTATAGGGGGGTTCTCAGGACGTTTCCATAGGGCTTTAAGGCCATTTTTACATAGTAACGTCCTAGGGCAAGCTTATATCCAGCCAAATTCGATCCCCCATGCTCATGTGGCGTGTTTTCCCACGCTCATATCCTCTCTACTGCGATTACGATGATTCCGAAGCCTTGGCCAGATAAACCATCGGTATTGCACGAATTTAAGGCATATCTACCTCCATGTGTTTTTCGGAGTATATTCTGATCGTGCGCCAGGCCATTCTCCTCGACGAGTTCATTCAATCCCATCCTGACACGATCCCAGTCGTAGTGGGTGCCGTCCCCCGCGCTTCGGCCTTGTAGATCCTTCCTCAACTCGCTGGTCTAATCTCTTTGAGAAAATAAAAGTGCTTAATGTGGACGGGAACAAGTGCAAGCTAATTTTTGCTGCTCGGCATGGACAGGTTAGGACCGAGTCATTTCGAGCCTCACACTTCGAGTTCTAGCTCTAGGGTTCCTGTATTCAGGGGTGGCATAATGTAGCTGAGGCGAAGTACGGCACCAAGGTCTGCGGTGATTATTATGCAGGAGAGTCCTCCGGTGATTACCTTTGGAATATGGTTATTTAGGCATGGAATGAGTAAGTTGAGAGCTATATTTGTATATAGCCGCCTGATTTCTCACATTTGGCTTGAGATACTGGTCTAAGCTGGTACGCTTCCTTATCGTCCCTCCGACATGGCCCTTATGGCTAAGGTAATCACATCTAGAATACTGATGGGGAGATAATTTGGGGCCGTACGCGAATCATCTAGTTCTCTTCATCGTCATTTTCCAGTAAATGCCTAAACAGCCGATCCCAAACTCACGCCTCTTGGTGAACGAGAAGCACAAGTGAGTTTCTTCACTCCAAATCCAGTCGCCTCAACTCCCAGTTTATGACACTTACTATTGATGCTGAAATTAGGCGGTCCATTCACGTTGGGTGGAGGAATTAACCTCAAGTGATTTAATTCCCCCTCAATCTTTCTACTCGAGCCCTCTCCAAAGAGCAGCACGTACGGCTGACCTTAGTTTCAGTGATCTACCAGAAGTGAAGGCACGATTCTCCCCTCTAGTAGTTGAGGCGAGTTTATTCGGCATGGTCTCCGATATGATACATGGGTCTCACAATTCATTCTGACAGTATATTCGGGAGACCAACGGTGAACATACATGCGATATGCGACGCACCTATGGGGAAATACACTCCGACTTTCCAACCTATCGTTTTGAAGGAAGTTTTACTGAACAAGATGGGCTCTGGACACCAGAGCGAGAGACGGATACTCACGTAGCGATACGTGTCAGGGATGTGTTGGATCGGATATTTGAATCGGATGCCAATCTTTGTGGGTTCGGGTTGCTCTTCTAACCCGAGAATCCGAGGATTAACGCTTGTCCCGCAGTCATTTCTATCACTTCTCATTCAGGTTGGATAGGGGGTTTGCGTAGTGTAACAGGTCACCACGATTATAACCTCCCAACTGGTGGTGAGTCGTCTTTCACACTAGATTCCCCAGTCCTCACTAAATAATGACAGGTGTCCAGCCTCTGATAATCCAAGCAACTCCCATAAACAAGCACAACTTTTAAAAGCACGCTATCAAGGTTGCATGAATACAATGGACTGTATTATAGTTCACAGGATGCAGAGTAATGGTACAGCTGATGTTAGAGTCACATTGCAAGACGCGCGAATGAGAATATATCTGCTAGGTCAACCCAACGACGGCCGCACTTGTTAAGATATCTGTCTACTACTCCATGGAGTTGGCGCATGAGGGCTTGGTTCGAATCGATGATCTCGTGAAGTTCATCTAGACAGCATGAGTATCACGGAAGATCTAATTGGGTAAACACATACCCTTCTTAGAATGTTGATCGGCAGCATTCAGTGCCTTCGAAATATCGAAGAGACTAGCATGCATCAACAACTGATTGTACAACATAGCATCGGTGTACTGGTGCACAATAAAAAGGAATCAGCCATCGCATTTTGAGCAACTCTTTCAACCCACCTCAAAGGACACGTTCCCTTGACACCCAAGACGGAGGCACTTTCGAGCATGGACGCCGGTGCGTCTTGTGCGCATACCACAGGTAGGGTCATCACAGATGGTCCATCCTTCGTAGAATTTCCCAATGTGCTCCCGAATGTGAAGCTCGAGCTGGAGCTCCAAGCTAGCGGGCGGGAGAGCTTTGTGGCATGACGGACAGCGTGGGCCGACCGTGGTTAGGATTGGGGTCTAGTATGCGGATGAGTTAATCCAATTATTGGCATTACCGAGTGGCCATCGCTTACATCTGTCTCCGACAAGCGAGAGAATGCTGTGTCGGCGGCACATGCATGACAATGGATGATGAATGGAGTTGTATCTCGGAAGCGCTCGAAATCAGGGACTAGAGAATCGAGCACTCCAAGGCTTCGTTGGGGAATCGACACTATCTTCGTATATTCAGTGGCATTCAGTCCTGGCTCGGAATGTGAGCTTCAAAGCAGCTAGATATTGCATGTTCCTGCCAACCTAGACATTCCGCCAGGCGAGCACGATCTGTGCCCTCAATGGAATCACAAAGACGATCAACAGAGGGAAGCACTTGTGCAGACAAATAATAGTCGTAATCTAGACAACGCTCATAACAATTGCTCTCAATCACATTATTGCGTTGGAATGACTTACCAATTTTTAAAGTCCCATTGGATCGACGTATTTCATCGGGGTGGAATGCACGGTCAGCTTGACCAGATTTAGACGACTCTCCGTTTTCGCCCAAGCAGAAGATGTACTGCATGACATCCCCTGCACGAGGCGATCGACCCTTCGCCTTTAGTCGCAGAGCCACTTGGGCATGAGGCTGGCTCTTCACGTCCGGAAAATCCTCCGGGTTTTTACCCAAGCGCTGTTGGCGGACAAGTCAGCACTCGCAATGGAGATGGTACAGGATATGCCAACTTTATTGATAATGTATTCCTCCAGTGGGATTTTGCCTTCCCGAACTTCCTGGCCAACTTTTGTGAGGTACTCGTGAATATTCTCGACAGCAACTTCGGTCATTTCTCCCGAAAGGAGATGGTTGAGGGTAAATCTGGTAGGTTATGAGTTACCTGTGGGCAAACGTAACAGAAGAAGCGAGACGCACTCGGAAACAGTTTTTGACAGGGCACAAAATTCTCGTCGTTTCATATCTAAACCCTTAATCTCAATGCTAGTTTTTCCACCTTCATCGACTTTCAAGGCGGCGTATTTTTTCTTTTGCAGAAGAAGCAAACGTTGAAACACGCCGTCCAAGTCTATCTCAAGCAATCGGTACCGCTCGTTTACCAGCTTCTTGAACTGGTTAGCCGTTTTCAGAGCTTCTGCCAGGTCCGTTGCGTTTGAGTTCACAAAGACTGAGTCGGTATCACCGTAGACCACCTTGGTGTAACAGGTCAGAAATTTCAGGTTTAAGGAATACAATGAAGGCACCTACATCTAAATTCATACTTTCTGCCAATTCTCGCGTATGCGTCAGGATTTGGCGGCCTTTGAAGGTTGTGAGGGCTGCCAGAGGACGGGCATAGAATCTTGATTGGGTGAAGCCTAAACATCCATACATGCTGTTTGCAGTAAGTTTTAGGGCTTGTTGTTTGATATCCCACTACGTCCCTGATTCAGGTGGTCTTGATGGCATCGACAAAAATGCTACCTACCTGCATGAGTTTGGCAGGGGTAGCGGTCCGATCCTTCATCAAGCTTTTCACCTGCCGCCGCCGGTTAACCAACGTGGCGATAAGACGAGGAAGAACACCCTGAGATAGCTGAGTATCAGGTGTATCCGGAATCCCATCCTGCAAAAACGAGGTTCAGTTACTTGGGCCATCAACGGAAACCGATATTATACTTCATCAGAAAGCTTATCAACGGTGGTAAAATCGATGTTGAACTCCTGAATGATACTGGGATACAAACTATTAAAGTCCATGACCAGGATGTACTTATCCCAGAGCCCGCGCTTTGGTTTAAACACAAGTCCACCTTTATACTTGTCCTTAGACTTTGTGTTCTTGCCCTTAACCGTTCTTTCGGTACCATCTTCATCTTCGAATTCCTCAGCCTCAGCCTTGGCCTTGGCTATCGAATCCTGCTTGGTCCAGTACTTGTCGGGGCAAATATATTTCAGGCGGTGGAACTCGTGCAGCAAGATGTATTCATTTCGTTCTGCACGCGCGCCAGTGAGAGTACGATGCCTGTCTTCTGTATCAATACACAGACCTAACAGAAATCAGTATACGCACCAGGAGTTTCCAGCAAGGTTCGTCAGCTGCCTTGTGAGTGGCAGTATTTGCACCTTCCACGCAATAGCCATCTGAAAAAACGCATCCATCTCGCAATGCTGAACAAAGCGAAGCATGGGCTCCGGTGAGCTAACAGTGCCATCGAGATACATAGGAGTGTCGTCTAAGTCGATGTCTTCTCTTGTGACTTTCAGTTGGGTCGCGCACATCTCGGTTAACGACCAGGTTGTCGACGCAATCATACCCTGTGGGGAGTGTCATCAACTCGTCCATCCATATGGTAAAGCGCATTCTTGCCTTGGCGCCATCACTTGAAAGATCACAAACCAGACGGCCAGCCAAGAACTTCATATTTCCGTACTTGGTTACATGAGGAGGTTTTGCTCGACGAACACGGCCAAGTCGTGACCAATGCTCAGTTTTCAATTCTCTGGCGCGTTGAAGGATAATCTCCAAGTGGGTGGAAATGAACTCATGTCCAATAATGATGTCCGGATCGTGACGATGTATTTGAGCTGCCGGGAACAGAGTCGTCAGCCACATAAGTAAGGTGCGGAGGGAGGCAGCATATACCAAGCAGTGTCCCCATCAGCGCTCTTTCGCTCGTTGCTGGGATAATCTTGTTCTTCTGCGCTCGGGCTTTGGCCTCAAAACCGTTCGGATATTTTCCAAGCGGTCTGACGACGGTATGCGACACAGAGGGGAGTTGTTCGGGAGGACTTGTGTCATCGATCTTATCTGGAGTTAAAGTCAGGACTTGCACTTTCAGCTTTTTAAAGAGCCAACTGACTATTCTCCCATACTCTCGTGCTCACCGCAATTACCTCTCTGGTGTTCAACTGGTGATTCACGACAGAACGCATCGACAAACTCATAACCGTGAGGGGAGGCATGTCGCGAGGCGCAGTGTCATCTGTGTCAGAGAATGGATTGACAAGCTTTGGATCGCTGACTGATACCTCCACTTTGCACCAGGATATCTTCAAGAGGTAATGATTGCTCGCGCAAGACAGGGACATGGTGTAACTGCCAGACTTACCCCTTCATGTTTCACTTCGGGTTGCTGGACACGTATCCAACATGGCCCCATGATTTTCCGCTTCAGGACGAACAGTTCAAAGGCGCTCGTATTAGTGCCTAAGATGTGCGCGATATTAGGCGAATCTCCGCTAGGAAATTGCGGGTCTACAGAAATACGAGGTGCGTACTTAGCAATTATGACACGATACTGTCTCATACCTTTGAAGCTGTATGACACTTTGAGCCACTCGAATTCACCATCAGGAATATCCGCTGCAGCACCATTAAAACCGAATGTGTACTTGCGCTTGACCCATTTAGAGGCATACGACTTAATTTTAACCTGCCGTCGCATAGTGTCAAAATCGGCTTCAACATCTTCCTTCTCTGGAGTCATGTCGGTAACGAAACCATCCTCTGGAATTTTAGACTTGATCAAAGCCCTAATCCCTGATGAGAGAGCCCCGAGAACGACTAACCAATGCGCTTATCACGAGGAAGGATGAACAAATTCCGTTCAATGCCTTCCAGCTTCAGAAGGCAGCTTATGTACTTTATCATCCCCCTACCCTTAGAATGCGAGAGGCTACTCCTATCGAGAACCTTCCCAATCAGGAACAGCTTCCCACCTTCCTCCAAATAGTCGAGCCAGAAGAAGTGCAAGGAACCATCTTTCTCGAGTATATTTTCATCGGCGAAAGCGCCAGGAATGAGTGACGCAGTGGTAGAAGCGGCCACAAGGTCTGTGTCTTCGTCCTGAGTCTTGGTGGCCAGCTTGGAGTACATATCTAACCAGGCCGGAGCGCCAGTCCCATCTTCCCTACTAGGAGCCGCGATTGCTGAGGAGCGAGCGTACGTTAACTTTTCTGCAACGGGTGGGTCCTTCACCACAGATTTAACTTCATCAACTTCCATGAAGTCCTGGAAATCACAGTCGTCAAAATCGGCGGCATCAAAACTAAGTTCAGCATCGTCGGCCCCTTCAACTTTTAGCCTCGAGACATCCTTGATAACCTTTGGGTCCACCTCTCCATTGAATTTGACTCGTTTGGGATTGTGGGCTCGCGTTGGACTGCTAATTGGCAGTGCCTCCGCATCCGATGATGCGTCGCTTTTATCCATCCCACCCCTCCAAGCATTTGATCCAGAGACGATATGGCTGTTTAGGTCGTGATCAGACGAGGTGTAATGGACAGGGCTAGATTTGCGTTTATTGCGTCGCGAAGGAGCAGACTTTGTTGTTTTGGCCTTTGGCTTAACGGCGTCCATGGCGGAGAATATGTTGCTCATGAAGTCTGCTTCCTTTTCTGGTGCATGCACTCGTCTGTAAGCCGAAACATCAGGTGTCGGCGCAGAGGCCTCCAATCTAGCGCCTTTGGTAGACTTAGATTGCTTAGATGACTTATTTTTGTCTTTGGGAGAGATGATCCTCAGTTTGGGAGTTCATTCTCGGGAGCCCAAACAATGTACACTTACGATTGCGGTCATGATCGCTATCCTCATCTATCTGAAGGCCGTGACGTCCATCATCATCCCATCCTTCAAGCCCATTATCCGCATATCCAGCACCGTCATCATCAATAACGAAGTCATCACGTTGAAGGCGGCCTTTGACGATTGACTTATATTGTGCTTCATCCACCTCATCATATAAGTCAATGTCTTCATCGTCCTACAGAAGATGACAATGTAAAAAAGGGCCCTCGATGATTCCTTTCACCCACCTTCCATTGTTTTGAACGCGATTGCCCTTGTCGCGCTGCCTTTAGTGCCGCGAACCCGCCCTTCGTAGAAACTGCACGTCGGGAGGTGCTCATAACAATACAACGCGATTTTCGGCTGGCCGATTCCTTCTTTCGTGAAATAACAGACGTGAGAGCCCTTGAACGCGTCAAATCGCGACGTAAGAAACGATAGAGAACGCTTTGTTTCCGCTGGTGGCGGTGCCCGGACCGCCTGGCCACTTATCAGAGCGCAGTAAGGATTAAAGAGTCTGATTCGCTAAGATGGATGATGAGGCTGCCGAGATTGAGCTGGTGAGTGTTGGATGCACACGTCCTATAAGCCATGCTAAACCTGTTGGGATCAATAGCTGGAGCAGCATCTTAACAAGTCCACTCAGTTGTCGACTCGTATGACATGTGTGTCTCTCCTTACCCGGCGTCTTTAATAAAGCATTTAAGTGACTTTGAATTATAGCTATATTACAGAAATTCGATTCACGGCTAGTGAGACTCGAAAGCACTATCCTACCGCTTCACAAGTCAACACAGTCGCTGACCAGAGTTGTGGAGAGTACGTCAATTTCCCCGGGCCCTATATCCAATGAAACCGCTCAATGCCCCCTCCAGATATCAATAGGACGTTGGAAGTCATTGAACGGCTCGAGAGTGAGCATGAGAATGTGGCAGCTGAGGAGGCTCTCATCATGAGAGGGTTTGTTATACGCCTGATTGTCATGGTTCGCCTGATTTTTTCATCACAGTCCACGCGAAGACCAATTGCTTGAATATATCGACGCAATACAGAAACTGAATGTGAACATTGCGTTTAAAGCTGCGGAGCGGGCAAGCAACGAAACAGTGGGTGCCATTTCAAAGTCATTCTCTGCGTACCGTTGTAGAGTTCCAGGGAATTTTATCGCTGTCATGGCCATAGGCACGTCTTGTCGAAACGGGAGCAAAGAAACTCGCCCAAATGTTCACAAAATTTGTTGCGGAATCAGCATCCGCCCCTCAGCTCGCAAATCCCATGTCGTACCTGTCGTCCCTCCCATCCGACATTCCCATCATTGACCCCGGTCTTTTGGAGATAATGCGACCTCTTGTTGGTTGCCTCAGAGGGCTCCCTGTTCCAGCAACTCATCCCTCTCACCCCGCAGCTGTGACCACTCTCGCCACCCTTCAGGAAGCACAAAAAGGCTATGCTGAGATGAGAAGCTCTTGGGTGAAGCGAGGTCTTGAACCTGAAGCTCATCGAATTGTGGATGAGGCGGCGGTAGGAGGTGACGCAGGCGTCGCTGTTGGTCAAGAGTTCGGAGCGTGGATTGAGACTCTCATACTGCTTGCCGAGGTGGGTGCATTTCATCTTCTCAAAATATTTCAAACTCTTTTATGTCAACAGTCAGAGGAGGCCTTAATGAAAGAAACGGCGCCTCTTACATCCCCCTCTGCCTTGCACACAACATTTTCCACGCTGACACTCCCGCTCGTCAGTCTCATGTCTTCGACACTCGCGGCCCTGCAGGCGATAATAAAGAAGTCAAAAAGCAACACCCATCTTCTCCTAACATTTTCTCTTTTTTCTTCATTGGCAGATACTACCCTTCAGGCCCGGTTCGATAGTGTGCTTCGTGCTCCGAGGACGTCGAGGAAGACCAACGAACTTGGAGACGCGATGCATAGCGTCCGAGCTACTTGCCTTCGAGCTTTTCCGGAACTTTTGGCTGACATCAAAATGGCCGGCGTCATTTCGGCTGATAGGGTAGTTGACCTGGGCTCGGGAATAGCTCCTATAAGTAGCATCGTAAGTAGTGCTCCACATTTTTTCTCTTTTCGATGACTGCACGTCCGCCCCATCCCCCTTCAGACAGTCGAGTTTTTGAAGAGGCTTCCAGCCGTTCAAGATGGTGTTGTGGCAGCTTTGAGAGTCCTCGGAGATGGGAACTGGAACATGGGAGCCGCGACGGGAAATATGAGACGTGTCGGAGAGCTCCAAGAAATAAACGATGGAGGACTCCTGGAGCACTTCACATGTAAGTGGAGGTCTCCCTTCTGGCGGTTTCATCCTATATCACCAACCCCGATAGACGACGTGATATCGAACCTCCTAACAACGCTCACAACACTGACCAAAACCCAGAGACAGCTTTCACTTTCATCCATCTTCCTTCTAAACAATATCTCCTTCCTCCGACACCATCTTCTTATAGCTACGCCCACCCCTGTCGACGACCTGCTCTCTGAAAAGACTCAGTCCCTCCTGAATGCCACTTTCCGCAGCGCCAAAGCGACCTACTTGGAATCCAACTTTACCGTCCTAGTTTCCTGCCTCTCGGAAGACAAAGCACAGAGCGGGTTAGGATCAGGAAAACAGAGCACGAAGGAGAAAGCGTTGCGTTTTTTCGACTGTTTAGAGGATGTAATGGAGAGACATCGTTTTGCTAAAGGGATTATGGAGGATGATGATGAAGGGAGAACGAAGATGGCGGATGATGTCGTAAAGCTAGTTATCCCAGTCTTGGCGGCGTTCTTGGCGAAGCATCGAGAGAAAGAATTTAGTAAGAGTGAGTCTAAAATCCTCTGAACATGAAAAATGGGTCGCTCGCTGACGCGCCCGACAGATCCAGCGAAGTGTACGTCTAATTCATGTGTTGTTCTTGGGCTCGCCCTCCCGCTGACATCCAACCAGATATTAAAGCTTCCCCAGAAGAAGTTGAGCGACAATTGAGAGCATGCTATGGAGGTTGATATGTTGTGGGCTTCCGCATCCTCATCTAACATAGGCTGATTGCTAAAGTCAAGGTGTCCATTGATTCTCGCTTCACATGATGCAGAACGACGACAAGAAATGGCTAGATTGGAGGTAGAAGTACCGGATATATATCGACACGCTTTGATAGTATATAACGGACATTCAGAATGCATCTTGAAGTTTAGTTTAGAAGTGCTTTTATCCATGGATGGCACATGGCCCACATGTGCGATGAGATTGGATCCATCTCGGCAGGGCAATGGCGATTTTTGTGTTTACGAGACACGCTGGGGACTTGTTGCCAAAGCTAGGATTCCAAAAATGAATATTAAGGGCACGTCTACGTGACAGTGACCGAAAATGCAGGTTTCATGTCAGCATTCCTTACCGCTAGGAGATGAGACAGTGGGAGAGTTCTTACGCATGGTCCACCTGGCCTCTTGCACCAGTAATCACCAGCGCATGAGCAGCACAGATACCCTGATGGACACGTATCTAATGCAGAACAAGAATGAATCCAACAGCATACGTGGAACGATTCATGCAAAGGATGCGGCTTACGGCCATCGGGGCATTTCACCCGTTTCTTGAGGGTGCTACTGCCTCTGGTATCACGGATCACGATGGTATTAGCAAATGCAAACGAAGCGATGGTGATGATGAAGATGTGGGAGAGCCGCATGTTTTGAATGAAGCTCGATAGCAGAGACGCCTGGAATGAAGCTGGTAAAAAACTGGCTGTTCACAAAGAGCTACACGTGTGCACAGAAAGGCGTGGTCGATCTGCGCCTATAGAGAGCACGAGAACAACCCCGATGGTGCTTTTGCATTCCATTCCTAGTGGGGGATCTATTCAACCATTTTGGGTAAAAGCAATACGATCGTAACCCCCCCTCATAATATAATGCTTCGTCCCCTGTGTTGCTCTCCTCGATAAATGCACCGGATCAGACAATCATTCTCCTGTCGCCAACTAGACGTGAGATCTAGAATAGAATGGCCTTCGTACGGGTAACGTTCGCGCTGCTTCTGGCACATGTGTTCAAGCAGGGTATCAGCCTTACGAATATGTAGCAGCAACAAAAAAAAAATAGGCATCATCTATTCATGCAAAGCTCCCAGCCGCAGTTGGGCTAAAGCGAGAATTTCGCAACCGGTTGTTGTCCATGCGGCGCTGATCGTGGTCTGCGGCGGTGTGAAGTAAAGGGTTCCGATAACGGGAGTCAGGTGAAGTATCCATCGGCTTGATGCTTGTAGCCATAACCATCGTCATAAGCTGTTAGACAAACGCAAGAAATGAATCTCAGGGGAAATTCGGTACATCCATAGTCGTCGGCAACTAGTAGAATAGGTATAACCTAGGAGCTTATTTCCGGCCGTGGGGATTACAGTGCGTATTTCCCTTGCGACCACGTTGAACAATAGCCACGAGGGCCGCGGGACGGATTCCAAGAGTGGTAAGGAACGGGTGGTAGATATATAGTGCCAACATCAATGCCAACGAAGTGGACAACAGAGGTTGAGGATGCCAGTTCCTGAGGAACTAACCCCTTCTTATTAAAGAGGCTGTTCACCTGCTTAGGGAATTGACCATTTGATACCACCCCTGGATAGGAGCATGCTCATGAGTGACTAGATCGACTTTGGACCACGACCTTAGCTCTTTCAAGATTCATTTGAAGTATCAGGGAACACAAGCAAATGACACGCTGTGAAGAGCAGTTGAAGGGAATGATCGAACGCATAACTAAGAAATTGATCACGCCGGCAACAGTCTGCAACTGGACAGCACGCGAAGCGTCGACGCCTATGGGCCCCATTAATGTTGAGACCCCATATTCAGGAGTGGACCCTGCAACTGTGTTATATTACAACCCCGCGGGGTTCCTAAGGGGTTATCATAGTGACACCAGAATGTACTATTATATGCTATTATATTGGCTACACTAGGAAGCCGGCCCTCAAGTTTGGGCATGTCTAAGATATTTTCATGGGTAAGAGCAGACTCCTTCCCAGTCGCTCACATGATTTCTCCGAGGTTTAGCCGCAACTTACGTTGCCTCCGAAATCTGTCGAGCGACTGGTACAACTTGCAACACGTGATGTTCCCACGCTAAGTTGTAATGAGTTGTACATAGGTTGCGGAATATAATGTTTAGTATTTACGCATGCGGTCATTGCACCCAACCCAACCCGTGGAGACTAAGGGAGCACATCCAGGGTTGTGAAGTCAATATCCGGGTGTGCGCGAAGTTTAACGGTTTATATATTACTTGGTTACCAGTCACTTGTTTGTGCCTAGTGGCATAAGTGGTACAGCGTTAGCTGAGGCTATGCAGTTTTTTTAAGTGGCACATGTTCGATTCTCACTTAGGAAAACTTTTTTCGGGCCCTCCCATGGAATAATTGTGTGAAATGGTTGTTTTCTGTACACTAAGGAGTGGAGGGTATGGAAAAAAAAGTTTTCCTAAGTGAGAATCGAACATGTGCCACTTAAAAAAACTGCATAGCCTCAGCTAACGCTGTACCACTTATGCCACTAGGCACAAACAAGTGACTGGTAACCAAGTAATATATAAACCGTTAAACTTCGCGCACACCCGGATATTGACTTCACAACCCTGGATGTGCTCCCTTAGTCTCCACGGGTTGGGTTGGGTGCAATGACCGCATGCGTAAATACTAAACATTATATTCCGCAACCTATGTACAACTCATTACAACTTAGCGTGGGAACATCACGTGTTGCAAGTTGTACCAGTCGCTCGACAGATTTCGGAGGCAACGTAAGTTGCGGCTAAACCTCGGAGAAATCATGTGAGCGACTGGGAAGGAGTCTGGGGTAAGAGGGCCGTTCCAGGTGATGTGAATCCTGTAGTGTACAGGGCATTTGTTGGGCAGGAAGTTAGGTCATTCTCCATGTCCATTGGTGAGTTGAATAGGTGCGTCAAAGAAGATGTAATGATTCGGCCTAACTACGAGGCTAGTGGCACAGAAGGAACCAGGCAAAGAAAAACAGCTGGTACGAACATTCTAACTTCCACCCACCTAGCTCCATAACATGACCACCAAAACAAAGGAAAGACACAAACGGCAAACGACTTATGAAGCTTTAGTACGCGCCTTTAGTGGCTTTCATAAACTAACAAGTGATTGTGCATTCAAGTCGCGAATTTCCTCAGGGGCACGGAGTTCCTACCACACGTTATGAAAACCGGACGGTGCCCTGGAACTCCGGAGCATTTGGGGCACTCCAGCCAGGGGATTTTGCTCCAGGGCCTGTTCGGTTTTCGTGATGCGAAGCTATTCCGATAGAGGCTAATGCGACGCGTATCGGAGGCGAGTCCACACTACGGCGGCTCGCCTCCGTGCTCCGAGCCAGAGGTGGGATGTGATATCTCCCCCTCGGGCAGGTACGGAACAGCCAAGGAGTTCAGAGGGGGAAACATGCGGTAGGAGGCCAGCGATAGGACTCCCCGGCACAAACAGTGTTAAATAAAATTCCTGAAGTTTCCGTTCCCCCGAGTACTGGGGATTTCCATTCCCATCATTTCAGCTGTCTCTGTTTATCTCCACTCACGCGTGTTCAGGATGCATGGACAGCCGCTCCCACAGTCTGAAACCCCCAGGAGCCGAGATTCCAGATTTTGAGCGTGAATGGTGCGTGCTTTCACACCTCAGAACACCCCATGATCATGACGCAATGGATTTCACCCCGTTCACCCACAGACACGATGTGAACCTGTGGTTATACCCACACTCATCACATTTTTCTCCCAGTGACTTGCGGTTACGTCCCTGCCCGCAATGAAAACGCATCAGATCCCATCTCAATCCGCAATGATGTGACAACCAACAGAGTCCCTCGTGCGAGCGTAGATCTTGGCCGAGCAATCATCCCACGTATCTTCTCCGTTGCATTTTTCAAAACTCACTACAATGCCATTCTGCACATCGAGCGAAGCTCTAGGTGTTCTCCTGATGCCTCTCATTTTCCTATAAATTTATGGCCCTGTGCTGAACTGATTACTGTGCACGAACAAGAGACAGTAATTGGGAGGCGGAATGGCCGTCACAAGAGTTATCGTATCGATTTGGAGGTATTCAACGTACATCACTCCGGCCATGCCAATCGCTGCCTCGCCTCCGCGGTCCCCATTTGTAACCTGATACCCCAATTTAATGGTTCACTGCATCACCGACACTAAGAACGAATTCACGCCCCCCCACTGGGAAACAGACCACCTAACAGCAACTAGCTTGCCCATATTATTAATATACCGTTACAGAAAATGGCCTGCGTGAAGTCAAAAAGGGTTGACAAGAAAAGTATCGTATGGGGTTGAACGCAAATCTTCTAAGTGGCCAGTCGCTGCATCAACAGAACAATTAGACTGGGAAAGCAGCATGTAAGACCCACGCCCTTTTCCCCTCCTCGCAAAAGCAACGAAATGGAAAGGAGAGTAGAGGACAATGATGAAACTAAGAGAATCAATATACAAGATAAATCGATTACGTCTAGAGCAGGGAACGAAATTCTATCAACTGGCAGCCATCTAATCTATGTGGGGTTAAATCTAGTCGGAATTGTATCGTCGTTTCCAGTCAAGCGCAAACATTCGGGGAACTCCTGCTGGAGCACAGCATACTCTTTCGGGATAGCATCCCTGCTTTCCCATGTTTTATCGTTAAGCTGAATTTTCAGCGGAACGAGCTCTGATCCTTCCCCAATACCTATGGCACCGATTCCGCGAACCCGCAAAAGACCGCGAACAGCTGCACACACGCGAGAAATGACCTCCGAAGGTTGAGACTCCCCTTCGTAAGTCGTTGACGCGCCCAAAATGTACAGGAATCGCAAACTGGGCGAACGGGCTTTTAGAGGGAGTGTGGAAGTCGGCTCGGCAAGGACACTAAGCACGCCACCGATGCTGGCGTGAAGACGGCATCCGAACTCTTCGATGGTGGGATGAGCAGAAAGGAATGCATTAATGGCTGTGGGGGAGAATGCAGCGGAAGAAAGCCACGCTGTTTGGAGCATAGGGAATCGTTCAACGCTCCCGAGTGCCTGATCCACCCATTGTGAATCACCGATAACGGCATAAATTGTCAAATGCTTCAACCGAGGGAATTGCATCGTCCAAATCACACTCGACCGTTCGGACCCCTTCGCGGCAAGATCCATCTGAAGCGACTCCAGCGTCAATGACGAGAAACACTCCATGTCATTTCCATGGAGCACATCCTCTTCAAGCGCCTGAAGCCAGCACAGACTCTTCAAATTCGTGCACCGCCTCACAAGGTGAACGACATCCTTCGTAGGACACGCCGCCCATGAGTCCAATTTGAGATGAGTCATGGTCCTCAACTGGTCCAGATCCCACAAAATTGGCAACGAGGCATCCCTCACGCTCACAATGATTTTTGCTGGGGCAGCTACCGTGGGATCTAGAAGTCGGAGGCCTTCCCGTGAACGCTGTTCCTCTAGGGGCTGGCGGATCTGCGTCCTCTCAAACGCCTCGAATGCAAAGTACTGCAACGAGGGCATGGGTACACGGAGAGGGAATATAGTCTGCGCAACATCATGGTCGGTTGTACGAATTGTCAGGCTGTGCGTTCGAGCCAGGTATGATCCGAGCGAATCCATCCAATTTCGGATTTGTCCCGAGGCCCACTTGTTTAAGCGATTGTCGGCGATAACGGTGAACCGCAATGGTGCCTCACGAGACCGCTCAAGGTATAATCGCATCTTAGGGTTGAAATCTCCAGCCTCTGCAACGATATTTGTCCAAAGCGGGGCCGAACCAATGGCTGTTTGCCGCCAATGGTGGCACACAGAAGTAATGGTGCCCAGATATGTGGTCTCTTCCGCCATGCAGATGTCCCCAGCGACGGTATAGCCGATTCGGAATATTTCGGAGAGAATCTCTTCGGGAATTCGGAATGATGGATTAGTGCAGTTCTGAACCCTTGCCCAAGCACATTTAATTGCAGCTTGCTCTCGCTTGAGCCCTTCTAAGGTTCGTTCCGTGGCTTCTATCTCGTAATGAAGGGAGTACATCTTCGCGTCTAATCGGCCGGCGCCAGTGGTTCTGGACAAGTGGATGAGCAGTGCACCGCGCAAAAAATGTCGCAAGACAAAGATGAAGAGGGGAAGTCAGCTAACGGAGACAGGAGATAGTAAAAAGGAGTTCACTGGCAAATCGCCAGCGCAACTCAATGAGACAAGGAGGACGTACGAGATAGAAATAGTATGAAAACTCGTCAAATCAACCAGATTCCTCTTGCTCACCTCGAGCCGTTGACGCGTGGCATCGATGTACGTGATGCCCGTCGTCGTAGTATTCATTGGGGATTGGGGAAGGTAATTGGTATTATAGAAGGGAAAAGCAAACAAGGCGTCTAGTGGGGGTACATACTTATTTATTCTCAGCATCCGGCGAAGGCCGATCAAAACAGTGCGGACTCGCAATGAATAACGCGGGCACATGTAAGATCAAAGCCGCTTGCAGCTGAACGCTAAATCTAGGGCAGATCTGGGCAGATGTTAGATATGGGGGCGCCAGGTGGATCCCCTGGAGTATCAAGGCAGTAGAATGGTTTCATATCCCTGCGTTTGCTGTTTCACTGTCTCAGCCAAGCTCTGGGGAAAGGACCTGAAACGTGGCAAGCGTTCTTTCGTGACGGGGGTACACAGATTTGCAAAGGCATAGCAATAATTTCAATCCGGACATGACTCCCCGACACCGTGGAGCCGGGAAGCACCACCATCACTCCAAATCAGCGAGTGGGCAGGCGCTCACGCCGTATAACCAGCTGCATCTAGAACAAGAGACCATTAGACCGGAATGCTGGACCCACGCGGCGGCGTTCTTCAGATCCCGGTACTGTAACGACTTGGACTGAAGCAGAAGTCTGAGATGGAATCGACCTCTTCGGTCGACGAGAAAGAATAGACGGAGGGGGATTGCAAAAATCCGAGCAAGTGCGGGCACAGCCCAACACACCGAAGTCTGAAATGCCGATGCAGGTTGGGCGCCATCCGCTTGATCCATGTCCTGCTTGCCTTCCGGAGCATGCAGGGTGCGGTTGGATATATGTGGTATATCCGACCAAAGCGCTCTCGACCGATATCCTGGGGGTACTGAGATAGGGGGTACTGGAAAAATACGAATTTATTTCCGATGACTTTGGCGTTGGACGCAGAGTCAACACCGCATCATCACGGTGCGCGCAAATGCAGGGTGCACGGTACCGCACACTCGGAAGGTATCGTACACTCTGAAGTGCCCCCAGCGGTGCGCCGACAAGCCAGCGACTACCTTGTGCAACGAGATCGATGACCCCGATAAGCCAGATCTACCAAGCACGCAGCGGTGGTTGTGGGAAGGCGATGGGGCGAGAAAGATGCCACCAGTGACTCTGAGATCCTCACAAACTTACATATCGACGCATAAATCGACCGAAATTGTGAGGACAAGAAGAGAACGGGGGGGATGATGGTGGTAAATATTGAACAGGGGCTAATATTTATTTTCGAACAAAAAGAAAAAATTCGACGATTATTTAATTATTGTGATCGTTCCGAGGCGCCGGGAGCTCGATGGCTCGATTACATAATGCACAAAGTGAATCGCGCTGGCGCCATGAAATGGCCACAAATGCCTTGCAGGCTCGGCCAATAAGCTCTTACATGACCGTATGAAGCTTTGTGCATCATTTGTTGAACGACAAGTCATGATGCTGCGGCGTTTAAATTACCATGAACGCGAAAAGTTGGCATATGTGCTGCTTAACCATGCCGACCTTATGTAGCTCCCTACCTCACCAAGAACTAACCAGGCAGCCAGTCAGCATTACATGCGCCAGGATTTGTTTGTTTTGATGATACACGAAAGCTAATCGGAATCGGAAGCATGTTCATGACTCTAAACCGAACAATTCGCCAATTAACCCTGTGTTCCCCGACTCTTATTTTGGTCCGCTTGCTTCTTTTGCGACACAATGGGTCGACATGAAAACACATTAGAGCACCGTATGCATCTTGCTGCTGAGACTAAGGAGCTACATATATAAGATACTAAAATGGAACAGAGAGTGTGTCGAAGATTTTACCGACCTGCTCGGCGGTTGGGTAGGTTGCTTTATTGGTGATCGACGTAGCTGTCACATAACAAAACTGCAATAGGTTACAAAAAAAACTGCAATCAAAGACACGCACCGGTATGCTTTTGGTCTCAGATTTCTTTCACGCTCCCTGAATGCTTGTCTTCATTGTTCTCAACGAGGGACTTCACCTTGTTAGTCTTCTCACTCACAAGGCTCTTGGCCTTGTCAATGTTCTCTTGGGAATACCCTGCCCATTGCAACCAGAATTGAAGCCGTAACTGCGCCCAAGAGAACTATTGCACTTACCACTGCTAAAAATGCGTCTAACCCGCTCCGCTGTGTCTTGCAAAACCCCCTCTCGCCTTCTCCTGTGATCCATTTACCCGGTTTCTCCCCCCCTCCACAAGCTTATTCAGTTGAGCCCAGCTTTCACTGAACTTTCCACTTAATTCGGGGTTCCGTTCGATGAATGGCTCAAGGAGGTCTCCTCCAGCTTTCGATGCAAGTGCAGAAAGCTGGTCACCTCGCTTTTGGAAGATGCGAAGTACTTTGTGAGCTGTAGTCACGTCAAGTGGCGCACCCTGGGAAACACAACTCAGCCCACAACGCTAATAGAGAAGGGTCAATGTGACGAACCTTTAGAATTTTCCTCATTTCTTCTGCAGCCTCGAGGACAATATTGTTGGCCTCGTCCTTGTATGGCTCACTCACTTCCTCGAGTGAATCGAACGCAATATTAACGATGTATCCTGCACCAGGTACGATTGCCACATAAGCTTTAGCTACGCTGCGAAGGTAACTAAGTGCGACGTTGGCATCTTTGGTTTTGTCATGAGAGGGTGATATGAAGAAATTTAGGACAGGTTTGAGGAAGTCATGGATGGACGTGACGGATCGAACGGTTGATTTTAGCCCAGAGAAGTGATAATACGCATAACCTATCCATCCAGATCACATTTACACGCTATGAATGTCAGTTCCGGGTATGAAGGGGCAGCGAGAACGTTCATATACCTCCAATGAGAACGACGCCCCCTCCGGCAACCCCAGCGAGAACAAGTGGGATTACGTTCGAAGCTTCACGCTCATTCCTTAAGGTTCCAGTAATATTGGCATTTGAGACATTTGAGTTAACACCCTCAGTAGAGGGGGAAATGCGCCAAGCTGCCGTCGACCCGTAGCCTTTTCAAGCCTCCATAAAGGACCTGGTGAACATGTTCGACATTATTTCTACGCTTTACGTGTCTTTGACACCAGTGAAGATGACAAGATTGAGAATTAGGGATTAAGGACGAAGAGGCTGGTGGCGTCGTATATACATATTTACCATTGTTGTGCGACAGTTTTTGTCTCGCCACTGATCAAGTTTCCAAGCGGTAATAACAATATAATACATAGACTCATCATCACCAGTTTTCTAATAGTGTATGTACTAGATATGTGTGTGCCTTAGTAGCCAATGCCAATTCGATAAAGATTTAACGCGGTGCAGTAAAGAGGGGCTTGTCACCTGCGTAGTGTATATATACCCATAGGGTGGCCAGAACTATTTTGTTCAATCGCCATGCCGCGGGCGCTTTGTGTGTGTGTGAATGTTAATAAATAGCCCTCGTTCTTCATTGCTCTTCCTCAGTTCTCTATCGAGAGTTACAGTAACTACATACCTTGCTTTTGCCGCGACCACAATTCGTGGGAATTTTAACTTTCCCCGCCAAGCAAGGTTATGGTTGCTGCGCAACCCGACTCATTCCACATTGAATACGAAACCTCCCACCCACTTGGTGCCAGTTTGTCATCCAGGAGCACCCTTTTCACAGAGTTAGTAGTTGGTATTCTGTCACACAGTATATTGAAGTTGATCACACAACTTTTCTATCTCGCCACTCTTCGTTCTCGGCGGCGTTACGATTTCGGAACCTTATGGATGACTCCTCAGTGACCAATAAAGTCGGATCGTATCAGACGAGGGCGCAGGAGGCATTTTTCGTACTTTCCATCTGGGCTGGGGTCGCAGCTGCATCCATGAAGCGGCATTGGCCAGATCCGAGCCACAACATTGCAATCTATTGTAGTACCTACACTGAAAGTTGCGGGGCTCACGATGGTGACAGAAGCACACCGTATTACTTCGGTTGCAGCTGTGCCAACGTATTGCATGGCTCTAATTCATATCTCCTTCCGAGAAGTGCAAACACACGAGATCGATTGGCAATGAACCGGAACAACCGAAACTAAATGATGCATTGCATCCCCAAGCTCATAATTTCGCTTTGAGCATCTTCGAGACGCCGCAGTTTGGCCTTCAGAGTGTTACGCTTGTCCACAATATGCTGGGGTTGCGCGTAGTACGCCCGACAGCGGGTCTCTGCGTCAGGCCCGAGAACCCCCAATTGGCGTAACAGCTTAGTCTCTAGCCCCTTACTGAACCCCCGAATGTAGTCCATATCTATGGCAAGTGCAATGTTGTCTAGGAATCGCTTGAAGGCAACTAACAGAATCGTGCATTATTCAGCACATGATGACCCAATGGAGAGACGCTTCGCACCTTGCCAGTACGCGCGAACGTCCGCCATAACTAGAATAGCATCTCTGGCAGGGTCGTCCGGGAGGATCCTAAGGACGTCCTCAACTTTGTCAGGCAGCCCAGATGATCGAATCTGACTGAGGAGATTGTGACGTTGTTCTGTTTCTGGGCTCTTAGCGCCGGATTTATGAAAGGGGAGCGCCCGCGAGTACGACATGTTTAGCGGTTGCCCTCTCTGGTGGTAAGCTGGAGTGCGGGAAGGCCCCGGTTCCCCTCGCTCTTGATCATCATCAGAATCGGAGTCTGCTGCCTCTGTCACGTCAGGTTGATCAGGATGTGTCAAGATGCGGATAGCTTTGGCGTATCCCCTCTTCTCATGTCGCATAGTTGTATATTTGGATATGAACGAAGATTTATACTCCCTCAGACTGTGCGTGTTCAACGTGAATGTCGATACTTTCTCGGTTTCGAGAATCCAGTCAAGTTTATCAGACGCCGTCTGACGACACTCTGAGCGCCGGTCGTTGAGCACAATGCTGCGTTTAGTTTTCAATGAGTTTATTGCCCTTAATACATGAGGCTTTGATGCTCACTTGACGGACTGATGAAGTGGTCGGTAAAGGGAAAAGTGTTGGTTTACCAACACGGCAAAATGCATCTCCAACGTAGACTCCATCTTACGAAAGAGCCTTGAACTCGGGGTGCCCCACTGTGAGATGAACCCGCCAATAAGCGATCGCTTGACTTCGAAGGGTTCATTCCCAGGAAGCTCTCTTGAAATTGCGCTAGTGATAGGAGGAATTAGGATGCATTCTGAAGGGCCCTATTCATTACTCACGCTTGCGCACGTTTGTGAACCTCATCGAGATAAATGATAGGAACCGTGCCGTGACTGTCTAAGTCTCGCTCTTCCTCGGGTAAAAAATCCATGAGCGGCACTTTCCTGGCGTTTGGCGAACCTTTTTCGAACGGAACGAAACGAGGAGCAGTGCCCCGGAGCTCAATTCGGAACTCCTCAAGGTGTCGTTTGTATTTCTGGATCAGTCCGTCGCCGGAAGTAGTGCCTTTAATCTCTGTTTCGATGTCTCGTTGGAATTTGCCAATCGCAGAAAGGAGCTCATCGACAGGATTCTCGACAGGCTCAGGAGGAAGCGCCGAAAGCTCTTCCTGTGTTTGCTCTATTAAAGATGTAATTTCCTCCTGGAGACCTGGAAGACTAGGGAATCGGCTGTCAGCACGCATGAAGTTCGAGGGGAAAGGGGGAAGAACGTACGTCTTAGCAATGACATCCGAAAGGATCTCACTGAGGCGCTCAATGAGGCTCTCAACAGAGAGCCTCAACCGCATGTCTTGTAAGGAAGCCCAAGGCTCCCTCTGAAAGAAGTCCCTTTCCAGTTGGCGAGCTTCAGATCTTCCGATTCGCCGCTGAAGATCCTCTGGACCAGGTAACTTCACACAAAACCAGCCTTCCTGTAGAAGTTCCTTCTGATTTTTAAGAAGATCGAGCCATTTAGCTTGATTTCCTTTCTCAATACGATCCGGTTTTGTCAGTACCCCTGTAAACAGAAGAGTCAGCAGTAAAAAGAGGAGCATATTCACGGATTCACGAACCAATGGTTCTAGTATGATCTGGGTCGTGCGCTTTCGCGATTTCCCACGCGCCTTGGTTCTCAAAGTCGGCTGTAACGAAGTGTCAGGAGAATAAGTGGGGTTCATTTGCTTGACATACTCTCGCAAGTTACGGCTAGGAGAACGATACTTTGCGGATTCGCTATGTAACGGTCTGCGAGATTCTTCACGTTATCCATGTCAGACTGTTGCCCATTGCGTCCGATGGTTGCAATGATTCCTGTTGGACTATTAGCCAATACGAGACTCTATGATAGACCACCAAAGACGTACCTGGGAGGTCGACGAAGGAAAGATCTACAATGTCCGGTCCCCGCACTTTCAGACTGATACAATTTGGGGAGAAAGACACAGTTCGAGTCTCTGGGATGTCGCCATGAAGGAATGACGTTGGGAAGTCCACCGAGTCCAGGTCGGGATTTAAAACTGCGATCTGAGCACGCCGAATGCGGTCTTCCACATCCGCAGGGTTCGTAATGAGTGGACCAAATGGGATGTTACGGACCAACGGAAGTGGATGACCTCTGGAGTCAACTTGAAATCGGAGAGATACCTCACACTGCCATGGTTCCCTCGGATCCGATGATCGGATCAGGATGCATTCCGTTGGACATCTTGGAGATGGTATCAGATACATACACAAGTTTACGAGAACTCAACCTTCACCTTGTGCAGGTACCTGACGCTCTGGGAAGAGCAACCTGACAATGCCATATGAGATAGGAACGCACACTTATCGGTCGAACGTACACCCGATATGGATTCTATGAGGGAGGACTTCCCGACTGATTGGGAGCCAAGCACGCAAATTTGCGGCAGGCTTACATCCATGGAAACACTATAAGGCATTGAAAGTCAGCGTCGCTGTATCAGAACAAGCTTCCGTCCACACCCCGTGTTGCGCAAACTGTTGCTGATGGCGATATTCTGGCGACGCCGAACCAAGTCCGCAAATCCAGTATTTTTTAAAGGAGCATCTTCATCGTCAGGCTGGGATCGCTCCTGCACGGACTGAGTATCAAAAATATCGGACAACTGTCCAGGTGTTGTGGCAATTGAGGGCGAATCAGATGAAGCCATCGATCGACTCTTCCACTAGGTGGTTGGGGGACTGGAGGCTGCACGATTTTTATCCTCATGGAGGGCCGCGCGCGATGCGCCAGAATGAGTATATTTTCCAGGAAACTGGTCAGTTGCCACTACAGACAAGAACTGCCGAATGTCGAAAATAAATGGAAGAGGCCCAGAGTCTAGAGCACAATCTTGGACGGCAGTTGTCATTTGAACTGGTCTGGGCATTATAGGATATGGTAACAGCATCATCACGCCAACTTATCAGAGACGCGCAGAGCTTCTTTCAGCGCCCAAGCCACTTACTGAGGGACATCGATCAAGCTGGCCTAAAATTATGCCTGCTGTCGAACCATCTCCCATACAGCAGGCCTCATGGCTAGACGCTGAACGCTACCTTATCTGCCTTGCGGTTGTATGGTTTCCTAATGCAGGTGATTTCACGCGTCTCATATTGTTCGTCTGATCTAGGGCTACCCGATTGTGATACTCGTCATGGGCCAGAGATCGGAAGGTGAAGCGAATGGACGTGCCTCATTGTCAACGGAACAAGGCAATGATGAAGCAGGTTCGGGTTTCTGGTACATCGATGAATGATCAAGCATTACACGACTTCGATGGCATAGCTCCAGGTTCCTCATGACCATATGAGGTGGTAATAGGAAAAAATTCGAGCCAATTGAGTGGCCACATGAAGCCCAGCATATGAACAAAGCGCGGGAGGATAAGCTCCCGGTAGAGCCCAATGTAAACAGGGGCAATTTATCCATGCCAATATGGGGCCTTAGAGTAGCTCGCAGACGCGCTGTTCAGCAAAAGGTGTATCAGAAGACCAGACATTAAAGCTGTCCAGATATTGGAACATGAGTGTAGATATGCTATTCAATGGGCGCTGGATATGAGTTCTAAAGAACCGATATGAGCCCAATCATACTGACAAGCGCTCATCAGCCTTCCGTGTGTCTGAACAATCGCCACGAGGCAGTTATGGAAGGTCAAGATGTTCTTATCAGAGGCCATGTGTGTGAGTATATAGTGACATTACGATCAAATCGATTTCCCTAGGATCCAAGAAGCAGGGAACTAGGACGCCGGATGAGCGGAAAAACGAATGAAAATGAACCCTGTTCAGGTTCAGAATGAGAGCGGCCACAAATGGCGGCACCCTTGAGTCCATATTGGCGCTCACTGTCTTGCAATCCATCGCAGCATTGCTACTTAGGTTGAGGATGACATCGAAGCAGTACTTGCGCCACGACCACGGAGCTCGCCGAATTCCGTTGTTATCTGTGAACCGGGCCCAGCCCATGGTAGAGGCTCCCCCAGTATGCCCAATGTTGCTGCTGGTTTTGGGTCTAAGAGGTTCTCCTTTGCCGCGATGGATAACGACGTGGATGGCACTTACACGACCCGTTATCCTGCGTTGGCCTTTTGCACCGTTCTGTGTCGCCTTCTTCCATCACCTTCCACTTTCCTACCTTCTTGCTCACAGTAGTCGAGAGACCATGGGCACAAGTCTATCTCCCTTCCTTCTCTTACGAAAGCGCTGAGTGGTTCGCAAAACACGCGGCTCCGCGCCTAACGGTTATTGCCGCAACCCCGCCTACGTTACCGAAGCGCGGTTCTCCAAAGGACCAAGAGGCACGAAGGAGTCGTCTGGCCAACATTCCCAGGAGCCGTTTCAACTAACCCGTTTCGCCGCGGTTCTCCAACGCATCAAGAGGCATGCTTGGCCAACAATGCTCGGAGCCGGCATCCGTTGCCAACAAATCCAAAATGTATACTCCCCCCCGGAAACGGTGTACGAGTACCCCTAGGCGCTCCGAACCCACGCATCCATATGTTTTACTTCCCCTCTTGTACATAATTTTTGATCTTTTGATCCGTGCCCTTGGCGCCTCATTCGGGCAGCCTGCACGTGCACGTTAAATATCCAGAGCTCACACACACACACACACACACACACACACCGGGCCCATGGTGCCAGAATTGCGCGACTAAGGGGGTTTAAATCCTGGAAATGACGACGACTTTCTTGTCCATCATGATGCCGATCGACAAGCAAGACAGAACTGGTTGATGTAGGGATAGTGTATATCCCTTTCGATTCTCGCACGGAGCCATTGCCGGAAAAGACGACCTGTAGCAATGGAAAAGCAAGGCTAGCTTTGGGAACGAGTCCGTGCCCAATTCAGCTGGACAGCGAATTTGAATCAACACCAGATAGATGATTGCCATAGATGGAAATGAGCCCAGTTATCTTCAGCTGTTTCAGAATGGATGGGTTCCATTTCCGGCCACCCACTGAAGCAAGATGTCGGATCAATCTGGTCCTCACGGGAAGCTATGCCAGCACTCTACCTGCAGAGACGCATCATGACCGTGAAGACGTCCCGCTGCGGGCGACAGGATGTGCTAAGCAACTTCAATGTCGCCACAGGCTTGCTGTCTCTAACAAGTTACACGAGGTGCCCAATGAAGACCTAGCGCTCCGCAGATATGTATTCTTAAGTCGCAGTCGGCTAGAAAGTCATCTCTCATTGTGGTAATCTCAGGTGAATCATTCTTCCATCGTTGTTCAGGGAGTCACTGGTTTCACCAAGGCATCGCTTCCGGTGCAAGGGCTACATATTTCCCACAGGCCTTACTCACGGTTTCACTAAGGTGTCCTGCTGAATCCATCTTTACACGGACAGATGGCGGTTGGCCTTAACCTGGAATCGGCACTTCACTATGACTTTGAATATGGCGAAGTGATTACTGACCCTGGGGGCTAGGCTTCGACAAGCTCAGGTGGCCATCTCAAATCTCGAATTACATTCCCAAGACTCCTTCCTCGATGGTTGATACTAGGACTACTTCGTTCTCGCATAATTTTATCAGTATGTAGTCAAAGAACCCGATATCATCAACCTCCCAAGTGAGCTCCGATCCCTGGTCCGGTTGCCGTAGAGCTGGTATACGGCCGTACCGCATGTTTAATTTTTTTACGAGCCAGATCATGGGATTATCTCATCCTGGCAATGCATGTCGACAGTGGGATCAGAAAGCGCTTTGAACTACGAACAGCATGGAATCCTAATTAGGACGTATCTGACAATCGTGATACAGGTTAGTACAAGTAAAGCTACAGAGGCCGTTTGTCCGCAACTGCGAAGCTAGGTCGTGTCCAGTTCAATCGGGCCACCTCGTTGCAGCACGGTGTTCAGAAATGGGGGCTTTGGCCCACGCGAAAAGACTGTGCTGCTGTTCGGTGAGCTTAATTTACTATAAATGGATAATGCTTAACCCCTCATTGAATTGGGAAATCTGATCCTTTGTGTGGAAGCTCAATTACAGTGATTTTCCTGCGTTGTCAACCTTCTCGATTCATGACATGAAAATCAATAATAGCCAATCAACATCCCCCCAGTGCGTGGTTCAGGCTGTCTGAGGCCCTATGGGAAACGCACCCACATTTCTCTTCTCATGCGCAGAACCATGATGCTACTCTATGATGCTACTCTATGCCCTTTCTCATTACGGTCCTCCCCAAACCACATCCTTAGGGGAAATGCCTTTGTGTTGGCAAATCAGTTCAAATATCTTGGGCCTCATGCGCACTTGCTGGCGGCTGCACGGGTACAAAATACCACTGTATGTATAAAGGGTCGCACCCTTAGAACCCTCCCCCTTTGCCCTTCGAAGCAAAATGTCAAACCAGTCAGGCCCTCAATCAGACGCGGGAAGCTATGCCAACAGTCTCAGTTCCAGCCTTCTACCTGTGGACGTCGAAGGTTCTAGCCCATTGCTTGTACCCCTTCCACAAAGTGACGACCGCGACGACGTGCCACTGAGGGCGACGAGCTATGCTGAGCGGCTCCGGCGCCGCCGTAACTTCGCTATTTCTAATAAATTGCACAATATAGGGTGAGGTGGTTGGTGTTCCAACGAATTTGAACTGGAAAATCATTTCCCCCTAGAATTAATGCGGACCTAGCGCTCCCCCAGATATGCGTTCTTGGATCCCAGTCGGCTGGGAAGTCGTCTCTTATTGAGGCGATCTCAGGCGTATGTCCTAGCATGTTCCTTTCACCGTGGTCCACAAAGTCACAGTCTTCACCAAGGTTCCACTTCCAAGAGCTTCGGGCACCTGCACAAGGCGACTCTATAATATCATCTTCCCTGAAGAGCTCACTAACAGTCTTCCTAGGTGTCCCACTGAGTGTATTCTGACGCAAGCAGATGGTTCTTGGTCCTGCGAGATCTGCCTTCGTTTTCAGTATGATCGTCAAGGACACGAATTAGTGCCTCACCGTAACATTCCCTTTGGCCCAGTGATTACTAACCCAGCGGATGTCAAAGACCGACTCCGACGAGCTCAGGCAGCTATATTGGATCCAGCGTTAGATAGCCCTAATTTCCCGAATTCCTTTCTCGATTGCAGAGAGGTGCCCAGTAACAGGGTTACTTCGTTTTCCCGTAATTTTATCAGTATGACGGTGAAAGGGCCCGACGTCGTCGACTTGTCCTTCGTCGACCTCCCAGGTGAGCTCCAATACCAGCAATCATTCAATTGTAGGGCTGACATACTGTCATGAGGCATTATTGCAAGTGTTAGCAGTGGGAGCCATCAATCCGATATTGATAACGTCAAGGGTCTGGCGAACCACTACATCTCCAACCAGGAGAGCATTGTTCTCCTCACCATAACATGTGACAGTCAGTATCCTCACCATGTCTCCCGGGTCTCCGTTTCGTTCATAGCGGATTTCTTTGTACAGCCGATTTCGAAAATCAAGGTGCATGGCAGATCGGCAAGGCCCACGATCCGCAGGGAAAGCGCACCATCGGTTGGTCTCCAATTCGCACGATATGCTTCCGGTACACTCAGTAGACCTACAGGTGTTCTCACTAAGCCCGACCGAATCGAGCCTGGGAACGAGAGCTCATGGTTCAGCCTCTTACGAAATGAGAAAGAGCCTCTCGAACATGAGTGGTTCTGCGTTAGACTGCCTGGACCCGAAGATCCACCCGACCGCATAAATAGAGCCAAGGCTCAAGAAAAGGAAGAACTATTTTTTGGGCAACCACCATGGACTTACATGCACGACGTACGGTCACGCCTTTCTGTCGACAATTTAACGGAGCGACTCGGTGACGTCCTGTCAGACGCAATCGCCAAGGAGTGAGTTTTGCAGTATAGTACATGTCTATATGGCCCATTTATTTATCTAAAAAAATGGTTCATTTCGCCAGGCTACCACGAATCCAAGCCGAGGTCGCAGAAAAAATCTTGGAAACCGAAGCGGAGATAAAGGCGCTTCCTGTCGATTTCGCCAGTGACCCGGTCCATACGCTCATTGGAATGCTCGAAGAATTCTGTCGGCGTGTACAGGCCGAAATTGAGGGTACACAATCCCCTCAAGGTCTCATCCAAAAGATTAGGCGACACCTTATCGATTTCCGAAACGAGCTACGCGGCACTGCGCCGCGCTTTGTGCCTTTCGACAAGGGATCGCGCGAGGCTCGTCAGGTTCCCTTCATTGATTTTCTCGATGAACAGGAAAGGGATTTAGGCAACCATGGCACGCTTCCAATCATTTATCTCGACGAGGTCAAGAAAATCGCGGAGTCGTAAGTGACTCTGTTGGAGTTTCCCGTGGCACTAGAGTTCGGCTGAACCTGAATACGTTCTAGGTCTATATCTCGTGAATTACCTAAGAACGTACCTTTCGCGGTGAAGCGGGATTTTATTCGCCAGTCTATCCTCATGTGGAAAGAACCGTGCGAGACTCTATTCAGCAGGGTACAGAGGACCGTCGAGGATCATTTCGAACCAATTACTTGCGAGCAGTTTGCTCAATTCCCGCCGCTGCTTCAAGCCGTCAGGTATGTTATTTCCGTGAATTCGAGCGTGCTAGTTATCAAACTTGAGTCGGTCACATTAGCAATGTATTGAACGATCAGCGCTCCGCTTGCCGCGCAGTCGCCGCAACCAAGATAAATTGGATGCGCAAAGTGGAGGAGACTGCGACATTCACCCTCAATACAAATTATATGGAGAACTATAGGATCAGATTCCAGGAGAAATACAAAATGCTTCGACGTAAGGGATCCACTAGCTACTCTAATGCGATTCGAAAGTTACGGTATCCCGATGAGCCTGGATCACCGAACTTAGCATTTACGGAGATCGATGATGAAGAAAGAGTCCCCAGTTCCCCTCAAGCTGCCGAACCCTCGCCCCACTGGCATAGCTACGGCTACGCAGCGCCAGCGATCTGTTCGCCTGTTTCCAACGAGCGAGATAGGCGTGATGCCCTCCTGCTTGCCCTTAGGGACTTTGGTTTGCCCCACAGTGTTGATGACGTGCTCAAACTCCTGCCTAGCGATTCCGCCGACGAGGCTATAGAAATCATGTCAGATGTTAGGGCATACTGGCAAGGTAAGTCTGAACTGTATCAACTTGAAATGTAGGTAACTCACTGTCTATCCCCGTCAGTCGCGTTCAAAAGGTTCAACGATTATATTTCCCTAGCGATTGATATGGACTACGTTCGAGGCTTTGGGGATGAACTTAACGACAAGCTGAGACGCCGGCTCTGTGCAACCGACGAGGACCAGTGCAGAGAATACTTTGCACTGCCACCATATGTAGTAGCGCGTCGTGCAATGCTTCAAGCAAGATTAGGGCGTTTAGAAGCAGCCCAGAGGGAAATCCAGACATGGGCTGCATAGATGCCGTAGAAGAGTGGGGAAGATTGTACACGCATTGTCGGTATATCCTTGTACGGGAGTTACGACTCATTTGAACGTTTTAAATGATCAACCCGGCAGGGCCGGTGGGAGGCGCGACACTTGTATTCGAAGTGATGACGGAGTACAGCGAAAGTAAATCGGAGGTTATATTCATGATCTTGAATACCTACTTCGTCCGCTCACCGTAGCAGGTCCAAGTGATGGTTGTCGGGAGTACCGCGCCCGACGTCTGCACTTGAGGCGCTCTGCGAAAACTGAAAGCGATTTGGAGCTCGCCTAGATGGCTGGAAAGAGAAGCCACTGTGAACTTGGGTGCACACCGCATGTCTGAGACTCAGAGACTACGCTGAATTCCAATCGAGAGAGAAACGTTCGACCCAGAGTCCCGATCGATGGAACACTGATGTATGTTGGTTGTTTCTACTTTAGTAGAGGGGGGGATCCTGCCTAGTTGGTTGTCTGTGGGGAGGAGGGAGGAGTGATGGCTACTATCCCCTCGACGGACTAGTGCAGTCTCCCAGAAATGCCGGACACCGATAGTGGGTTCATCATCAGTCGCGAGCTGGATACGCGACGTGCAGAACGCACACGTTGCACCAGCGTCACATTATTAGGTCGATAGTGGCTGCGAAACGCCATGTCTAACGGTGGGGAGACGAACACACAACGATGCGTGACGCGGCGCTGTCAACCACGAGCCAGTGAGAAGAGTGCGATAAATTCTATGTACGGATACCAGCCATGGCCATCTGTATGGCCCTCTGCCAGGCGCTGTGCGCGAGCTATGGTAGTCAATGCACTGCAGCTCGCTTCTGTGCATCAATGACAGTAGTCTATCACGAGAGCGTCGAACCCCTCTGACAGCCTTCGCGCTCTCGAGCTCGGACCTTCATCCTCCACTCATGAGCAGCAACACGGATATCTCGATGCAGGGAGCAGTGAACCCAAGACGATAGACTTGATCCCTTCAAGTATTGAGGCGGCGTAGTCGTCTCATCCAGTTATCCAAAACTCCAGGTGACAACGTTCAAAAGTGTTCGCATCTTAAAAGTTTTATCAAATTGCGTCTGAAGTATTCCACATGAAAATAAGAAAAAATGAGATGGTGCACGCTGGTGGGATGCTCGATCCGCAACGGAGTCGCTCAAATCGGAAGCGCAGAAGCGCAGCTCATTCCGTCTTTGCCGCGCTTTGAATCTCGGCCAACCCTTCATCTTCCCAAAACGAAGGAGACAGTTCACTATCGCTTATGCCCTTCATCTCATCTCCATCACCAGTAGAGGTAACGACTCCGTGCTCCTCCAACCAAGCCTCCCTAAGCTTCACCTTAAAATCCTCGAGTATCTTCTCCTCTTCACTCCCCTTCCACATCACCCTTTCCAACACATGTCGCACCACTACACGAAGACCTATGTACGCATGACTAGATGCGAGAGCGGTGAGGAGAGCAGCGATCATAATGGTGTTCCGGCTGGAGGCACTAGAAAAGACAGAATTCAGGCCAGTATCGGATGCTGTTGTGTGCTTGGCAGTGAGTGACTGGGAAGACAGTGTTCCGAAGTGCGGATTGAAGAGGTAAACGAGCGCTGCATTGATTAGTGCACCAAGCCAAGTGATGAATGACTGATGAAGTAGAGTTTGACGAAAAGTTGAGAGAATTGAGGAAATGTCCAGCACATACCAATGAATCAAGCCAGGCGCCTATAGATTCCGTCCGAGAAGGGATAGGTCGCCGGACGAGCCGCGTGATCTTGAAGGCATCCGAACGAAGCTCGACCCAATTATTGGCAAGAACAGATACTAATGATTAAAAGCGCATTAGGCTCAAGTGTAAATAACAGCCTTACTACGTACGAGATGCGAGTGGCCAGCAAGTGCTCCAAACTGTGATATATCCAAACTGCGTAACCATCTCTGCATAATCGTCTGACGAGCTTATTCCATCAGTGACAAATTTGCCTTCCCCGGAAAGCCGCAAGCACTGATCGCTCACCGAATAGGGTATACTCCTCTAGCCCAACCTCATCCCTCATCCGATACACAAGCTCCCAATCCTCCTTATTCATTCCCACTTTCTCATTCCCATCCTTCTCGTCCTCCCATTCTACTCGTTTCTTCCTCCCACCCAACCCAGCGTATTTCCCCCTTCCACCACCATACCTCCCCTTCTTAATGCCTTCGAAGCCCTGAGATAAAAACGGAATGACAACCTCTTGGACAAAATTGATCGCTTGACCCGTCAGTGTAAACGCGAGCACCTGATCTCGCAGCCGCACGCCTCTGAGAGACTCGACCTGGTGGCCATTGTGATCGATAGTCCACCATCCTACAAGCTTCAACCCCTCTGTGGAGATATCTTGTGCAGGGACTCCGCGGGTGAGCGAAGACTGAACGAACTGCATGATACCCGTCCCGAACGGAACATATACAAATGCGCTCAGGGTCAAGTTTAGGTACGCAACGATTCCTGATAGGACGAAAGTTTTCAAAGTGAGCGAACGGTCATATGAACTGTGAGTAGAATGATTCTCCCAGTTTGTGAGACGCTTGGCATAAACATGGTAAAACGAGAGAAATTTGGGGATGGTGAGTATGAAGATGATTGTCGGGGCGAAGGCCTAGGTTGTTGATGGAATTTACCGAGAGGGACCCTGATAGTAGATGAGTCGGACGTACAATGTAACGATGTCCTGGTCCACCATACAGTTGTGATATGAATGCCTCGAAAACAAAAATGGCCGTGATGAGGGCCGAAAGTCCAACAGCAAACAATCCAATAATCGGGATAGACCCGATAATTCTAAGTTCTCTCTTCCACCAAATATCGTCGTTGGGATCGAACTCCGATCTCAGCGATTCCACTGAATGTCATTTCTAAATTAGTCGTTCAAGCAAGAATAAAGAGAGAAAAAAAAATACAACACACCCCGGCTTGAGTGCGTGACACCCCACTTGACGGCATACGAGCGCTCTTTGATCCGCCAAGCTTCAACGAAAGTCACGGCCCAAAGAATAAGTAGGACGCTGTACGTGGTGTCGAAAGATCCAGTAAAAAAATAAGCGCCTAGACCAAGGGCGGTGGGCCAGACAAGAGATTTCGCATAAAATGTTAGGAAGCCGAAGTACAGCGCAATAGACTCTCCAAACTAACAGAAGTGAGAGTTAGAATTCGATTGTGACGTGAACGTATGGAAGACAAACATGGTCCTTGATGGAATCAAGATGGGCGCTTATATCTAGCTCAGCTTTCCATGATTTGATCATGTTGTCGTTAAACTGGTGATCATGGAGGGCGAAGATGGACTCAAGGCGAGACCATGCCTGAGTGCGAGGTGCAATGCCGAGGCCGCCAGCTTTCGCGTTGGTAATTATATACTCATACACCAGTCTGATTCTCTGGGCCGGAGATATTGACCGTGTGGACTCCGCCGAGATCGACACACCGCTCTTGAAATCCCGTGCCCTTTCAATCGCTGCGGTATAAGCAATGTGGATAAAGAACAATGGTCTCGGACAAATTTACCTCTCCCTCTTCTCCAAATCTTTCAGAATCACATCCCCGCAGTGAACCGCAACAAGTATTTGGCCTTGTCTTGCGCCTTTCTTCCCCGCAACATTCAGCCCTCCAGCCTTCAGCCTCGAAACCAAGTTCTCGTATTGCTTGGAGACTTCTTGGGCCGATTCCTTGTCCTGGGCTTTACCATCATAAACTAGGACGAGATCAACTGTGGCACGCATGCTTTGGGGCGAAGAGGTTATTTCCAGTTGACACCTTGGATTTGCTTCCGCCCTGCGCATTGCCACTTGTGGCGTGTTTGTTTGTTCGTGGAAAGCCGCTTGAAACTAGACCGACCGGAAAGCCCCACAAGAATACCCAATTATAGTCTGAACATCATCGGATCAACACTTCAACTGATCCTCAGTCAGATCTGATGTGTGGCGATGCCACTCCGCGAATTTCGTTATTCGTCGACCAAACCACAACGATCTTCAGTGCGTCCTGTTTAATTGGAGAGGAAGACCGGAAAAGGTTCCAAATCTTCTCCCTCCTCCTCGAGTCCTTTTCGTTTCGTCAGAAGCTCTCTCGATCTTAAACCTCCCCCAACACTAAACATCGTAGCGGACCTGTCCCTGGTCTTCCGAAATGAAACCAAGCGACGCTGGGAAAGTCCGTCACTGATGCTGTTTGGAAATGACACTTAAAAACCCAAAGATGGTTAGAGGTCTGCTCGACATACGAGGAACTGCTGTGCCATATTCCGTGGCAATGTACATGTTTACACCGAAATTACTCGCTCTCCACACTAGCGCAATGATTCTTCTTTGGGACGTTAGGGCATCAGGCGGTAGAGCTAATGTTCGTCCTACATTTCCCCTCTAGTGACAATCGTGTGATCAAATATGTTCGACCATGGATATTTGTCAGCCACAGTGCCCTGGCTGGCGCCAAGCTGCACTACGCTCGTCCGTAATCCTTTTTCCAAGTACCCAGCAGCTGGGCTGGTAGTGTAGTCTTGTGCGGATTTGCTGTGTCTATTGTGTCTATGGGACAATGGGACAATAGACATATTCGACAAATACATCGATTCTCAGTTTTTTTTTCCCCCAGTCACCAACACGTGCACGTGCAGTCCTCCAGTCATCGCTCCAAGTCAATCAGTACCTTGTCACGACCCTGCTACACTTTGTATAACATGAAATCGCGGGTTGGAATGGATGGAGGCCTTGGTTCCCTCCGCAGCCAACTTTTCAGTCCACTAGCGCTGCTGCGCTTTCTATTCGGTCATGCCAGAGTAAGAATTCGAGGTTTATGGGTTTAGATCTGAACTTGTTCCGTTTCTGGTTGATCTAAACCATCACCATCACCACTGTGCCTCGTCGTGCTTCTAGCGTGAACCGCTGTCTACTTTCGTCATCCTGTTGTCGGGAGGTTCAAATCATTACATTAATAAAAATTACGCGAAAAGATACGAAGAAGCGACAGCAAAAAGGTATTATAGGAGTAGTAAGAAACATACAACGAGCTGAATGTTAAAAACCTGTTTTCTTGTGAATGATGTCAGGATCTTCCTGATATTCCTCCGCGCTGACCCACATCTATTGCGGATTACGAAGTCATGGTAGTTCAGACAAGGCATCGTCATGGCAGAGTGATACAATAGGACGCCACCTTTTTGAAAGTCCCAAGTCCAGCAAGGATACTTCCTCCAATCCACGTCGAGTACTTCCGTTCTGGTGGGGCATAGATTCTTATCTTTATGTCTTTAATAGCTAATCTTCTTATCTCGTTGAGCAACCGGTCACCGAAGCCTGGGAGATCCCACACGTATTAGAGATCAAATTGATCACGTAAAGATTGGAAACTCACCCCTTGTCAATGTACTTCCACCACTAAGAACAATGTTTGTGAAGAGATTTTTTCGCAGATCGAGATCTACTCGATTGATGGAGTCGACGACGACCTGATGCACGCCTGCATATTCTGAACCTATCAGCTCGGGATTGAAGAGGAGTTCAGGAGCCCGAAATCGTTCCGACCCGAGCTGCCAGAAAATTGAGAGTCAGTCATGTCACTCAAACGTCCCTCAATGGAGTTTACCTGAACACTGCTTCCATCAGGGAGTTTAAATTCCTCATATCTCCCTGCCAAATCTTTTTCCTCTTTGGCCGGGTTGGCAGCGACATAGCAACACTTCTCCTTGATTGTCCGAACAACCTCCTTCTCAGCAGTAGTATGCAAATGATGTCCAGCTTTTCGCAAGAGGAGCTGCAAGTGGTCTGTGACGTCTCTACAGGGGCAGTATAGTGCCTATCAACCTTGAGGGCAGTAAGGACTGGGCGATTACCTACCGTCCAGCTACATCTATCCGCCGTATAGCGTGAGGCATGGAGAAACCTTCGAAAACTGGAACAGAATGCGTGACACCATCTCCACTGTCAAGAACAATGCCTGTTGTTCTCCCTGACGAATAACTAGGCCAAAGAGTCAATACGGACAGCTAGAGGGGGCAAGTGTCGCTGACGCACAGCGACAACACTGCCTGGACGCTGATATACAATGCAGGGACATTGAATGTGTCAAAGAAGATTTGAGCGGCTACATCTCGGTTGCTTCGAGGGTTTAGGGGGGCCTCCGTTAAAAGAACTGGGTGCTAGTCGCAAAGTGAGAAGCGAATCTTTCGTAAATCGCGGCAGGTACCACACCTCTTCACTTAGGGTTCCCAGCTCCTCTGCATAGACCCAATTCCATATTTTCTCCATGTCATCCCAATTTGTGACAATGCCGTGCTCTATCGGATAGCGTATCTTAAGAAGCCCGCGAAATTCCTGAGCGCGTCGTCCGATGAACATGTCCCCATCTAGTGCGCCAGCCATAACGCGAGTATGCTTCGGTCTCCCGACACTGTTTATAACTGCAATGAATCCCTCTATGTGTTGAAAACACTCTTCAGCTCTTACAAGGACGGGAAGAAGCATTTCGGGTGATCTTCACCAGCAAAGCCAGCCTTTATCGTACCTGAACCCTAAAACATACCTGTTTAGCATAAATTGAACAAGAGTAGAGCGATATTGTTTACATTATCAATCACCACCGGTTGGTTTGTGAGCACATCCTCGTATTCAGTAGCCATGCTCACAGTTGAGCGACGCTTGGGTGCTCAATTTGGGTCGGTAACTGCCGTAGACGCGTTCCGAAGTTGCGATTGCAGTCACAGTGGTGAAACGCACTCCGAGAAATGGGTCTCTTCTCGTGGTTTAGTAAGGTTAGCATTTATTCATAGAGGACTAAAATTAGTTCCGCTGATGCTTCCTCAGAAACCGTCCGAGAATTACGAGGAGATTCTTGCCAATCTATCCATGGAAATCTCTTCCAGGCAAACACGCCTGACCGAAATCGTCCTTCGTGAACGACGTTCAACCCTCTGGGCAACTTTGTACACTTTAGCAGGATGGACTGTGTATTCTTTCATTTGGCACCTTGATCTCGTCCCGAATTTCTTCAAGGAGCGAACCAGGAGTAATATGGAGATTGAGCGTATTGCTCAAATGGCTCCAGTCGTCATTGGGCCACTAATGTGAGCGTACATTGACCCGGCTGCTCTGTGATGATGGCTACTAATGATTATTGCAATTTTACAGAGCTCTCTTTCTCAGAAGAATAATACAATTGTGGTACAGACAAAAGGGTGCAGGGGAGGGTGAGCTGCCAACTTGACATAGTGTGATCAATCCGACGCTTGGGATTAATCGTCTTGCTTCACCCATTTCATGACTTTCAACTTGTATACTCTAGAGAAAACGCTTAAGAAGCTTCTCACCCAACAGCGCACCATCATTGAGGACCTAAAGAAGAAGACGAACTATTATTCGACGCGCAACCTTATTGAGCGTTATGACTTGAGTCCGGCTGCACCCCAGACCCCTCAGGGATCTCGGGGACCTGAGGTATGTCACTTGTGTGCACCACGTCCTTCTCAGGCCCCTTATTCTACTGGTAGGGGAGCACAGAGACCCAGCTCCGTCGGCGAGCGTTGCAGAATCAAAGCGGAGGATTAGGACCTAACCCTCCTTCAACACCCTCCAGGGGACCCATGCCTGGCGTCAACGTCAACGGTGCACCCACGGGGTCACGGGGGTCCCCGTTCGTCGCCACACCACCGCAACCACCGCGACGCATGTGGCTCGATAAAGTAGCTGATGCTCTTCTGGGGGACGAGAATTCTACCCCTGGGCTTGATCCAGCCAAGTCGAAGTATGCGCTTGTTTGCCGAAAGTGTTCAACACATAACGGTTTGGTAGTGGAGAGTCTTTGGGAAGACACCCGTATGTAATTGTTTGTGGTTGGTTTAGTTCTTCCCTGACTTTTGCGTGCCGTCCTAGAGTATATATGCCCGAAGTGTGGTCATTTTAACCCTGCGCCCCGCTCCAAGCGTCGGCAGTCTTCTCTCCCCAAACCCCCTAATCGCCTCGCACAGCCCGATTTCCTCTCAGCGTCTAGTCTGCATGATGACGATGACGAAAGATTGTCACAAAGCTCAAGATCCATTTCACGGGAGAGGTCATCGAGGGAAATGGAAAGAGGTGAAGTTGGTGATCCAGATAAAACTCAAGATAGTGTCGCGAGTTCCATGGATGTAGATCGATAGGGCGATACATCAGGCTATTAATCATTGCTCTCTGAATTCTGCATGGCCAAATCATGCTCTGTTCTTCCCCGGGGGCAACTTCCGGCTCACTTTGCTTGCTTGTCCAGTGTATACGCAACATTTCGAAGCGCTCCATTCCGAGTATAATCCGACTGTACGACAGCAACACATAAATATATAGTTTGTACTAAGGGTATCAAGGAGATCTGGCAATTATGTAAATGAAGATGCAATATTGCGATATTTTTTAGACGTCATACTGCGGAAAATTTGCACATCGTTATCATTAGGGAACGTGAGCGGAAGCCAAGGTTCACTCACTTCGAGAGATAACCCGGTTGCGCAAGCCGTCAAGCGGTGGTCATTTTCAACGTCCAAATAGCTGTACCGGAATGCATGGTCAGCGTTCACAGGCGTCACATAATATTCATAGTAGTCTTCGAAGGTGCCCTCCTTAATTTCTCTGGTACGTTGGGTGGATGTGACCTCGTCGTCAGGATTGTGTTGAGGAACTTCGAATCTATCCGCAGTGAAATCTCGTCACCATATTTTGAAGTGAGAGGAAGATGCACCAACCTTCGCAAAGATCCTGCAGGACCTTTGGTACGTTTCACCTGCTTCAATGAGAAGACAGCCTTGAGAACCTGACCCGTGACCTTCCACACGAATCTCTCGCCGAGAGACTTGAAAACACCATCACCATAAAGGATGGAATACTTGTCAGCTGGTCGGGTAGGATCGATCTCGGTTGGGTTGGGGAAGAGGTTTTCATCGCGTCCGATCTTGCGAATGTCTAGATAGAGACGTTGACCCTGTTTAAAGGTAATGGGTCCAATGGCACCATCCTCTGTAGCCACACGGTAGAGTCCATCGATGACAGGGTCAAGACCTGTGAGGGTTTAAGTCAAAATAGACTCGTGAAGTTTTAAATTTAACTGACGAAGGGCCTCGCGAGCATAACCTTCCAACAAAGCAGCTGAATCGGGCGAGTCGCTCGTAGCAACTGAAATGACTTTCGCCTGAAGCGCCCCAGCTTCCCTGTAAGCTTCCTGCACCTCCGGAGGGTCAAGCGTGCTGGGCTTGTTGGGCGCCAGATAGAAATTCAGCACATGGGTGAAGACTAGAGGTAATAGCATAAGACGAGAGCCATAGGTTCCAGTCGTTGCAAAAACATACTCTGAGAGAGCTCAGTGGATGAGGACGCAATGACAGCCAAGATTTCATCGGCAACTTCAGAGGCATTCCCTTTGTTGAGCCTTTTCGGCGATTCTCTCAGACTCAATGAGCGAACCAAAATAGGGTTACTCTTTTGATTCGGGTTGCCCAAAAAGATTTGCCCGAGAGCCCCGACTATCGTGGAGTTGGCTACGAAATCTTTGAATCAAAGTGTCGAACGCTCGACGTTGCGAAACTTACTTCGCCCTTAGCCTCACTCAAACTATGATTGACAATGCGTCTGAGGCGCTGCACGTTCCCTTCGCCTCCCTACGATTGGGAATCTTCATAGAAGTGTCAGCGTCAAAGAAAATGAAGCTGGAGAATGAAATAATCAATGAATCATTTTTGGAGATGAGCCTAAGGAGACGTACGTGTAGAATTCTTCGAAAAACTGATACATCTGCTGCTCAAAGTAGATCCCGTGCGGCTCCTCCATGGTCTTAAGGGGCAAGCCTGCCTAGTGTAAGACATAAATTAATATCAATATCAAACTGAACAGAACTAGACATACTACAACAACAGAAAACCAGTGGACGGGAACAAGTCGGAACACATCCTTGACAACATCGACATAGCGCTTCTTGTTACCGACGAGACCCTGTGATTTGTGCTTAAGAAGTTCAATTGCTTTGTCGGAGAACCACTTGGCAGTGGCATCGAGGCTGTCCTCAGGCACGATGGCATTACGGATGTTCTCTCGCGCCGTATTGAATGCGTCCGGATCATCGATGTGGGACAGGAAGCTGGAGCCAAGCGTAACATCCTTGATATTCTGCAGGTAAGGCGTAACAAGTTTCCCCTGCACAGATCCGCCGAGAATAGCCGACGCAGCTTTGGCCGTGTCGACCACTTGTGTCCCTGGCTTCTTAGTGGGCCTCTCTAGAGTATAATACTGGGCGAGGCCTAATCGAGAGAGGACTTTATCCATGGAGTGAGGCTGTCCAGTAGGGGTGATGAGAGGAAAATGCGTCCACACGGACGAATCATTGAAGTTATTGGGAAGGGCGCGAGCAATGAGTCGCCCAAGGACACCCCCAAACGCAGCATTGTCCACATTGCGATTAGCCTCGGTGAAGCCCCATGCAGTGAGGTTGAAAGGCGTGAAATCATACGTCAGATAGCGATCGCCACGGACGAGCGCGACGGCGTCAGCAAGGATTGCGCGAGACATTGTGTAGCTCGGGCACAAACCAGCACCATCCATAACGGGCTTAGACTCTTCGGCAACTAGACCAACATAAAGTTCCAGATTCTCTGGCGTGCGGTAAATTTTGCGAGCACATTCGGCTACGTCGGGGTCAGGGTTCCATTCCTCAAAAGTCGCATAAGGTTTGAGTCCCAAGAAGCGACGAAACTCGTTCAAGGTGCAGCAACCCCAATTACGTGCCTGCATTATACCCAGCATCTCAATGACGCGCATGACACCAGGCACACCCCGTGCCTACTAACTATTAGTCAATCAGCTCCATGAAACAATGGTAGTTAGACTTGCCTTGAAGGAAGCGGCAGGAACTGCAATAGCACTCAGAATTGCATTTGCAATCTGGTCATCATCATATCTCTTTGTCTTAGGGTCCCTCTTGAAAGTGGGGACATTGTACTGTGGCAACAGGTAATCCGCAGGCTTGCCATCGTTGATAAGCTCCTGATTTCATTCTTTGAGAGTGTCTTAATATCAGGCACAGGAATTGAGTTGCCATCTTTGTCCTTGCGACGTGCCGCATTCGCCTGTGCAATCTTCTGGCCGAGGACAAGCTCAAACTGGTCAGGAGTGATCTCGTCAAAGTCCGCATCGGGTCCGAAAAGGTACTGGAACGCTCTTTCTACATATCACGGGTTGGTGGCCAACATCATTGAAGTAGTAGATTGAGTTATCGTACTGACCAGTGTATGCCGCATCTTCGGCCGACATAGCGGGATGAAGTCGATAGAGTACGTTAAACTCGACGGAGCAAGAGTTGCCACGACCACGTTCCAAAAAGGTGTGGTCGGTCTCACGTCTCTCGCTAGCAAGGTCGAGGGTCCAGCTCGAACCATCACTGGAGAAAATCTTAACACACACAGCCAAAAAAAAAAGTGTACAAGCAGCTCTTACCGAACAGTCCCCAAGATACCGGAAAGATAGTCACTTAAGACAACATTTGCATAAGAGGCAGAGTTGATGAGGCGAGCGGTCTGGAAGATTTCTTCATCTTGCTCCAATTTCCCTCCTCAGAAAGTTTGCTAATGTCTCGCATCCATTTTCCTCGCTCGTTGATGCGAAGAAGCATGTCGGCGATGTACTGCAATGCGGTGTCAGTGCCAATACAGGACAAGTTGCTGGAGACGTACGTTATGATTGCGATTGAAAACGATGATGATAGAACTAACGCCTAGAGGTAAGTTTAAGAGACGCGTCTCGGCAAAGACATCAGGAAGGAGTCGTCCGCGTCCATCTTTGTGTCTGACAAAGTCTTGGTGTGCCTGGGTGTTTCCGTAAAGAAGAGCGAGATCAACGTATGATGAAGTTTCGTTGATGTTCCAGTCAACGCGAGAAGTGCGGAAGACTGAATGAATAACGGTCGTCTAAAACCATGGTTTGAGCAAAATAGCAAACTTGGAAAATAGAGCGGAACGCACAGCAAAATTGAAGAAGAAGCCACTAAGACCGGCTGGATGAGGAACGAACTGACGATAACTCCCAATTCAATATAGGGGAAACCGTTCACAAATTTTGACATACTTTGTCGCGCTTTATTAAACAGTCGAATACCAAACCAGGATCGGGAAGTTCATTCGGAGGCAATGCTCGCGTGCTCGTGCAGCTTCTCGAGTATGAACTGAAAGCCTTGCCCATCTGAGGATCGAACGGAGAATTCCCTGAACCATCAGCACTTCGAAATTGATACCCGGGTCCCATTTGAGTGGAGGGTGGGTGGGGAAGATCACGATAGAGGAGTGTGATGGCCTTGTGCTCGAGTTCGTTAGAGATATTGTCTTTTGGAAGGCGCGAGAGAAGGGTCAGACCATACTCAAGCTAACATGGTTTGAAGTCAAGTCAGAGTTGGTGAAATTTCTCCTAAGCAATAAATTTACCGCCATCTTTCGATCGTCAAGACCTTCGGTTTTCTTCGACTGAGTCTCGACCGCATCGAGCAGGGCGGACTGAGAAAATGACATGAGTCCATGGTTTCGACGAGGGTGATGCGATCAAGTCACGTACCAATGTGTGAAGAGGGCCAGCGGTGATAGGTCGTCCACGTCTCATCTGGGCACGAATTCCTTCAATGCCTCGAGCAATTAATGAACCTTTCTTCCTTTCATCATAGTCCTCAGAAGTCTTCGGTATAGCTGCTCGCGAGGCATGGACGGCTTCTGCGTACTGAGAGGCACTCCCGAGAGCGCTATCAAACTTTTCCATTGTTGTGTACCACTAACGATGATTAGGGAGGGAAGGGAGCAAAGACTGTCATGGGTCGGGGCATCCTTTTATCTAGCAGAACCCTAAACTGAATAAAACCGGAGCAGTTCATCCGGTTCAGCAGGCAAGGCAGTGGCACTCCGAACATTTTTCGCCGTTTTTCTAATCTAAGGCACACACACACGAGGTGAGCCCAGAAGTGCCTGCAGACCATCCGATCATCATACACAACTTTCCGAGAGAAATCCCTCTGTTTGAACGCGGGCTCAGCATTTGCTTCGGGTGGTTGACAGCTCGATCACCGTACTGGGCAACATGGACACGTGAGTCAACCCGTTTAAGTAACGGCAATATATTAATTTGAGTGTCCACTTTGGGTGACATGTCACGCTTATCACAAGAGGTTTTGGAGGATGTCCCTTCGCTACAGGGTCAGAGTATTCCTTCACTCCTATCTGATGATTCCGCTTTACATACTGTATGTACATGACCAACTATCCAGATTCCGGTTGTTGCTCAGTGCTTGTCATGCTGTATTATTGTTAGCCGATATATTTAATTATCAATAGGGGGGTTCACGATTAGCTAAACTGGGCTAAAGTGCCATCTAAACTGGATCTAAACCGTCAGTTTAGCTACTTAAATTCGAGAACAGGCCTCTAGAGGCCGGAGCTGTACTCTAGACTAGTCTAAACTCGAATCCTAAACTCGGCTTTAATCCATATGTCCGTTGCAAGCAACTGTACAGTTCCTTCCTGGCTGTGGCCTCAAGTGTTGAGCGGGGTTGGGACTGGTTTGGGATAATCGTGAGCGCGAGCGCTTCTCAACTCGCACACAAACTGGACTCTTAACTGTGCCTCAACTCGGGTCACTTTAGGTTCAGTTGACATCCCAGTTTAGTGTCAACCACGGAAACAAGCGGCCATGGCTCAACCCTCACCCTCAATCCTTCTCACCTCTCCAGAGAGATGACCACGTTGTCGGATGAAGTGGAATCCTTCCGACAAGCCGTCGTGCAGGCTCTGCTGCAAGTTGACGGCAGGAACCTCGACGGAGTGATCGGTTTGATCGGGCCTGCCAAAAGACGGGAGACATTTGGGAAAATATACAAGGGTGTCTACAATAAAGCTCGTATCTCTTCGCTAGTGTACCGGATCCACTGTTCAAGCTTAAGCCCTTCCCCTTTCCCTAGAGCGTAGTTTGCATAAAGTCTTTCAAAAATATCGAGAGTGAGGACTCTGAGTCGCATCCCGAATTTCTTCGAGTAGGTTGGCCCAGATGGATGTGTGCATCATCATCACTGCTATTTACTTTCAATTTAAGCGGTTAGTTCGCGAAGTAAAAGTGTGGTCTCAGCTGGCGCACAAACATATAGTCAAGCTTCACGGTTGGACATCGTACATTGACAGCAAGCAAAATTTATGCCCCAACGGGGGGGACGTTAAGGCTTTTCTACGCCGCTATCCAGACGCCGATCGCCGAGCCCTAGTACATGAATCCAACTTATGCATTGTGAACTAATACTTACCTGCGTGGGGGTCGCATTCTAGGTTTGCGGAATAGCTCAAGGTCTTAATTATCTTCATTTGAAGGATGTGGTACACGCCAACATGAAGCCTGTGAGTCATTCTTACGTTACAAATTGAGATTAGTCCATACCCATCCGTGACAAGGAAAGCGTTGTCGTGAGCGATGGGAGCATTCCACAATTGTGTGACTTTGACCTTTCCTTCATCATATGGGACACCTCAACACATATCAATACCACTGAACTGTTTGAGGCATTGCGATACATAGCACCAGAAGTGTGCGAGAAGAATGAACCCTTTCGGGACAAGGGGACTGACGTCTGGGGGTTTGGATGTATAGCCATGGAGGTATGATTTTAGCTGTTTTGAAGGCAGGTTTGAGGCTAGATGCCGACGGCCGTGTTTAGATACTCCGCGGTCAGCGACCATATGCCACTATTAGGAACGAATTCGCTGTCTACTGGGCTATTGGACGTTCAGAGCCGCCGTTTGCCCTTCCAGTGATGCAACCTACGGAGGAGATCCTTGTTCTTTGCCTCAACCCTGATCCTGAACAGCGAATTGGCATGCAGACCGTTACCGAGCACCTGGAGCGATCGGACAATTGCTTAGCAACACAGTCCTTAAGTCCTGCGCATCAATTTTCCGATGCTGCGATTCTCAACAGCACATGAGTGAAGGCTTTTGTTCAATCCGATTCGCGAAGCACAAGTGTGATACATTGTGTCTGGGGTGCAAATCACTGCTGTGGGTCGTGGTGGCTCGAATTGATGGTGGCAAATTGCCTGCACAAACTCCTGCCGATATTATGTCAATCCTGCCACTTTTGCTGATGTGATGGATTTCATTTGTATGGTAACTCACACTGGCAACTTACTAGAGTGTTTGCGTTGCTTCGGAATACGCAGAACATCTAAAATGTCTGTTCGAGTTGCTTAAACTGTTGTGCTCCGCTACGAGCCAGCTTCCCGGCCGGAGACAACACCGAGGATGGCGTTCATGGGAAGATGATAGGTACGTTTCTGTCCTCTTCATCAGGAAACCAATTGCAGTCCATAAGAATATGACCGAAGACGAGGGCGTGTCGACGAAGCGACTCACGCATGAGGCCCATCAGAAGACGGGGGGCCTCCGTCACAACACATAACCGCGAGTCCCAAGAGCATAAACGTTATGGACTTGATACTTTAGCAGAGTTAGGAACGGGCAAAGTAAATGCCATTGGTACAGGAGAAAGGCGCCGATGGTATATCTCACGAAATTGGTGAAAAAATGAGGAACGTTGCCGAGTAACAAAGTTCTGAGTTAAAGCCCGCGAGACCCCGGAAGGACAATGGTCGCGTCATCTCTCCAATTTGGCTTGCAGAACTTGAGTTCGACTGACCCGCACCAGTATAATATCTCAAGGAAGATTAATAAACTTGAAGAAGTGATATCTCTAACAAGTTTCCATTTGTGTCTCCTTTTGCGGCCGCTTGCCTTCCCGCCCAAGGCCAGCAGCCAGCTCCGATTCTTCGATGGTATAAGCAGGTTCCCTAAGCCGCTTACACTGTCTTTTATGCACCTTCCCTTTCCAGTGCGATTTTAAAGCAACGTCGCTTTCGAAGTACTTTGCGCATTCAACGCAATAATGCTGGCCTAATCCTGGTCTGAAAACATAGTCCCAATGAGCCCAAGGAAAAGTCAGCCGAAACTGGCATGCCTACAGCTCTAGATCAACGGGCTGGGCCTCCAACTTGGCCCGACTCTCTGGCAATAAATCGACCAGCTGGATTTGGTCAATTTGACGAGTGAAGGCCTAAGTGGGGTGGAAGGTTTCATGACGAAAGACTCGGAACTCTGGAGAAGGAGAATAATACCTTTGCCTTGGTGACGCGCTTTCGCCCCCACTTGGCGTGGTGTGTGCGTGAACGCCTCTGCGGCCCAGCCATGAATGACACGGCAATACCCGTGGGCGCTTGGAGCACTCACTGAATAGCCCCTGACCGACTGCCGCCATTGCCTCTGCCAGCATGTCAGCTGCTGTCTATGGCGAACGTTTCGTTCCCATTCTTACGTCGCTGAAACAGCTACCTCTCAGGTTAATCGCATGCGTCCATGTCCTTTGTCATGTTTTGCTGAACATTGTATCCAGGGCCGACGATGCTCGCAATGCGAGGGCGATACAACTAAAGGAGGCTGTACGATACTACATCTTTTAGTGGCTCTGGCTATCGTAACCCTGACATCTGCAGATTATGGCCACCATGTCTGAAATTCGTCCGGAGGTCGCGAGCAAGATATGGTCCGACTATATCAATCCCAAACTCTTTGAAATGACACAAAGTCTTAATCCCTCTGAAAAACTAGGAGGGCTGTGTGCGATAGACCATATACTCGAGATCGAATCTGATGACGCTGGCGAAACCCGTGAGGCTCTGAAGCATTTCCGTCTGTACCAATATGTGAAGAACGGACTTGTCACTGCCGATTGGTCCCTCATTTCTCGTGCCGCCCAGACCCTTGGGAAGATTATTAAATATGGCGGGAATTTTGGCGATAGTTTCATGCCAGCTGAGGTCCCTCGCCTGCTTGACGATGTCACAAGTGGGGGGGAGCTGGCGCGCTATGCATCGACGCTTAATCTTCGCGTCTTAGCGCAGAACAGTGCGACTCACTTCTCTCCGTACGTTATTCCAGTACTAGATCGTATATGGACACCCTTGCGTGATTCCAAAGTCAACACGCGCGAAGCTGCAGCGGAGCTGTTGGCGAGCTGCCTGATTATCGTTGGGTCAAGAAGCATGCAATTGCACGCCTCAGTTTATGAGAGAATCGTTCACGAAATACTTCATGGCTTCAAGCATACCTCCGTCGACTTCATTCATGGATCGCTTTTGGCATACAGGGAGATGTTACACCATGCTGGAATGGTAAGTGATGCAGGCCCCTCGATTTGGTGCCCCGCTAACCTGAGCTCAGTTTATGGCGGATTCCTTCATATCCAATGCCGAAATTGTACTGAGGTTCAAAGATCATAAAGATCCCATCATCAAGCGAACCGTCGTTTCATTACTTTCGGTCCTTGCCAGATATGACAATCAAGCATTTAGCGAACGGTTTTTGCACAAAGTTATGGCGTATCTCCTTCCATTACTAAAAAAGCCCTCCGAGCGCACTATAAGTAAGCCTCCCACTTTCCCAGCGTTTCGGTCCCGTGCTTCAACCGGTACCTTTAGCCTTTAAAGCCATTGGCTACATAGCTTTGTCCGTTCGGAGCGAAATAAAGACCTTCCTTGAACCCATAATGGCTAACGTGAAGGAGGTGTTGCTACTTCGCGGGTGGGTGCCAGCATTCCGTAATCGGGACATTTTCCATTATCGACTAATGAGTTTAGGAAGAAAGGGGCCGCCACTCTTCTTGAAGAGGATGCTGTCTTTGAGTGCATTGGGTTATTGGCAGCCGCCGTGGGGCCAAACCTCACCAAACTTCTTCATGATCAACTGGATTTAATGCTTCGCAACGGATTGAGCGAAGCGCTAACTAGTGCCTTAAAGATGGTCGTAGAGTATATCCCGCCGCTTCTTAAAACCATCCAAGGTGGTCTCATGCCCATATACTTTGTTTGTGTGCTAAAATTGTGTTGGATGCAGAACGGCTACTGGAGACCGTGTCAATAACTTTGTCAGGACAACATTATCGGCCGATTGGTGCTCTCAATCCTCCTTCAGTCGTGAGACATGATTATTCGGTAGCAACCCGTGATTTCGGGTCTCCTCAGGTAAAGAATGTTCAAATTATCATCGGGGCCTTCTGCTGATGGCTCCTTTAGAACACTGCTACTGCCACCTTGGCGTTGAATGTCCTTGCCACCTTCGACTTTAACGGTGAGTCGCATCCATGCATCCCTCACAACGTTTCCTCAATCTCAAGCAATATAAGGCCATCTTTTGAGCGAGTTTGTTCGCTCCTGCGTACTTCCATATCTTGAAGATGATTCCCCGGAAGTACGAAAGGCCGCGGCTCATGCCTGCTGCCACCTGTTTGTCCGCGACCCCATTATTTTTCAGACCAGCAATCATGCTCTTGAAGTGATGGGAGAGGTACTTGACAAGCTTCTAACCGCTGGCGTCGCTGATCCCGGTATGACTAATAAATTCTCTATCGACACAGTCCCTTATCCTCTCTTCTGCCAGATCCTTCCATTCGTGCCACTGTCCTGATGAATTTGGAAGAAAGATTCGATAGGCATCTTGCACAGGCAGAGAATGTGCGGTCCTTATTCACTGCGCTCAATGATGAGGATTATCGGAATCGTGTCCGCGCGATTGTGATTATTGGACGGTTGACGAAGCACAACCCCGCATATGTTATGCCTTCGTTACGTAAAGCCCTTATACAGCTTCTCACAGAGCTTGAGTATTCGACGGTCCCGTAGGTTTGCCATCCCCAGCTATCATTCCTTGGCTAATGTGCCTGATTGCGCAGACGAAGTCGCGAGGAGAGTGCCAAACTTTTGACTCGCATGGTTTCTGCAGCCGAAAGTCTCATCAAACCATACACTATTCCTATGCTCAAGGTTTTGTTGCCCAAGGCAGAAGACCCGAATCCAGCTATTGCTACAAGTGTGTTATCATGCATTGGAGAACTCGCCAGGGTTGGCGGGGAAGATTTGGTCCCACATCTACCTACGATCATGCGCATCATAATGCGAACAATGCAAGACCAGTCTTCTGTTCCAAGACGTGATGCAGCAATACGTACGCTAGGGCAAGTCTCCTCGAACACAAGCTACGTCATCGATCCATTGAAGGATTATCCGCAGCTGCTGAGCATGCTCACAAGAATCCTACGGTCTGAGCAAAATCAGCAGATGCGGAGAGATACGATAAAAGTGATCGGAATACTCGGAGCATTAGATCCTTATCAATCTAAAGTTTGGCTCCTCGCATTCAGGCGATCATCATTCTCATTGACATCTTCCTCAGGCCAAAATCCCCGATGATATGGTCAATGAACCGTCGAGAGGTACTTCGGTGACAGATGTGGCCGTGGCCTTGAGCACGTCGGGTTCCTCGTCTGATGAATACTATCAGGCGGTTGTTATCAGTTCACTTCTCAATGTTCTTAAGGATTCCTCACTCCACAACCATCACAATGCAGCCATTGAAGCTATCATGAACATTTTTAGGACACAGGGCCTGAAATCTGTAGCATTCTTACCGCAGGTAGGTGGCGACACATTACCGAGCTAAGTTCGTACTAACGTAGCGAAGATCATCCCGGCTTTCCTGACAGCGATCCGCACTCCGTCTACTCGCTCCCAAGAACAGAATATCTCGCAGCTTGCTGTGTTGGTTTGGATTGTGAAGCAACACATTCGCAATTTCCTCCCTGAGATCTTTGCTCTCATTTCTGAACTCTGGGCATCTAGTCCCAACACGGAAATACATATCGTGGCTTTGGTTGAGAGCATTGCTCGAGCCCTTAATGCTGAATTCAAACCCTACATCCCGATGGTATTACCTCCTATGCTGAAGGTAGTGCTGCTTCTTTCTCCCTATGCAACCGGTTGATCATTTATTCTCAGCTCTTCGATGGAGAGAATACAGACAGGACGCAGCTGACTCAGAGCAAGGTCTTTCATGCTCTGTTTGCGTTTGGGGCCAACATTGAAGAGTATCTTCACTTGATCATTCCCGTGATCATGAAAGTAGTTGAATCAGATTCGGCCATCAGTCTTAGGATCACGGCTGTCCAAACCATTGATGGTCTCTCCAAGAAGGTCAACTTTTCTGAGCATGCCTCCCGGATTATCCACCCTCTCGTGCGTATCCTCAGTCATCCTAACACTCCTCCGGAACTGTCATCTGCCATCATGGAAACTCTGTGGGTTCTGCTTGTTCAGTTGGGGGCTGATTTTGCAATTTTTATCCCTATGATTAACAAAGTACGTGGCATCCAGATGCTTTCGGTGTGAACGATACTAATCCCCCAGCACTTAGTGTCTTCTCCATAACACTCGCATTAATCATTCGAAGTACGATGCGATGGTGACGCGACTCCTGAGTGGCGAACGACTGCACCAGGATACTAATTCTTCTGACCCGTAAATTCATCGCCCGTATACTGGAAACTGGTTGACTGATGCCAATTCCAGATGGTCTCAGAAGGTGGAACTAGTAGTTCCCGCGGATCAAGGGAAGATGCTGGTCAACCAGCAGCATCTCAAGCAGGCATGGGATACATCTCAGGTTAACTCGAAGGACGATTGGTACGATTGGGCACGCCGGTTGGCCATCGAACTGATGAAGGAGTCTCCTTCGCACGCCATCCGAGCATGTGTCTCCTTGGCGGACGCTCACATACCTTTAGCTCGTGAGCTCTTTAATGCGGCCTTCGTCTCATGTTGGCCGGAGCTCTTCGAAGAGTACAAGGTCGGTACTTCCTTGGGCTCATACTCGATATACTGAGATCCCTTCAGGATGATTTGGTTCGATCCATTGAACAAGCCCTGACATCTCATAACACGCCCTCCGATGTGATTCACCTCCTTTTGAGCCTAGCAGAATTCTTGGAGCGTGACGACAAGGCACTACTCATTGATATCCGCACACTCGGTGATTGTGCCATGAATTATCACGCATTTGCCAAGGCTCTCCATTACAAGGAACTCGAATTTTGGAGCGAATCATCGCCGTCAATTATTGAATCGCTAATAAATATCAATACTAAATTGCAGCTTCATGACGCGGCTTTTGGCACCCTGACACTGGCACGGGACCAGCAAGATGTTTATCGTCACGAAGAATGGTACGAGAAGCTGGGAAAGTGGCAGGAAGCGTTAGTTGCGTATGATCGGAAGCTCGACGAACATGAAGCAACCCCTGAGGTGCTGATCGGGCGCATGCGCTGCCTTCATGCTCTTGGAGAGTGGGATCAACTTTCGGAAGCTGTTGCGGATCGATGGGTGAATTCGACGAATGAGGAGAAGCGACAAATAGCTCCATTGGCTGCGGCAGCCGCTTGGTCGCTAAATCAATGGGACCAGATGGATGAATACATAGCAGTGATGAAGGCTGATTCACCTGACCGGTCCTTCTATCGTGCTATACTGTCGGTCCACAGGAATCAATTTAGTAAAGCGTTGCTCCAGATCAACAAAGCCCGCGATCTTCTTGATGGCGAGTTGACAGCCCTTGTTGGAGAAAGCTATGGCCGGGCGTACAAGTACGTAGACCACTCGACTTCGCATTCTCGATCGCTTACCTGTGTGACAGTGTGGTTGTGCGGGTGCAAATGTTGTCTGAGCTGGAGGAAATTATCAGCTATAAAAGGAATGCAGACCAGCCGGATCGACAGGCCACAATGCGAAAGACGTGGATGAAGAGGTTTGTGATTGCCAGATGTGTTTCCAATTGTACCCGTTGATTTATCCCTATAGGTTGAAAGGATGCCAACCGGATGTGGAGGTGTGGCAACGCATACTGCAGGTTCGCACACTGGTCTTGAGTCCTGACGAAGATACCACGATGTGGATTAAATTTGCGAACCTCTGTCGAAAATCTGATCGAATGGTGTTGGCAGAAAAAACTCTCAACTCGCTTCTCGGGCCTATTGGAGAAGAAGAAAGAGTATGTTAATCCCAACACAGACGAAGATTGACTAACGCGCATTCTAAGAGTATTCGTGCACCGCCTCCAGTCATATACGCCCATCTGAAATTTATGTGGGCTCGAGGTGACCGAGAGAAGAGTTTAACCTGGTTGAGGACTTTTTCCAGTCGTCTTGCGGACGACCTTGGCCTCCATTTGGGCGAAACTCAGAGGGCAGCCCCGCTGGGCAGCCTAGCAAAGATGAGCGAGTACACCAATCTCTTGGCTCGATGTTACCTGAAGCAAGGAGAATGGCAATATTCCATGGAGGAAACTTGGAGACATGTGCGAGTGATGAACGTCGTTTTGTGTCACCCCACTAACTCCACACCATAGAACAATATTAAAGAGATCTTGGAAGTTTACCGCATGGCCACTCAGTTTGATCCTAATTGGTACAAAGCTTGGCATGCATGGGCTCTTGCAAACTTTGAAGTCATTGGTTTCCTCGAAAATGATGCCCGCATGGATGAAGTCGCCCCGAAGAATTTGATCTTTCACGTTACATCTGCCATCTCCGGTCAGTCGGTCCCCAATGTCGCTTCTTTCTCGCAATTCAGGCCTTCAGCAGGATTTTTCCGTTCAATTGCGCTGAAAGGCGACAATTCGCTACAGGATACGCTTCGCTTATTGACCCTTTGGTTCAAGTTTGGAGCCCACGATGAGGTGTATCATGCCCTTGCCGAGAATTTTGGCACTGTACCTGTTGATACGTGGTTAGAGGTTGTGCCACAGGTAATTCCAGCCCAACAGTGGTGCGTATATTACTAATCGTCATTTATGAAGATCATTGCCCGCATTCAAACGCCGAGCCAAAATGTCCGGCGCCTTATCAATCAATTGTTGAATGATGTCGGCAAAGCCCACCCTCAGGCTCTTATCTACCCGCTCACTGTGGCGTCCAAGTCGTCTAGTACTGCCCGTCAGGCTGCGGCAACGGCAACCATGGATCGTATGCGGGATCATTGTCCTGTTCTCGTCGATCAGGTAATGCTCACTTTTTGTGAATATTATTCCAACCTGCTTTTTGACAGGCTTCATCCGTAGGCTCTCCTAGTCAGTCACGAACTCATACGCGTCGCAATCCTGTGGCAGGAACTCTGGCATGAAGGGCTTGAGGAGGCATCTCGACTGTACTTCAACGACAAGAACCCTGAGGGCATGATTGCTGTTTTGGAGCCACTTCATGAGAAGCTTGAGGCAGTGAGTGATACAATTTCCCCCGCTTCTTTACCTAATGACTGGTGCCAGGGCCCGGAGACAACTCGTGAGACCTCCTTCGTTCAAGCCTTTGGGAAGAACCTTCATGAAGCTCGGGAAGCATGCCGTCGCTTCTTGATGTTCGGCGACATCAATGAAATCAACAAAGCGTGGGAAATATACTATGGTGTATGGTTGCAGCATGTAGTTACTGCGCACTCTGACTCGTTTTCATTTAGGTCTTTAAAAAAGTTGAGAAGCAACTTCCAATGCTTACAACTTTGGACCTTCAATATGTTTCGCCGGAACTCCTGAGGGCTCGCAATCTTGAATTGGCAGTGCCTGGTACGTGATTCGTCCGGTTCCTTTGGAACGGGGCTTACTCGCTACGGCAGGTACATACCACAGTGGACGTCAAACTGTCACAATTGCCAATTTCGCCCCATCTCTCGCTGTGATAACCTCCAAGCAAAGACCGAGAAGGTTGAGTATCAAAGGAAGCGATGGACGTGATTATCAATATGTTCTCAAAGGTATAATCTCTATTTTTTCTACTCGCCGTGAGCTAATATTTCATTCAGGTCACGAAGACCTCCGACAAGATGAGCGGGTCATGCAGCTCTTTGGCCTTGTGAACACATTGTTATCCGTGGATACGGAGAGCTTCAAACGGCATTTGCATATTCAACGGTATCCAGTCATTCCTCTGGCACCAAATGCTGGCTTGCTCGGCTGGGTTCAGGATAGCGACACTCTCCATATCCTCGTCAAGGAGTACCGTGACAGTCGAAAAATTCTCCTCAACATCGAATATCGCCTGATGCTTCAGGTATGCGATTACTCGGGCTGAAATTCTCACTCCTAACGCTTTACACCAGATGGCACCAGATTATGAAATCCTTACTGTCATGCAAAAAGTAGAGGTTTTTGATTATGCACTGGATAACACGACTGGTCAAGATCTTTATCGTGTTCTATGGCTTAAGAGCGCAAATTCGGATGCTTGGTTGGATCGTCGCTCAACGTATACTAGGTCATTGGCTGTTACAAGTATGGTTGGATATATCCTTGGACTCGGTGACCGCCACCCCTCCAACCTTCTTCTCCATCGAGTCACTGGAAAAGTAGTTCATGTTGACTTCGGTGATTGCTTTGAGGTGGCCATGAACCGTGACAAATTCCCCGAGAAGGTGCCGTTCAGACTCACCAGAATGCTCACTCATGCCATGGAGGTAGGTGTAAGTGTTGCGATGAAGGATGGTCGTTATCTAAGCCTCCCTTGTGCCCCAGGTAAGCGGCATTCAAGGCAGTTACCGGAATACGTGCGAAATCACAATGCGAGTCCTACGAGACAATAAAGACTCTCTTATGGCTGTTCTTGAAGCGTTTGTATATGATCCTTTGATCAATTGGCGATTAATGCAGGCGGAGGATGCCCGTCACGCTCCTGCTGTTGAAAGTGCGACTGCCCCCTTCAGTTTTCTGCATTCTCTGACTAGCTGACCTGGGAAACAGGTCAGATGCCCAAAACTTCGTACGCTCAGGGACCCAATAGGAAAGTGAAGGCCGACGAGAAGGAAATTTTCAATGGTGAGTAGATTACTTGTCCTCATGCTCAAGTCTTATCTGGATTTATCCCAACACAGAAGGGACGGGCGAAGTGGGCACCAAGCTTGAAGTGCGAAACGATCGAGCATTGGCTGTTTATAATCGGGTCCAAAACAAACTCAATGGTATTACTTCGTGCTTGTATTGAGACGTTGTTTGGCTGATCAGAAGCCGCAGGCCGAGACTTTAACCCCGACGCCGTCCTCCCCGTCTCAAATCAAGTTGGGAAGCTGATCGAGCAAGCGATGTCTTTAGAGAATCTATGCCAATGTTTCCATGGATGGTGCGCTTTCTGGTAGTTTTCGGGGGTAATTATTTCATTATTTGTTGCGTATGCGCTGCTAGCACGTAACTTAACTTGTACTGTACAATAATAGTTGTATTACATGAGCATGGGCAAATTCTAGGGAGGAATTAGGGAATAACACCCAATCAGTCGAAGAGAGGCCTGAATTGCTGAAAGAACCCCTTAGTGCTGGACTGCAGTGGTTTGCCAGGTGAGCCATACCTTCCCGTTCTTGACAGCCACACGGAAGACTTGCGATTGCATAGGAATCTGAGTAGCGGGGAACGTATCATCGTCGTCTTGGGTTGGGTTGTCACTTCGCATCCCTCTTGCATCAGGGACCCGGTAGGATTGGCCCGCTGCGTTGATTGCCAGATTGTCCGCATTGTCCAAGCCGTCATCCGGCCCACAGGCATTGACGACGTTCATTAGAGCGTCAAATTCCTCTGGATTCATGTTTTCAATGCCTAGTCCGGCGTCCACGATGCGCTGTACCTCAGCTGGGGCTAGTTGGGAAAGTGGTGGCGACCTGACGCGTTGGGTTTGTACTAGCTGTTCGCCTTGAGAGGGTTCAAAGAATAGCGGTGGACGGTGCTGCGAAGTTTCCGATACGGAATAACGCTGAGTTTGGGATTGTAAGTGAGGTCGAGGTCGAATGAACGCATCTTGTAGCTCAAAGGTTTCGTCTGGATTGAAGGCATCGTTAGATTCCCCATTGAAGTCTAAATCATTTTCATATAAGCAATTCTTCGCCGCTTGCTAACTCGGGAAAACAAAAAACCTCTGCCAGACCTGTTTACGAGTGGTTGGCTCTGTCGATCAGATACATCATTTTGAGATGGGATATTCCAGCCATCTGGTCGATTCTTTCGTGGTTCAGTGCCCGGTTCATCCACTCTTTTTCGTTTCCTCGCAGATCTAGCAACTTTCCCCGAGCCCCTTACTGTGGAGGTAGGATTGAAGTCGGCAGGAATGGTTGAAATAAGGAAAAGCGACTCTTGATCCTCAGTCTGGATCTCCATCGAAATCGGTTTCCCCGGTTCCATAAGGACAATATTTATAGGCAATGAGATAGAATCGGCTAGAGCAGTGGCTGCCTATTTAGAAGTCAGCTCATGGCCATGGAAGTAACCAATTTCCTCACGTTAAATTCTCGAAGATGGAAACAAAGGGAAATGGGCGGATCTTGAATAGCATAAACGTCAAAATCATCAGCATCAACTCTAATCTCGGTAGCGATATGGGCATCTGATGAAATTAATTAGATCCTTCAGAATGGGACGAATGGATCTACTCCAAAACCTTGACGCTTTCTGGTAGTCCTGTCCGCGGTCTTTACAGATACATACACCGCCTCGAAGTGCCATTCGAGCTGCGCGTCGATTTTGGCTATTCCACTAAAGTGATCAAGCAGGTCCTTTACCACTTGCGGACCAACAACAATCCTGCATCGAGAAGGATCCGAAGAGTCTGGGATGTGTGGAGTGATTGAGGTCGGATCTTTCAGTGAAAGGCGGTGGGTTTTGATAATGCCTGGTGAGACGTATGATAATGTTAGATCTAGTAATTGGGAAGGAGCGGGAAACCCCTTACCGTGCTTGCAGTGCATTCGAACCAGCAGGACACTTGATATTGATGTATTTGTATCCTCGTGCATGTCCACGAGCGGATCTCTTATTACAAGCTCGCACTTATCGACTGCGTCAGCAACAGACCTGTGTCTAAAGATTCCTAGCATGGGCTTCGTGTTGAATTGTTGGCCATCCGTATTGACTGACATAATGAACGAGGCTCTTGCCCACGCACCTTCACCGACACGTCTCCTTCGATTTTATCACCCCCTCCAGCAGATTCATCCCCGTTATCAGCATCCCGCTCGACTTGTATCGCAGCTGTTACATCATAGCTATCGAAAAAACCAGGAAAGAATACTATTCTTCCGTATGCGCTCTTTGACGAATTGACAGCAGAGAGAGTGAGTCTGGCACCGCGAACACAGATGGTGATGTCGTCGCTATATTTAGAGAGACAGGCAAGCGCGCGACTGAATGGCTTAATGCCAAACTGCGGTATCACTGCCATGAACGACACAGGGTATAAATCTGCCATGATTCTTGTGGCTGTGTACCATCCCGATGACTGGATACAGCAAAATGTAGAATAGAATAATGATGATTAGGCAAGACTCCAGCCTCTATGACTTCGTAATAATAATATATAGAAATGATGATAAGACTTGTACGGCGCATCGATCCTAGGTAATAGATAATCAGCAAGAGATGTCAAAATACCCTCAGTCCCTTCAGATCCGACATCCAAGCCGACATCTCTTCCACCGCTCCGCTGCGGTCATTTCCCCCTGCCTCCTGATCAATATCCATCGTACTTTCGGTATCTCTGCCACCGCCAAAGCCCCGACCAAGAAGCGATCCGAAAAGCTCATCGATCTGTTCCTCATGCCACAATCCACGGGGCTGTACAGGAACCATAAAGTTCTGGAGCTTTTCGTGGACTTGGTATCGAAGTTTGCGTCCCTTGGAAGCCTTTGTGTCGACAATTTTCTTCCTAGCCTTCGCCTCTTTTCGTCTCTCCATGTAGTCGGGGGCGAGATCTGTGGCAGCAGTCGAAAGTTCAGGTGGCAAGCTGCCGTACAAAAGAAACACGTACCGTCTTTCCCCGCCTTGGAACTGATCACATCCCTCACCATTTCTTGATAGAAATCTGTGTCATCAAAGATTTCGGCATCACCTTCTGCGCCAGCGCCTGCCTGGCCCCCTGCAGCAGCCTCTCCGATGCGTCCACCATGTGAACGCTTGACTCTCGTCCTACCAAGAGCCTTCGCTCGTCCAACACTCCCCTCGATAGACTCTTGGATTAGCTCAACAGCAGTCTTTGGAGTCGAGGACTGGCCTGAATGCCGGAAGGAGGCTTTTTTGGTGGGGAGCAGAGTCGCCGGCGAGACGGCGTTTATCTTGTTAGACCACTTTGTCAGGGTTGCAAGTAGATAGGAATGGGCACTGTATATATCAGTAAGGCTTTCAGTCAGTGAGAGGGTGGGTGGACAGGACGCACGATGCTTGGAGCTTTGCCGCATCCTCTGATGCAAGTGTCACTTCTTCGTTCCGCGAAGTGCCATCATTCAGTTTGCAGCGCTTGGATAGAGGGACTTGGACGCCATGATCCTTAAGGAGAGCCTGATGGGAATGTGAGAGATGGCGGCGGAGTCGCCAGTGAGAAGGCGTACGGTTTGTAGGTCGAGAAGATCATACGACAGTGCGATGGCCTCTGCAAGAAAGCCTTCTGTAGCCTTTTTTCCCTTTTCTGAAGATAAGTACGCGCTGATCGACGTGGGCTGAGGACGAGTAAGACATCATTAAGTTCTAACTGAACAGTACCACTCACATTCGGTAGCTTGTTCGCAACGACGGTGCCTTTCTGTAGCCGTATTCGGGCATTCATAAAGGTATCCCAGATATTCTGTACCAGTGGGGTAAAGGGAGGTACTGGGGAGCAAGAGGAAGACACACGAGCTGTTTCAAAATGGCCTGACCCTTAAGCCGGTCCTGGTTTCGATTGTGTTGAAGCATAGATGCCAGATCTGACTTTTCCTGGAGAGAATTTACGGAAGTATCATTTGGGGGTGTAGGTGGCGGGTCGACGCCTTCCGATTCCTGAGCTTCTGAGGCACCTCTGCCTGGTACGTCTGAAACGCCTTCATGTTCCGAAAACCCTCCATCATTGTCAGCCGAGCTATGGGAAAAGACGCTTCCGATTTCGCTGCCATCGCCTTCTTCAAGAGAAGAGATAGCAACAGAACCTTCGCCTTCCCCCTCATCGTCGTCCTCATCCTCACTCTCATCATCATCTCCTTCCTCTGCCTCATCATCAAATACATTCTTTCTTGAGATGCGAACCCCCTTATATTTAGGATCAATGAGGGCGCCTTGAGCCTTTCGGATCGCAGAGGTTCTAGGAATCTCTGGTGAAATTGTGACATGAATTGGGACCGACGCTGACTTACCCCACGTCTACATAGTGGGATCGTGCAGCACGTAATCGTTCTACAACATCCTCTTGCTCATCGGAAGATTCATCGTGGTGGTAGTCTTCTTCTGGGTCAATCTCTGTGCTGAGAGGATAAGAGAGAAGGAATAATAAACGCCGTCAGGGCCACAAACTTGCCTTTCGGTGCAGCATCTGCTAGCTGGGAAATTTGTTGGGCAAGTGAAAGCTCTGAATCCCTATTAGTGCTATTCGGGTGGACCACAACGGTACTCGCATACTTGGCATTTTCTGTCCCACTGGCAGGCAAAGATTGGGCCCAATTGAGTTCGAAGCACGGAAGCAAAAATTTCCCAAAAAAAATCTGTCCTCACTCATCACGACGTTGTCGACGTTTCGACCGTTCGATAATTTTGCTCATAACCACGCGAAAGCTTTTCACTGTAAAACTAATGTACAATTTATTTCCGACATGGTCAAACCAGCAAAGAATCAAAGTAAATATCCGACTTGCACCTAGTGTCCATGCGAATTAACACCGTCGCTATTTTCTATTTCTTACTTTTCTCTCCTGACAGACACCTCAAAACCGACTGCGCATTCGCAGAATACTGATCCCATTACACCAGACCGGCGCACCAGCACTGTGATGTCTGTGACGTCTGCTTCAGACTCGCTGGTTGTTGTAAACATACCAGGCGCGAACGAGTTGGGGGACGTGTGCGTCACCTGTGAGGACGAATGCGTCTGCGGTGCCGCCAAGTCAACCAGTCCCAAGAAGCTCGTACCAGACTTTCCTTCCACCATAATGGCGCGACATGCACCAGCTCAGGCCAAGCTTGAGCGATGTGATTCTCCAGGAAGCGACCTAACATCGCTCTCCTCTATTCCATCTGACCCCCCACCGCTTAGGACCGCTGGTTTTAAATCTTCCAGTTCCACTCTGTCGGGCCTATCGAAACGGCGACGGGGGCTCACCAAGGCTGATGCTCTTGCACACAAGGCACTTTCAGCAAACAACATCCAGTCACATAAACCCATGGTTCCATTTTCAGCTCCGACTACTCCTCGCTCTCGGCTACTTGCTCGATCTAAGAATGCTGATGCTCGTGCAGCCCCGTCTAAATTGTCTCGACAAATTCGGAATCCAGCTAGGGCAGTATCAAGGCTTTCCAACCGTGGTGGCAGTCAGTCGTCAAATACAGGCGTACCCAATCAACCCCTCACTCGTTTGACTCAAAAATTTCTTCCACACGTTGACGAATTCTCTGATTTTTCAGACCAATTTCCCACATTCTTGCCTGCATCCGTCTTGGACAGCGATTCGTCAGAGGATGACTCTGGTAACTCCCTCTCTTCCTCCTCATCTGAACGTTCGGATGACTTGGACAGTGTAATCGAGGCTGAGGAGACTGAACTCATTGTGGCTGAAGAGACCCTTGCCATGAAAAAGCTCCGCATGAGACGTGAACGCGAACGCGAGCTTCGCCTCAATGGGAATGGTAATCCCGAAGGAGGTAGACGATGGGATAAGGTCAATTGGAACCATGAACGACGTACCGGGAGCGTCAGCATGGATGGTTCCTCCGTCCTGACAAGTAGTTCTTCCTCATCAGACGACTCCTCTACATCGGATGCGGACGACGAGAATGGTGAAAATGGTGAGGCCGGTGTGGACGATGACGAAGACGAAGAAGACACATTCGAGGCTCCGTTTCACGGTGCCTGGCCCGAAAATGACGAAGATGAAGAGTATGATGCCGAGCTCTTCTTTGCAAATCTATCTGATTCGTCTTTCGGGTCGTCACCCTCTGACTCGGAGCCTGATTTTGATATACACAACCCCTCGCCACCAGGACGTGCCGGCGAGACCGACGTAGACTCGGAAAAGAGGGACTCACAACTCCCTTTAGTATTGACGGAAGATTTAGACGGCCGGCTGGTGTTTACCCATGGCATGAGAGACGGTGAAGGGGCTTCAGCCGTCCATTTCGATACCACCGCACGCAAGTCGTTAGTCGCAGATGCCGCTGTGGATACCCTCGCTGTCGTCGTTGAGGACAAAGGCAGTGATGCTACTTCTTTATCCTCCTTTGAGACTGATCCAGGAGAAGACGTTGGCAACACAACTGCGGAGGAAGAAGTCGATCCAGTCACAGGCATCCCTCCGCGCGTTGCAGTCGTAAATCCTGTAACCACCGGCTCCCCTCCGTACAACCCGGCTGACTCTGCCTCTATCGACCCGATCTCGACCATCAATACGCCCATCAATAGCCCATCCACATTCTCCAAAAGTACCGGCCTCCCCTGCCCCGAGGCTGCGGAGACGTCGCGGAGCGGGAAGGGATTACCTTTAAAATCTGAACCCATTCTAGGCTCCTTCCACCTCGAGGAACTCAATAAAACTTCAAGTGCCATCATCGATGGTTCGCGTGGGTTCTACATACCTTCGCCCTATACAAGAGTCCGGAAAAAGAAAAGGAAGCCGCGGAGAGACTTCAACATCGTAAGTTGGCGGGCACTCCAGATTTCTCCCACTTTAAGGTCACATCTGAGCGTCATCTCCTAGGACGATTTGTTCCTCGTAGCCGCCCAGAGCCAACCTCAATCCTCTCTTCCTGGTGCATCTCTCTCGCAGTCAATACGTAACAATTCTGTCCCTGATTCGGCTCAAAATGCAGAGAATAATGCCGCTTCTGGGCTTCCACCCCCTTCGCCTATCGAATTGGATGACGTCCTAAACGCCGCTTTGCTGGATGACCAGGTTGACATGACTGTGTTCAAAGTGGTGGATTCCGATAGTGGCCAGACGCCCGATAGGAGTTTGTTGTTCAACTTGAAGCGTCGGGAAAGGATTCCAATTGGGACATACCGACGCCTCCGAACAGGTGGAGGAAATCTCAACGGGAATCTCGGTGCTGTACGACTTGCGGATGGGTTCAGCTATGGCAGTACGAGTGCCGTGGACCGTCTGAGCCCGTATACGGCACGACCGAACACAGGGGAGGTTTCGTGGCTCACACCTCGTGCAAACAGATCGCCGAAGAAAAAAGCATCTCACAACCGCTCCGACAGTATCATTTCCCAATCTTCCATTTCTGAGAGTCCGTCGGCACTGCGATGCCGGGGTTCTAAACGAAAGGTGCTCATATCACCTGTCATACTGCCTGTGAAAGACTCTGATACCGATCAGGGTCTGAATGACATCGGGGGTGAGAATCTGCTTGATGAAGCGGCATTACCATCGGCACCTAAGCGCCAGAGGCGGGACGAAAATAGGAAGGGAAATTCATTGTTCGATCCGGCATGGCGCTCTGCGCCGTCGCGTGCCCTACGTAAGCCTAGTCCTTGAACGCTACTTTACGATTAAAGCTATTCTATTATGGACATCTTGTGATCCTGCACTCCCATTAATGTCTCCGATCTGTCACCTCCAATTTAACCTTATCTGATTCACGCATACCTCTACTGATCTCGTCTATCTACAAAATGCGCACGCATGTACCCTCAATCCGCATGAGGCGACAGCGTTTCTGGTTTCCGTTGTAAAGTGTAACCTGAAATGAATAAGCACCTCATTGGCAAAACTGGAAGGAGGGGGCGTGATTCGGGGCATAGACAACAGGTGGGAAACACAAGGAAATATATGTGCATACTCCGATGAACTGGGGGGTGCTACGACCCTTCCAAGTCTATGAACATAATTTCACGCTGTTTTCTCCTTTCTCCTAATACCAACCTGGTTACCATGCTGGGTGATGGGATACGCAGGATCCCAGCCTCTACTAAAGTAGAGTGATGGGACACACGGCACAAACAATCTGGAATTACAAAATGTGAACTATGGCATATATCCCCTTGAGCGTCCAGTGCCAAGATTAATTTTCTTTCATCTGTTAGCTGTCGGGAATAAGCTTCTAGTGCTTCGGAAGAAGTCCCCTCAGCGGCAGGATCATCATTGAAGCTAGGCAGGTGACTGGCCTCGGTCGTTGAGATTTGAGAGACAACGACAAGATGGAGATGTCCGTTAAACCCGTTCGGTGATACGGCATAATCGTAGCGTCACTTACCATGGATCAAAACTTGGATGTTGTCCTTCGCGACTTCGATGGAAACGTTTTGTCGAGTTCGTTATTTGATCAGCCACTGAGCCCTCGTTGTCCTCATGTGTCTTAGCCTTCTGGCAGTATGGCATCATGGACTGGGAGTTGCTCTACAGCTGCCTGAGGATGGTTCTCTCCTCAAACGAAGATTGGGTGGTTTTTCGTTATGATGAGACCGTGCCCGAGCGACATGGGGCTCCTTGTCCTCCAAGTGCAGAAGTCCCCGAGCTGGGGACATACATACTCCTTCACCCAGGTACGTGCAAGTTGATTCATTCCGTGGCGTTGTCATGCATTGTCTTTTAGACGCTACCCCAATCACTATCGGTTGGAACACCCTCTCAGCCCGTGTCCGCCACCCAACCATCTCCAATACCCCTTCAGAGGTAAGTTGCACACTCCCAACAAGATATTTAATACAAACCAGACGGATTTTTCACAGACAGAGCACTACCAAACGCGAGTCCGCGCCCGTGACCCTTGTTGCCTCATCTCGGGTCTTCCAGTGATCAGAGGCAATTATAGTCGATTCAAAGCAGCGCACATTTTTCCACGTGCACATGACATCCAGGTGCGTCGTTACCCTTTCATTCCCGCGGTGCTGACGTTACAAATCTAGTGGACTCATAGAGGCTACCCAAGTCGTATCACAGATCCTGCCCCTCTTGCAGAGGTTGGGGGACCAACAAAAATTGACTCGATTCAGAACGTGCTGTTACTGCGTAGCGATTTGCATGATGCATGGGACAACTACGAATTTGGTGTTAATCCTGATGTTTGCTATGTTTTTCATTTATTTACTAATGTCTCTTCTCACTATGAGTTGTAATAGCGTGGCCATGTTGTCATCCCCTTCGTTCCTGGCTATGACGATATTGCAGGCAAGGCCCTCAAACTAGACCACATTGGGAACCGGGATATGTACCCCTCGATGACCTCTTGCGTGACCACTTTCTCCAAGGTGTCCTGAAGAATATGAAAGGTGCTGGTGAGCCCACTTGGGACCATGAGGACGCGCTTGGGGATGGTATAATGAATCTGTCGAGGTGGGACATTTGGGGCGGTACTGCAGGTCGAGAGCACTTGGAGTACGAGCTAGCTCACAGGTTGCATAGTGTTCTTGTTGGTCAGCGGAATGCAAGTTTTCTTTAATCTCGTTCCTCCATTAAGTACATCCGACTTGAGAAAGCGCAGTTGCATCCTAGTTCCTCATGGGATCTGTGCACCTGCAACGGTGCCGCTGTTCGCAAATGAGTGCAGGGGCGGCTTATCAATTCCCAATCTGTTCGTTCCCTTTCCTTCTGTTCGGTTTCTTTCCTTCGGATCCACCACCTTCCGACCAGCACTGTTCAAACATATGTCCCAAGTCGCCGCACTTAGGGTTAGTGTAGTGGACTACTGACTTAGGGGTGGCGGCGTTAGACTTTGAACCGGTTGACTTCCCTGCATTGTGGCGGTTTAATTTGCCTGAATCGATATATCCCTCAGAATTGATGGTGTTCTTTTTCATTTGCATGAGGGCGATGGTTTTAAGAGCGTGGTAGGATTGTGGGGTTGCGGAGATGAAGGCGGTGAGATAGCTTTTGCCTCCAAAAGGGTGCGATTTGGATGCGCACGTCCTCCATCCCTTGGGGTCGCGTTGCCAATGGTTTGGTGTCGTCTAAGCGAAAGTGATGGAGAGCTGAGTGGAGGGAGTGTATGTCCTGGTCGTTCTTTCCCATGAATTGATTGTCCAGGCATCGTGAGCAGTAGGTTTGCTTTGAATCATAGAAAAGCAGGGGTCACTGACATAGCATCTCAAGTAGGTAAACGCTCTCTCGTCTTTGTCGAGCCAGTCTGCAAGGACAGGATCAGTGTTCCTGCGGTTTTGCGGTTCCGCCATTCGCTACATCTTCAACTACTTCCCATATTCGGTTCACTTTCAAGACACCGCGCATCCTTGATGCCCAGTTGGAGTAGTTTTTACCGTCGTTGTCTAGAACAGTGATGGGGGCAGGAGTGGGGGTAGGATGAGTGCTGAACTAGGCTCGTAAGCTATTAGAATGGTAGCGGTTTACGCTAACATGTTATGCTCAGTATCAAACGTTGTCAAACTAAATTGAACAAACTAATTGCCTGACGTGTTACGCTAGGATACATGAGTGCGCATCAGTCATAAAGACCAACACGAAAAAGAAGGTAAAGTCTCACCTCAGATGTGTTAAATATTGTCGAACTGCGGGAGACGTAAACCAATAATTTCCCCTGCTGTTATGAGCAGTCACCTCAATGGCACTGACTTTGGTGGAAGGGATACCAAGAAAGGAAACTGAAAGACGCAACCTCATGTTGTGAGTTGGCGCGGCCACAACGTACCTCGACCTTCAAGCAAGACTTCAGGAAATTTAACACTAGCCCCTATGTATTGGAATAGAACAGGGATGTCAGAAGTCAGTTCGCGTTGGACGATTAACAACAGCACATGGATTATCTATTCATGCATGAAGGTAAATAGCACATCTTGGATGCTTGTCCACATAGTTGCGAGAGCGGTATAGATGAAAACAACAATGGCAATGTAACTGACATCATGACAGATGGAAGCTTCCACCCCCTTCCTTCATGGCAATTTGCAGTTTTGCCCCCAGGACTGATTTTGAAGTATAGGCAGGAAGCTTCAAATAGTTGACGCAGGTCATTACGCTAGGGAGGTAATCGTCTGGTGTGAGTGGTGCTTCGTGGGGTTTTCGTACCACCGTGAGCGGGGGATTTAATCCGCGGAAGCCTAAAAAATAGTATTAAGGTCCTCAAATTGAAAGCGCAATGGCCTATCGTACCTCCAATAGGCAGTTTCGGGCTTCCGGTCATAAACTGTAGGAACTCCCTGCGGGCACCGAGGTCGTATGACGACATCACCTGTACAAGATCCCGGAAAGGACGGCTGTCCGTATTGAAGCCATGATCCGCCTTGAGGGCCTCGGAGAGTGCTAAAAGAAATGTTTGACAAACGCTCGAGTGAATCCACTTAGCAACTCACTCTCAGTACTCCAGTCTTCTTCCAAGTTTCCAAAAATGGTGAGAATCTCGTCGGAAGTGAATATTTGAAGGTCTAAAATTGGGAAAACCTTCGAAAACCCTTCACGAAATGCCTTAACCTGCGCCTGCACCCCACGCCCAAGGAACTGATCTAGAACAAAGTCAATGTATTCCTGCACATTGGTATAATTGACATTGACGCTGGTTCCACCAGGCTAACAGTAAACAGCTTTAGAAAACGGGACGGTATTACGCCAATGGAGTGACTGACCTGGAGCTCGATATCATACCCAGGGGTCGTGAAGTCCAGAGCAAGATCATCGAGGGAGGCATCATTGATGCGGAGAGAAGCCAAAGCTGTCATCGTTTCGGACTCAGTCTGAACGAGATAGACATCAGATGAGATTTGTGAATTCAAGATTTCTGGTACTTGCCAATGTTCGATCCTCACGAATCCGTTTAGCTGCCGTAGCATATTCCTGTACTCTAGCCAATGACCTTCCAAGTCCACTGTCAATGGCCTGTAAAAACAAGTCAAAGAGTGTATGTGAACCACCAACAATCGTCTCACCATTAATGTGTCAATGGACCGGGGGACATCGCGGCCAAGCACCAGGCGTAAGAAAACACGATTAAAGGATATGTCAATAATGCGTGAATCTAGAAGTGCTTTTGCAACAAATTGTCCAAGATGCCGGAAGATGTCGCATCTTTTCCTGTTTTTGGTCAAACTTCATATGTCAAGCAAGCCTAGTATAATACCCACTTTCCCATTCCTTTCCCCTCTTTCGCGAGGTCTGAGGAGCCAAAAGGCATTGGATATAGGCCCAATGGATGGTGAACATACGGTCCCAGGACGTTTATGTCATTGTCGTGCCACATTTTGATGTTACGTCTTGCAAATTCTTTCGACACCAAGGAATAGAACTCAAGGGTGGGCCCGAGGCCTGTCCCAACTTCTTCGAAGTATTCAACCTCGAGAACAGAACTCGAAGAGCCATACAACTCCAGAACCTTGATAGCGGATTCAAGCAAGTGCTTTCTCGAAATTCTAACCTTTTGTCGTTGAAGCCGCCCAAGCGAGTGAGTGCTGTCGTCGCGACGTGATGAACTATCGTTATTCCGACTGCTTTGAGTCTGCCATTTGTTCATAAGCCGTGCGTAACCAAACGAAGTGGATTGAAGGAAAGTGAAGCGCGTCGTGAACGGGAAGAGGAAGGGATAGTTCTGAGGCAGGTCTGTTGCCCAGTCGGGAAGACAAGCGCTAAGGACGCAATAATTTGTTGGCATACAGATCTGCGGGTTTGTCTGATACTCACCTCACAACAATCATTGGCTCCTCCAACTGACGAGTCAATTTAGCCGTCAGCTTGTTGTTGACGAACGCTGGTTCTGGCAAGGCGCGGGCGTTTACGAAATTTAGGCTCTCCTCTGTGAGGTCCGTGTTAATTTCATACAAAACCCGAAGGAGTCGAAGGACTCTAGATGTGACGGAATCGTCAGATATTGAGGCTGAACTGGTGAACCTTTCGAGCGCATCTGCGGCTAAGTATTACTTAGACCTAGAATATCAAGGTCAACAGCTGCCATGCTCACTGCTGACTACAGGCGCCGGCCCTAAAACCTTCTTGAATTTGACAGTGTGCACACCTGCCCATATGGACCCAAGGTATTGCGAGGGCTTGTTCGATTTTCTTGCTTCGTGTTGATGAATGGCCCCGTAAACAGTAGTGTCTAGCGGAATCCGATGTCCGTCTATAGAGAACTCGACATGCCAGTCAGTGGGCGGTGCCTTCACGGCAGAGGCATAGGACCGTCGGCTCGAGGATGGCGGAGGCGCAGAAGAAGGATCCTTGTCCCGGATCGAGTTGGGTGTTGCAACACGGGTACCTTCAGGAGTCTGGGCAACAATCTTGCCTTCATCTGCCACGGCAACACTGACAGTTCTCCCGTCGGCTGGTGGAGCTTCATTCCCCCCACCATTGAACATCTACACTTAGGATAAGCAGGCACCTCAAGCCACAATAGTGAGAGACTACCTGGGCATCAACTTCCGCATCCACAAAATTGTCATCTTGACCATCCATTTCAACAAGGTCGTTAGAAGCAACACTCAGCCCTGTAGGAGCTAGTGAAGGGATGCCGCCGGTCACTGGAACGCCAGATCCAACAGGAGTTGAAGCCCCTGAAGTCGCAGCGCTCTTTGCACTCAACCGCCGGCTGCGTCTCGTAGGCTCCCGTTTGGGCTCTTTGGTACCCTTTGATGCTGCTGGTGGAGCTGTCAGGGAGCTGTCGGCTGTCGAAGATGATGGCCCCAATTGAGTGGTGGAAGCTATAGGCGGATCAGCATTATCACCAGCAAGTTCTGAACCTAGTTGGGAGGCAGGGCCTGGAGGTGGCCGAGAAAGGGCACCGGGCGGTAACCCTGCCGCCGCTGCAAAAGCAGCAAGCATGCCGGATATGCGAGAGGGGGGCAGACCTTGGGACGACAATCTCGGCCGGAGATAATCATGCAACGCTTGGAAGGTGGCGATGGCATGAATGGAGACGGTGATGTTTGTGCAACTCTTCGGTACGTCGGCACCCTCTCCTACAAGTCGGAGCCTCAGCTGTCGCGCAAGAAGAGACGCCGAGTTACGCCTTGAATCTAGAGAATTGAGAGTCTCTAAAAAGACCATGAAAATGTTATGAAGTGGGTCGTACCATCGCCAGCTGGGTTTACTGTGACAACCTCAAAAGACTCAATTCTTGTCAGACTCTCTTGTAATCGCTTGACTAAGGTCGCAAAGGGGGAAGATGTGCGCGAAATGTTCGGAGGGCTCAGGGCGGAAATAAGGAGGGCGCGGCGACGATCCAGGTGAACTGGGAATTACCTTATATGAGCACTCGTGTAAGTGTTATCTGGGCGAAACATTCACCTTCCTGCCCCTCGGCAGTTGAAAACGTCAAAAGCTCATCGACAAGTCCACTTTGCAATAGCTCGAAGCTTGATAGGCCAGTATCTTTGTCCTCGAATAGCTTAGCGATGCCCTCAAGCACTGCTCCGAATTCAGTCTCACTAGCGGAGGTATTAGTAAGCCCTCGCACGAGGTTCTGTAACAAAGCAAAGGTATCCTTCCCACTAGCAAGAGAAGAAACAGATGGCGATGAAAGATACTTGAGCCTGATCACACGAGCACGGAGAATGTTAGCGTCCTGCGAATCCGGGTAAGGAGCGGAACGCCTGAGGGATGTCGATGAGATGACCAGGGATGAGGCACCAATACTGGGGACGTCTTCTGGAACCGGGGTGTTAGAGGAACTGTTGGGCTCGGCTTTAATCTTCGGGCTAAGCTCCTGATCCGCAATAGCCAGCACTTCGTGCAAAACGCCCTCGCGCCGAAAGGCAGCCGTGTATTCGGATGGAAGCGTGATAAGGAAAAGTTCAACAAGTTGAAGGGCACTGGCTACGAGAGATTGCTGGTCTTTGGAGGATAAAATGGACCCGATAAAACTGGCCACAGGGACATTCTATCCGCAATACATCAGAGCGTGAGCGTGAGAGTCGTTGAAAACGCACCTCAACAATTTTTGAAAGTGATGTACTGTCCAGGAATGACAACGCTTTTAGGAGCGTAGTTAATGTCCTTGTGCGGATAGTGAGCGCCACGCTTGCCGCATAAACCTCCACCAAAACAGGGATGATAAGACCCATGAATTTATTCACTAACTCAGGTTTGGAACGGAGCATGAAGAGGCGCGTTGCTGAAGCACTCTGCCGTGGTTCAGACGATGTCACAGCCAGTGCGGAAGGGAGTTCCAACAGCGCATTAGGAGGCGAGACACGCGTGATAGGGTCCTGCCCTGAAGTGGGGTCTTTCGATTCGACAACTTCCACATTCTCGTCCGTGGGTGGTGTATCCACGCCTGCTGATCGACTGGTCCTCGATGCGGCACGCTCCGCCTTCGTCTTGGCTTTGGCAAGGCGTGCGAGAGCCTTCTCAGAATACGCCCGCTGATCAAAAACGCCATCTGTTCACCGATTGGTAAGCATTGTGTCACATATACTTGTCCGTCCGACCAGCTTGCCTTTAGGTAATGGAGGCATGAGTTCCGAAACGAGGCTGAGCCCTTCCTCTACCTGATCCTTCGGCCGATGTGCCAGGTTCTGCATCACGGTCATATCTGCCAACGATTCAGCAGCACTCCTCGAGACTTCGCTGGGAGGCAGAACGCCAGTAAGGAGCTGATAAATTATATTGACGATATCTGCCTCAAGGAGAGCTATGGCAATCTTAGGGCTCGATTTTGCGGCAGTGCTCAGCGCGCGCAAGAGGAGCGTATACGTGGAGCCTGAGGTCACTGGGCTGCCTGCCGCGGGATTCAGCAAGTTGTTGATTGCCCTAATAACCCCCAAATCGTCCTGAAGAAGAAGCTCCTCGAGCAGTTCCGATTGCGATCGATGGTAGCTTTCTATAATCCTGATGACGCAAAGAGCCGCACTCTCAACAAGACGCTGATCGGGATAAGACAAGACGTTCCGAAGTATAGGGAAGACGCCGCGGATCGTCTTGAAAATCTCGGCCGATGCGTTGCGACAGCAATTTGCAGCCGCATGGAGCGCTGTGCGCTGAACGGAAGTATTGAAGAAGTCGAGGAAGTTGAGGAGCGCTGGAAGGCCACCTTGACGAGCGACGGCTCCTGCGCATTCTTCGGTAATCTTATCCAATGTCTATGAGGAACCTCAACAACTACAAAGAGGAAAAATCGGGCAAGATTCCGCTTACACTGATATTTTGCTCCGCCAAATCAATGAAAGTAATTTCCAGGAGCTTGCTACACAAGGCAGGAATGGCTCCGTGATAGACAACGGTATGTGCAGTCCCCGGTAGCGCTTCCATCAAGTTGTACAGACATCGACTGGCAAGTACTTGGGCCTCAGGGTTTTCGTCCCCTTGAGTAACCCCACCACCGCTCATGGCAAGAGCAGCCGCGAGAGCAGCATCCTCGTCCTCTTCATCACGATCCTCCTCTAGATCATCACCATCTTCATCATCTGATACTGGCGATTTTCCACCCAAGATACCCACTAACTCCTTAACAAATGAATCAACCTGAAAATACCCGGAGAGCGTGTCTTCGTTGCTCATAACAAGAAGCTCGTTGAGCTCCTGAAGTGCCGCAAAGCGAACAGTAGCATCGGAGGTAGGCTTGAGGGCGGCGAGATATCCTTTAAGTTTCGTGGACTGAGCCAACATATGAGCACCAAGAGAGCGGAAATCGCTGCCGAAGAGTGCCATGGCGGCGGACGACGCATCGCCAGCAAACATAGCCAGCGGGTCAGTTGATGATGTCGCTGGGGCACCAGGAGCATCCAATGAGGCAGTAGTAGCACTTGCAGCCTCAGCCTTGCTTTTAGAGGTATCTCCATCATCCCTTGACTGACCGTGATGACCGTCCGAATCGTCTGCTTCGCCACGTTCTAGAGGTTTCTCTTGAGTGTCCATGGATTCATCAATGTAGTCATTTTCGAATGGCATGTCCGCATCAAACATCTCGACATCACCATCAAGAAGAGTAGATGACCCGCCACTCATCCTTGACCTCGTGGCTTTGCCTTTGGCACCCGCGGTGGTTGTTTTACTCCTTTTACTCATGGACTTCTTTGTCTGCGGTGACTTTGTAGAATTGGCACTTGGTTCTGATGTAACCTTGTTAGAGTTGCGAGTCCTACGGACTTTCTTCGGAGGAGAGGGGTTCGTCGATAGTTCTTCGTCGATTTCGGCACTGGAGGACGATGGTGACGGTGAAGGCTCCGGGGCGGCGCGTTTCTTCCCTTTCTTGTCGATGACGGTCTCCTCACTAGCGACAGTTGTGGATGTGGATGCAGTTGAGCGGCGATTACTGCTGACAATGCAAATCGATTGTGAGTCCAACGTGACGCGGCGACACGAAGGAGGATTACTCACCGATTTGGTTCTCTTTGTTTTCCTCGGATGATAGCGGATGGGGCGGTTCGACTTCGGAGAGTGATTGGTGAGCGGGGTGTCTGAGCGGAGAAAGAGGGCTCTGATTGCTGTTCTCTCTGTTTTGCGGCTCGAACGCGAGCACTGGAGCGTGTAGTGGGGAGTATTGTATCCGGCTGATTGATGTCAACAAGTGATGATTGCTGGCTCTGGTGGTGAGATGAATCTTGTTCCATTCAGACAAGGGGAGTGCTCATGCCCCTGGACGTTGCTTTAGACAGCAAGAAATGCACAATCCATTCACCAACGGCGAGTCGAGTGCAATCGGCAAACACCGGGTTTCCGAATGAGAGGTGAATCAAGATCTCATTTTGGTCTTTGATAATGATAATACGCGTACAAACATTCAACATTTGTATCCTCTCATCGAGGTGGAACAAAGTCCGATCCGTAGAATCAAAAGTTGATCGTAGAATACCCACTCATTGCAAACCTTGATGTGAAGTCACTTCTTGAAGAACCCAGCAAGCGTCTGTTGACCGCTATTTCGCGGCTTGACATTTGATTTCGTGGATGGATCCACCGGTGTTTTCTTCTGGATAGGTAGTTTCTTCTCATCGTTCGTGGACGCTTTTGTCCTTGTAGCAGGTTTGGGGTCAATGCTGGTGTTGCCAGTCGCTTGTCCATGAGCTACTTTTGTTCCTGTCCCAGTGGAATTCGGTCCGGATGTGGCTTCAGATGTCTTGGGTTCTTCATCTGACTCGAAAGATGAGTAGTCTTCCGTGACTGGGGAACGAGGTCATTCGTGAATGGATAAAGCAGCAAGGATTTCTCGGCTAACATACCAGTCCTTCCCTTGGCATCTTTGTAAGTCCTAGTCTTCTGAACTTTCCTTTTCCCCTTGGGCGCTTTCTTCCGTGCTGCGCGTGCGGCCTCTTGCTTTCCTTTGGCAGCTGAAACATCGATGCCAAAAGACTTGTTCTTCTGCTTTTCCTTTATCCTCTCGGCCTTGAACCGAGGGTCTTGCATCTTACGACGGAGCTCGCTGGCACTGAGGGGGGTGTGTTCGGGTCCGCTACTCTCAGACTCATCACCGTGGGATACCTTTCGCTCTTGGGCTAAGGAAGTCAGCTCCGAAAGACATATTGGTTATGCAAATCCATAATCTCACCAGACCCCGGGGCATAATGTTCTTCATCGGAAGTGACCATTAATCTCGAGCCCTTCAGTTTCTTTGAAACACCGGCCATCGAATCGTCGTCGCTGGCTTCCGGAGCAACGGATTTCCTCTTCTTTGGTGGAGAAACCTTGGCGGTAGTTTTCGGATCTTCGTCAACTTCTTCATCCGAGAGAAGGATACGTTTTCGCAGCCGGCGACCAGATGCCGTTCTTGTAGGAGGAGTGGGGTCCCCAGAGGACGGCTCAATGAGCATAGGTGAGGGCCCATCGGCTCCGAAAGTCTTAGAGGACGAAGGGCTACGCTCAGCTAACACAGATCTTGCGCTCGTGGCCCCTTCACCATCCTGTGGACCCGTACACATTACACAAAGCCACACGTGAGGCCTACTGCGTTCTCACGAATGATCCCATATACCGCACCTTGTTCTCCTCTATTGCCTTCGTCTTCGTTTTTCCCCAGTCAAGCGTCCCTGTCCTCTTCTTTTCCTCGGCTTTCGGTAATTTGGTCGACGCACCCTCAGTAACCTTGGGGCCAGCTGGAGGCGTTGGAGCAAAGCCGGAAGGCTTCGGCACTGCCTTGGATGCTGGTTTTATAGGCTCGGCCATCATTTTCCCCTTTATCGTCTCATTCCAGTGTGGGTTAAGTGTCGTGCCAATTAACTTGGCATATTCGGGATTTCGGGAGGCATCGTCCTTGCTTCGGACCCCCGGTGCTGTCGTAGTAAGGAGAACGGGATCCTGGAAAACAGGCTTAATAAATAGGTGTTAGCGTAGAAACCTACGTACAGTTAGAGTAGACGGGGATATGCCGTATATGTGTATGGAGCTTATTCGAGTGAACTGAGATTTTATTTCTGCGCATAACACACGTCTTCCTCAAGATTCCATTAAGCTATCATAGGTTGCACAAATCACTCACTTTCCAGATTCTCCCCGCGAACAAGCATAATAGAGGAATGGGATAGGGATCGAGTAAAAAGCGCTTTCTCGTGAGTGTCCTCAGTCGTTGGAATGCTTGTGTCTTGGAATGTGGCTTCCGGCACTCCCGCAAGTAGGTACGTTGCATGTACAGGAGTAGGACCCTTTAATGAGAATGAATGAAACCTCTCCAGTTCCCTATGATCCTACAAGTCAGCAAACAGAACAGAAGCCGATTTGTTGCTTGCCTCTTCGCCTCATTGACGTGTATAGAGAATTCGCGACTTAAGACACGGTAGGTGACCTGAGTGATGAATTATGAACCCAGGATATGGAATGCGCGTCTAGGGCGTACAATCTCACTGCCTATTGTAACTTTTTTGTAAAGGTAGTCCTGTATATTTGGAACCATGGAAGCAGGTGTTTTGTGACAGGAAATTACCGAAACGAACAGCCACTAAGAATGTCAGTTAATTATCATGCGCTCAGGATATCAGAGCCAACTCGAGCATGAACGTAGATACATGGTTGGATATGACTGGAGGGTGTCGCCACAAAACACAGTATGAGAGAGAGCAATAGTCCTAATACCAATCCTCAAGACAAACATTCAAATACAGACTTGCGAAATATCCCAAGAATTAAGTAAATAATTGAATCAAGATAGGAGCCTCAACATCATCCGTATGGCGTTGGGGGGGGTGGGCGTCGCAAGCACATTGGGTTATTTCAATACAGGATATAGGGTGACCAATATGGGGCCGGCTTGCTGAAGTTCTCGCCAGCGGGGATATTCGCAATCCTAGTGGCCCTTGTCATCCTCGGGAAGCATCCCGGGCTCCCATTGGTTGGAATACTTCAGTGATCGGTCAAACTTCTGCTTTTGGTGGCGGGGATTGTACAGCGTGACGTCGGCGGGATTCTGGACCCAAGGCTTGAAGCCCTGCTGCGAGTGCTGCGAAGAAGCCCCTGGCGTCACATTAGGGCTCGTATTTTCCGAGCCCGGCATATGCTTCCCTTCGCCAGCCGCACGCTTTCCGCTTGCCTGGTTGGAGCTCGTAGGGTAGCCTTTCGACGCCATGATGGAGAAGCGGAGGAATAGTATATGAAATCGCTGCAGAGTAGGGCGAATGCGAGCGTGGTAGCGTAGTTCAAGTAGAATGTTGGTACTTGCGGCAATCTAGAGCCCTGAGTAGTAAGCAGTAGGGGTAGGAGTAGGTATTTATAAGTGCTGGAGATAATACCAACATGACTCCCAAACCATGATTTGTGACGAGCTATCAGCAGGATCCTACCAGCCAGAGTGACTCAGAGGAGGAGTCCTATTGTTGGTTGGTTTTTTTTTGAAGCCCATCATCGGGACCGGATGAACACGAGGTAATCTAGAGTTTATGCGGGTGCGATACAGGAGCAGTGTTGTCAGTGCTATGAGTCAACACTCATGAAATGATGTTGATGAAACCCGAAATAGGCGCTTGAGTCATCACAAGTTCTAGAATGTTCTGGATGATTTCTAGATTGAAAAACAAAAAAGACCGATCCCACATTAAACTTAAACGTTAGTACTGCAAAAATGGACGACGAAAGATTGCTCCCAGGACAGGAGGTGAGGCGAGTCACAGAAGAAGCTCCATTTGAGTCACTGGGATTTTGGTTTATTGTCCTGTTACGGGGTAATTGTCTTTCAAGGTATCGAACTACGCGCTGGAGTAGGTTGAAACATCCCAAACTCAATCTCAACAATTTGACGGCTCCGAAAAGTTGCTGGATTAAATTAGTAAACTGGTCACGTGTCTGAACACCTCGAGTCTAAGGGCGTTGTGGATTCCTCAAGAGATGACATGGTCAGGCGGAAATTGAACGGGTCTTCTACCCTCCTTGATTTCTTTTCCTCATCTGCGCCCCGAAATCAACTCAAGGAAAGCAACTTTGGTGCGTCATTCGACTCAACCAGACCCTCATCTTCTCGGTTTGGACCAGAGGGCTCATCGAAAGAGACGGCCCTTTTAATCGATGATTCATCTGGTGATGAAGGACATCGAAGTACCCCCCAATCCCTTGGACCACCTCAAAAGAAAACTCGGCAGGGTGGACCCGGGGTGTCCGGGGAAGACCTGACAGTAACGTCTCGTGATATTGCAGCTTCTCCCCCTTACCCATCGTCCGATTTACCTTCGGTGAGAAGCAAGCTCGTTATCCTGGACGACGATGAGCCCGGACTTGCAGCCATTCGTGACTGGGTTTTGGAAGACGATGAAATTGTAGAGTCTACTGAGGACGCGTTGCTTGGAGATTTAGGAGAGGATGGTGAATGTGGGGCGATCACCGGAGACACAAATAATGTCGCTCTCCCATCACGTTCAGCTTGGGGGACAGCATTTGATGAAGAAGAGGCATGTGTTCATGAATCTTTCTTCTAGTCTCAAACCAATCCTTCCCAGCCCTGCAATTCTACTAGTCATCTAGGCGCGTGTCTCAAGAGGTCACGTAGTGATTCCTCACAACAATCAAGTGAACCTGTGGCTACATCCCCTTACAAACCCAACATTTTCTCTATCCTTATGAGTTCTCACATAGAGAATACTGCTTGGAAACAAGCGGAGTTGGATCACGCGCGGCCAGGAACAAAGCTCGATGCAGCGCGCTTGGCTCAGAAAGGAGAACACGGCGGGAGAAGACTCGCGCCCTTCTACAAAGTTATGCCCGGAATGCCGATCGCTGTAGACGCGTTTCGCTATGGGAAAATACCTGGGGTGAAAGCGTATTTCCTAACGTCCGTTCCCACTGATTTTTGGAGTGAATTGGTTGTGCTGATGTCGTGCCCCGAAGGCACGCGCATTCAGATCATTATACCGCCCTTAACGAGAAATGGGCAAATGGACCTATATATTGTTCAGGTGAAAAATTCCATTTCCCCTTGTCCCTGTTGCGGTACTGATTCTCTCCTAGAGACAACTGGGAATCTGATCAGGTTAATGCTCGGAGTCAACTCGAAGTGGATCCACCCCGTGCCAATGGATGTCCCGACACTGGTCCCTGAAACTGAAGTCACTGTCACCCTCGTTGAAGCTAACCATTGTGTGTTCTGGTATTGCTATTACTTCGATCTGTCCATACTAATAAGGGCACGTTGGTAGGCCCGGGCTCTGTTTTATTTCTCTTTGAAGGACGGCGAACGGTGAATGCAGGCGACTCAACATTCAAATCACCTCATGTTGGCTCTCCGCGTGTGTTCCGCTACCTTCACTGTGGTGATTTTCGTGCTTCTCCCCAACATGCTCTACATGCTGCCATCAAGGGGAAAAAATTGGATATCATCTACCTCGATACTACTTATCTCAATCCCAAAGTGAGCTCCACTTAGCCCAGATTTGCTTCCCTGGATGCCGAGCTCAAATTCATTTAGTATTGTTTCCCTCCGCAACGACAAGTGATCGATGCATGTGCCACTCTCGCAACGAGGTTGGTGCTCGGAACCGAGCCCACCAACAGCTCAGAGTCTGATCTAACGGGAAAAATCTCTATGAAACCGAAGCCATCGATTGACGTCTGGGCAAGACCAATAGTTAAAGGGCAACATAATGACGATGCCTCTCTTCGGGAGGGACGCACTTTAGTTATGGTTGGGTGGGTAATTCCATCAACAATGAGATAAATGCCTTAGCGTCACGCGTTTCTCGTAGCACATACTCAATTGGTAAAGAACGCATCGTGAAGGCCATCGCTAATGCTTTATCCTCGAAAGTATATTGCGACAAGCGGAAAGCAGCCATTCTGCGATGCCAAGATGATCCCGAGTTGCATGCCCTTCTCACGAACGACCCTTATGAAGCCCAAATACACCTTGTCCCCCTCGGTGCGCTGAACAGAGACAAAATAGGGGACTATCTTTCACAGTTCAAAGGCGCGTACACTCGAGTTGTGGGGTTTCGGCCTACAGGATGGACGTAAGTGCTTACGTTCATTCCGGTCTCGAAACCGAACACTGATCCTTCCTTCATCTGCACGTTGATGTGGTGCTCAGATATTCGCCTCCCGCTGGAACTGACACTCTCCCAGCCCTTGCTCCCCTCATAACACGCATGCAATCCCGGACGTTCCTCCCCTCTTCCCTGGTGCCCACGCGCAACTCGACGCCACGGCTCATGCTCTACGGAGTACCCTATTCAGAGCATTCATCCTTTCTTGAACTATCTTGTTTCGCTTTAAGTACCCATTGGGACAAGATCATTGCTACGGTAAATGTCGGGACGGAATCGGGACGAGGAAAAATGAATAGATGGTTTGAGAAGTGGGAAAGCGAGATCAAGCGGAGAAGAGAGAAAGGCGAGAACGGTATGGTTGGCTTTCGGTCTATCGAATATTGGTAAAGACAATAGTACTGTGTAGTGTCGTTCTTGATATGTTCCGAGAATCATGCAGTGTGTGATAAACCTGGGAAGGTTTTATACTGCGCATCTCTAATACTTAGTCAAGGCTGATGTGCCTTGCCTCATTGGCAACGGGTGTCGTATGGCAAGGCTTGGTTCCATCCGTGATGTGATCAAAAAAGGGGCACAGCGCCTGCTTCACTGGTCCAAAATAAAACGCGCATCCTGACCCTTAGGGCCCCCTATATCGTTTGACCATGGCAACTGCGGACGACGCTGCCGCTTTAAATGCCAAGCTGGAGCAAGCGGAGTTGTTGGGAGCGAGCATGACAAGGAGGATACACCTCCTAGTCCTTATCCATGGTCTGTCCAGTGCCATACGCCTTCGTGTACATGCTTTGTTTGACGATTATTCAGGAATGTGGGGAACTTGTGAACATCTCGAGGAACTTGCCAATACTATTACAGAGGTTCATTCGAATCCTCCATCGCGGTCTGGATCCCGGCTTGACGCTGGCGTTGAACTGGACGTCCTCGTAGCGCAGTCAAATCAATCAGTCCAGACATACGATGGGATAGATTGGGGTGCAGAACGTGTTGTCGGCGAGGTAGTGTGTTCACTTGGTGCGACTTGCACAAAGCCGGCTCATCTGAACCCCTAGATACGCGAGCGAATCCAAGCCATACAGTCAAGTGGCGACACGGTCATCAGGTTTTCCATCACTGGCTATAGCCTCGGTGGCCTGGTAGCCCGTTACGTCGTTGGAGTACTGCATCATGCCGATTTCTTCGCGGCTGTGGAACCCGTCAATTTCGTTACCATTGCTACACCCCACCTTGGAATCCCACGATATCCTACAACTGTTTCGAGTATCCATGCAGTTCTCGGTCCGAAATTTCTTAGTCGAACGGGAGAGCAATTTTGGGCGATGGATAAGTGGGATGGACCCGATGGACGCCCATTATTAGACATCATGAATCGCAGGGGTGTGTTTGTACAAACGTATTCATTTACCAATCTTTATAGGTGACATTTCAATCATTAGACAGCATATTTTTTAAGGCACTAAGCCTCTTTCCCCACATCACCATATACGCTAATTGGTACGTTCTTAGTTCTTCCCCTAGAACTGCATGCACATCGATATATCTACACAGCATAAATGATACTGTTGTGCCCTATCTCACAGCGGCAATAGAAACCGAGGATCCATTCCTCGCCCATAGTGTTAATGGAATCGAAGTGTGCGTCGCCTCCTTATACTCATCACATTACAAGGAGTAAAGCCATTCTCGCGTCCAGGAAACTAGACGAGAGGTATTCCCCAATTATAGAGTCTTACAGACTTCCAGACGTGCCTCCACCTCCACCACCCCAGACACGCCTCCTATCTCTGGCTTATATCGAGTCCCTTCGCAGGAAGATATTCGTCCCATCCGTCCTGCAGGCACGTTGGCCGTTTAATATTGTAAGTCTTTGCAGACTACTTTGTTACTGCGCTGGACTCAAAGAACTTACGCATCCAAGCTCATTATCGCCCTTCTGCCAATCCTCCTTCCTCTTTTCTTCATAGTCCTCATAGCTAGGGGTGCCACGGTTCGGTTCGGTTCGGTTCTGGGGCCATTTTTTGAGAACCAGAACCAGAACCGGTTCACATTTTGACAATAGTGTCAAACCAGAACCGAACCAGTATCTGAACCGAACCGAACTGCATTTCGGTTCGGTCCCGGTTCGGTTCGGTCCAGAACGGTTCAAACAGGCCTGTACCACCAACCAAGTAATGGGATTTTTGGTTCATATGGAACTCGCTTTCAGGCCCCCATAGATTTGTCTAAAATTTGCCAGATTTGCGCCAGGTGTCCAAGACTCCAAATGTGTGTAGCCAATTTTCCTTTTCAATTTTTTTCGGCCATCCCCAAATGCGTCCAACACAAAGACCTTGATCTCTGAAGCCATGAACAAAATACTTGATGAATGTATGCGCAATATCTGTTTATTCAACATCATGGCTGAGGCTACAATCCTTCAATGGTTCTGTGGTTCGGTTCGGTTCGAACCGGTTCGCGATACCCTCCCAACTTAGAGAACCAGAACTGAACCGGATTGGAATCAGATCAGAACCGAACCACGGTTCGGTTCCAGTATGGTTTGGTTCACGGTTCGGTCCCGGTTCGAACCGGTTCTCTGAGAACCGTGGCACCCCTACTCATAGCTCGTCTGTCCCTTGACTCTCGAGCATCTCGAGAACGCATTCGTCTCCTTGAAGCAAACACATCCAGATCCGATTACCTCTCCTCATCCCTCGGCCGTGTAGAGGACGCAGGTGGCGTATCAAAGCAAGATAATGACGCTTATGCGGGGCTTAGACGGCCAGCCCCTATGGCCAACGGCAACGCCGGAGCAAGAGGGTTCCATTTAGAGAATCCAGATGAAGCCCAAGAGACGAACTTTCAGATTGAGGCAATCAGCCCGCGATTGACGCCGTTACAGTTGCAAATGGCGATGAATTTGAACAGTATCCCACAGCTCAAGAAGAAATTGGCCTATATTGATGGGGTCGTAAATAGCCATGCGGTTATCATTTCAAGGGATGTGAAGCGGTTTGAGGTGCATAAGAAGGGGAGAGGCGTGGTCAGAAATTGGGCAGAATCTTTCGTGCTGTAGGCCCTGCAGACCGTTATTATGTAGAACCATGAGTTACGTAGTTTGTCCGCGGCAACTGTGCTGCGTTAGCGACGGCGACAACCCGCCGTCGATAATATTAATGTCAGTCAGGGTGTGCATGTCTGGAACCCTTACATAAGTAATATCGGGTTACGTTGGTGCCTTGCCTTACAAAATGCCAGGGTACGCACCATTGCGACCGTCGCTCACAGGGAGGCAATCTACAATGGCACCATCCCTGGTGGGCTACCCGATTAACCCTCTTCATTCCTCCAACTTAGGTCATTGCGACTCGAGGGATGGAGCGGTGTTGTGGATACCGGTGACTGCAGGAAGAGATGATAAAGGGCGAATGGATGGGACACCGGCGGATATATGGTGGGTCAGAGAGCTGGCAAGATGGGACATCAGCGTGGCCATGTAATGATTGTGTACAGGGTAACCCATTGTACGCTCCATCATATGCCAACAGCACAGATAATATGATACACACACCCACACCATGATGACGAGCCTCTTTAGCGCCCATCTTGAGAGCTGTTACATAACCTGCCCAATCTTGAGCGCTATTCAACCGGAATTCAATTGCTGATCAAGCTCATCGCCACCGACGTTGCGCGGCCTCGTGTTTCAATTGCCGGATTTCTCTTGTGTTTGCACACTTTTCAAACAGACTATGATCATGTCTTTGGTTTCTTCTACGTGCTCTAGCACCGTCCCTTTTCAGGTCTTCGTGTATGCTTACCTTGACGACTAGGATTGATACGCGCTCGCCTGGCAGCTCTCCCAAATTGAGATAATGCATTGTCAATGCTATAAAGTCCTGAGGATCGGTGACATCGATTCCCCCCCTTGTCGCTGACACCCCCCGTTGGTATGAGCTCGCCCTCCGTCGCACTGAACAATGCAAGCCTAGCTCCGGGGTCCTCCAGCACCAGCCCAGGCGCTCACCCGAGGCAGCCAGTAGAAGAAGGGTCACAAACTTTCTTTGGGTATCTTCAGCGGAAGTGTGAAAGCGCGGAATGTCGAGCACTGCCAAAACAGCCTGACCCCAAAGACCCGTATCGACAAGAGATGCATATTTGCGTCAATTTCCACGGCATGGACGTCCTAACTCATGCGAAAGAGTTTTACGAAAATAAGTCTAAGAAGAAGGATCGCGATTTCTCACTTAGAGTAGTGCAAGCATTACAATGGTTGATTCTTTTACCCATGGCTATCCCTCTCGCCATATTCGCTCTACTTCGCTGGATCGTTTCCAGAATGCGACATGTATGTATAATTCCCTTTCCCAGCGCGTACTAAAGCACAGCCCACCACGGAACAGAGAGATTCTCGGGACGATAGGACCCTTTTCCCTCTACTGGAATGGTCGCTTACAGCCAGTCTGTGGATAGTTTTTGTTCCACATGCCTGGCTGACAACCCGCGGGGGACTGAGTGCCGTACTTTATCTCCACAGTCATACACCATCTTTTCAACATTCACACGTAAGGCGGTCGCGTTCCGCATGCGTTACCATTTCACTGACCAAGAGAGACCAATGAAGTCCTCCAATATTAAGAAGGGAAATGAAATGACTGAGGAGCGAGAAACGCGTCTACAGACTTTGGAAGCACTGGTGAGTTGTCTGCATGCCCTCAGTTGACTGTGTCCCTCAGTGAATCACCATTACCGTTCCCTTTATCGACTAGCATAAAATATTGAAGGAGGAAGAAAGAAAAGCTTTGGAACAGCTGCGAAAATTGGAAAACCCCGCAGACACCGAACTGGTTTGTGCTGGCGAAATCCGCATGAACTCTGCCGTTGACCATCGACCTCCCAAGAAGGGAAAAATTGATGACTGGAGGCGGGAAGCTACGAGCACCTGGCAGCGCATCGTTGCTGATTGCAAGGTCCTGAAAGAGGAGGTTAGTTTTGTGCAGAAGGTGTCAGGATTGTGCGAATCTGACATTAATTCCAGATCAGAGCTTCGAAAGATGAAATTTCAGAAATTCGAGATATCGCTCGAACGCAAACCAATAAACAGATGACTGGATATAAAGGTGAAGTCAATTACCCAATCACGTCTCACTTGACTAATAGAGCACGTCCTAGGAATCTCTGATTGGGCGAAGGTGATACCGTTGCTAAATTGCTTCAAGCATCGCTTAACAATGATGGAAAGGATGCTCTCGATGCTCATAATGAGAGTATTAGGGCATTGTCCGCTGTATCTGTTCTAGGTGCTGGTCTAAGCTATACCTCCATTGTCAGGTAAGAGTTAGAATGGCTTGTCCTGGTACCGCGAGTCCTCACACCCTCCAGCGCCACTCGAGGAAATATATCCTACATGTGCTGCTCCTTTGTACTGTTCATGATCTGTCTCATGTTCGCTACTGCCGTCCAAGTCGTGCTCACTTGGTGTAGTCACCGGGCGAACTACCCGTTTCCAAATCCACATCTCTGGGAAATTATCGTGGCCATTGGTGTTTATGGAGCTGGAGCGTCTATGGCCGTAGCCATCATTTTCTTATTGGTATCCGTTCAACTTTTGAGCCCTAACCCTAGCGCCCCACCAGTGGTCACTTTTTCACCAAAGGCCTCAGCATATGTTACGTATGCGGTACGAAGTTTTTACAGTCCCAGTATCGATGTGCATTTGACACGTCTATCAGCTCTTGGGATCTATCTTCATAATTGTCCTTCTCGCATTTTCCACTTTTGCTTCAGCAAACGGTTTCAAATTCCTCATTTGGAGACGGTCGGAGGAGCGCCTCGCTACGAAGGCGAAAAGGCTGGAGGATTTCGTCTGATGACCTGACCTCAGGATACATGCTTTATCATTGTGATCGCATCAATCACCCCTCACATAGACCACTGCATGTATCGATCAATGCGTTCTGTGCCTCGATTTTGAGGGCATCTCGGCGGTGGTAGCTTGACTTGTTACCTAAGGAAGAATCTCTGTCAGACCATCTCGTCGACTATTTCCAGCTGAACATGAGATTTTCCATGTTGCATCCAGTAGCTTCTTCATGCCAGAGGTGCTTATCGATAAAGGGGCCCGACGGTACCGCTCTTTTTGCATCTACCCCATCGAACATTCCTTCCCAGCAGCTCTAGATTAAGTGGCCCCCCACTCGCATCCTCCTAATGAGAGTCTCCCCTGAGTGTAGTAACTGTTGGCGACGCTGCTGCTTTAGATGTCAGTCTGGAGCCCCCGAAGTTGTCGGGACTGGGTGGCTTCGTTGGTATGTATATACCTAAACGCCATAATGCTTTGGGTGTCGTTTGTCCTCGTGTACTTTGACGATTGACCATTAATTTGAGAGCCTCGTGAAAACCTCCAGAGGACTTCGAATCTACAGAACACAGAAGCCTCCCCGCAGCTGGACGTTCCTGCAGTACAGTCAGATCAATCAAGTTGGACATCGGACGGGCAAATGGTGTTCCTTTCCGAGGGCAACAAGGTGGCTATCGATATCGATGACTCCTTACATATACTCGAACGCGTCATGACCGGCCCGCTATATGCCATTAGCGGACCGCAACGCGACAATTGACAGTACAAGTGTCATTTGGGTAATATCAGGCCCCGCTACAGACTCGTACCCAGTCGGAGGAACTCCGTGGACGCGCAAAATAAGTAATAGCTCTTTACGTAATGTTCTCACGTTCTGTACTCAATACAAAAGATCACATGGTACGGAGTTAAACACATAGCCGATCACCTACTCCGGAAATTTGGACGCGACACTTCGCTCCTCCGACTGGGGCAAAATGTAGTATGGCTGTGCTCCGGCACTGTCCGGCCTCTGTCTTCCCACGGCAAACTCCCACTTTCCATTTGATGTCCATCGTCCGGATGCAGTTAAGTACTACCACTCGTTTGCTTTCGAAAGAGAAAGAGATAAAAACCACACCATCACCGGTGTTGTCATGTTTCAGCATACGTACGATCTCTACACGGCACTCAGTCATGATGAAATTCATTAAATATAAAGAGCTTTGGGACCTGCTGAAGAACGAATACAAGAGGGTGTGGCAATGGAAGCTTAATTGTATTTGCCATCCCAAAGGATAGGGACCGGAAAGTGTTTAGGAAAAAATGCTCACTAAGCCTTGATGACAGCGGTGTCTCAATTTGCACTTGAAATTGATCTGGAGGATATGTGGGCGACAATGCGCGGTTCACGCTGAATGAACAGTACTTGCAAGGCCACTTTCATCCGCTCAATCCATGGGAATTTTATCTTTTCCACCTAGTGTTGATATTGACTGACATGACATCCCCGTGTAACACTTGAAGGGTTGAAGCATGTAATACACTATGTACTGTATATACATCAAGCATGCTGCGGCAGAGCGATGATTGGGCTCGATAGCAGGTCTCACGATCACACCCAAACTGTGCCAAAATGGATTTTATCTTCAACGTTCATCTGTTTGGTGTAAGTGCGTTGGTTCGTGGATTTGCTAGCATGACCACATCTCCATGAGAGGGGAGTGAGCCGTAATGGAGAGCTTGGCTATGGATCTATGTTGCCAGAGAGCCCTCAAACTTTCACACGACCGGTACCGCTGCTATTTCCCCGATTGGACTGGTGTTGCCGCGAAAGAGAGGCTGGTCACCTTGTTGTTCAGACCGATTGCAATCCTTTAACTTATACTGTAAACAAGCAACGACAACTAGTAATTACCTAGGTCTCTGCAGTATGTAGAACTCATCAACCCGTTGATGCTGGAGAAATCGCCACTAACACCACTTAATTGAAGAGCCGAGGTCATTGCACGTGAGAGCGAGTATTTGTAACCAGTGAGCACGTCTGTGTTCGGACCGCCTTGCTCTTGGGGTCTTCGCATTTTCTGACTTTCACTTTACCTGGATCCAAAGGGTTACAGTACGTTCGAATTATGCCCAGGGAAAAGAAAGCCTCCACTTTCACAGCGGAAAATACCAAGCCTCATCAGAGGCCGAAGCAAATGCCGAGCGGAAATCCAAACACTCAAGGCTCTGTGTCAATGCCCTATTACTCCTTTTCGGAGCCTACGCTATCAGCACCAATAAAACGACCTTTGCGGCTGATAACCACAATCTCGGAAGCGGACCACTTCATTCCGCAACTACGCGGGTACGTGCCATTGCCTGACCAGTGGCGGCGACAGATTTGATCTTTGTGCCAGCCCAATCGGATTTGATGTAGAATTCAGGCCTAATTTTGTCAAAGGCGGTCAAAGGAACCCTATCGCGTTGATGCAATTGGCGGATAATTCACAAGTCCTTCTTATTCACACGGCGCAGATGAGCAAGAAGAGTAAATCTACCCACTATGCGACGTGGCGAAAGTATCCTAACCAATTATTCGTCAACTCCAGTTCCACCATCACTGCGTGTATTAATAGAATCCCCACGTATCCTAAAGTTGGGCGTAGGGATCGAAGGTTTGGGCCTTTCTCGAATCATGGATCTGTAGAGCTCAAATACCCTCATTTGTCAGAGGATGCCGCGAAAGTGCGACGTGACTTTGGGATTGAGTTCCATGGAGCCGTCGAGCTCACTTTTCTTGCCAGAACGTTCAATTCTTCCTTTACTGGAGACCACCCCAAAAGCCTTATATCCCTTGCGAGGCTGACTGAACACTATATAGGGCTACCTCTGAAAAAGTCGAAAAAGGTGGTACTGAGCAATTGGGAGTGTCCTCTTACGGAGAACATGATCAAATGTTAGCGATTTTGCGGTGATCTTTTTGTTACTGACTGGTTGGACTTAGATGCTGCGAACGATGCCGCTGCTGGACTAGCGGTTTACGATGCTATACGGCAACGGTGTATCAACGAGGGGACATCCCATCCAATGTCATCTTTGGTTAAACTGGTTGACCATGAGCACTTGGTTTTTTGGGAGGGGAGGCGTTTTCCCTGAGCAGTTGCTTGTATCGTTTCACGCTCTGGGCGGGTTCCACCTTGAGCTGTTCGTTGCACGCGTAATTCTGAACATGTGTATCCATCTCTTGTATTTATGTCTCCTGCCGATGCGATGGAGCATGCTGATCGGGAGGTCGTGCGCAACCTTCATACACAGTGGGAATCAGAGTTGTGTAGAGGACCATTTTAAAGATGGTAAAATACACTCATGTTTACATAGTGTTCTACAATCAAGTATGCGATATTTTACCAAGGTTCCATTACAGTGATTATGAGAGTAAATTACCTGTTTTTTGGTCATCTTTGACTAGTTTAACGGTCACTTTACAACCGTCGTATTTTGTATTTTACGCCACGGGCTTGCGTCACGAAAACCGGTATGGCTCTAGAGTGCTCTGGAGATTGGTTGCATACTCCCAAGCTGTTACAGGAATGGGTTCCGGGGAACCCAACCTGAACCGTTCGGCTCACTAACGGAGGTGGCTGCGTAGCCATCGGAGGGAGAGCAGAATGGGATGAGTGTCTGGAAGTACAGCCTGTGGGTTGGCCAACGGTAACTTGGCGCTCCTGGGAGCATACCGGTAGCGAGTATAACATGGGCTCCTTGAGGGAGCCACCTGGCTGTCTGCTAATGGGGACTTGGTGCTCCTGGGAGCATGCCAGTAGTGGGTGTGCTGGGAGTGGTCGGCTAGCGGTGACTTGGCGCTCGATGGAGTGTACTGTCAGGGGATGACTCCTGGGTCCCCATGACCCTCCCCTATGGCCCACAGCCTCAGGTCTGGCCAGCCCTATCCAGGGCACAATCCTACTGCATCAGCAAAAGTCCGTTATGCTCCGGAGCATCAAGAGTGGCTGGAGCATGTGGGAGACAAAACAGCAGATTGGGCACTCCTGGAGCCAATAGTGTTCTCCTGGGAGGGGGTTCAGGAGCAGCTGGGAGTGGTGAGGAGTATGTAATGTGCCAGGAGTAGTGGGAGGAAAATTTTGGTCTCTAAAAAGTTGAAAAAAAATTTTTCGGGAAAAATCAAAAAAAAAATCAGGAACTATAGTGCCTTTAAAGTGCTTTCAGGACATATAATTATTTGCAAAATTGAGGAAGAAATGATGGAGAAAAATGGAAAATACTTTCGGAGACCCGAGAAATAATGAGAACTGAATTGATGGGAAAGTCTGAAAATTGAATAGGAAAGTGAGGGGAAGCCTTGTAAGCATTGTTATTTTCTGCTGTTCTGATTTTTCCTGATTGTTCTTGGTCTCACTCCCAGCTGCTCCTGGACCCTCCCAGGAGCTTTCAGGAGCTTCCAGGAGTATTGAGGAGCAGCTGGGAATGAGACCAAGAAGAATTGGGAAAAATCAGAACAGCAGAAAATAACAATGCTACAAGGCTTCCCCTCACTTTCCTATTCAATTTTCAGACTTTCCCATCAATTCAGTTCTTGGGTCTCCAAAAGTATTTTCCATTAGCTGCTCCTGGACCCTCCCAGGAGCTTCCAGGAGTATCCAGGAGTATCCAGTAGCAGCTGGGAGTGAGACCAAGAACAATCAGGAAAAATTAGAACAGCAGAAAATAACAATGCTACAAGGCTTCCCCTCACTTCCCTATTCAATTTTCAGACTTTCCCATCAATTCAGTTCTCATTATTTCTCGGGTCTCCGAAAGTATTTTCCATTTTTCTCCATCATTTCTTCCTCGATTTTGCAAATAATTATATATCCTGAAAGCACTTCAAAGGCACTACAGTTCCTGAATTTTTTTTGATTTTTCCCTAATTATTTTTTTCAACTTTTTAGAAGTCCCTATTTTTCAAATTTTCCTCATTTCCCTCTATATCCCCCCCTCATTCCCCCCTCATTCCCCCCCTCATTCCCCCCCTCATTCTCCCCTCATTCTCCCCCTCATTCTCCCCCTCATTCCCCCCCTCATTCTCCCCCATTTCCCCCTCCCCCATATTCTGCCAGCCCGAAAGTGATTAAGTTGCCAGATTAATCATATATCAGGCCATAAATTTTGATTGTGTATTGGTGAGTCTCAGTGTCCTTGATATATAGTATAGTGTTTGATCTAAATGTTAAGCAGTGTCTTGTTGTGTTAGTCTTGTGGTAGGAGGTATTCATGGGGGATCTTCCCTCTTTTTTTCCTTTTCATTTTCAAATGCTCCAGGAGCTCCCAGAAGCTTCTCACCCCTATACACTTTGAAGCATTTAAATTGTATTTACTGGATATGTTTGTGCACAAAGCAATGCTCCAGGCCCTCCTGGGAGTGCCCTGGAGTACCTAGCCAACTCTGGAGGAAATGGGCTGTTCCTGGACCGGCCAATCTCCTCCTGATTCTCCCAGTGCTCTCGATACTCCGGAGCACTCAGGAGCATAACAATTTTTTGCTGATGTGTGGGTAAGAAGATGAGAAGGAAGCTAACTTCTCATCTTCCCACAGTGGCCACCATATCAGGAAAACTTCCGGGAATATCCGGAAGTCACATGAAGGCAGGATCCGGGGCCGGATCATGTGGCGTGGGAATGCACATGGGAAATGTAGCGGGTCCGGATGTGGGTCCGGGTCCGGGCTAGTCAGGGTGTGTGCCCTGACATGTACCGGTAGTGTGGGATACTGGGACTCCCTTTGGGAGTCACCCAGTTGGTGGCTATCGGTGACTTGGCGCTCATGGGAGCATACCGGTAGCGGGAGTTGTTGGGGAAAGTGGGCTGGTGGACCAGCGCATGGTAGTGGGTGGCCATGGGGAGTGGGACCCATGGGTGCGTGGCCAGGCATCCTGGAGCTGCCTGGACCATATCCCTCTCCTAAGGAGGTGGGATAGGCTACAGTTCCTGATAAGGAACTATTGGTTGGATGGGAGTGACCGCTCAACCACCTGGTGGACTGGTGGGAGCAGGCAGCAGGAGGTTGGGCATGGGAATGCCCTCCTCGTTGTGGTTTTGTCATGGAAAGGATGAATAGGGAGGTGGACATGGTTCCAGGGTTACAGGTTGAGTGTACAGTGGTGGCACAACGGTGTGACAGTTACAATTGCAGTACAAGGTTTGTGGGTTATGTATTCGATAGGAAAAACATCTCGGCATTTGCCATACATGTCATATGACTTGTGTCTATCTAATACAAAGGTTGTAATGGCCAAGGTGTCAGGGCACGGCCCTTGACCCCACTCACCCTCAGACACCCTCACCCTTTCCCTAACCACCCTCTCTCCACATTTCCCCATTCCCCTTATCCTTCCCCCCACTGTTTCACATAATGACGCGCACGCGCGAACCCGTTATGGAAAGTCGGCAGCGAGCGGGAACTGTATAGTTCCTAGGGTCCTTTTGTGTCGGCCTCACAGGGGGCTGAGAAGCTTACCCTTCTTCTCAGCTCATTCCCTGTGAAGGCAAGTGTACTTACCCGCTTTTCAATGAATAGCAGCTCATTCCCTGTGAAGGCTGAGGCCAGTCCCCTCAGCGACTTCGAGGAGTTAGCACCTGGGGAGAGTACCCCAGCATCCACACCCGGCCTCACCCTCCGGCCACTCCCAGCTGGGGTCCGGATCCTGACACAAGGGAAGTCCCTTGGAAATCAACAAATCCCCCAGCCAGCACCAAAACCCAGTGGGAAAGCTTGGCATGGGGTTTGGCAAAGAACAAAGTGAAGGGAAGGAAATGTCTTACCTGTGTGCATGGTCCATAGGAATCTCCATTTCCATAACACAAGCTCTCAAAAGCTCCCACAGCTCACAGTGGGAAGTAAATAACATCATGCAGCCCAAGTTATTTACTAAATTGCTGTATTTTACCTATGGCATTTTGCTCCGTGCACACATTGCAGTGCGCACACGCATCCACGGAGCAAAAACAACTGGGTACAAGTCTGGAGCCAACAGGCTCATCTCGCGATTGCCAACATCCCTGGAGGCATTACAGGGGTTCTTTGAGGCTGAGGCTTGTCCTTTAGTCCGCAGATCACGGCTTCGAGCTCAGCCACACGATCCCAAAGATGGGTAACTTCATCCGAGCCCCTTTCCCTGTAATATATGAGCACAAATTCTTGCTCCAATAGGAGAGGGATCACCTAGCTGAATTTCCAACCTCATGTGATGACTGCGCAGCGCGATACCTCAATTAGTTAGGTATGAGTAGTGATGGACGGACTTGCCTGCGCAGCGCGATACCTCAATTAGTGAGGTATCAGCTGCTAGCGCAAGTCCGGTCCTTATATACATCTTGTAATGACTTTACGCCACTGAGGTGAAACATAAATGGTAAACAACAAGTTGAAAACAAAAGCGCAAAGCGCAAAAACAAAGAGTCCAAGAGGTTGCCGCCGTTTGTGCCTCAAAGCGCCCCTCCCCTTCCCAAAGCGTGAATGTCCGGCCCGGGTGACTCCCTTGACCACCAGTGGCGTTGGGCTGCAACTTCTAACACTCCCCACAGTCCAACGTCCACGCATCTATCTAGGCCACGAACTCCATCCCAAGCATCAGGCAGAAGCGATCGTGCTTTGCCTTGACTAAGGACTTCGTAAGTATGTCGGCCGCCATATCATTCGTTCCAATAAGCTTCAAATCAACCGTTCCATCCGCAACACATTCCCGTATGAAATGATACCTGACGTCGATACTTTTGGTTGCGGCGTGATTGACGGGGTTTCGAGCGAGTAGGTTTGCAGCTCGGTTATCGATGTGTAACGTGGTTGAGCCGGGCATTCCTTCATGTAATTCCTCCAGGAGGCGTCGAAGCCAGACTACTTCTTTGGCTGCTTCGGCTGCTGCAACATACTCCGCGTGTGTTGAGGATGATGCTACGCCAGCTTGCTGCTTTGACATCCACGAAACCACTCCCCCAGATAAAAGAAAGGCATATCCGGATACTGACTTTCTGTTTACCACGTCGTTCGCCCAATCTGCATCGGTGTAGCCTACGAGGTCCCCGCTCCCGGCTGTATATACTATCCCTCGGTTCATAGTCCCTGCAAGATATTTCATTATGTGCCTAAGTCCCTCGATGTGTTCTTGTCCGAAGGTCGATGCGAATGGCGCCAGCGCTCTCACGGATGCGCAGATGTCTGGACGGGTTCCTAGAGCAGCATACATGAGAGATCCGATGACTTCGAGGAAGGGGTACGAGGAAACTCTCAAATGGTCTTCCGTTGGTACCGGTTTGTAGTGTATCCCAGCGGGTAATGGCGTGGTGCATGGCGCGCAGTCTGTCATATCGAAACGAGCGAGAATATCCTTGATATACTGCGACTGGTCAATCGATAGTGTGCCAGCCGATATGTCTTGGCGAACTCGGATCCCCAGGATCCATGATGCTTCCCCTTTGCTTGAGACTTTGAAACGGTCCCCGATGGTGTCTTGGATAGATGTAAGCAGTTTCTCGTCGTTTCCAGCAAGGAGTTTGTCGTCAACGTAGACAGGAATGATTACAATGGATCGTCCTCGTTTGAATACGAAGACCGAGTGGTCAGCATGTGTTCGACGAAATCCAAGGTGAATCAAGAAGTCATGTAAGGTTGCGTACCACTCCCGTCCAGCTTGCTTCAATCCATAGAGCCCCTTCTTAAGTTTTGCAACCATTTGTTCCCTCCCCTTTTCCTCATATCCCTTCGGTTGACGCATGTATATATCTTCCGAGAGCACCCCGTTGAGATATGCTGATTTGATATCCATCTGGCGGACTCTCCAACCGTGACGGGCACATATGGCAAGAAAAACGCGTAGGGAGGCTGATTTCACAACGGGGGCGAACGTCTCTGAGTAATCGATCCCCTCCCGTTGACCAAAGCCTTGAGCCACCAGACGAGCCTTAAAACGGGTTACCTTTCCATCAGCGCCACGCTTCTTGGCGAGCACAAATCGACAGCCGATGACGTTACGGATACTTGGAGATGGGTCAACCAGATCCCAGGTGCCGGCGTCCCGGATGGCAGAAAGCTCTTCTAGCACGGCGGCATGCCATTGGTCCCGCTCGGGGCTAGCCAACGCATCCCGCAAGGTCGGAGTGTCTGGCAGATCAGCGTCTTTATCTAATATGGGGTTCACCAGATGGGCCTCATCCAACACAATATCCAGGACATCTTCCATGGTGACAGTCGCCGCAATCGGTACCTCATTCAGGAAGTCTTCATACACATTGGCAATCAGGTCCTTGCGCCGGCCATGTGCACCGTAGTCTGATGGGTCGAAGCAATGAGGTGGACGTCGTTCCCTCTGTGGTCGAGCAGTGGGCTGGGTGGCAGCGGGAGGTACAGTAGGGGGTACAGGCGGAGATGTGGGTCTGGAAGATGCCGCCTCAGTCAGGTGATCCGGGTCATCTGACTCATCACCAGAATCATCATGTGCCCTTGACTCAAAGACGGCACGTGGCTGGATCTTCGCCTCCTCCCGGAAGATAGGCGAGCGGACGATCTCGACCTTGTGGGTCAGCTCATCGTACGCCTTATACCCAGAAGAATTCTCTGGATACCCTAGAAACTTAGCCGGTCGCCCCCTCTCCCCCAACTTCTGCGCTCCCAAATCTTTTGGCTGATGAATGAACATGTTAGCGTACCAAACCCTCATGTGCGCGACACTTGGCTTCCTTCCGTGGAATCGTTCAAAGGGCGTCGTTGTGTTCGAGTGGGTATCGATGGTCCGGTTCATAGCGTAGACAGCTGTGGCGAAAGCGTCAGCCCATAAGAAGTTTGGAGCCTCGGCGTCCTTCAGCAAGGTGCGTCCTTTATCCAAGATCTTCCGATTAGTCCGTTCGGCCACTCCATTTTGTTCAGGGGTGTGCGGAACTGTCTGCTCCATGGCAATTCCCTTGTCTTTACAATACGTCCGAAGGGTTGAGTTCAAGTACTCTCCTCCTCCATCCGTCCTCAAAACCTTGACATGGGACCCGTACTGATTCGCAAAGTGTGTGTCCATCCTGATGAACCACCCTGTGAAATCTGACTTAAGTGAGCACGGATAGAACCAGGTGAAACCTGTCTTGTCGTCCACGAGTGTGCAGAAATATCGCCTCTTTCCAAGTGACATCACCTCCATCGGTCCGCAGATATCGGAGTGTATTCGCCCTAGTCTCTCACCAGCAACCTCATGTCCCCTTCCAAAAGATCCCCTCGTCATCTTTCCCCTGATACACGCTTCACAATCGAAACCTCTCGAGTCATCCCGAACATCTTCCATTCCCAGAACCGACCCGCTCTTTATCATTTCCTTTAATGCATCCTTCCCAGGATGGGCCAGGCGTTTGTGGAGAAGGTCGAAGGAGGGGGTGGAGGCTTCCGCAGCCGGGTTCGCCCTTTCGGATGCGGTGGGTGTCAGCTGCGAGGTCGGGTGATTCAGGTAGAACATCGGTGCGAGTTCTTTTAGTGTTTCGGCGATCAGCTTCCCACCTTTTTCAATCCTGCAGACATTGTCAAGGCCAAAGGTAATCCGGGCGCCCCGACGGATGAGGACTCTACAGGAAAGGAGACCGTACTTGAGACTAGGTACATACTGTACGTCTGGAATTCGACAGGTGAAGCGCCTCCCTCCGGCAGTGCAGGCGATCAAGACGGTCCCCTCCCCGAGCGAGGGAACGCGGCTATCGTTTCCCAAGGCAATCTGGCGTGGAGGATCAAAAGGTGTGTATTCCACGAAGTCGTTTTTGTTTGGGCAAAAATGGTTACTGCATCCTGAGTCCACGATCCAGGGTTTCGGCGCGTCTGTGTTCCTGTCGGTGACCAGTGCAGTGTCCATGATATGTTCAGCACATAGAGCCTTTTCCTCGGAGTCCTCAGTAGCGTTTGCACTTTCCTTTTCGGCGGCTCTCTTTTTCTGGTAGGTTTCCTTTTCGGCTTCTGTTGCCGTGCATTTTGTGCGAAGATGGCCGGTCTTTCCACAACTCCAACATGTTTTGCGCGTTAGCCAGGATGGGTCACCCTTCCTTCCCTTTGTATCGCTCTCTGCAGCAAGGGCCTTTGGCGTGAGTGCAAGTTCAGTTTTCGTTCCAAGGTTCTCCCCCTTTGCCCGGGCCCGGAGTTCCTCGGTCTCTACCTCCCCCTTCAGTTTGTCGAGGTCCCAGCTCATGTCGTCAGTTGCTGCTGGGGCGTTCTGGATGAGCAAGGTCTGCAGGGTACTCATGCAAGATGGGAGGGTATGGATGAGTTGCATGGCAATCATTCGATCTTCGATCCGTCCTCGATCGCCAGGGACAAGTTTGTTTACCTCGTGAGCGAGGTTCATAAGGCCAGATAAGAAGTCCGAGATCGATTCGTAGTTGCTGACTTTTGCCTCACAGTACCTAGTTCTCGCATAATATTCAGCGGAGGCACCAGTCTGCTGGTAGGCACCTTTCAAGGCTCTGAATAGTGTTGCGGCAGGACTTTCGGAGTGGCGAAAAACGTTGTCTTGGACTGAATCGCTGAGAGATAGCCATAATCTTCGGCGAGTATTCCTTTCTCCTTCAACCCATTCCGCGTGTTCGGGTATTGTCTTATCAGATGGTTCAATCAGGCTTCCATCTAGGTAGCCCCAGGTGTGTCCCATAGCAAATCGGAGGTTGATAGACCACCTATTCCAATCGTCGCGTCCCTTCAGCTTAGCGATAGCAAGGACAGCCTTATCGATGGTCGAGTCTTTCAGAGTCATGGTACGTTCTTCGGGTCTGATCCAGAACGAGCAGGTAACGGCGATTCAGAACGAGACAGCTCCTTTCTGAGCAATAGTTCAACGGTGCCGGGCGACTTTTTAAAGCGGTGGAGTAAAACTGGGCTGATAACCTGTGATGACTGCGCAGCGCGATACCTCAATTAGTTAGGTATGAGTAGTGATGGACGGACTTGCCTGCGCAGCGCGATACCTCAATTAGTGAGGTATCAGCTGCTAGCGCAAGTCCGGTCCTTATATACATCTTGTAATGACTTTACGCCACTGAGGTGAAACATAAATGGTAAACAACAAGTTGAAAACAAAAGCGCAAAGCGCAAAAACAAAGAGTCCAAGAGGTTGCCGCCGTTTGTGCCTCAAAGCGCCCCTCCCCTTCCCAAAGCGTGAATGTCCGGCCCGGGTGACTCCCTTGACCACCAGTGGCGTTGGGCTGCAACTTCTAACACCTCATAGACGCAGAAACCCGTCTATGGAGAATGTTCAGGATTCTTGGAGTGAAGCTGAAAGACGATCCTCTCACCATGCACCGAGTAATGCACCTCCCACAGGGATGGCCCCTATCGCACTAAGATGCACTTTGACCACTTACGGAAATCCCACATCTTACCCTGGTTGGCTTCCTCTGTGAGTTTCCGGTAGTATTCCTGCTTTGCTTTTCTTATTTGTGAGCGAATGTCCTTATGTAAGGATTTGACGTAAATGGATGGACGGTTGAAGTCCTTGATCCACCCTTTGAGAGATTCTCTGGTTTGTCTTAGTTCATGACTTGGTAAGGTCATTGTTCCACCAGGGTTCCGATGCCTTGCTAGGATGTCTTAGCTTTTTCCACTAGGTAGTGGATTAACGCTGTACAGACTACAATTCAACCTCAAACCAATCGTCGCCATCTTTGATGCCCTCAAAACTATGCTTCATCTAATACCACGATCACAAGTCAGTGGACCCGTTTTGAAGATAGGGGGAAAGACCTACCCAATGTGCCAAAATACCAGCAATGACATCGGGCCATGGCGATGTGATCGCTGTGTCCTCGGGAGGCGTCGTGGTAAGGACGCCGATGCCACGAGATTTCCAATACTTAGCTCCATCACCATTGGCATTCATGACAATGATGAGAAAAATCCACCTGTCTCCAACCGTCAGCGCCCCGCGGACAACAGATTTCCTACACAGGCACGATAATTATTTAGAGATTTAAGTTGCATAGATAGCAGGAACTAACACTAACCCAAGGGCTTTCGCGCAGGCATACATTTCGCCAATCGCTTGAGGTATATGGTCTCGGAGGTGAGTCGGAGCCCCAGAAGAAGATTTAGCTTCAGTCACCACGAGACCTGACATCGACTTGAGTCTTTCAATCGTTGGGTCAGACAAAAATTTGTCTACAAGGAGGTTAGCCAGGCAAAGGACAACCAGGCAAGACAGGCGACAATATTACCTGCAACAGATTTAACTGCTGTTGCAGCGATGTAATCGATAAAACCATGAAGTGTGGTGGAGCTGGAAGGTTTGACCGCTGTAGGGGGGATTTGTTGCTCCACGCTCAGGACCATCATTTCATCTGGAGGCACCATTGCAGACACACGAAAAAAAAACGCGTCTATCCAAGCGCGAGCAGCTGCTTCATTCTGATATCTCCAACGTGAGCGCAGCATTTCAGTAATAGTTGGCGTTACTCACCGACTTGGGGACAAGCGTCTCCAGGCGTTGCAGATGACGATATAAGTTTTCCGAAGACCAGATGTCATCTTTCCCAACAACTTGGGTCTTCTTTGCTAGTTCCGCGAGCACGCTCTTTGGCTTCAGTTCGAGGGACCCAGCCGGGGATATGTTTAATTTCGATAAGTGGTCATTGGTCAGACCGGAGAACGAGAGATCCTGAACAACGGTGAGGCCTATAACTACATAGAGGTCATTTACATACCTGAGGACCATCAAGACGCGCCCTCATCATTTCAAGTAGATCTGTCAGCACTTCTGCAAAGTCTGGCTCCCTGTCGTCATCAATACTCGGCTAAATACAATGGTACTCTGGAGTGTTTTGAGAGATTGGTATGCCAGCTGCAATTCCAAGCCACTGAGTCCAGACGTTTTGCGCTGGTGGAAGAGTCAAGGGTCAAGGATCACGCGTCACGCGGCATGCTAATTGAATTGAATATCCCTAATGACATGTGGTTTGGGGCTGTCCGAGTTTTTTGGAGTGGTTGGAACTTGCGCATGCACCACTCTTGCCCCATCTGTAATCTACGCATTGTACTTTGTTTGCAACAAACATTCTGGAGGATGCCCGCCTCCTGTCACCGTCCTTCCTATCTACGCTCATAACGCGCTGACTGACCCATCGTGGTGGAGGGGCCTATGGGATACTCAAGCATTCCTTGTTTACTTGGCGTGGCTCGCTTATAACATTCTTGCATGGTGGATACTCCCTGGCGACTGGGTAGAGGGAACACAAATCAGGGATGGAACGAAGAAGCGTTATAAGATTAACGGTGAGCTTCACTCTCCTGTTATCCGGACTTCTGTCTCATTGAAGCTGTGATTGTTCAAGCCTTTTTCTCACCCTTGGAATTGTTACGGGAACCATAGTTCGTGGAGGTCCTGAGTCCTTTACATGGATCTATGAGCATTGGATTGGCCTTGTAACGGCATCCGTTATCTACTCCTTTCTTCAGGCGATCGTCCTAGCTCACGACAGTCAGTCGGTATGCGAGGAAGACTGGAATCAATGTCAGAGCAAGTTCCATCAGCATAGTAGATCGCGCGTACGCAGTGTAGGACAAAGGCCTAGGTCAACACCGAGTCGGATATATCCCCTGTGAACGATACATTTGGCCATGGCGGTAGGAAGGGCTTAGGTAACAACAAGATCATACATATCAGACAAAAGTGATAAGATAAAAAATTCCGTCAAAAATAAGTTCTGTCACTTATGACACCCTCCCATACCATGTGTTCAGCATTTGCCGATCCGACACACACACACACCCCTCCCCAGAGGAGCTGCTCTGCTTTCTTCTGACGCTCTTGTCGAGGTTATCTTACCATTTTGTCCAAGTAATTGTCTCATCACAAGTTCCTCTCAATCGCACTAGTAACTTGAATTGTATCGCGCCTCTCCCAACTATCCAAGCTCCGTGGTGTGCGTGAATGAGGTCGCTTCTTTCCTCTTGACCTCGCAGGACGTTTAACACTATATCCGCCACCAACATCAATCAGTCCTCTTGACCCTCGTCTTACTTGACACTCACTTGACAATCTCTCCCCGGAAACGGGGAAGAGGCGGTGTCAGTGAAAGGAAGTGTAATGCTGTAATGTTCCAGCGATGAAAACCGGGAGTTTGGAGTTCCAAATCTCACGGTCAACACTCTTTTGCATTGTATTTAAGATTAGGTGAGTCGTCATGCTCTATTTCTCCATTTCAATATAAGTACATGTGTGAGTGTGATCATGTTGACACAGTACCAATGTTCGGTCATAAAAGTAGGAATCGGACAACTAGGAAGTGGTGGTGTCATGCTCCTTTCGAGCTCACGCTATCTTATTGGATTTTTGATGGGACTCTGGTACCTCACTGATAAGTACGATTCGAAAGGGATTAATTTACCATTTTGCCTAATGGCATGTGATGAGATGGTGTGACAAGTGCCACACCCATTGGCAGGTGGAATAGCCGTAAGAGGGGCTGGCCCAATAGCCGAACAGGAGCGTTGGAGAGTACGATGACACGTTTAACCAGCGTAATATCCGCACAAATATGCATATATCACACACACTGGCACCAGGGTACAAACCGCTAACTGCACAACACGATGGAGCAAAGCGTAAAGAGACTGTAGTCATCGGACCTATTCAGGAATCGGGATACATTTCCCTCCGGAACGACCAGTTGGGTGTACAGATGAAGCGCGGTAGCAGGGCGGCGGGGAAGTAACCAGTCTCTAGTATTTCCACCACGTGCGGTTGTGTCCATGTGCGGATTGCAAGGTTTTGAAGGTGCACTCGCCCGCCAGGGACGTTGTATTATGGAGAATGAGTGATGAGAGATCGGCGCAGGGCGGAGACGGGAGAGGGGGAGTCAGAGAGGTTGATGAGCATTAATGTTTCGGCGAGATGGATCAGGCTATGTATATATATTTATGGAGTACCCACTACTGCAGTAATTGTAGGCTGTGGAGAGTATCGGAGGGCTGAGGCCGAGGTCAAAGCATAGGCTGTTGAAGGTCACTCCCAAGTGAGAAATACACGAGAAAGACGCACGATTGCTACATATCCCGCGATTATACAAGCAGGTTAATATTGATGTGAGAAGTGGAAGATGCGCGAATGAGATCAAGTTTGTAGTCCCCCTAATTACCGAGGGGCAGTCGTCCCATCATGAGGAGGGACGACTGATACTTAAGCTCCGATGACCAAGTCGTCGTGCACAGATTCGCCCGTTCAGGTCGGCTTTACCACACTTGCATCCGTTGCCCAGATCCGGAGAAAGGTGTGGCCTTAATAAATTAAATAATTCAATCCGGCTATTGTCCCCAATCCGGCATGTGATATTCCCGAACCCCAACCAAAGCCATTGATCATTCAAATACTCCGCCAAACACCTCTCCTCAACATCACATCCCCTCATCAAGCCCACAGGCAACGACCAACATGTCTGCTCAGTATCATTCCTCATCCCTCTCACCAAGGGAGAGTCTCTTTCAAAAGCACGACGACGACGTCGTCATCGTTTCTGCCATTCGCACCGCTCTTACAAAGGTAACCCCAACTTTCACCGACCTTCTCCATCCCATCTCCGCTCACTCGATCCTTTTTTTCTGAACCCGTCACATCTCTTCTTTACAGGGTGGTCGGGGTGGCTTCAAAGACACCTATCCTGAAGAATACCTCGCAGCAGTCCTAAAAGAAGTCTACACCCGAGCTAACCTTGACCCCGCCCTCATCGAAGACATTGCAGTAGGGAACGTCTGCCCTCCTGGCGGAGGTGCCAATGCTGCTCGAATGGCTGGATTTGCAGCCGGTATTCCCTACACCGCCGCATTGAACACCGTTAATCGTCAATGTTCGAGTGGGTTGGCGGCCGTTAATCAGATCGCTAATGAAATTAGGGCTGGTGAGATTGACATTGGTATCGGTGAGTTTCCGCCCTTCCTAGTCATTAGTTTATGACTGATTTGACGGCTTCAACCAGGCTCCGGTGTGGAATCCATGTCCATGTTCTATGGTCAAGGCATGTTCCCCTCCGGTTGGTCCGAATCCGTCCTCTCCCACCCTCTCGCCGCAGACTGCCTCGTCCCGATGGGTATCACCTCTGAAAACGTTGCTGAGCGCTACGGAGTCACTCGACAGGATCAAGATGCCTTTGGAGCCGAATCAATGCAAAAAGCGGTCAAAGCTCTCAAGGCGGGCCTATTCAAAGATGAGATTTTACCCATCAAGACGAAATGGGTTGATCCAAAGACAAAGGAAACCAAAGAGATTGTCGTCGATTGGGATGATGGAATCAGGGAAGGTGTGACCCCCGAGGTGTTGGCAAAACTGAAGCCTGCCTTCAAAGCAAATGGAACAACGACTGCTGGAACAGCCAGCCAAGTCTCAGATGGAGCAGCTGCCGTTCTTTTGGCACGAAGGAACGTCGCCAAGAAGCTCGGGCTGCCCATCTTGGGCAAGTTCGTCGCCGGTGTAGCCGTGGGTGTTCCACCTGACATCATGGGCGTTGGGCCTGTGTTTGCTATCCCCAAAGTGTTGGAGAAGAGTGCGAAGGGACTGACGGTCAATGATGTGGATGTGTTTGAGATTAATGAGGCGTTTGCCAGTCAGGCTCTTCATGTTGTGAGGACGCTTGGGATTGATTCCAAGAAGGTCAATCCGCAGGGGGGTGCCATTGGCATTGGACACCCTCTAGGGGCGAGTGAGTTGATTCCTCTTACTTTTGCTCGGCATGGTTTTATTGAGTTCCCTCTCCCCCTTCCGCAGCTGGTGCACGTCAGATCGTGACGGGTCTTGCACGGACGAAGAGAACGGGCGAGAAGGTTATCGTGACATCTATGTGTATTGGATCTGGGATGGGCATGGCTTCGCTCATTGTGAACGAGCAGAATTAAACACGATCGTCGGCAAGGGACGGGAGCAAATGACAGTCGGTTGGTCGTGCCTTTCTCTTTGTTTATCAATCCGTTCATCCTTGTGATCACCATCGACGCGTTTTCACACCCTCCTTTTGTATTATAATTTCTAGTATACTCCTATCTCATGCTAGTACTGTTGTCCGTATCTTCCGCAGCCTCTTGCATGACTGTCAGATCCTGGAGCATGCATCCCGGACTGGACTTAAGAGGAAAATGATTTCGCCAATGTAACGAGCTATCATTTTCTCGATTTGGAATAAAGTATTGTGTACATCTCCTGATACCGTTTACTTACGACCCGTGCAACAATTCTGCCACCATGTACGTCAGAGTCAAGAACCAAGGTAGCAAGCAATTCGTCGCATCCAACACAAAAACGCGCGGTTGTGACAGGATAAAAACCAATTTACTATCACTACTAAATTGCAATCGGGGAGTGAGGATGAGTCCGTGCACAGAAGTAGGGCGGAATTAACACTTAAGGGATATGTAGACAAAGCTGAGTCTTTGACCCACCTGGGTACAGCCGTGTGCATTCATGCGTAAAACTTTTGCCAATCAGTCCATTTCCCGTCACTCGCACCAACACCCAGGAAGCTGCGAGCCACATGCACAATCACTGTGGGAAGTAAATGGCCGTAAAAAACCTTTTTTGGTCTGGTTTTTGACCATTTACCATTGTTTTCGTGATATTTTTTTCATTGTAAATTACAATATACGTTTCACGATGCTAAATACCAGACTCTTCCCTGCGTAAATTACCACTCAATTCATGGTATCCGAGCTGCGATGTATTGTACAAAGGTCAGAGGTATGGACGGCCGGAGTCCGGCTAGTCATCGTCGTCGATTGACCTTGCGAGCTCGCAACTGCGATCGATGATGGCCCAACGACGGGAATGCGTACGTACCATAGGGAAATCGGCCACATACTGAAGAGACCGAAGCGAGAGCGATAATTTGAGTGTAGTAAAAGAGGTCGGTGCCAAGGCAGCATCCATGTAAGCACCGCTATCTGAGACAAGGTCAACGAGGTGACGCATGTTCTCACAAGCGACGTTTTGTGACGTGCTTGGGGATTTGAGTCCACAGCTACTTCAGCTCAATAGTGAGAGCCATGAAATTCAAACACTCCTACCCAGACGAAGGATAAGTTCCTAAATTCAATTCGTCGTTTTTGGGCCCACATTGTGGAAACTTTGTCACCTCCCCCGACAATGCATGATTTCCCTAGCGAGGCATAACCAAGAGCTCGATTATATGTTGGTACGGCTTGTTGTAGACATTAGTAAACTAGATCGCGACTTTGCGATGGGTGGAATTGTCAGGAATGTTTCTTGTCGCGAGGAGCCCCAAGTATGGAAGCTGGCACTTAAAGATGTAAGGGTAGGTGGGCAGAGACTGTGGCGCTTAGACTGAAATCGGACTAAGTTGTTCTCGGCAGTTTCCATTCCACTCAGTGCCTTATCCTCTCCACCATACCATACACGTTCTGCAACCTGCTCATTTCCTCCCAATTTGACTATCCTTTCGCTATGCAACTAGCTACTCTTCTCAGAAGTGGCAAGTACTTATGAATATGGACACTCGGCATGCTGCCTCACTGACAGCGATGCCATGAATGGCTTCCATCTGGACGTGTTTCAACGCGTCTTTACACGTCTTTAACTCATTGGTGAATGAGAAATAGCATTTATTTATTTTAGAAAATCGTCAAGCCTCTCACAGCAAACAGGAATCTATGTTACCCAAGGGTCACACCTGTGGTAGAAAAGCCTGTGCATCTGCTTAGGGCGTAGTTTGGCCCCATGTGCGCTCATTAGTTTATCTCCCAACCACCTCTTCCCCCACTGCTGCCTTGCTAATTTCCCCCTGTGCTAGTAACCAAAAAACGCGACTGGAATTCGAAAGCGATGATAATGACCAAGGCCCGATGACAACCACCTCTACTAGTACCGCCAAAAAAGAACCCCCGTGGCCGTCACTATGATGGCCCCACAACAGAAGAAAGTCTGAATCGATTAACTTGGCCCACTCAGAAGGAAAGACCGCCTCGCGAAGCTGTGCACAAGGGTTGAAGTTCACTTATGGTATCTTCTACCGTCTTATTCACAGCCCGAGACTTCCTCCACTTTCATTAGGTTATGCTCTGTCAAATCAACCTCATCAAAATCGAATCGATGCTCGACTTTTATGCTACCCGTCTCTTGCTCGCACTCAACTCCGTACTTTTCTCGTGAGCCCAAGGCTTCAATCCTGCGTTATGCTTTCCGGATCAGCTCTTCTTCGTCACTCCTCGAATTGACCTTTCTGTCTTTTGTTCACCTCAACTCGGTTCATTTCCTCACTTGCAATGACTGCTATCCACCCCAACGTAACCTAGAGTCTCCGCTGTATATCGCCATAAATGTAGTTGTAAATGACGATAAATAACCACGTTTTTCACCAAATTAACAATATTGTAAATGATGAAATCCGACTGGTAAATTACAAAATGCACCCTTGTAAATTGACCGTTTACAATCGTTATCGTGGTGGAGAATCATTAAAAAACAGGTCATCTACCTCCTTTAACGTGGTAAAGGAATCCTGGTAAAATGCAATGGACCACATTGTAAAACACAGTTTTAATCATGTTAAAAATGAGTGTATTATACAATGGTTAAGATGATCTTTTACGCATCACTAATTCCCTCTGTGAATCCTGTTCTTGGTGGGGAATTCGACAAAAACTTTGGGTGTGTTCCCACGCTAGGCTTGTTCCCATGTGCACATGTTGCCAAGCACACGTACGAACGGTGGGGTTGTTGACCAGGTTTGTTCCGAGCCTCGTCCTTGGACCAGTGCTTGGTTGGATGTTTTCGCTTTAGCGTCGACGTGGGTATAAAAATCACTGCCTCCGTTAATCCTCACTCAACCAGTTTGAGAAGCAAACATTCCGCCTGCAATGTAGGCTTCATTCATTGTGAACAAAAGCAGCCATCAGAACGGCCAACCACACTTCAGTTCGGACTGTTTTGGCGCATACCCCTAACCTTAGCACAGAACTCAGCCGAGGGTCACATCAATCTTTCATATCAAAACCAACAAGATACAGAGTTTGAAGTTAAAAAAAAAAAAATGGAGCTCATTGTGACAAAGCCGAATTAAAAACCCAAAGGTAACAAAGGATGTAGGCAAAGCTGAGTTTGATACACACCACAGCTGTGTGAATCATCGGCATTCTTCGAAGTCTTGCCAATCAGTCCATCTCCGTCACCTGGAAAACGCACCCAAGAAGTTACAAGTCACAACCCCCAATGGGGGATTCGACAACCACGGGTAATCACAAAGTGACGCAAGCTGGAAGGTGAAGATTGCCACGTTCTCCCCTTATATACTCTCCCAAGCCCGGTTCTCACGGTCACATCCCACAACTTTGCTGGTGTACGGATGACCAACTTATTTTTTTTTGGTACATTCTTTTTGAGACCTGTTATGAACGGACGATTTTCGCGCGTTGTGCGGCCTTTGCCAATCCACTCACAAAATTGGGCGTAGGTAGTGAAGGGGAAAATGAGCAGCACTGGTTCCATGTTAATCACGCGCTACTTTCATCTATTGTCTCTTTTCTTGATCTTCTACTCCCAGTGATCCCTTCGTTGTCGTCCCTATTTTCTACAGTCTTATAGACGATATTCGGATCTCACACTGAGGCTATCTTCGCACTGGACTTGGCAATAGAATGGAGCGGCTGCTTGCATGTGCTAAGTATATCCATTATCTATATCCCTACCTGGCAAGCGTTCATAACACAGACCGAGCAGTTACTTTTGTTTCTGAGCCTTGGGCGCCCCACGTCACAAGTTGTCCACGTGTGGCTTGAATCGATCTACACATGGAACCAGAGGTGTTTTTGATCAAAGGGCATGTAGCCACAGAAAAGCAGAGAGAAGAAGTGTGGATATGTAGGTAAACGCAGGTACTAACGCACACACGCTGTGTACACCGGTCTAGTCTGCAGACCAATTGGTCTATCTTCGCGAGCAATAAGTCATACCTTTCGATGAAACCGGTATAAGAGCTTCTACTAAGTACTAAGTATTGAACCACAGTGTGGCCAGTCCAGCTCTCCCGATGATGGAGATCGACGCCGCATGATGGTGCTTAGCTCAATTACAATTTGACCATTAAATTATTCACCTAATTACTCATGGTATATAGCTTCACTTCCCGCACAGTTCTAGTATGGTTTGAAACATAAGGATGATATGATTTGAGAGAAAGGGTGGTGCGGGCAGAACATTTGCTTATGTAAGCGTCACAAGACTGTATCATGGTTTGCCGACCCCCAAGATGAGTGAACTGGCTCAGCTTCTGAGTCATGCTCGGCTTGACGACCAGGATGAAGCAGATGTTGCGAGCGTTGCCTCGGGTGAGGATGAACATCTAGACCCAGAGACGAAGCGAATACTAGCCCAATTCCGTGGGCGGTTTGAAGACATATCGAGTTATGAAGCCGTTAAGTGCCTCACCCAAATTGTCCTCGAATTTTATCCTCTCGCAATCAAGGGAAAGGTGTCATTCGAGGAATTCGTGGAAGTCGACCGCCAAATTGTGGAGGCTTACAAGCAACGTTCCTTTTTGAGCATTAAGCGGCTCCGTAGGTAGTGGTGGGATGCCTTGCTGCGTGAAATTTATTGTTGCGAGCAGATGAGTCATTTCAACAAGACCAGACACAGCCTGCGCTGGTCTTTGCCAGGGACCAGGAATCAGAGTTCCATTGGTGTAAGTTGTCATCATCGCAATATCCGTTGTATGCTGCCATTTCTCCTCATAATTCATCAAAACTTTCAGTGAAAGGTATAAATTTGATCACCGTGACCTGCAAAGTTGCTTATTCTTGCTGTTGTCAGCGTCCTTTCAATCTTTTTCACAAAATTACATCGGCGCAGACCAAGACTGCCTGCTTCGTGCTTTGGACAACTATGTTACTGCCCAATCAGTGTACAATCGTACCATCTCCATCGTCCAGTCTTCCGGCTGCGGCAAGTCACGGCTAGTGGACAAAGCTTCAGAGGAGCGGTTTGCATTTCCCATGAACATAAGAGAAGCATTGCCTGAGGGCCTCAAAAGTAACTGGATTTACACAACTATCTCGATGTTGTGAACTGAGCGATTTCTGGCTTAGCTTATCCACCGGCTGACATCAACGATCTTGTTGGTTATTTTGAGCCAAATCCATTGGACACAAATGCCGTTCTGTACGCTCAATATGCCGCATTCTTAATGGAAATGTTTAAAGAGGCGGAGACCATTGTGCGCTCATGGCAGTTGTCCTCTCACGCTGAGATCGCGAAGAAGTGGCATGATTACCTGGCGGAAGATCAGACTCTCGAAGCAACGGGACCCAACCGTCAGGCTTTTTACCGAAGTGTGGTTAAGAGTGCGAAGGTGATATGTCATCATACTGCCGTTGCTCTTCATTAACGTTTGGCTTCAGAACGTTGCAGCATCAACCAGCGATTTCGAGGTGTGTATTCCCCGTACGCCAAGGAATGAATAAATGTATGCCTTCTTCTAGATCCTGAAGGCGCCTCTCCAAGAATCGATTCGACGCCTCAAGCAAACTCTATATCCCCCCCAGCGAGTGGTGTTGAGGAACGGGCAAAAGACGACGAAACGCTGTGCCTTCTTTATTTACATCGACGAAGCGCACACCCTCACCAAAGACCCGAAGGGGTCTGGGAGAGATCGTAGCGCATATCATGCGCTGGGACACGTGTTGCGCTGGGTCAGATCCCAACCTTTTTTCACACTGTTCCTATCAACAAATTCGAAATTAAGATCACTAGCTCCGACCCCATCTTTACACCCATCGACCCGGGACTGGGGCTTCACAACACTATTTGCTCCATACACCGAACTGCCATTTGACATATTCTCCCATGGGATCTGCTCTCAACTCGATGAAGGCCAAGTGCCTGTCACGCTTGACAGGATGTGTTCCGTTGAGGAAATGGCTCGCTTTGGTAGGCCCTTGTTAGTCATACTCTACTCTACTAGTAAGTGCTCTAATTGACGCAAAATGGTTCAGATGGTATTCCCAATATAGACATAAAGTGGACGAGAACGACAACATCTTTGTGTTTGCGATGGGGAAGTTGAATCCAAAACAGGGGGCACAAAAGGAGCCCAAGGACGTTCATGCCACCCTTGCGGCTCTCGACATCAGGATCCAACTGTCGTTTGATGTTTCGCGGGAAGTTGCAAGGTCACGGGTCTCAACTCTAGTGGAATCTTACATGCGAGTGGTCTATGCTGTACCGGAGCATCGGGAATTCATGCACTCCGGCTATCCTTCTGAACCTGTGCTCGCTGAAGTTGCGGCGCGATTGCTTAACCTTGATGATTCGAGTGGTGCTAGCACCGCCCACCCCCCCATTGCATATCGGGGACCCACCATCTTGAATGATGCCTATGGTGATGAGCTTCTTGCTCGTGGAGAGCGTGGAGAAGCTGTGGGTCGTCTGCTTGTGACGATTGCTCACGATAGGGTGCTCATGCGTGATCCGGCGCCATTTGAAGATGAAGCTGTGTTCCATGTGCCTATTAAGGTTGTTGATTTCTTGAAGTCCTTGTTCAATGGACGCTATCACAAGGCAATCCTTGGTGCTCTTCCTGTGGCAACCAGGGACGGTGCCGATACACTCCAGATTGCATACAAAGATGCGTACATATCTTTCTCCCATTTTGCTCAAGCAGGAGACAGTAAGGTGGTTCAGATCAAGTATCTGTCCAAATTACTTCTTCGTGGGGCGGCTTTCAATTGTCAGGCTCAACAACGTTCGGTTGATCTGATTATTCCAGTTTTTTTTGGCAACCCGGAACGGGACTCTATCCACCCACTGAACACATCCGTTCTTCAGATTCAAATAAAGAATCGGAGACACGTGCCGGCAGGAGATGTCTACGTGAATCCAACCATTTCGGACCCTAACCGGGAGAAACCTGTTCTGTCACTCTTTCTTGAGTTGGGCGCTAGCGAATCCTCCGTTTATGTTGAAACCCGCAATCACCCTGAAACTCGGAGTGGTGTTGCATTCCCCGAGGCTAATCACTATCTCCTTGTGGCAAAAGGGTGCTCATCCTCGACATACTCTGCAATCCCGCCAGGTTACGATGAGAAGTATGCCGACTTGCTACGATCTTCCGTACTGTCGGATGACTTCCCAAGAAAGGAGAACATAGGGTTGTTGCAGCGCCAGAAACCAGCTTTCTATGCCGAACCAAGTAGCTCCTGGGATTGGTGATGCAAGACAACTGGTGTTCTATCCGTACCGGAAGGTATCAAACGTGTTGGCCTACCCTTTTAGTGCTTTCGCGAAGTGGTGCCTAATGGAATGTGCGGCTGTTTAAATGTACAGATGTCAGAAGCTACCCAAATGCATATACAAACTTTGTCAGAACCGGCGCTTGGGTAGACAGCAATTCCACGGGAGGTTCTGCCAACGAATCCCATTATCTACGGCCGTTGTTGAAACCGCCAACCATTAGGTCAAAAGTGTGTTCATTGATTAGATGTATTAACCGTTTGTCGAGCTCTGGGACCAGCCACTGCCCTTGACAACGTGCAGCGGGAGTGTAGTCTGAATTGACTGTGGTCAGTTTGTCAGTTCTGCTGATCAACAAAATCAACCATTCACACGTGAATGACGGTATAGTTGACAAACACATCTCTATTGCCATGATGCCATAATGAGCTAAAAATTTATCCAACCTGTCCGTCACTCTATCGTGTAGTCTCGCGCGCTTGGCGATGCTTATTTACAATCTGGAAGAAGTCTGCAACACCACGATATGCCAACTGATCAGAATACACCAAGTGAAGAATCCCTCGATCCTCCTCCAGGGCCGCAATGGAAGAGTCCCACAACTCCGAAAGCCTCTTCCACCAATCACCCAGGACATGTAACATTCCAACGATAATCAAGCATGCACAGAGAAAAGTAATTCCAGCATAAAATCATGTCCAATAGGCGATGGGATTTCCTCATAAAATCCAACTTTCTCTTGACCATGTCTACATGATAAATCCCTGTTTCGTCATGTATTTGGCCAAAATCATGTCATAAAATCTTGTCTTTCCGGAAATTTAATCAGTTTATCCTGACAAAGCCATGATAGTATCCGAAATATATCATCTTAATGTTGTGAGGAATCCCAACATTAATCATGTATTAACCAAGGACTTTATCTAATTGTAAGCTCAGCAAGCATGCTATATTACATCTGAGCGGAGAAGGTGCATATTGTCATGAACCCACCCAGGGATAGGTCTGATCGCTACCCAGGTGGGTGCTGTCTGATGGAGCTCGGTGTTCCGGGTCGTCCGACAGTAGGTTGGAGACTGACCGGAGGTGGGGCAGAGCTCTGAGGGTGATGGGGTGTTGAAGGGACTTGGCTTCAGTGACTCGGAATGGAGCACTGTGCCCATTACGTTCTCATTGTCCCCAATTTGTCAGGGGGGCTGGCAATGGAGGAACCAAGGCTGCCAGTGGGAAGGGGCCTGAAGCCCCCCTCACTACTTAACAATGGAGGTGTTAGTGAGGGTCAATCATTCATCACATGATTCATTGGGTTTTATACCAAGGTGCCCTTAGACATGCCTGTTACTCAGTTCTTGGTTCAGGGTGGAGTAGCAGATGAGTGGAATGTGATAGACATCCTGGAGAGGGTTTGGATTCGAGGGCTTAAGACTTAATATTATAACTGGGGGGAACTATTTACTAGAGGGGTACACTGTCAGGGCATGCCTTCAGGTCGCTAGTGTAAGTAGCGCATTGCCACATGACCCGTATCTCCATCAGCTTCTGCTTCTTTTCTTCTTCTTCTTCATCTCCTGTTTGATCTGGTCTGCAGCTGTTGGTTATGACACCGTGTGATCTTCTATCTTTCTTGATCTGATACTACTGGTTACTAGCTAGTTGACTAGTTACCATCTCTACCGTGTATATAAGACCATGTGCTGGAGTGGGCATGTCCCCCAGCTTTGATATCAATTAGGTTTCTGGGGCATTCTTTGTTGTGAGCATGCATGACCCTGACATACATGCATACATATAGCAGAGATAATTGGATCTGAAGGTAAACAAAGGTTACCAAGGGGAAGGAGAAGTAAATAGAAAAGAATCCACAGGACAAATAAGGAATAGGTGAAAAGCCCAAATTACATCTGAGGTTTGTGGAGTGGGAGGATTAGAAGCCAACTGAATGGTAAGGCCTGGGCCCATCTATGAATGAGCAGGGGACTACAAGGAAGATGACTGGAAAGGTCCAGAGCCCAGAAGTTGTAGTCTGGAAGATTGGGGTTGTAGAAAATATCAAATGATAAAACAATAAAGAATAACATGACTGGAGGTAAGGTAGGAGTGGGGAGGTACTGGAGGTGAGGAGGTACTGGAGGTGAGGAGGTACTGGAGGTGAGGAGGTACTGGAGGTGAGGAGGTACTGGAGGTGAGGAGGTACTGGAGGTGAGGAGGTACTGGAGGTGAGGAGGTACTGGAGGTGAGGAGGTACTGGAGGTGAGGAGGTACTGGAGGTGAGGAGGTACTGGAGGTGAGGAGGTACTGGAGGTGAGGAGGTACTGGAGGTGAGGAGGTACTGGAGGTGAGGAGGTACTGGAGGTACATGACCAGAGGTGCCAGAGTGTAAGGAGTGGTAACCCCACCCCTTAATTTCTATCTTTATTCTATATGTGTCTCATAATAAACATGTATAAACAATGTATATACAATAATGTGGGAATTTGGGAAAAGGAACAGAACTCCTTTTCCTCCCCATCGTTGATAATTAAAGCTCCATACAGCTCAACTTTATTGACGACCTGAGGATTGAGGAGAACTGGGGTTGGAACCTACACCAACCCCTTACACAGAGGTGTAGAGACCAGAAGTAAGAAGGAGGGTGGAAAGGCAAGTTGAGGTTTACCAACAACGAGCAGATCCATATCCTTTGAACAAGGGGTCCAAGGAGGTGGAGGTGTGGTAGGGGAGGTCTGGAGGTGATGCGGACATAGATGGGAGGCAGAGCAGGAGAGAGTCGAAGGAGGAGGTAATCCTAGGATCGTTGGTATTGACCGGAGGCAGCAGAGAGAGATTGGGAGGGCTGGTGGAGGTCATAGGAGTTGTATAGGACTGGGGTGGAGGGAGGGGGACATGGGAATGGGAAGAAGTTTTAAATATAAGGCTGTGGCACGTAAGTATCTCAGACTTGTGTTAGAGATCTTAATCTGTATGTACCTATGGCACATAAGTATCTGTGCCAACAGTTAGACAGTTTTGTAAAGAATAATAAAATCTATCTCACCTGTCACGACCCGGCAATTCCCATGGTCAGGTGACCACTCCCCACACCTTCTCCCTCCTCCGCTTCGACCCCATTAACTCCGCTGCCCACCCAATGCCGCCTGGACAAGCCCATCATCCCTCCCCATCACTGCTACCTTTTCCATGGCCTGTCACGGGCCTATGAGTCATTCCTTATTACTCTTGTTTTCTTGATGGCCATGCATGGCCGTCCTTCTCCCACGCTCTTTGTTGTTTTGTTCCTTCTTAAAGCCGCCTGCAATCTCCATGAGATCTGGCAACTTATTCCTATTCATTCCGTGTTATGGGGATGGGGGGAAATTCCCCATTCCTCGATCCGTTCCTATAGTGGGGAGACGAGAGTCGTGTCTAGTTTGTACCATAACTGGAAGTGTAATCGATGAGTGATCCCAGTCTGACCTGGGAGTGGACGATCGAATTCCCATCGATCGCGATGGGTGATGTAGTGAGCTATTAAGGGATTGATGATTGATAGTCGGAGATATCAGGACAGATGGGTCAGCCACGGATACTTGGCGCTCCTCAATGGAGTGTACCGTGTGCGAGGTCATGACTGGTGAGATGGGTGAGAGCTTCGCGTAGTTGCCATCGGGTACTTGGCGTTCGCAGTGCGAACGTACTGGTAGCGGGTTGATACCGTAGGCGTGCAATGAGGGCTGACTATTAGGGCCTTCGGTGACTTGGCGTTCCCAAAGGGAACGTACCGTTGGCGGGGACATATGATGACTGGCAAGGGAAGAAACAGACGGTGGATGGGCGGCTACTTGGCGTTCGCGTAGCGAACGTGCCGGCATCGCGGGTAAGTGGGCCTCATAGTGTTCACGATCACCATGATCGTGATGGGACGTCGTATGTTGAGTACTGGGGGGAGAGCGGAGTGATGAAGACCCATAGGGTACAGGTTCGATAGGACGATACACACGTCGAGAGTCTTCGACTCTCGACTTCGAGTTCTCGCGGCGAGGGCCGTTAGAGGACTCGATATAACCAGACTTATAAGACATATTGAGAGTTGTACAGTCACACAGGTTCAGTTGAGTCACAGGGAGGGTTGTTACAGAAGACGGTACACGAGACAGTTGTAGAGCAGTTGTTAGTTAGCGGGAACCGCCTTCGGCGGTTTCCGTACAAGACGCGTGACTATCTACAAATGGTAAGGTCGCGGGAAATCCCGCGAAACACAAATAACCTCGGCCAGCACCAAAACCCCAGTTGGGGAAAGCTTTGCACGAGGGGGGGGGGAAAGGGATAGAACGGATAAGGAGGATGGGGTATCGGGATAGAGGACGGAAGGGAGAAAGAGGGGAGGAACGATAATGAGGAGAAGTCTTTGACCATGTGACGGATATGGTCGTTGGAGACTCCGTATCCGTAACATTCCGTTACACTTAAATACCGGTTGTACACTACCTTGTACTTTAGTTCAAAAATCAACTAGGGTTACCCCCTGTGCTCCCTGTCTGACCCCCATTTCTGGGTTATCGCCTGCCTTTCCGCTAACCCCATAACCTGACTCGTCGGTAATATTCAATCGGCTAATGTCTAAACCCCGTTAGCTCCGCTCCGCTTGGCTCCGCCATTTGTAGACCCACCCTCGCTGTAACTATATATACTACACTTGTACATAGGTTACACTCCAGTAATAAAATCGACTAGAGTTTACCCCCTTCAGTTCTGGTGGCCAGTTAGTAAGTTAGGGCACGGACGTGTTTACTAGGCACAGCGCTCCTGGCATAAGTCGCTGAGGCCGAAGCCCTCCGTCATGGAGACACTCCTTCGTCTCAACCCAGTCTCTGACAGGAAACCTAAAAGTTGGACATACTGGGAATCGAACTCCAGTCTTCTGGATCGCAAACTCAGTGTGCACAGCCATTACACCATACACCCTGTTAGGCTGAGGTGGTTATTTCAACAGTTGCTCCCCAGCTCAGTGTCACTATCACTCGTGCCATTCAGTGTTGCAACATTGATTCCCCTTTGATTCCAAGGGAGATTCCTATTTGCACTCACCAGTCCTATTGATGGTGTGGTCCTCTCACCTGAGAGAGCAAAAGGCATGTCAGCAGTGGTTTGGCACAATGGATTGGTAGGGGAAATCAACTTGCCTTTCTTTTGTTCCTTTTGCCAAAGGTGTGTCTTGCAATTTTCAATTGCTGTCTTGAGTAGCACTGCACAGGTCAGGCCTCTTCATAATCATTTTTGAGCCATTCATGTTCTTTCATGATGTAAGGAAGGGGTGGTGGTTTACATTATTCCTTTATTATTCCTTGTTGTACTTTTGTATTTACATATGTATGGTGTGGAGTTGGGTAAAGGGTTCTTTACTCTTCTCCACACCAAGTTGAATACTAAGTTCTGTACAACCTAGATATCGACTGACCTGAGGACTGAAGAGGCACCAAGGTCGGCACCTACACCGACATTACACCTTTTTAGGTTAATAGACTTAGTTTTCCCACACACCAATCATGTGTGCATGCTTTGAGATGTGTGCTTGCTGCATGCTCAGCCGACTCGCTCACTTCTCTTGCTTTATTCACGCTTCTATGGCTCCTGTCAGAGACCAGGTTTGAGATGAAGGAAAGTCTCCATGGCAGAGGGCTTCGGCCTCAGCGACTTATGCCAAGAGCGCTGTGCCTAGTAACACGTCCGTGCCCTAACTTACTAACTGGCAACCAGAACTGAAGGGGGTTAACTCTAGTCGATTTTATTACTGAAGTGTGACCTATGTACAAGTTGGATATATATATGGTTACAGTGAAGACGGGTCCGCAAATGGTGGAGCCGAATGGAGTGGAGCTAACGGGGTTAAACATTAGCTGACTGAATATTACTGACAAGTCGGGTCGCGGGGTTAACGGAAAGGCAGGCAATAACCCAGAAACGGAAAGGAGGGATAGGCCCGAAGGTGGGCTCTGCAGGGCAGGCGAGTGTATTGCCCAGTGGAGGCGGGAGTGCGCTAGCGGACGTCGGAGCTGTCCGGAAGTCTTCGGGGCTCCGTACTTAGGGAGGTGTAGGTAATAAATTGAAAGGAGGGGGTGGTGACCATCGAGGGGTACTGAGGGGATTGCGGAATACAGGAGCTCCGAGGTTAGTGGAGAAGGAGTGGGAATAATCAGAGGGATCGGAGGGATCAGAAGTCGATGGCTGGGGATGGATATGACAGCTCCCCAGACTCCCAGTCACAACCTCTGGACTCCTCTCACGTGTTTTTACGTTGATCCACACGCTTTTTGGGAAGAACACGCGGAATTCACTTGCACATGCTTAGAAACTTGTGCTGGTCACTTCCTTGCACATAATTCATGCATTGACGGCATTCTAGATGAGTACTAGGACATCTTTATGCCCTCTAAGCCGTTTTTATATGCAAATTCATGCTCGATTCACATGCAAGGTTCCCAAGACGCGTGCTTGCTCTCCCACCTGTGGTTCCATGTGTGTGCGACATCCCAGATGCATACTCATGCTGTGTGATATCTCAGATGTGCGAATACATACTCTGAGCCGTTCTTGCATGCAATTTACATGCAACTTCTGGATAACTCGCAATGTATTGGCTTGACAGATGCAACATCCCATTTAATGAGATTACTGTCAGGGCATACACCCTGACCTAGCCCATACCCACATCCACACCTGCACTCGCACCCGCACCCGCAACCGCACCTGGCTGTTGCACTTCCTGTGCATGCCCTGTGCCGGACGCTCAGTGTGGCCAGATGGCCCAGACCTTGGGTCTCAGGTCTCATGTGACTTCCGGATATCTCCGGAAGTTTTCGATGTATTGTGGCCACTGTGGGAAGATGAGAAGTTAACTTCCTTCTCATCTCTGACCCACAGTAGGATTGTGCCCTGGATAGGGCTGGCCAGACCTGAGGCTGTGGGCCCTAGGGGAGGGTCATGGGGACCTGGGAGTCGTCCCCTGACAATTACCCCCTCAGCTCCTGGTGGTTACTGGCATCTGCCCAAATGCAACAATAAGCTGAAGGAATTTAGGAGTGAGATGGATGCACTCATCATTGGCCTGAAGTCTGCTGTCACTGCAGATGATCACCAGCAATGGTTGATCTCCACAAGTGAATATGTCGATGCTATCATTTGGATCATGCATTGCCAGGCTCTGTGGAATTATGGGGACAATCATCATGGGTTTAGAGTGGCGTTCAAGTGGCTGGATACTGTACATGCACAATGGATTGCGATTCCGATGCAGCCCTTATATGTGCTTGCCTGTGAACGATACATTAAGTCACTACCTTCGGAATCCATTGCTCCCCCAGCTCCCCCAACCCTCTCCACTCTCCAAAACCCTCTCTCTCCCCCTCCTCCACTTGGGTTTTTCTCCCAACCCACACCTTCGACTGTGCCAATGCCTGATCCCCAACCTGTCGATTTGGAGATGCCTTCTGTGTCATATCTGTACATACCCAATCCCGACCCGACTCCCAGACACCCATCTTCATCACCTCTGGAGTCCTACCCTATCTCCATCTGCTCTGATATTCACCTTCAGACTGAACATCACTCCTCTCACCACCCTCCTCTTCTTACTCACTCCTCATGTCACCTCCACCCTTCCGTCACTCTCCTACCCTACCTCCGTCCACTCCGATACTCACCTTTGGACCTAACACCAATCCTCCTCCAATCCTCTCCCCACTCCTCTCATCACTCTCCTCCCTCCTCCCCTCTTCCACCAAACCTCTGCCAAGTTTCAACCTTCTGCCACATTCCCATACTGTTAGAACGTGCGGATTCGGACGACTCCGGAATGGAATTGGAGACTTAGCATGGAAGGACCTTGGCCTCAGCGACTCAGGCGGAGCGCTGTGCCATTGCTGGTTGTCCTAGGGGTCCCTAATTTCAGATCTAGCAGAGGGAAAGTCTCTTGGGGAATTCAAGTCGATTTCGGACTCAGGTTACAAGTTACTAGGTACATTGTATATAAGGAGGGGTCCGGAATCAAAAGGAACAAGGGTAGGACAAAAGGAGACAAAGGGAGATGGAAAGAGGAGCAACACCGAGGGTCAAGTGTTTGACTCAATGGTGTTTCCCAAAGGAGGAATGAAGGGCCAAGGCCCAAGGAGGAAGGAAGGAGGATGGGAGTCGGGAATGGCTAGCTGACTGAATAGAAGGAAGCAGCAGCCCAAATAGGAATGAGGGAATTGAAATGGACAATGCAATAGTTGCAAGGTCCGGAGTAAGTCCGGAAAGTCCGAACTCGGAGGTTAAACTCCGGAATATTGGCAAAGGTAATTAAATGGAATGATCTAACCAATACAATGGGTATAAGCAGAGGTGGGGTCAAAGTCCAAGGTCGGAGCTAAGACCGGAGGTTCCGGAGTCAGGAGCATAGGTTTTGCGTACTCGTCTGGAAGGTGTCGAGGTTGGGGTCGGACCCGGAATGTTCTGGAGTCGGACCGAAGGTGGTGTCCGAGCTGGAGGTGGGATAACCTCTTGGGAGTCGGCAAGGAGAAGGTGACGGAAGGGAAGTAGGGCTCCGGAAGTCGGAGTTCGGAGTTCCAGGAGCCCGGAGCGGAGGTCGGGATTGTATGGATATGACACATACCCTGTACTTGGACACTGCTTGTACCTTCACTCCGAGATCCCGTCTTAGTCCCGACCTCGGACTTTGACTCCACCTTGGCTTAAGTCCATTGCATTGGTGACCTCATACTATGTAAACACCATTGCCAACATTCCTTGGACTTTCAACCCCGCCCCCGCAACCTCCATAAGCTCCACAACCTCTGAGCTTCATGGATCATACTTGGCACTTTTGCTGCTTGTAATGTATCTTTTTCACCTCATCTTCCTGCCCCTCTGGGCTTCGCCCTCCCTATCTCCTTTTGGATGTACCTGTCATATCCATCCCTGGCCATCGACTTCCAGTCCCTCCGATCCCTCCGATCCAACTCCGCTCCTCCCTCACTAACCTCGGAGCCCCCGTATTCTGCAATCCTCTCGGCACCCCTCAATGGTCACCACCCCCTCATTTCAATTTATTACCTACACCTCCCTAAGTACGGAGCCCCAAAGACTTCCGGACAGCTCCGACGTCCGCTAGTGCACCCCCACCTCCGCTGCACAATACACTCGCCTGCCCTGCAGAGCCCACCTTCGGGCCTATCCCTCCTTTCCGTTTCTGGGTTATCGCCTGCCTTTCCGCTAACCCTGCGAACCGACTCGTCGGTAATATTCAGTCGGCTAATGTTAAACCCCGTTAGCTCCGCTCCGTTTGGCTCCGCCAATTGCGGACCCGTCTCCGCTGTAACCATATATATATCCCACTTGTACATAGGTTACACCCCAGTAGTAAAATCAACTAGAGTTACCCCCCTAGGTTCTAATTGCCAGTCAGTAAGTTAGGGCACGGACGTGTCACTAGGCACAGCGCTCTTGGCAGAAGTCGCTGAGGCCGAAGCCCTCCACTACGGAGACATCCCTTCATCTTGAATCTGGTCTCTGACAGTACCACAGGTTCTAACCTATGACCTTCAGTGCCGATCCACTTCTGTCATCCCTTTGTCCCCGTTCAGATGCCTTTGTTCCGATTTGGACTCTCTTTGGTTTCCTTGTGCTTTTGTCTCCCTATTATATACAGGTGCTTGTACATACTCGTTTTGGACCTTCAGTCTAAAATCGACCTGAAATGCCCCCTAGAGACTTCCTGCTCACTGCCTCTGAAATTAAGGACCAAATGGGCAAACAGCAATGGCACAGCGCTCTGCATGAGTTGCTGAGGCCAAGGTCCCTCCTTGCTAAGTCTCCAGTTCCCCTCTGGAATCGTCTGCCCTCGCCCAGTTCTAACATTCTGCACATCAACCTCCTGTTGATTGTGCGGCCTCCAAACCCATTCTGAGTCCCACTGCTGCATGTACTGATGCCAATGCATCGCCAGCTGTGGCTCAGCCCTCACCTCTGCCAGTCTCATCAACTCTGGCATCTCCACTGGTTCCGGCTCTGATCCCTGCGACTTCGGAATGCCATCAATCTGAGCGATGTTCATCCACACCTCCCTCCTCCATCGCTCCCCTTCCCTCTTTATTAACTCCTTCATTTAATTTAAATTTGCCTAGAAACATTCCCTTCCCTATTCTTACATATGCTGTGGTTGCTGGTAGAAACTTGCAACCATGTATTTCTTTCCCACTGCTCTCCACACCCAGAGCACATTCTTGGAGGCAAGTCAATCAAAGTTGGGGCAAGGATCCACCACCGCTTCCAAGTTGATTGAGAACACCTATTGGTTGCTCTAAGGGGAGAACCCATAGGTTGTTCTAAGGGGAGAGTGTAAGGAAGGGTTGGTGGTTTACATTATTCCTTTATTATTCCTTGTTGTGCTCAGCTGTATTTACATATGTATGGCTCGGGCTTGGGTAAAGGGTTCTTTACTCTTTACCCTCACCCCTGTCAAATCTAAGCTTGATACAGCCTACAATCTTGACAGCCAGAGGACTGAGGAGTCACCCAGGTCAGAACCCACACCGACCTTACACTTTTTTAGGCTTAATCGGCTTAGAATTGGCACGATTCTCGTGCATGCATATACTTATTCAGCTTATTCTTGTGCCCAACTCGCACACTTCTTTCCAGACACATTTGTATGCTCTAGGAACCTTTCCCACGTGCAATCCACATGCACACGACTCTCAGATGTGCGCTTGTGTTGATTAGGCCATTCTCAATCGAAATTCACATGCCTGTGCACACCTAGAAACACGTGCTTGTACTCAATCTGCTTACTTCTTTCATGTTCACAGCTCCCCAAGCTCACAACCACGATCTCTGGCTTGTTCACACACATCTTCCACTTCCCCACACACTTTTCTGGCAACACACATGAAATTTGCACCTGCACATGCTGAGAAACTCACACCATCAAGGTCCTCGCTGGCTCCTGAGAAGGGAGTGGGGGGGCGACCTTGGGTGGTTTGGGTCTGAGCATGGGTGCAGGTGCGGGTGGGGGATGGTTGCAGGCCTGGCTCTCCACAATGGCTTGGAGCTCTTGGAAGCGAGCCAGCAGCTCATCATACTGCTCTTCTGACACCATGGCTGGGGAGGCAGGGGAGATGGGGGAGGCGGGGGAGATGAGGTTGAAACCTTCTTCTGCTGTCAGGGGTGCATCCGGGGTAGAGGGGGCCCGGATGTAGTGCCCAGCAGAAAGGACCCTCTCAGGGTGCAAAGCAGGCATGCATGCTGGCGGGCCTGATGTAGGACTGCAGTCCCTGGCCACTTAGACTGAAGTGGAAAATGTGAATTGTTATTAAAGGGGAGAACTACACTACTTACCTGAAGTGGAAAATGTGAGAAGAAGGTTACTTCTTCAGTTCCCACTTCAGGTACATTTATGTACATGCAGCTTGGGTCACATGATGGGTGCCATGTCATCCTCAGAGAGAGCTGCAGCCACCTGGGTGTCCCTGCAGGGGATCCTGAGAGTGTCTGCTGCAGGCACATGTGCTGGGCATAGTGGGAAGCCGTCCAGGGTGTCTGGGCTGGATGGGTTAACAGTACAATGATACAAGGGAAAGTGGTCTGTGTAAATAGAAGGAATAAACAGAAAGGGAGAATGAAAGGAAGAAAGAGAGAAAAGGGAAGAAGGAGAAGGAGGAAGGAGAAGGATGGGTAACAGGGGAGCAGGTGAGGTGGGCCCAGGTGGACCTGGGTGGACCTGGGTCAGGCAGGTGTGCCCTGACAGTCTAGAAGGTTCAGATACACAAGTAGAATGCTGTCAGTGCATGAATAACGTGTGGGGCAGGACTAAGGTGTACCATTTTAAGGCCGAGTGTGGGATTTACTTCCATGTTCGTGCAGCTGAATTCCCCACTGCCCTCTCCCAGATCCTTTTCGTGTTGTCTTACATGAAAGGAGGACCTGCAGGGGCATGGGCAACACAATGCACGACCCCGTTGCTGACGGCCGGCTCCCCCTCCCTCACCATGGATGAGTTCAACACGGAACTCAATGCCATGTTCCAGGACCCAAACTGGGAAGCCACAGCCAGACAGAAGCTGGCAGCCATCCACCAGGGAAGCGACTCTGTGGACAAAGTTATCCAAGAGTTTGAGATACTGGGACCCACCTCGAGGCTGGGTGATGTAGGACTGGTCGACTGTTTTGAGCAGGCCATCAACTCCCGCCTCCGGGAGAGTGTCAGGGCAACCACACCTGACCATACAACCCCAGAACCACCTTCCCTGACCTCCCCCCACTCCCCTCATCCTCCCATCTTTACATACCCCTCACAACTACAGCCCGCATGCAAACCCGTGGGAAAAATCACGTGGGTCAAGGCAAGCAACTCGCCTTAACCCATGTGACACCTTTTCTGCATCGCGGGAACATGCTTGGCTTCTACCCATAGTCACGTTATGAACTGTACAGTACATTTCCCTTTTATAGCAGCCAAGTGGGGAATAGGGAAACTTACCCTTCTTCTCAACTCAATCCCCACTTAGGCAAGTTGTAGCTACCTTCCATAATACATGACAACTCAATCCCTGCTTAGTGAGTTTGAGGAGCTTGGGATAGGATCCAGCACCTGGCTGCCTGGGACACCGCAAGTGTCCTGTTATAGAAACGGATCTAGAATCTTATGGTCTGTGACTATAGGCAAGCAGACTTTGGGATTCCATCACCTTATTTTGCTGTCAAACCCCATGCCAAGCTTTCCCACTGGGTTTTGGTGCTGGCTGGGGGATTTGTTGAGTTTCAAGGGATTTCCCTTGACCATTGTAATACTTATATTAGATAGTTATGAGTCATATGACATGTAAGGCAGTTGCC